TCGTGGGGTCATTGATAGCGTTCGACGACCGTTTCGGTGTCGATATTAGGCCGTAACCTCTTGCTTTACTTGCTGATCCCGCAAGGATCAGTTTACTATGTGGATATAGGCTACCTTTGTCGTTCCCAGACGAATCTGTAGTGTTTCGTGGCCGATTCCTTACCTAGTCGACAGGCTTCCTACCCTGACAAGTAGGTCCTATCACAGGCTGGGATCTGGTAGAGTATACTAATAATACTTACTATCCGGGGATTGGTTTCTACTTTCCAGAAAGTTTCATAAATATTTCTATTAAACATAAGCTTGGTCACATTAGGGGCACAGTCCAGATCTTTAACTTAATACTAGTTACTATGTGCTGCAAAGTCCTCATCAGATACTGATTTTCTGCCGGAAAATGAGGCCCTGGATGTATAATTCATATTAACTATTATAACGAAATTTATAACATATCCACTGCATTGGCTGTATACTAACAAATCTAGAAACTTATAACTAATACCAGAGGCTCTACTCTACAGTTTACTAATCTAACTATAGTAATAGAATAACTAGCAGTACTCTGGATATTATTACTGATACTGAGCTTTTTCCTTCTACTATAGATTAGGTAACTTACTCAAAGTTTGAAAATAATATATAATGCACTAGTCTCTGTGAGAGTTTTCTATAAGACTTTGGAGCTTCAACAGTAGGTAGAGCATTAGAGAGGACTTTATTATAAGTTACCTTACTTTAATTCAAAGAAATCGGATGCACCGGAGATAGAATATTAAATAAAATCAATAATAGTCTTCCAAAGTAGCTGTTTCCAGGTGGCAGTCTAATATAGATACTTTAGCAGCACTGTCATCCATAATCTTATGCTCCAGGAGGTCGTCAGTAGACTACAACAGGGAGGAGTGAAAGCTGTCATAGTTATGAAGAGAAGGCTTGGATTGGATACAATAATAAGACATAACAATTTCTTTATAAAGCAGAAATGGAGAGCCTCGAGGAGCAAGTAATAGATAAACCAGCAGTCTGAAATAAAATGGCGAGCATTTGATAATGAAAAGTCTGCGAGATGATGGATGAGAAATCGAGGTTATGAAGTGAGAGAGCCGTGGCCCTTAAAAAGGTTGATACACTGAGCAGTTAAAAGAAAGAGAGCCTATGATATAATATAGTCAACGAGACGATCTAACTTCTCCTCGTGTTGCTGCAGCAGAGACTTTCATGAGGGCTGTGTATTTTTTCCAGTTGAACAGCCATCTGTTGGCTGTGTTTCTGTTGCTTCTGCTTTTCATTTTCCCCCTGGGAGCGAATTTTTTATTTTTCAGGACAATTGCAGTAATGTTTATAATATCAAAAATTTTGTCAAGCAGCTGAATTATTTGATGGCGTCAGGGGTGCCCATTTGCGGGCGTTATTTTTTTCCTTTCTCCCTCCTTGTTCTTTGACACTAATAATCCCATTCCAACCACCCAAGCTGAGTGGAGGCTAGGGAGATAAAGCCGGTATTTGGCTTTGCGAGTGCTTTGCTATTGGGTCATCTTTGGGGCCATCGATCTGGGGTTCTAGTAATCCCGGGTTTTAGTTACTTTCTTCCCGAATGCCTCGTCGGTGGGAAAACAAACAGAATCCGCGCCAGGGACAGTTGATTGTCGGGCATGATGGAATCCTATGGCGAGGGAACCTCCCAGGTTGGGAGGTTGGTACATTATAGTACCTTCCATCGCGGTGCGGTGTGTACTGGGTAGGCGGAGAGGTGCCTTCCCTTGACCTGACTTGAACTCTACTGTACGTACCTGAATTTTTCCATCCAAAATTACCAAAAAAACCGAAGGCATTTTATTTTTGAGTTATGAGTAGCTTGATGAAAGCATTCGAGTGGTCCTCGCAATGATTGTTGGATGACGTGTAGAATGGTCGGTCCTGTCTCACTGGATATCCGAAACTAAAGAAACCCCGGCAAAGGGAAAAGCTGATCCCTATCTTCTCCCATAGTAGGCATGGTACGAGGAACTAACATGTCGCTGGAATCCGCAGCAGAAGATGCTTCTACTTCTTCAGCTGAAGGGGTAGTAGTATTCGAAAGCGGGAAAGATCGTCACCTGGTACGGAGGCTCATTTTGCAGTCCAATGTAGGATCTGGACAAGGTGGAGGGAATGGTCTTCAAATTACAGCGATACAAGTATTGCCATATTACTCACAATACTTGTATTACTCATATTACCGGTATCAACTTTCCCTCCCATTTCTCCCTCCAGTTTCCCTCTTATTCTTCCCTCCAGTTTTTCCCTCCAGTTTCTCTCCTGATTGTCCCTCCTGTATCTCCCTCTATATCATTCGTTGCTCTCTCTGTCTTTTGCTGTAAGCCTCTTGGTGGGTATTGGATGCACTTTCGTCTCAAAATCGGATATGGATTGTCAATGGGTAATGGCACTATCGTACGTAGCGGAGCAGGGTTGATACCAATTGATCAGCCATCGTGAAGCGAAATGCTTACCTAAGAAATGTCGTGGGAGCATATATATATAAGTTAATAACAGGAATGTGTCTATTTTGTGCAAGATAGGACTATTATTTCGTCCTTCCCAAGACCTCCAAACATGACAGAAACACTACTGAATTACCTGCTTAAACCCAATCCAAGGGTCATTTTCCCTAGTGGAGGAGGATCAACTTTCACCTTCAACGAAGACTAGGACACAATCGAAAATATAGAAGAATAGACCGAGTTCAATTATGAGGTCCTTACCGAGCGGTTCGAACGTGATTTAAGCCGCCAAGTCGCTCAGTTTGACGCCACAACAAAGTATGAGAAAGCGGGTTATAACAAGATTTTTGATGAATGTGGCTTATCTGACCTCGTCTGCATGTCGATAACGGTTCCCGTATCAGCAGTACTGAAGCCTCTATTCATCACCTCGGGCGGAAGAGTCTAGGAGAAATTGGGATGCTTACCTGACTGGGGCGCTGGGCATGAGAACAACTTGAATGAGCATGGCAGAGCAAAGGCTCTCATTCTTGGTGATACCAAGTTCAAGTGGGATTCAGTTTGCGGTATTAACATAGTCCGGAACAGCGAGGATGATTCCTACAAGGACGCACTGGAGAGAGATGATGTCAGACTTATTGAACAAGTTCAGTATTATGGCGCTGTTTATAGATATCGATATGTCTTTGTTATCACGGAGAAAGAGCTTGTGGTTATGTAACTCTATCTGGCACCCGACCCTATTTAAACCTTGCTAAGGCCTGTCCGCATTAGGCCATCAGCCTCACATCAACGGGTATTGTCTTTGTCGGAGATCTCAAAGCAATTTACCGACAAAATGTCACTCAATGAATCTGTCAAAGAATCTGCTTTGAGAGCTAGAATCAGAATCTTGAAGTATAAGAGAGTTTCTTGGAATGCCCGGGAGGGCCTGACAATAAAATTGGCCCTTTATTGTTTGATCTGTCTAGCAGCTGAGAACGGCAATGATCTTAGAACCGAGTACCCCTCACTTCTGGCTTACAGCGGGTCCTCTACTACTCAAATACCGCGGTATTAACAATCACCAGAGCAATCACAGTCTGGCAAAAGCAAAGAAGGTTCTGTAACAGCGACAAGCATCAAAACGGGTAGTCCATTGACAAATATTTTCTGAACAGATACCCAGTACCGTGATTTTAAGGTAGTTTGGAATGAAACCCATACTTCCTATTATTATTCTATTGGAGACTCTAAGAATTTGAGTAACTGGGTTATTAATGACCCCCCAGAAAACTGGAAGCAAATTGGCAATCACATTATCAAATTTTCTGGAGAACCGCCTTATCTACGGTCAAATATGCCCGCATCCTAGATATATTAGACACAAGATGCTCTCTTTCAGCTGCTTTCATTCAACATGAACTGCGGTTCCGCTCATTAACAAGAGACTTTATTCGATCCGTTCAACACGGACTTCTGAATTTAGGAATGCTTGTTCTTTAGATAGTGGTGTGCTGCTCTCAGTGTATGTTTCCTTGTGTTGAGTCTAGTTCATCTTTAAAAAAGAAAAAGAAAAGCTTGCTGTTCCAAAGTTGATTTGGTTACAGTGTTATTAGTAGTGACTGTACATATTAAGAGCATACTGTTATACTTTGATTCTCGCTCAAACGTTTGCTCGACTACCTAAGTATCCTTAAATTCCTATCTGAACTTCATTTCACTGTGACTATTTGCGCTATACTTACAGCCTTTATCAAAGGCTGCTGGTTCAAGTTATGCGATCGGCCAATTATTGCTCAGTGAAGACAGAGTTCCAGTAGGAATGTAGCTTACTTGAGCCGTAATTATAGATATTAGATTTCCCTCTCTTATAATACAGTACTGTACATTAGATCCCATTCACAAAAACATCAAGCTCAAGTACATGAAGGCCTGCTTTATAACTTAGAGTTCACAAATTCGCTCTACAGAAATTTCCCCTCATCTATACACATAAAATTATCAAGTTCAATAATAGAGACACAACCTCCTGATGATCCAAGGTGCAGACAGGCTTGCCGTAACTTATCACCAAGTCCCCTGACCTTAGATTAAGAATCGCGATTCGCACCCAATGTTTGAATCCAAGACTTTAGCACTAGGCAAAGCATAAAGGAGATTGACTCGTATATCTCGACAGATTCAAGCTGCACCTCCCAACTGAAGAATAACAACGAGGCCTGGTCTTTGGGGCTATGGTAGACTGCCCAAAACGGTTCATAATGATGTAAAAGCTGGCCCCGACGGATTTGCCAGCAAAAATCGGACTTTGGACATCCCGCTTCCAGGAAGGGAAAGATTGAGTTCAGACTGGGCATCAAGAAATCTAGCATAGTGAGCTTCTTACATGCGGAGATGCGGGATGAAAGATAAGGGATACTAACAATCCGGGCGATTGCGGAGTCTAAATATAAGCAGTTCCAAAGATTGTTCGTCTTCATTGAAAGATTGCCAAAGTACATCATCAACCACCTTCTCGGAACTCGATTTGATTAAATGAGAACAAAAGTCTCAGGACGTAGCTCTAGTTGTACATTAGTGATGATAGTAGACTTAGGACTTCCCCTTACCGCCCCGTAACCTGAAGCTCAACACACTGACGTTCGCCCTTTGCTATTCATTCTAGCGGCCGGGGTCTGCCCGAATTAACCCTGAACGGCCACTTATCGGAGAAAGTATATGATGCGGAAAAGTCATATAGAACTGTATCGTAAAAGTCACCAGGAAGTCGAAAATAACAGTCCTTAACATCTCCATGGGTTACCCCGATTTTGTGTAGGACATTTAAGCGGCGAAGTCGATCCTTCAGCAGAAAACAGTACCATTTCTGTTCAAATAGACTCAGCTGCAGGTCCTTCAGTGTCTTCAGGAAGCTCTCAGGCAGGTTAGAGACGACCCCGCCCTCTTCACTGAGAACACGTCGAGAGCTTAAGTAAGGTTTGATTGCCTCCAGCACCACAGCCCGTTGATGCGCATATCCAGATGAGAACCGAAATCTTGTCATGTCGGTGATCACGCCATAAAATCTTGGAAAATATATTTTCTCTCGACTCGGGCAAAATCTGCTGATATGACTATATACCCGAGCTTCGTGAAAGAATCTATCGAATTCGTGCAAAGCATTGCTTAGCCTTCTTGGAATATCATCTATAGACACTCCAAGGCGGTGAAGCTGCTCTATGGCCTGTTTCTTGGTGAATTCGGGAAACTTAACTATGGTCAGTTGAAAGAATGTCCAGTTGTACCTGTCGACTTACAACTTTGCCGACATATTTTCTTCGCCCTTTGATTCGAAGCCAAAATACCTGTATATCGTTTTCTTTTGTTAATCTCGACTTGTCGACCATCTCTCCTAGTTCCCAATTTTCGTTTTCTGCACAAAACGGGAGGAAAACTGGGTCGCCTGTGTTTTCTCCTTTGAGAAACCCCGGAGGGTTGTTGGAAAAAAAATAGTCCCTCCATCTGACTTCAGCCATAACGAGATCAAGCGGGAGCTCAAATACACTCGACTATGAAGCGAGGTTCTAAGACAAATTTCAATCTATGACTGAAGAAACAGCAAAAAATTGTTCGCAGGTTAAGAGATGCGGGACGTAAGGTCATATTGAAGTTAAAGGTCATATCACGTGCACCTTATGTCGGGAGCATGGATACCGTCATGTAATACTGGCAAGTCTCGTGACGCCTCTCCCGTTTCTCCCTCCCGTTTCTCCCTCCAGTCTCCCTCCTGATTGTCCCTCCTGTTTAGCCCTCCTGTTTCTCTCTCCGGCTCCATTATATTTTATTATGGCTACGTGAAAGCCTAATCAGAAGCCATATTTTCATGGAGAAGCATAGACAAAGATCATAAGCATGATATATATATACATGTACATAACAATATGAATCATCAAAAAGAGAAAAATGAGTAACTTAACAAGAAAACTGAATTTTCAACAATACAATGTAGAGAAGGGAAGAAAATTATAATATCATGTACTAGATATATGCAAAGCACAATTCAAATGACAACAGTATTATATGTTTATACCGTAGTACTTGCATTTTATCCTCCATACTAATTGATATGAATAAAATATCGATGGTCTCTTTCTATACACAAATTATAGATGGAAAAGACAGAGCTGATTCTCAATTTTAAAGATAGCTGATTGAGGTTCAATATTTCATAGTGTTTCTGGTAGGGGGTATGTGCCCTGTTGCTGATGTAGGTACTGTGTGCCTTTGTACAGCCGATGACACGATCCACTAGTGATTGCGGAGAAGTGATTTTCGAAGTCATCTTCTATATGACATTACGAAACTGGGCCGTGCGACAAGTGATTTACGTTAGTTACGTAATAACGTATTTCACGGGTCGACCGACCGCACGGGTCATCCGACCGCCACGTCAAAAAGTCATCGCGTGTTCGGCACCTCTCTATTCAACCAACCACCATGCCTCCAAATCGAAAGAAAAATCGTCAAGAATTAATTGAGCAAGAGGGCCGGATCCAACTTGCAATTAAATATTTAAAAGATGATAAAAGACGCAAAATTCGTCCAACAGCATGTGCTTATAATGTCTTATACGGAACCCTCCGCGACCGCGTACAGGGAATTCAATTTTAATTAGAATGCTGTAACCATAATCTTAAACTCTCTGAAATTCAAGAGGATACTCTAATACAGTGGATTCTATCGCGTGATCGGCGTGGAGTTGCTTCACGACTTGTTCAAGTACGAGAAATGGCAAATATAATCCTACGAACCGTAGACCCCTTCTCCTTTGACCCTGTTGGCGAGAACTGGGTTACCACCTTTATACAATGCTGTGAAGAGATTAGCTGTTGATTTACTAGAAAGTATGCCTATAAGAGAGCTAAATGCAAGGATCCAAAGCTTCTACAGGACTGGTTTACAACCTTACAAGACATACGGGCAGAGTTTGGAATATTAGATGAGGATATCTTCAACTTTGACAAAATGGGCTTTGCAATGGGAATAATTGAAACTATAAAGGTTATGATGAGAGTCAACATGCCTGGTAAATCTTATCTTATACAGCCAGGCCAATGCGAATAGGTGACGACAATTGAGTGTATCAATTTAATAGGGTGGAGTATTCCCTCCACCATAATTTTCAAGGGAAAAGTCTATATAGAAGGATGGTTCGGTAAATACAACATCCCATGTGACTGGCGTATTAAATTATTAACAAACAGATGGATAAATAATAACATTAGCCTGTGATGGCTTAAAGAGGTCTTCTTATCTGCTACAAATACTTGAAAAGTCGGCTGATATAGACTTCTTGTTCTTGATGGCCATGGGAGTTATTTAACACCTGAATTTAACAAGCTTTATAAAAATAATAAAGTTATTTCCGTCTGCATGCTTGCTCACTCATCTCACCTTCTACAACCTCTTGATATTGACTATTTTGGACCACTGAAGCGGGCATATTGTCAAACCCTAGGATCGCTTCTCCCTGTTCCTGTTAGCTTAGCTCCCGTTCTGATACGTACCTTCGAACTGAATCGAGGTAAGTCAAACTGATGAATATCTAAAGGTGACTGGTCCTAAATAAGAGAAGAGAAGTAAGGCCAGATAGTGCCGCGCAATTATCCATAAGTAAGTACAGACAAGCATTATTGCTAAGCTTTATCAAAACATATGGTTACTTAAAGACAGTGTTATTGAGCACGAAGAACAGAACTAGCTAAATACATAAAAGAGTGTTCTTATATCCTATCCTTCATCATAGCATTGTTATGATATATTATATTACTGATATATTATATTATAATACTGCTATATTCTATTATAATACTGCCATGTTATAATATATCAGTGATATGTCTATTGTGATCACATGTTGTATAACCATTCCGGTTGTAGGTTACTCAGATCAGGATTATACTTGATAAGAGTCCTTGCTTTTCCGGGCGTGGCCTTCTGCCTAACGAGTCCGCCTCACTAGTTCGTTCAGCTAGCAGGGGTCCGTAACATATATTCTCTTGCTGAAATCGCTCCTGGTCCTCCTGGATACAAAGACCCTCTGCAGTAGTAAGCTGCCTAGTAGATCTCTTGCGCTTTTAAAGCTGTTTCTCATGTGCAGCTCGTAGATCATGGTTTTCTTGCACTAAAAAATAGCACTGTTCATTGCTAATTTATATTCTTTAACAAGTTAATCTAGCGCGGTCTTTGTAGAAGAAGAAGGACTCTGTATACGTGCTCTTAGTAGTTTCTTGATTATAGATACTTACTTCTCTAGCTGACAAAGATTATGAGGTATCTTAGACACTGAATTAGTTGACTGACTTCTTGATAATGTAGGTATATTTAGCTGAATATTAAGCTGACTGAATATACTTTCTGGATTATATAGAACTAGCTCAGTAACAGAGAAATCACTATAAATATTACTAGTAGTATAGATCTCTGCACACGCCTGAGGAAAGGCTTTAAAAAAGTTAAGCTTATTAATATAATTAAATCCAAGATATATCTTAGTTTCCACTAAGCATCCATATACATGCTTTAATGGTAAAAAATAATCAATATTTAGAGGCTGCAGTAGTCGTGAAGAATGAGCAAGTATATAGATAAAAATAATATTATTTTTACTATATATTTAATTAAATTAAGATATTAAATAACTCCCATGGCTATCAAGAACTAGAAGATGATATTTTCCAGTAGTATGGCTAGTAGTTGCAGGAATAAAGAGCTTCTTGAGCTAGTAAAGACTTATTTCATCACTAGTCCAGCTATTAGGATTAAGCTTAATTTTTCAGTCATGTGGTAGAGTTCCTTGATACTAGCTCTCTATATGGATCTTTTCTTTAAAAATAATGCATGGTGGAAGAGCCTATTGTCAAACCCTAGGATCGCTTCTCCCTGTTCCTGTTAGCTTAGCTCCCGTGTCTATACGTACCTTGTGAACTGAATCAAAGGTAGTCAGGTTGTTGACTATCTAAAGGTGACTTGATCTGAACAGAAGAAGAGAAGTAAGGCCAGATAGTGCCGCGCAGCTATCCGTAAGTAAGTGCGGACGAGTGTTGTCGCTAAGCTCTACCAAAACGTAGGTTACTTAAAGACAATGTGAATTGAGCACGAAGAACAGAACTAGCTAAGTACATGAAAGAGTGTCCTTATATCCTATTCCTCGTATACCATTTCGTATACCATTCAGGGTAGATCGAGGGTCGATCTAATCATGTTCCTGGATTCCGTATACCATATCGTATACCCTTGATGGTAGATCTGATGGTAGATGGTCACGTGACACAGCGTTGCCTCGGGTGTTACCCCAACCGGGATCTTACTCAATAAGAGTTGCTGGTTGCCCGAGTCCTTCCTGGTCGTTACCTTTCTGCCTAACAAGTCCGCTTCTGCTAGTAACCTGGCTAGCAGGGGTCTGTAACACCTATCTAGAAGTATTAATATATTTAATAGAAGTAATTTATTCTTGATTGCCTGGCTATATAAGAGGTGCTTTTTCATAGAAATCAGCTCTAGTAACTACTTTAACAGTAGTTATCAAGCCTATAGTAAAGTCAGTCTCGTCAAAGTTGTAGATATCTTCAGGTACAATCTTATTCTGTATTATAGTGATTTATATGCAGTTAAACTACTCTCTAATAATTTCAGGGTCCTCGTATTGAGCATGTTGATAGTCATATCTTTAAGAAAAGCATGTCTTCAATTTGTTATAGTGTTGAATAAAGTTGTATACCCATTTCTCTCTAATGAATTGAATAGGTGTAGTACTACGTTGAGAAAGGAGAATATTAGCCATTTTTTGTATATGAGATGGCCGAGGAGGTGCTCCATATTGATTTAGTGATAAGATCTATCTGATTAGTGAATATTCTTTATTTTGAGTCATTTTATGACTATTTGCGCGTGTCTCTGCTCAAAAAGTATGGCTATTTAATCATTGTTGGAGAGTTGTACGTGGAATATTATAAAGACGTGCTGCTTCGCGAATATTGCAGATTTCCTTATTTTTTAATGCAGTAACTGCTAGTAGAATCCTACCCTCCTGCTCAATTGAATTTCTTGAATTTTGACGCGATTTTGGAGGCATGGTTGGTGGTTGGGTTGAGCGAGGTTTCCAACCGCGGCCAAAAACGCGTGAGGTGGCCCGCTCGCTTGCGTGGCCCGCTCGCTTACCGATTACGTTATCATCGGTGGCTGACTCAGGTTTCTGACTGCCGCGGGGCTAACGTTACGAGGGGCTAAAATTGATGCCAGAAGTGGGACAGTCATGTGATTGGGTTGCTAACTTATTATAGACAGGCTGCTAAGGCGAGTATTGACCTGAGGTTTGCTCCGCATCAGTCTGGGCATTCCTATCGGTAAGCATAGTCTTGGTCACTGAAGTAGCACCGCGCTTTTCTCCAGCGCGAGGCTTGTTATAATCTGCAAGGTAGTTAATATAAATATCAAGTTTGATCTTCTTTCCCTTGTGTAATAGATTGGTCCACTGAAGGAGCTGCCTCTGTATGACAGTGTCAAACCCTAGGATCGCTTCTCCCTGTTCCTGTTAGCTTAGCTTCCGTTCCAATACGTACCTTCGAACTGAATCGAGGTAAGTCAGACTGATGACTATCTAATGGCAACTGGTCCTGAACAAGAGAAGAGAAGTAAGGCCAGATAGTACCGCGCAGCTATCTGTAAGTAAGTGCAGACGAGTATTATTATTAAGCTTTATCAAAACATATGGTTACTTAAAGACAGTGTTATTGAGCATGAAGAACAGAACTAGCTAAGTATATGAGAGAGTGTCTTTATATTCTATCCTTCGTCATGGCGTCGCCATGATATATCATATTACTAATATATTATATTATAACACTGCCATGTTCTATTATAGTACTAATATATTATAGTATGTCAGTAACATGTCCATCATAGTCACGTGTTGTGTAACCGTTCCGGTCGTAGGTTGCTCAGATCAGGATTATACTTGATAAGAGTCCTTGCTTTTCCGGGCGTGGCCTTCTGCCTAACGAGTCCGCCTCACTAGTTCGTTCAGCTAGCAGGGGTCCGTAACAACTTACTTCTTTCCATGCTTTCTTATTCCTGCTGGCTGTTTTGTACAATATCTACAGCCAGTAACTGTAATCCTACTGTCCAGCATCATGTCTAGACTACTTCTAAACATAAGATAATAATCATATTACAGTTATTAAAGAGAGTTGTAGATTTATCTTACCAGGTAAGGAGTTATTTATAATGTTACCTAAGTCTCTGGTATTTTATAGTTACTCCTTGTGAAGTGTTACTGACCATGATTAGCACTTCATGAAGCTAATAACTAACTATATTGTATCTTGTGCAGTTGTTTCGCTGTAAGACTCCCGGATAAAGAGATCTTAGAGTCATAAGCATCATGTCTATCAAAGACTGCTTCCCAGCTTATTATCTGCATTACTAGGTATTCCGCAGCTTGTAGCCCGTGATTGAATAACGGTATCATAAGATACTGGGTGTTTTCCCATTCATTGTTTCAGTTCGTCACGATTGCGCTCATTTATATCAATAATTCTGCCTTATTTAAGACCCACAGTACACAGTAAAACCACCCTAAAGCCATACTTAATAAGTAAATTATATAGAAATAGTCAATACTTATTATGTTTATGTGAGTCTTGCACTGAACCCAGGATATAGACAATATCTTTAATATATTATAATTCATCTTTAATCAGCTTTCCCATTATCTTGAGCTTCTTGTAGCAGGCGAGCACACGGTCGAATGACTGGTCTACCCGGTTTGAGGTAGTGGAATGAGATTGTTTTCGAGGCATTGTATGCAATCACTCTGACACAACTGAGTCTGTAAAGGGTTGTAATACAATACAGGATGGAAGACGGATACAAGGGAAGTAGGATGGGAATCTGTAAGGGGGATTTGACGGGAACTGCGATGGGTGCAGGTGTGGAAAGAACAATGGATGGTATAGGCGAAGAAATAAGCATGGACAAGGCTCTGGAAAGACTGCGGGGTAGTAGTACGGAAAGTACAGCAGAAATAATCATGGAAAAGAATGAGGGAAAGTGCATGGGCGGGACTGAGGTAATAAATACGGAAATGGTCATGGAAAATTTCCTTGTGGACGAGCAAGGCAAACGTTTATTGGGTGCCCCAACTGTGTGTTTGCCCGTCTCCAGCTGCAAGTGCCGTTGTGATTGAACATGCATTACGAACACAGCCCAATAGGGGCAATGATGATGCACTAACAAGAAATGATCACAGCTTCCCCTCACGTCTTGCAAGATTGTGACTTGTCATGACACAGCGTGTATTGTGCACATTTTCTGCACATTTCCTATTTTGGAAATTTACGAGTTCTGTTCCCCGTGCACACTAGTCCGTGGTGCAAGGCCACAACCCGAATCTTACATCAGGTGCTAGTCATGAGTCTGTCAAATATTGTCAGGGATTTTAATGCATTGATGGAACCACTAACTTGCTAAACTAAAGCCGTGCTATAGCTCAAAAGCTGCTACGGATATGAAGGAAGGGAGGTAGGTCCGTGAGAGAGCGATCCAGCCAGGATCGGATCATTGTAGGGCCGAAGCTCCATCTTCCTCCTCGTCACCCTATCACTTTCTCCTCGCCTTCCCACTCCCTCTGCAATACTTCCTCACCGCCTGCTTATATTCTGCCACTATTTCTCATCCCTCTTCTTCCGTCCCTATTAGTAGTGTGCCTATTTTTGCTTTCCAGCCTCCTTGTTGTCCCTGTCTCCCTTCTCTTCGCGCACATTCTAGGGTCTTTCTTTTCTCCTCCGTACGCATATTCTACTGACGTTGATTCTGACTCTGTCCTCGTCTCTACCTCCAATTTTTCGGTCTAGGCCTTTAAACTGCTGTCACCAAAATCTTTCAGTGGCCCCAGGTAGTATTTAGTAGCCTTGGGTTAGCCTTAAGGCGGTGAGAAGTTTGCTGGCATTAAAAGTAAGATGTACCTATTAGGGTAGGTGGAGAGTATGGCTGTAGCGGACACTGGAGTGGTTGTAGTGCCTCCCGATGAAAAGTGTTGCGGTTTCAGTGGATGAAGGACAGAATGAAGCTATATTAGTTATACACATATAATATGGAGCGGATTCCGTTGATTGACATATACTAAATCTTTATAGGCAATTCTTCTATTGATTTTGGGGTAGAGAGTGCCGAGAGATCGGCCAAGCAACTATAAATTTCGCGGTCTCATACATTTTTCATATCTAAATAGCCATGCCGACCTAGTTATGCCGAGCATTAAACACGAGCAGGAAAGCGGTCCTTCGTTGAGATGCCACAAGAAGTTAACCGTGTGGGCCGTCCAACCGTTGATTACGTTAGTTAACTATGGTGTTCTTACTAATACTGCCTTCCTTGGCCACGCTGCATAGCCAGACCTGGAAAAATATCTCCTATACAGACGTTATTAACTACATTCACGATACTGGACTGGTCCTAGTGTATACTGGTTGAGAGCATATACGTCCAGCGAACTTTATTATTCCGCTCCGGCCCCGCTCCACGCGGCCGCTTCGCTCCAGAATCTACAGCCTCGTTCCCGGGGATCCCTACATGGGGGTCCAGTGGAGCACCACAAGGGCCTGCAGGGTCTGAACTTCACATATTAAGCACACAGGAGATGGTGGCCTGATGGACGTCCGGGAGCTTCAACTGCCTTGATAGCAGCCTGGCTGTCTGCGAAAACATGAATGCTGGATCCCGGCTGGACACTCCCGGCCTTTGCTTGGGCCATATCAATCCCCTGCGCCTCTTATCACTGCGGCACCGCCCTGCGACCTCGGGATCACGCAATCACATACTGTCTTCAGCTAACAAAATACATAGAGTCAGGTTGGGGTTCCTATAAAAAGAGATTGCCCGGCAGGAAACTGAATCAAAGAAGCTCATAGATGCCAAGCTGAGTCGGGACCAATTTGTCAGGAGATTGCAATGATGGTGGTAGAGTCCCCTTCAACCCCCCAAGTTATACTATGCTGACTGAAAGTTTTCTATGCTAGACAAATAGAGGCTATTACGGCCTAGCGGGTTCCTAATTCCTCGATATTATTTACCAGGACTCTGCGCTGATGTTGGATAACTCGAAGTGTGGACGCATTGTGGCTCTTTCCATGCCAGTGATAATGGACTTCCAGCTGGACGGCCTAAATGGGATAGGATGACGAGTGACAAGATGGAACCTACAAGGGAAGGACTATAGTCGAATTGGGGCCTTCAAGTGGGATTGAATATGTGATGTTGCATGCTACTTCATCAAGGATTCACACAAGTTGTTCCCGATTACTTTCTATGCTAGAATAGCAGAGGCTATTACACCTTGGGGGAGTTCCCGGATTTTATTTCTTTATGTCAAAGCATGCGCGAGATTCTTGGTTAAATGCTGTAAGGTGCTGACCAAAGAGATCAGGAGAGGGCAGTGTATCTTTGAAAATGATGGTAAGTCCATGGTCATATTACATATATGGGTTTTAGATGCTGAGTGACAGATACTAACACGTATTCACATTCAACATTAGAGCGCTGCTTCAAGCATACACAGGAAAACGTGGATGATATCGCATTGGAGTATAGCATGTTGGATAAGGCACGTCCATGAAATGCTGCCTACAGTTGGAGTCTGCCCTATATATCTATCTCGCATATAGATGCCTAGCTCGTACTCAAACTCTGAACCATGATTCACGGTATTTTTGCCAGGCCGTGTACTCATCGATGGCTGTGTCAAGCAGTCCTGGTATACAGTTGAACAGAAAAATATCTGGGGGCAGGATATTTAATGTCTTAGCACACATGCTTACGCGAGCATCCAAGCCCTTTCATTCAGATGTATCAGCCCCAGTCATAGAAATGACGGCCAGAGCCAAATTGCGTATTGTTGCTTTCCCTGTATAGACATGCGTGTTCTGGATAGCTCGAGGGTGATGTAAAGAGGTGCAACGCAAAGTAGAATAAAATCTCAGTACCTAGTAGGCGCACCGGTTCTTCGTAGATAGTCTTCCTGCTAGGACAACCAGAATGAAAAGCTTCACTGAAGATATCACATTGAGGACATGGGTCGCTTGAAGGCACATAAGCGGGAGTAGGGTATAGACAGGTCTATAGACTGTAAGAAACTCTGCCCCTTAAAAACAAACTAAAAATAAAGAGATGAGATTGTTTAATATGTGGGACGACTGATGGTATGGAGAGGAAGCAGGCAGGAACGAAGGCTTAGGCGGAGCCGGGGCTATAGTTTGGCCGGAGCCACGCGTGCATTTTAGCACAGCCTCACTATGGCGGTGTAAGGTGAAGCGGCGATGAGAACAGCTGAGTTAAGCAATGGCCCCGCAATTATGTGCGTCACGCCCTTTTCACTGACCATCATTGATGAATGCCCGAAACCATAGAATTACCCCTCTACAACCTGTCTCCTTCCACAACTCTCGAAAGTGCAGAGTATAATGAGCGAAAATGTCAGAAAGCAGCAGCGCCAATACATCATGCGAGTCCAAAATTTTATCAGGACATGCAACACAACTACTTGAGCAAACAAGGCAGGATTTTGCAGAAAACCTCCGTTCTGCTACGCCTCCGTCCCAGTCACCCGCTTTATACCTAAGGTTAGAGCCCAACAATGCGCTAGTGGCAGAGATTGAGAAGCAGTTCAAAAAGGTTAGACAAACTTGCTTTACATACGTTGTAAATATTCTCATTAATAAAACAGAAGTCGCATCATTGCTATGTCGCTGTCTTTTTCCGCGGAGAATTTACGGTTGGGGAAATGTACGATACAATTATCATTCCTCTGGAAAAGATCGGGAATGCGCATGCAAGATCAAAAGATACCTCATCTGGAAGCACACTTGACTGGAGTGGGTTAAAGTATCTGCAAATCAAGGATAGGTTTATTTTCATTGTTGATGGTGGCCATCTTAGTAGCGTGGTTGTGGCATTTGAGAGGAACTTGGACAAAAAAACAATATGAAATATAGCTGGGTCGGATGAGCAATGCCTGTAAATTGATACAATTCTGTCTAGCTTCCCGTCATCATTATCCTTGAGATTGGGTCCATCCGTAATCCAGATTTGCAGACATATATGCGAGACCTTGCGAGGGGTCCATGCTCGCTATATCAGTAAACATTATACTCCAATCTAGATCTAGATTGCGGGTAGCATATGCCTGTCCGGAATGGGTTTGATCATTATACTCTGTATTGGTCCGCTCAGTTCTGTTACCCAGATTTAGTCGCGTATCGTCATTGTTGTTGGATTGCCAATCAGTTTCGTCGAAAGGCACACAGTCTGAATGCTGTCGATGAGACATGCCAACTTGAACTAAGGCATTTGACCAATGTTGTTCGTTTTCTTGTGCCAAATCTGTTCCCAGTGGGATTGGAACATCATGTGTCGTGGCACCCGTATAAGACACAGGAGCATTCGGTCGACAATAACTGGTTAAGGTACTTTGCTCGTTCAGATGTCATATCTTTCTGTCTGGTGTTCAATTGTGTGTACAACTAAAGGTTCGTGTCTGGTATGATGTTGGATGGAAGATGGCACTTGATGTGGGTTTGGCTGCGTCTGCCGATTAGATCCGGAGGACGATGTGTTGTTAGATACTGAGGCCGGATCTTCGGACATGGTGTGGAAATCACAAGCAGTCGATTGGAAGCTCAAACATGCATTGTCTGTCGATTGAATTTGACCTTGGATACTGGCATCTGATATCGGCCTATGTATCTCGTTCGTGTCTGGAGCTGGTTCCTGTAGATGCCAGGCTGAAGCTTGCCCAGAAATAGTAGGTGTCTTCATCAGACCAGCTGATGTACCATCCTGCAAAGCTACCCGCAGATATAAGTAATAAGACAAGGTACCAAAGTATTTAGGTAATTACCAAATTTTGTTCTTTTCCTTGGCCTTCGGACTCTTTTTGCGCGCTGTTCTGTCACTGCTTCTTGTATGAACGTGGTGTGGATGAATGTAGACTGAGAGCAAGCGAACTTAGAGTAGATCTTGTCTGCCACATCATGAGCATTGAAATCGTATATTCGCTTTTCTCCAGCAGCCTTAGGCACATAATTTCCCAAAAGTTGGATAATCGCCAGTCCATGCTTGCCATTGATGTGGAACAAGGTTTCATATCTATCATCGTATGTTAGTGTATTTTATTAAACACAAAACTGTGAAGCTCACAATGAGTGACTATAATCGGGCAGATAAATGAGAGCCCCTCTTCCCCCCAAAGCATCTGCTAGGCTCTTATATTTTCTGCCAGCAAGAATCCATGTATTAAGTCTGCCTTTTGCCATATCACCAATCTTGTTGGATATAAGACCATGTTGTATAAGAGATTGCGCTAGAATATTCGTATCGCTGATTTCCTTGAACCTTTGGTCGACCAATTCTGCAAGATATAACAGGGAAAGTCGCCGATGTATTGTGTCAACGGCCCTCATACCTTCGACGCGTATCAGCGAAGAAAATATGGTATCAAAAAGCTTAGAATTGTGTTGAACAGTTTCTGTAGATCCATACTTGTAGAATAATTCTGGTGTAAGAGCCCAATTCCAAACCGTCTCCTCAGTGAACTTATCAAGTGATTTTCCCTTGTAGTTTCGGCGAAGCTGCGAATATAAACGATTTGGCTTTGGTTGCAACCTATCTCTCCACCGAGATGGTATCATGTCCCATAGTTTCTCAAGTCCTGTTTCAAGCTATATCACTGTTAGTAAAAAAAAAGCTATGCCTTGAATGGAGCATCGGATCTGACATCGTCATCATCAAAAATGTAATCGAGCACCTCGCCATCACTACCCGTGTAATTGGTAGCAAGCTGGTCTACTTTATTCGCAATGTCTCTAAATTGCTGACTCAGTCTTGCAGCGGACATTTTCCCAGGCGAGTGCAGTCCCTTTTTTTTCAAGCCACATTCAGGAAATGGAGGAAAGTGACCGAGGGGATGTAGTATGGATTGGAAGGTCTGTCGCCCAGTACTCTCTACCCCGCATTAGAAACACTAGCGGGACGTTGTATTAGTGGTCACGATACGGAATGCTTCGAACAAGTATACCATAGATGGAAGAAAGGGGCTGTACGTTATGCTACTGCTTACCTCGATCTTGCTTCTGTGTCAGTAAATAGACAGATGGTTAATATTGTCGGGATATAGCGTAAATTATACCATCTTTCTATCAGGCCAAGTATGAGCCTATCCGGTACGCGATATTGTCACGTGGCCTTCTATTTCCATTGACTTATTGACAAGAGCGGCTAGCTGGGCTTTATCGGCGGGTTATATTCCCACTTTACAAACACACAGACAGACTCCATGATTTAGTCAATATTGTCAGTTGGATGACCTGCCATGTCTGTGCTTATTCCCACCGCTAACCTCTTTCCATGCTTTCCTGATGCTGTTGTCATTCACTATAGTCTCCGTGGCCTATGCCGTGACGTCCACCTCCTGAGCCCGCTAGCATCCCAATCAAAACAAGCAGGATGAAAGGAACATCATTCAGACTGATGAGTGCTGTCTGCAAAGAATGCTAACAAGTTTAAGACCTGTACTCTAGGTCTCAGTCTAGGGATGGATTTTCATGTGGTCCATGACTCTTTCTATACTCCTGCCTGCCACGCAACTCCTCCTACCGCTGCAATAGAAGATATGTCCCTCTTTTTTGTGTTTGGTCCATTTATCTTACATTATTCATCACTAATAGTTACTTTATCTCTACTTAGTGTTGTTGCCTTATTCCTTTTCGCCCGTATCCACCGAAGACGCCCCGAGGCTCTAGAGACAATATTCATACAGAAATAGCATGGCAATGCCCTAGTAGCTATTCCTGTCATCGGTTAAAGATCCGCAAGGTGCATTCTTGAAGAGACTTATGTAGACGGTATTACCTACACCCCAGAACAGCCCTCTGAAACTCAGAATGACTGACGTTTCTTTGTATCCAGAACACACTCGGGGATCCTCTCAACGGAGAACGCCACATCAGGACCGAAACTTATAAAACCTGGGCGTACAGTGAACCGCATCCTAGCTATCCGCATCACCTGGCCGTAGTGTCTGCTCAGCTCACATGCGACACACCTGCCCATGCCTTCCGAATAAATCGCAGCCCGGAACGCGATGAAGTCGAATGCAGGGACTATACTTGTTCTGCCCTGTCTGTGGGTGAGCGAGGACAAATGTCATGGAGATCAAAGGAAATACCGTATGCTGCGCGGGCAGTATCATCCATACCGACAACCTGCCATGATTCCGCAGGGGTGATTAGCGCATGTTCCTGACTACTTCTATTAATCCATTTCCAACCAGCATATTAGTATTACACGGAGAGCCATTTCCGATTCCTGCGATGAATCCTTCCCAACCCCATTATGCCAGACACAGTCATGCAGGTTGTGTACGAGCCCCTCGCATACTTCACAGTAAAATGATCGCCTGCGTGGAAATCCTCCTGCATAAGGCTGATGGTCGCATGGGTCTTAGGGAAGTGTCCTGGGATGTGGGGCTATGTATGCTATCGGGCCAGAGTCTACGTAGAGCAATTAGTCACGTCATTTTCCATTGTGACTCTGTGAGGAACTGGCTGGGTCGCGCTACAAGGACGACATCCTGATTTTCGACCCATAGACTACCGGCGGGGATGCGAATGTTCGATCATAGGCTGACAGCGGAAATTCAATCAGTGAGTATTGAACAATTGAAATAGAATGGAAATATGATAGACCGATTACCACTGATAACATGACAGAGATTGGCCACATAGAAAACCGCAAGTGCAACGGAAAATCTGGGCAGTAACAGCAGTCTTAGGTTTCTGAGCAAGAGCCGGTCTGTCCGGAAAGCTGATCAGTGGCAGTCCATGATCCGAGACTATTATTACCAGCCAATGTACAGCAGACATCTAGAATTTGTACGGTAAACAGGCAATGCAACAAGTAAAGACATTTTTATCGCAATAGGCTAAGAAAAAAGACCATGATGTGTGGTAAAAGATGAGAAGTCGGGTCCAGCGGTAGCCGGATAAATAGTAAGGCCGGACCCATCACCATCCCATAGTTGCAACGCTCATGAAAATCACGATGTACTTTAGTGTATCATGACTGGCGAAGAGGAGGGTACTTTCTAGATCCCGGTGCTTCGGTCTTTCATTCTCATGTGTGTCAGGCTCCAAGTCATCCCCTTCGAGGAGATCCTGCTAACATGAGTGGTAGACAGGGCTGTGGCATAGACCCATGCTGTTATTGATTTATTTGCTTACCCTGTCAGCTACAGCCTCCCCACATCCTCATCAGGTTGCCATCTACCGTTTCAAGTCAGTGACATACATCCCGTTCTACATAAACGATGGTTCACAGTTTTGACCCATTAATTCATAGGATGGGGCCTACGGATATTCCCCCCACCCCAGGAACTTCCTGATTCATTATCAACTGCGGGCTGGCCCCTGGCCCAGTGAAGCCTACGGGGCGTTGGAGGGTTCCGGTATGATCCTCGCTCCGGAAATACTCAACTTCCTGTTTCACCACTGTTTCCACACACCCCTCAGTCGCCTGTTCCAGGACGCGTACAGACGCTCTCCGAGTTGCCGATCCGCATGCTACCGCCCCCAGAAGGTCGTCCCAATATACAAGATCAGGAAATGGCAAGTACCTCGAGGACAGAAGCAGAAATATGTGATCAGGCGTCACAGACCCCGGTCCCGTGCACAACCGAGGCTACTGGAATACACGAGTCGATAGAGGCTGACGGCAAAACTGTCAGGCCCGGCCTCACCCGGACGTACAGATGGATCGACAGCATATTCCTGTTTGTTGGGGATTGCTATCTGAAAGGGCTTATCACAACCACACATATCATAGGGACCGCTAGTTCCGCTGACGGCCTCACCAAACCCCTAGATGTCAACAATTTGCGGACTTTCGACGTTTGACACGCTTGACGGACGGATCACAGTGGCAGGATATGGCCTCGAGTGCCCAAGGCACCGGAGAAGGATCTGAGAGATCATGAAGCGGGAAACGGAAAGCGGACCTTCTTTTCAACATCATCTAGGAGCAAGGTCCTGTATGATAAAATTTCACCTAATTAGGCAATGAATGTGGCGTCGGGTCTTTGCTCCGAGGTGTGTGTTGGCGGTTGCCGGAGTAGTGGTCCCATAACCCTTCGCCACACTTCCACGCCTCCCTGCTGGCCGTGATCCTAATAAGGCTATGTATCTCGTTCAGGGTCCCTCCCATACGTAGGCCGCGATAGATAATGCTAATGATTACTGCCGTGCCGTAGAGTCATAAATAATAGGGTTGAAACCAAACGCCGAAGGCCGATATGCTAAGCAGTAGTTGCAGCTGCGCTATTCCTAGGTCCACTCTTTCAGAAGAAAAAGTGTGGAAAAGTTACTTTGGGTTTGTAGTGTCCCGCGCTTTTCCTAATATGGACCAAAGTTGTCCCTTAAAAGCGAGGATTGGCTTTGGTATCCTGTGCGCAGTAGGCAGTCCCTGGTGCTTTGCCTGCTGCCCCGGTAGGTAGGCACAGCTGCCTTTTGGATATGGCGGTATTATCGATAGTCGCATTTGACGGGATGTTCTTCCCTGTGCCAATCAAATCCACCAAAACCGAGGACATCCGGCTTACTGCATTGTCAGAAGCACCGAGCGTTGCTCCTCATTTACATGGTGACTCACTTATTATGTGGCAGAAATGCAGAGTAGTATATAATATATAAAGCATAGATTCAGTTCGAGTTCCAATGTCTGAATACATCGTGCAGGCTACAAAGATCACAAATGACCAGGTCTTTCAATATAGTTCGCAATATCTCGTCCACTTCCAAGCGAAGTGTTCTCAACCTGATTGGCAACGTGACCGAGGAAGATGTTCTCAGGCACAATGGACCTTCAGGAGTGCAATGGCTTTCTACCATACATTAGATGACAGATGAAGTGGAGTCCAAGGTATTTCCGTATACCGTCCGCTTTCAGTGTCGAGCGGGTATATTAATAGGGAACTTACAGGGGTGCTAAAGCTCACAAATCTTCCAAAGACCTGGAGGACGCTCTGGACGTGATGATCCTTGGCTTTTATAGCACGAATAGTACACGGTTGCTCAGTGGACATGTTCATGAAGATAAAACTTACAATCTTCAGGAGAGTTGAGCCGGCAAGGGAAAGGGAAATGGAAAAGACCAAGGGACGAATTAGTTCACGAATTCCCGCATCTTTTTCGTATCCACAGCTTTCCAATTCCTCCTCGGCTTCGGCCTCGCTAACGGTGTATCTAGGTTGATGATTGTGCCAATCAGAAGGTGGTTGGAATCGGTGTGCACTGCGGGTACTGTCTCACAGACAATCATGCGGCTCATAAGATCGGAGGTGTCAAATACCAGGTCCATCGTGATCTGCCGCCCTGCGCGCTCCCAGGTAGTTATACATGGTCCAAGCCAGAGGTCAAGATTAGCATTGTCTGCAAGGGTTAGCAAGAGGTCCGCCTCTCGATCAGACTCAACATCTGCCGCCCCAGGCGGGGTAGCAGAAAGTTGAAATTACCAAGCACCAACCAGTCTTCATCCTTTGACCGTTCACTGTCGGGGGGTTACATCGCTATTTTCCCTTCAGCGTTATATATATTTACTAGATGCAGGGTCCGGCCGCAATCACCACGGAGGCAGAGTTCCTGCACATCACATAAGTGCTCTGTTGCCACTTGCTTGAGTTGATTATTCTATATGTGAACATGCAGACACGCGCCCAGCCGTCTGCCGTCACCATGGGATACAACAGCTGGTGGCTTCTAGCAGGGCTGTACATGGTGTCCGAGAAAGAATCCTCCCAAGGCTCCTGCATCACTATAACATCTGCAACAAGGATCCGAGGATCCTACAAAAAGTATACCATCACCTAATCCTTCAATTTATTCATATCATATTAGATGATTTGTAGCAGCTCCCTCTTCATTAAAAACTATTATTTATCATATTACAACATATAAAAATATGATAGTATGGCAAGTCACTCCTCATATCATCAATCTTGCACTTGCAGAAACATATCATAATTCTAAACACATAGCTGCTGGCCAGTACCTCACTTAATAACAAGCTAGAAAATGCTTCCTGGAATCAGGATTGGGCCTGCAGTGCCTATATCAAGTTACTAAGACCCCCATTAGAGAGGAGTCCTTGGAAGCCCAAATCGATTATAAAAGATTAGTATCGCTAAAGATATTAATACATAAGATTTTTTCAACCGCTTCTGGCTGCACACTAGCGGCCCTCACCATTACCCTCATTTATCAACTTACAGGCCATTGCCCTATCATAAATTCAAACATTGGCCGAGTCCTGCCCGACTGCGAGCCCTTTCCTGCCAGTTTCATCTTCGCCTCTGGCCGGGAGAGTATCCATTTCATCAGGGCCGTAGGCTCCGTCACCTTTCACTGGCCCCTTCGCTTGCGGCTAGACCGCGTACTTCCCACACTTGTTGTCTCTGTCACTGCTTGTCAGCTCCGTTCGCGCGCCTCCACCAGTGTTAAATCTGGTATCATTATATTACATTAGATAAATACAGCAGCTTCTTCAAGGCCGCTATCCCCGGAGGCACTACCCCATATTATTATCAGTTCACTTATAAATACCATCCTCATCAACAGGGATATTACTCAGAAGCGGGGAGAAACAGGATAATATCAACCATGAACATTCTCAGTAACCATGGCCATGATTCACTGTACTTCCTTCTCATATACCGGGCATTTCTTACTCCTCACGCAGTGTGTGTCCATGTAGCTGACATACTTTGGGTTTTCTTACATCCCTGTCTTTCGATGCGGATATTTATGAGTCTGGTGGTGCTCCGCGGAGTACGCACAGGTTGTCAGCAGGGCCTTGATAATCACCTCTGGCCGAGTGAGGTCGATTGATCTGACCTGCATGCTGTGAAACACTATGTTCCAGGTTAGAGTGCGGATGTCCGTGTTCTTCCAGAGCCTGCGGGCCTGCGCAGGGTGCTGGCGGGCGGTCTCTGCTGCAGAGTGGATGTTGAGGCTCAAATGACGTGACTTGAGTTGCCGCACCGCGACGAATTTTGCAGCGGCCAGCTAGGGAAGGGGAGGGGGGGGCTCAGCCTAGCAGATCTGGATGCGAACTTTCTCGGCCTTTGCGAAGATATTTCTGGAGATCATTCTGCAAAATCTGGCTACACCATCTGTGTCACCGAGTTTAACGATAATCTGAGCCTCCTCTATCAGCTCTGAGAGAGGACACCTATCAATCCTGACCACGTTGAAGCGACTGATGGCGTATCTCCCTGAGCGGTTATATTAGCCCAACTGCAGACATTAGGAAAGAAAGGGCCCTTTGAGACACTCTCCAGAGAGTATAAGTGCTCTTTCATACTACGATATAGCGCCTTGATTTCCGCGTCGAGGGCTTCGTGTCCCTGCCACCAGGAGCGACCAGGAGGGTTCTTCAGCAGGTCAACCAAGCATTCTGTACACTCTTAACATGATCGGAGAGCCCTTGCTGACTTCTAGATGTCTCAACAGTGCGCTTGCGTTATATTGGAGATCTAATGCGCGTTCATGGGGTGGTTCTGATTTTCTCACAGATGCGGCTAAAACAGGCCACTCAGACACCTTCATCGCCATCGTCATGATAACCTAATAAAACTAATATTAAGCAATAGCGAACGGTGTCACAAGAGCCTTATCAAAAGATGAGGCTTCCAGGGCGTGACGTTACGGCATGATTTCAAAAATCACACCGGGCGCAATTTGTTGTTTTTAAAGAGGCAGAGCTCTCCGCCAGTCTGTATGTATATGACATCGCAGGATGAATTAAGCCCAGTAAGTGATGGCTTTCCATTATCATAGCTGAAGGTAAGGCTACAACAACTACCACTGTTAGAGGCTTAGAGCAGCACGCGCAGATTCCTGTGTTGTGTGCCATTGCTTCCCTACCAGGGACTCTCTGGACGCCTCCCTCCGAGCACAACGACCGCCTTCCTACGAGCATTTTCCTCATCTCACTTGACCACAAACCTCTCAAGTATCACCGGCGCCTTCCTACAAGCCTCTCCCTTCGGACATCATAAACGCCAGATTGAATTTGAGGGACTCACTGTCGGAACAATACTCCCGTGATCTTTGCATCTTGCGTCCCCCCGCCCCTACCTGCCTGGCAACACGCCTCCTGTGTCTCTACCTAGGATCATACACCTTCGTGCCCTGTTTTATATCTAGACCATCTTTGTCCGATATGACCACAAGGCTTATTTTCAGCCTCCCTCATCATCTCCCCAAATATATATGTATGATTAATGTGATTTTTATCCTTTCGATAGATCAGGTGGTTAGAATTCAAACTACAATAAAACAGCGCATTCTTTTTGGGAAAATATGCGAGATATGCGAGTAAACCGAGATTTATGTCTCCCCATTGCTCCATTTATTTTCTTTATGTTTGTGTTGAATTCTAGAGAGGGTTCTGTTTTCATTCCAATTTCTGCGTTGTTACCTTTGTGGTAATGTGTCTTTGATTGAACGCTGAGACATTGTCTGGAAAGAATGGGTATAGAGATATCAATTAACTATCAGAAGCAGAAAAGATGCTTTTATAAGCAAGAAGTTCTCCTAGCAACGAGAGGAGGTTTCTTAGCAGTGCGGAAAGTGCTCTTAGCAATAGATGGTGTTCTCCCTAGAGTAAGTGAGGTTCTTCTAAATTAAGCAAGTTCTCTAAACGCTAGGGGAAGTTCTCCTGCTTACTACTCTGTATGCACTCCGGAGCGCTATTGTCATTTTGCCAAGAGTTTCTCTTTCTATTAGTGGTTAGTGCTTACAGCCCGATGCCTGTGCACGCTGATTGGCTCTATGCTGTCCATGATTGGCCACAACTTATCCACCGCTGGTTTTATTACTCTACCTTATCTTTTTCCTTCTGCTCCCATATCTCTTCTCCTCATTTCCTACAGGTTAATTCCACTGCTTCATCCCATACCCGTTACCTTTACAGTTTATATGAGTTCCTGTGCGACAATGTTGGCTGTAGCGACCCACTTCCTTACCCTACCGCCTTCTCAATGAGGGATATGTTCTCTCGGCAAGTTGTTTGCACTGCCTGAACTTATTATCCACTCTGTGGTTTGAGTCTAAAATGTGGAGCTTAATTCTCGAATATGGATCCACTACATACAGATTACGGAGTAATCTCACTTAGGTTGTTTAGGATACTGTTCCAACTATATATATAGGTATAAGACCAACAATAAACTATTCTATGATCCTATGATAGCCATATATTACTGATTGAAGTTGAGAGCGGCAGGTCCAATAGTTCGTTTATAGAGGATTCCCTAATCTTGAATGTGAATATGCTACCAGATACATATTACTATTTATCCGAACTTCAGGTCCAGATTGATACGTATGGTTCGAAGCCGGTAAAAAGGAGCAAGCTCTCTGCTCTATATCTCTCTGCATATACGGTAGAATCATATTCTACCCCTCTGAACTCATATCTAGATCCTTTGTTCCTGTCTAGTTTGACCCTACTACTAGTTCTGCGGGATGGAACTTTTCGTTACTCTATTACTCTCAGCAGCGCCTCTCGCCCTTGCGTAGATAGTATATCTGGTCGAATTATCACATGGTGACTATAAGCACATCTTGTGATGTTTACTGTAGTATATTATATATTCCAACTAGCTTTCTAAGCTCACTACATCTACGTATAAGAGAAGCCACCAAATAGTACATACACAGATTGTGGTTCCCTGAGAGGATAGGCCCTAATATCATAACAAAATAACGTGATTCTTGTGAAACATATCAGATGAATACTGGGGTCGCCGGGAGATCTGAGCTATGAAGGGCATTAGTGGGAGCACGGAGAGATAGGATCAGCCTGGATACATAAAATCAGAAAACGGTCTCTTTCTTCTCAGCGAGGAGGCACCTATATACCTACAGAATTTTAAGCTTACCTTCCACCGGTTGAAGATAAACCATTGATGAAGAAAGATAAAAAGAATTTGTATCCTCTTCTACAGCGTATCTTCCAGTGCTACTAGTTATAAGAAAGTGCGAATATCATGCATTTGAATACATATCCTTGTATCTTCTGACTCCATTTTATTCATTTGGCTCTCTAGTCCCTCTAATAGAACAGCAGATGAGAATTTCTTTCCATACGCCTATGTGGTAGTCCACCAGACATAACTCGAATTTATCACAGAGCAGTATAAGAGTGTCCCCCAAGTCCTCAAGTAGGCCAATATCTGTTGTAACCCCTTCATAATATCCACACTATCATATTCCATATCGGATGTATCTTGGTAATTCGGCAGCATGAATCGTGCGGTCAAGAATTTAGAACGCGTGAGTAGTGGCTTAGTAATACATGGTAACTATTCTTTAAAGCTAACATCCCAGATTAGTGACTAGTTAGAATGGGGTTTGTCTGTGAAGCTTAAATACCGGGCTAGTTGTTCGGTCGCGAAGGGAAGCAGTGCTTTAGTATTGGGATGTCAGACAGGCGGCTTGGTAGTAGAGGGAAGTTGTTCTTTAAAACTATAATCAGAGATTAGTAGCTTGTTTATAAAGGTGAAATACTCATGAAAAGTCGAGTCCTGGTCTAGTGAATTTATCGCAGAATGGAGCTGTGTTTAGGAGCTAGGATGCCAGACCGGAGACTCAGCTGTGAGTATGAAAGGATTGGGGTGCGAGGCGACCGGCTAGTCGTAAGATAAAGTTGACTATGAGAGCTAGGGTGCCAGGCCGGTGACCCGGCTACGAGTGCGAAAGGATTGGAGTGCAAGGCCACCGGCTCGGTCGCAAGATGAGAGCTAGGGTGCCAGAATATTGACCTGAGCTTGTAGAAAACCGTACTTCTAGCTTTTTAACCGGTGGTAAAATAAGACATTCTGGTGCTTCACATCCTAACAACTGTCGCTTTCCTTCTCACCAACCTACACCAAATAGACACAATGAAATTAATGTTCGAGTATGAGACAAACCATACAGCGATAGACTATTCAAACTTTATATAAAAAAAAAGTCCATGATAGTTGTTACATAAAATGATCTGAGTTGGGGAAAAGTTTTACATTCTATCAGCTTTTGCATAATCCGAGTTATCCGTGCTAGGTTTTCATACATTAGCCCTTATCCTACATCCTAGTACATCATCATTAAAAAAAAAATACAGCTATATCCTGTTTCTTATATATCCTGTGTATACAGGCCATCTATAGTCCGGGTCTTTCTTGGCAAAGACTGATCAGACTTAGTATAAATAAAACATGATAGTTAAAAGATATCTCTTTAAATAATATACAATTTCAACATATTTTCTGATTGTAACCATACTGTTTCAATTACATGTAGTCAGGATAGGATACTACTTAGTAACCTGTATCAAGATGCCGTTAACAGCTGATTTAGATAGGAAAACTTGATATTTATTAGGTCTACCTCCTCTGTATGTATGGCTGGTAATACCATATAAAATAAATTAAATAGACTTAATTTAGAAAAAGCAGCCCTATAATATAGACTCAATAACAGAGTATCCTCCAATCATGGTAGATATAGAATAACCCTAGTGTCAAACCCTAGGATCGCTTCTCCCTGTTCCTGTTAGCTTAGCTTCACTGGTATACGTACCTTCAAACTGTGTCGAGGTAGTGTCAGGCTGATGACTATCTAAAGATGACTGGTCCTGAATAAGAGAAGAGAAGTAAGGCCAGATAGTGCTGTGCAGCTATCTGTAAGTGAGTACAGACGAGTATTGTTACTAAGCTTTTTAAATGTATGGTTACTTAAAGACAGTATTATTAAGCATGAAGAACAGAACTAATTAAGTATATGAAAAAGTGTTCTTATATCCTATTCTTCATATACTATATTATATACCATTTAGGGTAGATTAAGGGTTAATCTAATCATAATCCTGGATTCCAGTATATCTCGCGTATATCTTCAATAGTAGATCTGATAGTAGATGATCATGTGACACAATGCCGCTCCGGACGTTACTCAGACCGGGATTCTACTCGATAAGAGTTGCTGGTTGTCCGAGACCTGCCTTGTCGTCGCTTTCTGCCTAACGAGTCCGCTCCGCTAGTAACCTGGCTAGCAGGGGTCTGTAACAATAAGGATTTCTTGATACTGTATAGAAAGTCTCCAAGGAAAATTAGCTATAAGAAGACTTATTTGGTCTGTAGTTAGATAGCTCTCTAAAGAATTTAACTTCTACTTATCTTTACATACCTTGAGTAGTTCTTGGGCTCTTGAGCCCGTCACAACATAATATACCATACCCTCAGTCCACCTCAGACAAGTGTTTAAATATATCTCCAGCTATGCAACGAGCAAAACCATGCCCTTCCCGACTCACCATCTGGGTTGAAAATCATCATAAATAGCCAAACATGCTACCAAGAATGCTTTATTCTCTAACAAACTAGCTACCTTCATCTTTCCATATCCAGAATCCAGATAAATCCACTCAAAACCACACCACCAATAAAAATATCCATATTATGAATCCCAATACCACACCAAGAGAAGTGCCAGAGCCCTAAACCACCCCCAAAAACCTGCCATACCCCCTAACATCCCCCACCACCCCCCCAAACCCCTCATAACTCCCCGCCCAACACGGAAAAATCACCGCCTTCAATTCCACATCCATCAAATCCGGAAACTCGTGCTTCCTAAACATCTCCTCTCTTTCCTCCCCACCCAGACCCTGATACGGCATATACCCCGTCACCATATAATAAACCGCAGATCCAAAATCAACTATATCCTTCTTCAGCCCGTCGGACGTAGCTTCCGTCGACCGCGTAAACCCCCCAACCTTCACATTCAGATCCTCAGTTACAAAAAACTTCGAACAATCAACATCACCATGACAGATCCCGTTTTCGTGCAGGAATTGAAGTCCTTCGGCTGCTTGGTCCGCCCAGCGGAGGATCATGGATATGGGGGCTGGAGTGTCCAGGTCGCGGAGGTAGTGGCGGAGGGTGCGGTGGGGCGCGTATTCGAGGAGGATGCCGTGGGGGGTGGTGCCGTGGAAGTTTAGGATGGATGGGGGGCGTGGATGGGAGGAACGCTCTAAACGTTCATAAATTTCTCTTTCGTGGTCGCATTTGGTGCTTTCCGTGGTAACGAAGGGAAACTTTATGATGAGGTTGGTGGTTGGGTCTAGTGCTGCTAGGGCACTTGAGCCGAAGCCTTTGATGTCGTTGTTGGTGATCCCTGGTGGGAACGGAATGCCGGCCATTGGTGAGAGTGGGGGTGGGGGTGGTAAATTGAGGGTTTGGCTGCAACTCGCTGGGTTGCAGTTGATAAGATGAGAAATATCTTGGATTTGTGGCCACGAGTTGCCTATATATGGTTGTGGTTTTGTGATGGTGGTGCAGCCAAGGCAGAAGTTTAAACGCCACGCGAGGAGGGGTCGGGGAACTTAAAAATACGGGGTGTTTCAAATGTAGTACGTCCAAGCCACGGGGCGCAGTTCAGCTGGGGCAATCATCATCACTACACTAGGAATGTGTTTGCCCGATGGCAACTAATGACATCATAGCCCAGTGTAGTCTAAAATATCTGTGTGGAATCCACATAATAGCTGAAAATATATCTGGAATTGGAATATGCTCGACCACGATGAGCTCATTGGGAGAATGATTGACTGATGGAGATCTGCACCATCGGGCCGAAAGGAAAACATTTCCGGGTCCCTCACCGCCTCTAGGGCGACTTTGCCAGCCGATTTAGAAGACTAAAGGTACCCTTCCAACATCAAATTTATGGATGTGAAGAGACTCCAAGAAGACATAAAACTTCACAAGTCTGTAACAATACTCAACGAAGATAGGCACACAGTATCAATACTTATCACTATCTAAGAACGCATCCAAAGTGCATACGCCTTATCAGTCCCTCCGCGGTACAGGAGCCCTAGCCCTATCCCTCCGCCGCAACCGCAGCAAAACATCCTGTCCATCAGCAATACTTGCAATTCCTGGTGTCGGCTTCGACAGATCAGCTTCCGGGAACGCTTTACCCAACCTGCTGAATGTCTTCTTTCCTCCATTCCCACTCGTATCGCCAATTTGCCCACCGCGTTCATCCACGAGACTAACATCAAACTGACCAAACAGACACGCAACAAACGTAAAGACAGCCCTTTTGGCCAGGAACCTGCCCGGGCATAAATTCTTGCCTGCTACCCACGGTCGATATGCAATGTTCGACTTCAGCGTGATATCCCGGAGGAAGCGATCTGGCTGGAACCTTTCGGGCGTTGGGCCCCAGGTTGTAGGGTCGAGGTGCAGCTGGCGGTAGAGGATCTGTTTATCACTTATGGTTATTACAATCTAAGAATGGACAGGGTAGTGAGATGCATGCATACCAGCACCCTCCTCCCCTCCCGTAATCGCCGGCTACCGATCGTAGCTGGTGATACGATGTCCCGCGCCATCGGGCTCGTCATGGTCAGCCGTAGCACTTCGCTGAATAGCGAGTCGAGCTTGGGACACTTCTCTGATAAGTAATGATGATGTATTGTCACTCCTTGCGGGCCCCGTGTGACAGCAGGATGGATTTCTGTGGTGATGGCTTCAACGAGAGCCGGGTCGTCGAGTATATATGCGACGACCCAGAATGTTGTCTTGAAGACGTTGCCCAGGATCCTGTCATAGTTAACCTGGGTGCGAATTATGTACGGGGGCACACACAACCCACCCCCAGGTCTGAAGCATAAACAGCCGACCAATATCCTCGTTGCTGATATCCAGGTGTCGGAGGAGGCTCTCCACCGAATCAACCCAAAAGTTGCTGTGCCCTCGTTTCTCAGCCGGAATGGCAAAATACCTGGTAAAGGCATCAACTAGTCCACGCTGCGCATCTAGCATGTCCCCGCTGAGGAAGCTTGGGAGTCCGAATATGAATTTCCAGTTCACTTTCTCCCAGATCATGTACTGCTGCATGAGGCCGGGGTGAAGACAGAAGAGGAGATCGCCGTAATACGCTCCGATGATGCCCCTCGCTATCGCTTCTGCGCAGAGACTGTGCAGTGAAACGACGACAGCTCCGGCAGAATCTGAGGAGGGACCACTCATTTGCTGGAGGCTGTCCAGTTTGAACGCCGCCTGGATCCGCGGGATGATATCTGCTTCCAGGAACGTATCTAGCCGAGGGCCCGGGGACAGATGCACTCGGTACATCTCCATTATTGTGTCTGTTGGATGCAGTGAACTGGTGTTGTTGTTGGTTTCTGAGTTCCCAGACCCTGCGCTAGTATCAGGCTGAATGGTAAAGAGTTGATCCACAACCGTCTGTGTTATTCCCAGCCGCGTGTACATCTCTTTCGTTGGCAGATCGCGGGACACATTGGTTGAATTTCTGCTGATCTCTGCTGCATCCTTTGGATCTGAGATGATGTACATTGTTTGTCCGGCAAAGGTAATTGCGAAGGGCTCTTTTGTGCGATTCTGTTTTCTGTGCGGTCATTATTAGTCGATGGTGTGGGCAGATGGGAGCACTGGCGGTAACAGTACATTGCATGGGAGAGGGCTTTATTGAAGTCGGCAAAGATGCCAATGTGCCCTGGTATGCAGCATATTAGTTGGGGACATGGCCCTGACGCATTGGCTCGGATACGTTGGGTACTGTACCAAGAACTATATATCGGGGGCATCATTTGATCGCCGGTCAGTTAATCATGTTATACGCGATTTGGAATGAAGGCATACACGGAATCCAGTATGGAACCTCCCTCGGATCTTCAGGATAGAGAGCAGGACTGATGGTGAAACGCCACAGCCGCCAGGTGACGAGCCCGAAGAGGGCGATTTGGCAGATTGGCGATGCCGCAAATAACTGGACGAGAAGAGAGAGGTGTGATATCGCTGCATCGAGAACGTTCATTTCGTTTGTGGGAGGAATTACCTATGGAGATAGGACTGCAAGATAGCAGCAGTGGGATACCAAGGTTGAAAAGCGCATGCACCAGGTGAATTCCCAGCTCCAGCCACCCAGTGGCAATTGTCCAGACTCTGCTAGGAGGATGCCTGTTAATGATTACAGTACAGTCCTTGACCCCCGGATCGCAAGATCGTTCGAGAAGCAAACAAGCCAAGAATTCCACTATCAAAAGACAATGACCTGTTTTAAATATTAGGGTCTCTGATACCCCGCCCTTATATATATGCCTTATGCTTCATGAAGCGGGCAGAAATACGGAGTGTTATATACAGTTCTATTTCCTGCCCCAGTCTGATTGAGAATCAGACTGTTCATGCATAGCTTCAAATTTCATAACCTAGTGGGCAATGACTACTATTTTTCTTTTGCTGTGCATACTTGGCGAAAAATTGTTTCTGGATCGAGGCCATCTGTGCCGAGAGCCTACAGTATTACGGCAGTCGGAATCCGAAGAGTGAATTGGAGTTAACTCTCCCATGTAGAGCTGCAACTACTTGGCCGCTAAGGCTTATTTCGGCTCATTTCAGGCGTGCCATCTCCCGCATGAAACCATCCATGAGGGGTAGTGGGCTGATCTGGTTTCGAGGTCATCTTGGTTCTGCAGGGCCTCGTATCAAAGCACACCCTGCCAATTTGGCTGCAGGCACAGCCCCTCTCGTTACGGTCCAAAGGCCCATGACGCGCTAGGAAATGATTAAATGCGGTGAGTTACCGCAAAGATCTGATTAGTGAGGTTAATATGTAGCGGGTTGTTGAAAGTGCTGTTTGGTTACACAGGTGACTCCAAGTCAAAACATTTCAGGGTCAACTGCCAATCAGAGGCCTTTCTCGCGTTGTACGAGCTGTCACTCAGTGCACTAAGCTTACACAGATCGTGGCCATGCAAGCAAAGGATTTTGCCAATTATGCATTTCACTTCCGGGTGACAGTTCCGTTATGATCTGTCCACCCTTGCAGCTAACGGGGAGATATCTCTTTCAGTCTGTGGTGAAGTTCTGTTAACTTCTACCACAGTCTCTATCAGTCAACTCAATTTACTTACCGCGAACCAAAATGGCAGCCAAAAAGACAATTCTTATCATGGGCTGCAGCGATGATGGCATCGGCTCTGGCCTAACCCTGACCTTCCAGCAGCGAGGTTTCCATGTCTTTGCAACCGCTCGCAATCCAGAAAGAATGGCCAATGGTCTAGATAGCTTTCTCATGCCAACTGCAAGCGCAGAATATCCCTCTATGCCCTAAAACCTATTTACTAGACATGCTACTGCACGTTTGTCAGAGTAAACTGAAGTAGCGCTTACATCAGCCTTGTCCTCTTGATGTCGTACAGCAAGGATACATTCTCTCCGATACATAAAGGTCGTGATCTCCGACATCCCAGCTCCACGTATCTGGCATTCCCTGTCAAACAAGCAACAATGCTAGAATTCTTTATTCTTTACGTCCTCACCCCGTAGGCCCATGCCTAACCTCCCCAATCTCACTGCAGCGAACTCGCCAGCCTATTACCAGGAAAGGTCTTTCTCCCATCCACCGAGGCCTACGCATTTTCAGCAAGCTCATACTACGCAAGAGAAGCAGCGCCATCCCATTTGCATCGTCATTCCTTCCTCCGCCAACGATGTAGCCACAGCAGTCAAAAGTCTAGCTGAGCTATCCAATTCGACCTTTGCCATCCGATCCGGCGGCCACTCATCCGCTGCTGGTGCTGCTAATACCGACAACGGCGTCACAATCAACGTGCAGCAGCTGAAAACCATCCAACTAACCAGGAACGACACAGTCATATCCGTCGGTGGCGGCGCCTCATGGTAAGATGTGTACGATGTTCTTGTCCCCCGCGGCTTCGCCTGCGACAACATCGTGAACATGCAGGTCGTGCTTGCCTCTGGCGCAATCATCAACGCCAACGCCACGCACAGCTCCGACCTCTTCGCGGCACTCAAGGGCGGACAGAACAGCTTCGGGGTCGTTACGCGCTTCGACATGGCCATCTTTGCACAGGATTGATTACTGGGGCGGTGCAATCCAATATCCCGAGTCCGCGCACAGCTCCACGCATTCCCAGCATTCAAAACACCACCGCTAGATCCACACGCAGAAATCGAGCAGAGCCTTTAAACCAATGCCTCGAACCCCGAGAACACATACTTCAGCTCGAATAATCTCTTCTACATCAGACCTGTTGTCGATCCTGCTGCGCTGCGTGTGTTCACTGGGATTCAATCACAAAGTTTCAATTCGATGCGCGTATCGAATCTATCGGATTTTACAAGAGAGTTGTCGGCTTTTCAGCCGGTTGGTCGTTAGTATGTTTCCTCCTTCTAGTCTCGTTTTGTCTCTGTGTTAGATTGAATCAAGATGTGATAACTCAGCACCAGTACTATCTACGCAACGACAACAGTCTGCCTATCTGAGGCAGTTCTCCCTCATCCATGCTTTCTGATGATCCTTTACTCGAGACCAAGCACATGTCACTGACCTGCTTGCATCACCCACATTTCAAGCCCTACCCCCATCATCCCAACCTCACGCAATATCCTTAGCTTCGCAGCCGAGTCCCACCCGGAGGGCTCGCTAGTCCTCGTCCTTGTCTCTAATTCTTGGTCAGACTGGAGAGATTCAGAGGACCTGCGTAATGCTACCCGCGCGCTTATGGGGGATATGAACTCTCTGACGAACCGCGAGGGTCTGGGTGAGAAATTTATTTACATGAATTATGCTGATGCGTGGCAGGATGTCATTGGGGGGTATGGAGAGGAGAGTCTCCGGGAGCTTGAACGCGTGGCAAGTGTATGATCCGAGGGGAGTATTTCAGGAGAAGGTCCCCGGGGGGTTTAAGTTGTTTCGAGAGGACAGATAGCATTTATAGATTTTTAACTCCGCCTACCATGTTAGGCAAGGCTGACCTATCATAGCTGGCAGGATACTCACCGCTCTGGCGCTATTTGCCTGAGGCCAAGTATTTATTCATGCCATAGGCCACGATACAATTTATACCTCACACTGCCACATAGTCTCGATGGCTATAGAGTCTCTTCGTGGCCATTTCTATTGATTGAATAGAACATTTGGATGGCGCTTAGGAAGATCTCCAGAGAGCTCCTCCACACATTTCATATACATCAGGTACAATACTGTACATACTACATAGGTCAGAATGGGGGAAAAAAAAACAAAAAAACAAAAACAAAAAACAAAGCCTAGTATATATGCCCACGGAATGTGGACAACACAGCCGTCCATTCACCCAGTGAGATCTAAATTATACATCAAATAAAATAAAGAACAAGAAAATGTATTGATTCCAAATGACATACTACATTATTCATATGCATTACTACATGAGTGCATCATCAAAGGAAGGTATGTAAGCATGTCAGATCTAACAAGAATGATCAAAGCAAAGATAAGATCGATGCTTCAATGTTTTACATCTACCAGACCACCCGAAAAAGGCAGACCATGGTCTATTCTTGTACTGACCTGAACAATGTATAAATCCACTCGGAACACCCTGACAAACATGGGGAATTACCTTTTTTCGAGTCAAGCAGTGATATCACCTTCATGCTCGTTACAAATAATGGCCCATTTGTACTTGATCACATCTGACACCACACAAAAGAGACGACAAGTGGAACCCCGCCATGTTGATCTCTGTCCCGTCTGTCAATCACCGAACCTCCACTCCAGCTGGAGCCGTCCTATAAATCCTCATTCTATAATAATAGGTACAACACCCGCGCGTCCTCCAGCAAAGCGATTAGCGCCAAGTATTATCCGGAGTATTTTTTCCGCCCACACACACCGTGGCATGACAGTGACACTGTAACTGAAACCCCTTCAGCCACAGTGGGGAATGTATCCCCGCTAAGGCGGGATAATAGTGGGCCTTCGAGAAACGATCGGCAACTTAGTCTGCTTTTAGGTTCGATTTCTCATGCAGACACCCGCTTTCCATGCTGCAGTATGATCGTACTGGGGAGGCTGATATCTTGATTTTCACTATCTAATGTACATGGCTTCAAAATCCGATGGTCTCCAGTTTTCCAAGTATGGAAACCAGACGAATTGGAGAAGTCTGACACAAGGAAGTGCCCTACTCCATCTAGATGAAGCTAAGTAGGGCTGATCTCCTAATAGTCAGTGGACACCACCAGCTAACTAACATCTTGGCAACAAAGGTCTTGTCTTGAGCCAAGAATCCGTTTTATTGATGACTTACACCGCTCATATTGTTTTGTTTACGCTAACCGATCGATTCTTTCTTATCATCACCTCCCCTCCCCTCCCTCAACTTATCTTCTTTCATCTACCCCAGAAGAAAACACCACAATCACACCAAAATGGGCTGGTTCCCAAGCGGCCTCGAAGAAGACTCCACCAAATGGCGCTTCGACATCATCCCCCTGCTGGCGGTGATCGGCAGCTCCGCAATCCAAAAACACATGCAAGCCATCACCGCCTCTCCGTTTGCCATTTTCCCGCGATTAATGCCCGCTCCTGAATCGCTCCTCGATACCGATCGCCCAACACGTCCGCCCTCCGTTAAAGATGTCAAAATCGTCGGTGTGAACTCCGGCATCGAACTAGACGAATTGAACTTCTTCGCCAATCTGATCCACAATGTCGAAGATATGGAGAAATATGAATTCCGGGTGTATCGGATCAGCTACGCGATGAGGGATACCGAGGATGGATTGGAGGGGAAAATCGCATCCCCACCAGTGAAAGGGATGATGCAAGGTCATCGATCGCACAGACATCGTGTACCGATTAAACTGAAGACGTTTTGTTGGTTGAATTTCGTCACTCTAGTATCGATTCTCATCACCGTTGGGCTGTATATCTGGGCCGGGTGTATTCATGATGGTACGGCGTTGGTCGGTCTAGCTACCATGTCTTGTTCGACCAGTGTGGCGAGTTTATCCTCGCGGTGGTATCCCCGACTCAGTGGTCGGACGTCACAGGCGGAGGTTCCCAGTGGGGATATCATTATTCGGACGCGCGCGGGGGCGTTTATTCTCGTCTATGGAGATGATAATGTCATTCGGGAGCTTTATGAAGGGATGGAGGATTGTGAGTATATGTATAAGGGGAAGAAGCATCACAGGTTGTTAGGCACGAGTACGGTGTTGCTCATGGCTTCGATTATTCTTCTGAGTAATTGTGGGTCGGTTATGCAGATTGCTATCGGTGTTGCTTATATTATTTTGAATAGCCTGTATTGGCTGTTGGCATTGTTGGTTGAGCCTCGTGATTTGTGGGATATGAGCAGGTATAATATTGAGTTTGTCGAGGGACGCCCGGGTGAGACCTATACGGAGACGTTGTGGTCTGTGATTAATATGTCCGGGAGTATTGATTGGGTCGCGAATGGCGAATTCTTGCCCTCTACGCCGGCTTGGGATCAGTGGTTGCAGGAGGCAAAGGAGAATATTGGGAAGGACTGGGATCCGGTTAGACGGAAGGATGAGTTGATGAATCCGGGGTTGGCGTATCATAATGGGAGATGGTTTGATTAAGATAGAATATGATGAGAACAAAATTTAGTACATTATGGGGAGGTAGTTATGAAACTATAGAAATTGAAGAAACGTGAATTTATGTACCCTAATTTGATGCCTCTGCTATAGCATCGTATGTGTAATTCACTGGCAGCTTCATTCATCTCATCCACTCAGCCGTATCTAAACCACATGTCAGATGCTAATTTGGGGATGAGCATTTATTAAGTTACGACTTTATACGTGAACAACACCAAGCCACGATAGCTAGGGGGGTATGTTTGTTATTGCGCTGGGAGTGGTTCCGTAATCTTCCGTCACTATTTATTCACTTCTGTAGTCGTGACCCTTTCTCACACCATATATCACTCCATCATTAGGAAGTATGGAAATTAAGCAAGAGCTATATGCTGTGTTTATTAGACTCCCAGGCAGGCTTTTCTCGGAATATGTAGCTCTATCTCAATGATAAAAAAGGAGATGGTGAATCCGCTGAAGGACGTACAAGGCGGCGAAATCTGGCAGAAAATCAGCAATATGGCAGCTATCGTCCACCGTAGGGTTTTGCGGGGAGGCTAACGTAACCCTTTATGTATGAAAAGCCCCTGATAGATGTGACGGCACTACTATTCCGTATTTTTGCTACATAAAACATCGGAATCACGGCCCGGCCCGAAGAGCTTTGTCCCGGCGGCTCCAAGTATCGCTCTTTTATGCACCAGTTCTGGAGCACAAACATCCAACTCTAGTAATCGCCACCCAGAACGAAAAACGCGGATGCCGGCACCAAGCTCATCTGTAGGCGAAGCGCTTCGCTGATGAGAAAATCGAGACTGTGGGACGTGCCGTTGACATAAGCAGGCACAAAGAGACACAAGCATATTCAGTATGCCCCTGCCCCGCGTCTTACTTGCTCGCTTTCTGGATATAAAGGGACTTCAGCTGAAACTATACATTTGACAAATAGCATGCATGTCGTAATATAAGACATCACACCTTGCCTAACATCACACAAAAATATGACCATCTTCACTGAAGCTGCCACAGTGGCAGGCAGCCCTCCTCGCAGACTCCTCGCAGCTCATGTTGATGCGGTTGCAGTCACAAATCCGACTCGACTATTCGGCTTGAAACCGAATGGCACGCACGCTGCGGCCGGCTTTCGAGAAGTGACCTTTGAGGACTTGAGCCGTGCGGTGAACGTGATGGCATGGTGGTTAAAGAAGCATCTAGACGAATCAAACAATGAAACCATTGCATACCTAGGCAACAACGATATCCGCTACATTGTTCTCATGCTGGCTTCCCACAAGACCATGTATACAGTGCGTGTGGCAGTCTCATTTGAATTTCTGCCTGGTTGGCAACAGCTGATTATGTGTAGCTCTTTCTCCCCTCGACTCGTTTGCCAAACGATGCATACGATCATGTCTTCCATGCAACCCAGACAGCACGGTTACTTTTCAGTCAGGAGAAGCAACAACTGGTCTCGCGATTAACCGGTCTCAGCAAGGCTATCCCCTCCCTGGAAGTGCCCAGCGTTGCGGAACTGTTTAGTGACCATGACCCGACAGGGTTGCTTCATTTTCCTTGGACTCCTTCATTCGAAGAAATGGAAAATAGGGTTGCTTTTTCTATCCACAGTTCTGGAACGACAGGTACGATGCGAGAAGCTACAATACATCAAGTAATACCTGAATAAACCGCTGATGAACCCGTTCTTCTTCAGGTATGCCCAAACCAGTATACCTGACCCATGGCTTCTTAGGTACTCTGGACTACTGCGCGTTTATTCCTCGGCCAGAAGGCCGCTCCTTGGCTTTCTTCAACGATCTAGCCTCAACCGATCCGAAGACCAAGGACCTAACCCTCTCCGTCACGCCATATTTCCATGTGATGGGTCTCGTGTCATTCTTCGAATCCATCTTCCACAACATTCCCTTCGTGGCTAGCCCCGATCAGCCACTGTCTGTTAATTTCTTGATTGACATTCTTAGCCACACACGCCCGACCGTCACTATCCTGCCCCCCTGCATCCTGGAAGACATGAGTCAGTCAGACGAAGCTCTGACATGCCTCAGCCAGCTCAAGTTTGTTTGTTATGGAGGGGCTCCCCTAGCCCCAGAAGTCGGAACCAAGCTGAGCCAGTACACCCAGCTGCGAACCACAATCGGGTCCACCGAAATGGGTTTGATCAGCTCGCTCGTGCCGCAAAAGAAGGAGGATTGGGGGTTCTTTGAATGGAATCCGACCTATCAGGTCGATATGCAGGCCATTGGAGATGCATTGTACGAGTTGGTCCTCCCCCGAGTGGAGAATTCCCGTGTCATGCATGGGATCTTCCACACATATCCCGACGTCAAGGAATACCGGTCCAGGGATCTGTATGTACGACACCCTCACAACCCGAACCTGTGGCGGTATCATGGACGATTGGACGATGTGATTGTACTCAGCAACGGAGAGAAGCTGAATCCCATCTCGGCTGAGAAAGTGGTGGAGGGCCATCCGTCTGTGCATCGCGCGTTAGTTATTGGCCAACGCCGGTTTCAGACGTGTTTGCTCATTGAGCCGTCTTTAGATCTGGCCATCGACGAGCCGACCTTCATCGCGACCATCTGGCCCCTGGTCCAGACTGCGAATCAAACTCTTCCGGACTATGGGCAAATCATGAAACATATGATTCGACTCGCTTCCCCCGACAAGCCGTTTCAACTGACTCCAAAGGGGACAACCCAGAGATACGCTGTCAATCTGGCCTACTCAAGAGAAATTGACGCAATCTATGCCGCGCAGGATGAACAAGTAGGAGTGAGGCTACCGGTGGAGATGGAGTACGAAAACTTGCGCAGCTATTTGCAAAGCATCCTCTCGTCGCTCACTAGCCGGTCGGAGATAATCAAGGACAGCGACGACCTTGATACGCTGGGTCTCGATTCAATGCGCGTGATCCAACTCAGCAGGATCCTGCGAAGCTCGGTCAAAGCGTATAACGGAGCGTTGGATATCGAAAGGCTCAACGTACAGGGTATCTATGCCCATCCCACAATGGGAAGATTAGCGAATCTCCTTCAGCAAGTGCTTCAACAAAAGAGAGTCTCTATCCCGGTCGTGCCCCGCGCCGAGACAATTACCCAGCTGATCAGCAAGTACACGGATGATCTTCCACTTCGTTCCCCAATTGCCTGCAATCTTCCCGAGCGCTCGACAGTCATCCTGACCGGCTCTACCGGTTCTCTTGGAAGCTACCTTCTCTACGGCTTACTATGCGATGCGCAGATCGCCAAGGTCTACTGTCTCAACCGGACAGAAGATGCAGCGGAGCGTCAATCGACCGGTTTCACCCAGAAGGGCCTCGACACTTCTCTGCTGGCTGATAAAAACAAGGTGGAATTCCTTCATACATCCTTCGGCAAAAGACATCTTGGCCTCAAGGATGATATGTACCACCGATTACTACACTCCGTAGATATGGTCATCCACAACGCATGGAAAGTCAATTTCAATCACCCAGTCTCATCGTTTGAAGACCCCCACATTCAAAGCGTTCGCCAGTTCATCAACTTCAGTCTCGAAAGCCGCTATAACGCCCACATTGCATTTATCTCCTCCATCAGCACAGTCGCTGCCTGGAAGTCCTCCGCAGACGAGTCCACGGTTCCGGAGATTCCAATGGAGACCGTAGATTCCGCTCTGGAGCAAGGCTATGGCGAATCCAAATATATAGGCGAGAGAATATGTATAGAGGCGTCCCGGAGATCGGATGTGTCAACGAGTGTCCTACGGGTAGGACAGATCGCAGGCCCTGATAGCCAGCTGGGGTTGTGGAATCCGCATGAATGGCTTCCAGTCCTTGTGAAAACATCTGTTTCCATGCGCAAAATTCCCCGGGATCTGGGAAGTTTCGTGGTCGATTGGGTGGCTGTGGTAGGTCGCCTCTATGTTATGAATGATGGGTAGACACTAACGTGTCGCAAATAGGACGCCCTGGCAAGAATCACTCTCGAAATCCTGCACCACCGTCATCGAGAAGCCACATCGGCTCCTCGACACGCTGTCTTCCATCTCACCAATCCAAGCCGGGTTCCATGGTATAGTCTCATTCCGGCCATCCAGGAACGGTACCCGGTGGAAGAAGTATCGCTTACGGACTGGGTTGACGCGCTAGGATCCGAGCAGGATTCCTCTTCGGATGACCTTGTCGACAAACCGGCTCTCAAGCTTTTGAATTTCTATAACGGCATGGCTGATGGCACCGACTCTCCGATTCTAAGTGTCGAGAGGTCGAAGGAAGCCAGTCCAGCCATGGCGTCTCTTGAACCGGTTTCTGTGGCTCAGATGGCTAATTGGTTAAATCAGTGGGAGTTTTGATGTATATTATATCTCAGTGGGGTATTGGGTGTTCCAACCTCATTTGAAATACCGTCGAGGTTAAAGTAGAACATCGCGGTGTAGCCTACACCTCGATGTGTATTTAAACAACTCGATTTAATAAAATCTGACTATCAAATCCACAGCCATGGTAATAAACCTTTAGTATTACTACATAGGAAGTTGTTACCTACAAATCCTTCGACCCCGACAACCACACTCACTCAGCTATATTCAACAACACCTACCAACACCTCCACTACAGAACCCCACCCATCCCTGCCCTGCTTTAACCACTTCAAACAACCATTACTCATATATCATGCATTGCATATCATCATCTGCCCCGGAGTTTATATCTCTCTCATAATCCAACACGACTCATCCCCATTCATTACAACCAACTCACAAAACCCTCAACGTCTCCTCAATCGGCAACTTCCCCGGCACCTCCGGCCTCTCCGCCCGCTCATCCCCATAATTCAAATGCCCCTTTAACTTATAATCCTCCGGCACGCCCGCCCACTTCTTAATCGCCGCCTCCAACGGCGGCATCACATTCATATGCTGCAGATTCGCCCCCACACCCTCGAGCTCCAACGCCGTCCACACCAAAATCTGATGAATCCCTTGCGCATGATCCCCCCATTCCCCGAACATATGGCCCGTGGCTTTGTGCGTCTCGGCTGCTTCTTTGGTTGTTTGGGTACGTTCCCAGAAAAGTACCTACAACACATTAGCCAATTTATCCATGTATCATGAGGAAAAGTTAAGGCGATGTGATATGGTGTACATACAGACCCATAAGCCCCCCAATGCCCCCTAAACATCGGGCCCAACTTCTCCCACAACTCCGGGTTAATCGATGTAAGTATCGGCTCGGCCTGCTGCAGGATGATATCCCAGAGCTGTTTGTGTTTCTCGCCAAAGGCGAGGGAGATCCGCACCGGTTGCGTGTTGTAGGATGATGGCGCGAAGGAAAGTACCTTGCTGATGATTTCTTGCACTCGGGCGTCGGACACTTTGGAGGTGGAGGCTAGGTTGTGCACGCTGCGTCGGGAGGCGGCGGCTTCGAGCCAGGAGTCGGTTGTTGGGGTGGGCATTTTGGTTTTTGTTTTGGTATTGGTTTTGGGGATGGGGATAGATTGGGGTGAGAGGTGGGTGTTGAGATGGTAATATTAATATAGGGGGTATAGTACGCTAGCTAGGGTGATATGTATTAGCGGCTTACGGGGGTCCGGGGGCTGTGATTGGGTATTGGGTTTGGTGGGTTGGGTTTGCGGGAGGTAGGAAACTCCGTCGTGGAAAGGTTTCTCCGGGGGGGTGGATGGGTGGAGTTGGTGCGAGGGGGGGAAAGGGTTATAGGTGGGGATTATTTGCATTGTTGATCGTCGGAAATGTGGATAATGGGGATTGTCGTCTTCCATGTTTTGTTGTTTGGAGTTGGCAAACTTTGAATTAAGCTGGTAGGGTGTAGAGGGCGTGGTTAGCGTAACGGCTCGGTTGAATCAAAATACGCCTCCTACTAGGCTTATCGGCTGAACAGAATATCGTAAATAGCAAAACAGTGAATTGTGATGATTAGTGGATGGGTCATTTATTGGGTGGTTTTGTGAATGAAACCATGTGTAAAAATAACATGTCTCCTTGTATAAAGTAACAGTCTACCGCTCAATGTTAAAGGCATCAAATCCACAGCCTTGTATTTGTATATCTGATTTAAGTGAATTTGTTCGTATTGGAGGCAATCGCTTCAATTATATTCGAGTATCTGTGCTGCTAAAAATCAATGTCGATCTATCATTTCTATACCATCTCTCTTCCCCTTTTATGCCGTCCCATAACTATGCGTTGTAAACACGCTAATCCTTTGCATCGAGAACCTGTCCTCGACTGGTCTTATATATGGGTTCTTTCTAAACATCCCACTATCCAACCTCGTCACTAGTGATGGCATCCCTGTATCCCGTGCCACTTTGTGAATCTCTTGAACGATCATCTCGACATCTCGGCTCTTGATCGGCATGCGATGATCGCCCTCCCATTCGACAAGCGTAGCCTCTAACGGATCGCAATACTCCCTCAGCAGGTCTCGATGGCGGTCCAAACCAGGGTCCTTCAGCCCGTGCACATGTATCGTAGGGAGGCGCAACACATGCTCATCAGATCCCAGAGTCAACCAGGCTGGAGCAGGATGTGTGAACGGGGTAGCAGCATCAACCAAGCCACGCGGCATGGGGATATCAGGCATAAGCCAGACCAGCGGCCCTTGACCAGCAAGGAGAACCGCGAACCGGAAGCTAGTCATCCCCGGGCACCTCTGCTGCCGATAAAGTATGCTAGCTGCCACCTTTGCGCCCTGGCTAAACCCTAATATGCCCACCCAGTCCCCCGTGGCGCCCTTGGCATCGTCAGCAGCCATGGCCAGCGCAAGAGCGGCATCAATCCTTGCAGCAACATCCCGTGACGTCCATACTCCAGGCATGCGGTGGTCACGGAGCCAGATCCGGAAAGGCCCGTAGTCTTTGTAGACGGAAGTTACATCCGGCCCGGGTTCGAGGCTGGTGAATGGAGCTTGTGCGTAGACGAGACGGAATGATCGTCCGAGGCGTTTCTCGAGAACTCGGCATTGCATACGGAAGATATTGGCGTTGGTGCCTCCGCCGTGGAGACAGAGAATGCGTGATAGGTGCATTGTTGCTGTGTCGTTTGTGTTGAGGTATCCGGTACCGGCGGACTTGGAAGTCTGGCCGACCATGATGTGCTGTCGCATAGAAACGGTTTGGTTTAGTGGGATAATACTGATATTTTGACTCACTCAGACTCCGCTGTGGGACTGGGAGGGAGCGACGTTTTATCATGCCACATGGCATTTAGAGCCTTGATAACGGTGCATCCAGCCGCTTGCATGCAATCCTGCGGGCCATGTTATCTCCGCTGGGTGGTGAGCTGGAGTTATGATAGTCCGTATGTATCAGCTTGCTGTTGCACGCTGACGTTACTTGACCAATGATTTGACTTTCGTCCAATGTAGCACATAAGATAAAATGCAGAATGATCAATCTTGAGGTGAATGGGGTGAATAATCGGAGGGGGTGCCAAAGATTGTAGTGCATTTCCTGGTGATCTGTGATGTCATGAGATGCGTACGATGCGTGAGACGATGGATGGCGTGGAGGAAGCCACAGACAGGGAGAAATGAAGTGATGACGGAAGGTCACGGGACCACTGATACAGCGATTGCTACTGTTGCAGTACTGTCTGTCGGATGGGTTGACAGGTCGGTATTGGCCAACGAGCTAGCGGATAGGTTGATAGGTCGAGAGTAGTATGTAGGCAGATATGGGGGTAGGCCCTTTATGATAGTGTGAGTCCCACAAAAACAGATCAATAAAGTTCTAAAATCCACTACCTATAGAGATATGCGGACAAAACCATGTTCAGAGATCCAGTCTACTCTGCCGTTCATGTCCTTTCGGGGCTGTATCCTGTATAGATATAGTGCATACCCTCGTGCTTGTCTTGAGATAGATGATGGACAAAACATCACAGCGCATGAATAATGCAATTGGTTTATTCTTTTATCAACATTTATCCTCCGTCCTGTAAATAGACCCCTCTGTAGTCTTCGAGACGCCCTTGGCAACAGGTAGCTCAACGTACCTTCCACTTCTATATAGATTTCCCATAACAAAGTTAGAAATCTTGAAACTTCGGAATGACTCTCAAATCGTTTATTCTATATCTTGGTACAAGGTACTACTGATACAGTTCATTGATCAATCCTAATGATATACCAATTTCATCCAGATTTAAGCTGAAAAGAACAGGCGCTAGTCTGCTTTTCTTCACTTCGATAAATTGTAGTTTCAACATGTCCAACTCAAAAAATATAAGGCAATAGAGTATGGATAAGACCATCAATTTGTAATAATATCATCCAAAGCGGTAAAAAATGACAGAATGTTTCTGAAACCTTTGTATAAAAACTGTATCGAAAAACGACAGTCATGTGGAGGAGCGGTCAGTCGGCCTTCCACCGACGCTTCTCACAACCTCTCACAACCTCCGATCATCGACCGAAATCAATCCGCCAGATGTCAATGTACAACCCTTGATGGCGAAGCCTGCTCTGAAGGGAAGATTCTCAGCGCTGTGCAGCCAGCTGCTCCCCTGCGCAGTCAGAGACCGCCTACGTACCGCACCGTCTGATGGGAATAGCATTCTGGAAACGCACGTCAGGTGAAGGTCAGCCAGCCGACTGAAGCCCCGTGGTATTCTCTATAAACACGTTCTATGCTAATACAACATTAATCAAATGAGAACAGCACAATTCATGAAAGAACCAAATGAGTGATTAATGAAGAAACCCCATCGCCTTCCAAGACGACACATAGGACCGCACCACCTCCGCACTCACCGGCCCCTCCGCCGCCATGGTTTGGGAATGCTCGCTTGATCGTTGTGTGTCCAAAACAATGCCACCACAAGCCATGCGCTCAAAGTGCCCCTCGAGGAAGCCGAGGGCAAGAGCAGCCGGGTTCTCAGCCGGGGAGAGAGACGATTGGCGAACCCGTCGAGTCCACTCTTCGAAGGGAACGATGCCCTGGGGAGGAATATCCAGCGCAGCCGCCAGAACCATCGACATTTCCTTCCACGGCTGGCCAACAGGGTTGTCGACGTGATAGACTGGGTACGCCTCGGTCGCATCATCGCGGCGGTCGATATTCAACAGGTCGACCATGACGCGCGCGGATTTATCCACCGGCAGCCAATGCAGCACACCTCCCAGATCGGGCAGTGCCTTGAGGGCCTGAGCGCTTTTCACCACGAAGGCAAAATGCTCGACAGGGTTCCAGAAGCCACTGGTGGTTGATCCGGAGATCTGGCCAGGCCGCGCCACCATGGCCCGGAAGAGACGCGGGTGACGGCGGAGCGTCTCCGTGAGCATGCGCTCGCATACCCATTTGCCCTCGTTGTAGCCACTAGGCATCACCGCAGCCATTGCCATGGGCTGCTCGAGCACGTGGGACTCGGCAGAGAAGCCGGTCACGCCGATCGAGGAGATGAATTGAAATCCGACCCTGCGCGGCTCGATGCCGGTTGCCATGTCGTGTGCCAGATTTAGCAAGTTCCGCATCACCTTGATCTGGGGCTCAAAGGCTTTGAGTGGCCGCGTGGCGCTCATGGGCCATGCGTTGTGGATGATGTGGGTGCCGCACTGAGCCAGCCAGGTGTACTCCTGGTCTGATAGACCGAGCCGTGGCTTGGAGGTGTCGGTGCCGTATACCCGCAACTTCTCGCGTGCGGCTTGAGACAGCTCGATGCCTCGAGAAGATAGCGCCTCGGCCTGTCGCTTGTCGGCGGGGACGTCACTAATAGGGCGGTTTATGCAAACGACAGTTGCGACATCCGGCCGCTCGGCAAGGGCTTGCACAATGTGCGACCCCAGGCTACCTGAAGCGCCAGTCACGACAACCACCGCTCCGGCACTGGGACGGGTGCTGATCGAACCCTTCGCTGCAGCCTCAAGGGCGGCCGACTCCCAGCCGGTCGTGTAGGCTGCCACTAGGCGTAGTGCCTCGGCTTCACGGGCTGCTACATCACCCCGATTAATTACCTTCGCCGCTGGGACAGGTGACTTACTCACCGAATCCTGACTCTTGCTGCTAAAGTCCGAGGCGTCATCCGGAGTGGAGATATCAGAGGTTGTGTCTTCATCCTCCGAGTCTGAGAACACATCATCGCCCTCCGTGTCATTCTCTTCTTCCACATTCTTCCCATCTCCAGCCCTCGCCAAAGCATTCGACACGCATGCAACAAACTCGCGAAGACTGGTGGCGACCATCGTCTCGTTGCGGTCAAGTGTGCAATGGAAGGTATTCTCGATCTCGCGCGCCAGCTCCATGCCCATCAACGAATCAATACCCAGGTCCGCCATCTCGCTGTCGAGGCTCATCTCGCTGGCCTCAATCCCGGAAACGCTGGCGACCACATCGCGCACCTCATTTGTGATGTCGCGCGGCCCACTAGCCGGCTTCGCCTTTTTGATTGTGGTCTTTTTGGTCTTCGGGCGGGATTGGGCCGGCGCCGGTTTGAAGTCTGTTGGAGCGGCATTGACTGGCTGGTCAACGCTGCCAGCAGGTCGGGCAGATGACGGCAGAGACGCGGCGGTGCTTCTGACAAATGACTTATCAGTGGTCACCCGCGCCAGGATCTTGCTCATGGTTGCCTTGGGAATGCGGACGTATTTCAGACCCAGGATGACCTCGGCCAGGGCACCCGTCGAGGCATCGAAGATGAAGACATCCGTCACATAGGCCTTTTCGTTCTGGCGCGCGTGGAGAGCGAGCACGTGCCAGACACTGGGGCCATTCTCTTGGCCATCAGTAACAGTCTGAACCTTGGGCGAGCGCATCACGAGCTCAAGACCTGTGGCAACAAACATATCGCTCGTGGGGATATCCGTCAACAGATTGACGTACATTCCCGCCACTTGGCCGTACGAGTCGGCCTTAGGGACATCAAGCCAGGTGTCACCTGTGTGGCGCTTGTGCACTACACCCGCGCTCTCGCCGCAGTCACGGCCCACCACAGACCGCACGCCGTGGTACACGGAGCCGAAGTCGACCACTTCCTCAAAGGCTCGGTACACGTTACGGCCTTGGAGTGCCTCCACACCCTCATCGTTCGGTCCCAACGCCAGAACGGCTTGGCACTGCGCGTAATTGACCACGCGCTCCCAGCGTCCGAATTCTTGAAGAACGGCCGGGTCGGATGGCGAGCGCATGTCGATGCGGCCCTCGGCGTGCTTGTCATCGGCAGAGGAAGCGCTGACGCTGTGGATGGTCCAGGACCACTCGGTTTCGGCTTTGTTGAGCGGCTCGAGGTCGATGTAGTATTCGCGGGTCGAGTCGGCACAGATCGGCGAATGGCTGAGCATATCGCGCACGATCGGCAAGAAGCCATTCGGTCTCCATTCCGGATTCAGGCTGAAAAGAGTCTCGATGGCCATGTCGATCTCCAGCGTGGCTGGAGCAATGGGTGCCGTCTTCGCGATAACGTGGGTCGCGAACAGACGCTGGTACTTGTCCGAGGCCGTGTTGATACGGAACCGAGCGACCTTGGCCTTCTTCTTGGTGCTGGCAGTCTTGTGATCCTGGAAGCCGACAAAAGTCCATAGATCCAGGGTCTTCGGGTCGACTTGTGCTTGCTGTGCCGATCCCGCCGCCAGCAGCAGGCCATTACTTGCGGTCATGTTTTGGGCGACCTTGAGAGCCTGCTCGATAGGCGACTTGAGCTCGAGCCAATGGCGCGTCTTCTCGAACTGGTACGGCGGCAGGAGGAGCTGCGCATACTCGCCCGTCTGTACCCGGTGGTGGGCCCAGAAAGACACACGTAGGCCCTGTTTCCACAGATCGACCGTGGCATCGGTGAGCCTGTCAATGCCCTTCTTGGTGTTGGTGATCGACACGGATTGAAAATGGAGCGAATCCGAATGCATCGCCGCCGTTTGAGCTAGTGCGCGTGATGCCATGACGGTGATGGTCGAATTGGAACCTGCCTCCAAGAAGATGGCCTGAGGGTGCTTCTTTGCGAGCCGTTGGACGGCGTGATTGAAGAAGACCGGCTGGCGCATATGGGATCCAACAAAGGTCCAGTCCAGTCGGGCTGGGTCGCCATGCTTGGTGGCACGCTCGATCGGAATGACGAACTCGTGGAATGTCACTTCTTTGCCGACCTCCCCAAGGCGGTCGACGATGTTATCGACCAGTGCTGAATGGAAAGCATTGGTGACGTTGAGGCGTTTACTCTTGACGCCCTCCACCGCGCTGCCCTTTCCAGCCAACGTGGCAGCAAATGCGTCGATGGCTGATGTCGATCCGGCGACCGTGAAGCTGCGAGGACCGTTATAGCAGGCGATGGCCGCTGATCCGTCAGATCCGAGGTTCGACTCCTTCAGGAGGTCATGGACAATTGCTTCGTCAGCCTCGATGGCCATCATGGCGCCCGAATCAGGTCCCCAAGCGCTCTGCACCAGCCTAGCCCGACCCGCAATCATTTTGACGGTGTCTTCCAGACTCAGCACGCCCGCGACACATAGTGCTGTAATCTCACCAAAGCTGTGGCCCACAACGGATACTACCTTGTCGGCGAGTCCACAGTCGATCCAACTCTTGGCCGAGGCATACTGCATCGCAAAGAGCGCGGTCTGGAGCTTGACTACGTCCTGATAAGGCTCGGAGGAGAAAATATCGGGGTAGATACTGTCGAGGCCTTGAGATTTGATGGCAGCATCGCAGTTATCCAAATGCTGCCGCAACACTGCTGCACCTTCGTATACGGCGCGATCGAGGCCAACGAAGGTCGAAACCTGGCCTCCAAAGCACAGAACGACAGGCCGCTCCGGCTTCACTGGTGCAATGCCGACGGTCGTAGCGGTGTCCTTGGTGGCCGCGGCTGCCTTCGCAAGCTTGTCCTGTAGCTCTTCCAATGAACTGCAACTGAAGATCAACCCTTGAGGCAAGCCGGGGTTGGATTGCCATTTCATGTTGAACGATACATCCGCGAGCTTAGCTTGACCATCTTCGGGTCCAGCGTGTGAGCGGAGATAGGGAGCGAGCGCGGCGCTGTATTCCGCAATGCTGCGGACATCCAGGCCCGAGATCCAGAAGGGCAATCGAGACGACGATCCGGCCACGAAGGGTTTGGAAGGCTTGTGAGCCGAGTGAGCCACCACCACACTCGAATTGGATCCGCAGGCACCGTAGTTGTTGATCAGAGCCAGCTTCCGGTCCCCTGGCCAGGACCGCAACGACGTGACCACCTCCATGTTGTCGGACGGCTGCGCATGGATATAGGGATTCATGCTCTTGAAACTCGCTTGGGGAGGTATGAAATTGCCTCGCATCATCAGAAGCACCTTGATGAGGGATACCAGACCGGACGCGCCTTCAGTATGGCCGACATGGCCCTTGGCTGAGCCAACGGGTAGCACTGTATCACGCCGAGAACCACCCACCGCGTTACGAATGCTTTCCCACTCAGCGGGGTCCCCGACGGGGGTGCCAGTGCCATGACACTCGACCAGCGAAATGTCCCGGGGGTCGACGCGAGCTTTGCAGATCACCTGGTTGAAGAGGGTCGATAGTGAAGGGACGTTGGGTACAAACAGTGGCGTGGTGTTGAGGTTCTGATTGATCCCCGTCGAGCGGATGGTTCCCAGGATCTGGTTACCGTCGGCTACAGCGGTTGACAGCTTCTTCAGGAAGACGTAGGCGATGCCGTCACCGCGGCAGTAACCATCGGCATCCGAGTCGAAGGGCTTACACTGGCCCGTCGGGCTGATGAAGCTGCCGGCGGCGAGGTTTTGGGTCCATTGCAGGTTGGTCAAGACATTGACGCCACCGCAGAGCGCTGCCGGAACTTCGCCGGACAGCAGATCCCGGCAGGCCATGTGAAGGGCCGTCGTCGATGACGAGCATGCAGTATCAAACGTCAACGATGGTCCCGTCCATCCGAAGTAATGCGACACTCTGCCGGGGATGAAGCTTCTGAGCTCGCCTGTGCCCGTGAAGGCGCTGGTCGGGTGGCAGTGGATGTTGACATCGTACTCGTACGAGCAGAGGCCGACGTAAACACCAATGTGCTTGCGTCTTTCCTGCTCCGCCGGGCTGACCGTGGCCATCTCGTTAAAATAGCCGGACTGTTCGAGCGCCTGGTAAGCAGCTTCCAGCGACAGGCGGCCCTGCGGGTCGATCGCCATCGATTCGCGCGGGCTCTTCTTGAAGAACTTGTGATCGAAAGCGTCCGCGTCGCGCATGAAATTACCATACCACTTCCGGTCGGGGTCGGCATTATTGTCGCGGAACAACATGTCAGGTGTCATCCGCTCGCGTGTGATGACCTCGTGCTGCGACTCGCCGGTTTTGAGCATCTGTTCAAACTTTTCCAGGTCCTGGCCGCCCGCCACCTTGAGAGACATGCCCACGATGGCAACCACGTCTTCGAAATCGTCTTCTGGCTGAACACTGGGTGTCGTCGGTTCTGCGATCTGAACTGGTTCGATCACTGGGTCATTCTTTGGCCTTTCTTGGGGCGGGGGCACAATTGACTTGTTGATGTCCTCCTCGACATCCTCGAAGTGCACTTGCTTGGAACCGAAGGCGCGCAAAATGGTGGGCGGCAGAGGGCGGTCGAGTCCAAAGGCAATGAGGGAGGTGTCCTCTTTGTTCGCCGCCAACTTCGACACGGTGCTGGTCCAGTTCAACTGATTTGCCAGGATCGAGCGCAGCACCATCGCCACCAAATCCACTTCTTCCCCAGATACTTGTTTCCCCTCGGGGTGGTCGAGGTAAGTGGGCAAGGCCAGCTGGGCTGCATCAGGAAACTTCAACTCCGGCATCGAATGGCACACTTCGATCAAGGCTTCAGTGTGGCGGGATCGCTCGGCCGTGGGGGTGTGCAGCTGGCCCTTGAAGGCCAGGGGAATGGCCGTGACGCCAGCGGCCCGAAGCTGCCGAACCACCTTGGGCGCCAGGCGCTCCGACGCCGTCACGGTAGCTCGGGACTCGTCAAAGAGGACCGAGATGTAGGCATCTGGAGCCAATTTCGAGACGATACGCGTTAGATCCTCGCCTTGCTTGGCGGTTCTCCATGCGGTAGCCAAGGAGACGGACCGGCCTTTCCCGACTCCCTTGGTCCACTCCTCGGTGGCTCCCACCAGGGCCGCCATCAGCGCCCCGATGCGTAATGCGGCGGCACCGTACCTTTCAAATTCCTGTCGGTTGCGGGAACTGGCGACGGCGACGGCGGCGATCATGCCAGCACAGAACCCCACGGTCTCGACCTTGTTGCTTCCTCCAGGCTGGTGTTGCTGCTGCTGCTTCACCAGCTCTGCCTGTAGATCTCCCACCTCTTGTTTAGTGGGGCGGTTGAATCGAAACTCCAGATAGCGCCAGTACTGATCGAGCTGAATGGCAACCATCACAACTCCGATCCACAGGTCTGGGATCTCCTCGTCGGGGGCCAGCGACTCCACGGAAGCTGGGCCATGTCGAAACCACGACTCGAGATCGGCCATCAGACGAGCACCCTGCATTGCGCTGGCCAGTTCGGGGATCTTTTCGGTCACGACTTCCCAGTACCTTGGCAAGCCGGCCAAGGTCTGCAGTATCCATGATCCATTTGGTCCGTCCACGATCTGGCGGACCTGTTTCTCCAACGAGTTTTTGCTTTGTGGCCCAATGTGTCCTCCGAAAATAAAGCTCGTCGCTTCACGGATGTTGGATGTGGTAGGTAGAGCGGAGAGAGTCATTGTTGCGGCGTGGTGTGAGGGGCGACTATTAAAAACGAGAAACAATAGTGCACGATTGAGCGTCCAGTCGCGTGGGCTATTAATCTAATAAGGAAAGGATGTGAGATCGTAAAGAGGGGATGTATGATTGTGGAATTGTGTCTGTCTTCTCTTTTTTTAAATAACGGCCATGCTGTCGTCGGCTATCTGGTCCAACCTGGTGAGAATCATCTCTAGGGCCTAGACGTCTTACCGCGAGAACTTTTGTGCCGAAGGAATACGGCTTACAGCAGCGGTCTGCTATCGGGACTTCGGAACAAAATAACCGCGACGAACGGAATTTCGAAGCTGGATGAAAGGTTGGCCGTCTGACATGCAGGGAACAGCTGCAGTGTCTCAACGATGCCAAACACGTGGTAAGCACATGGCAAGCACATGGAGTCTTTCCGACGCGTGGGTACCGGACTGACCACATGGCCGCAGCAAGTGTCAGCTTCTCAAGCTTGGCGGGTTGGTGGTGAGAAAGTCCAGGGGAATTGAAAGTCCGGGTTTAGGGTTGGAGCGGGCTCCGCCTCACGGATCCCCGATGCACATCCGTCATGCCACCACCTGTCTTGGCCCTCGACCAGGTTACCTTTTCCATATATATAAAGATATTGAAATGGATTGTGGTGTTAATACGATTTAAGCTAATCAAAGAGATTTCACGATACCGTGTTTATTGTATCGCTTTTCCGAGCTTTTCTGAATCATTTGGCAAATTCCTCATCCGGTCTGCTGCACTACAATCCACCTTACAAAAGCACTGACACACTACATCGATTCACATCGCCATGGCGAGCAACCACATCAACGGCAATGGTGTTGCCCCCTCTCTGGAGGTAGCCGTGGTAGGCGGCGGAATCATCGGTGTAATGACCGCCATCGGCCTCCATCGCCGGGGCATCAACGCCACCATCTACGAGCGTGCACCCACCTGGCACGAAGTCAGCGCCGGATTTGCCTTTACAGGCGCCGCCCGTGTATGGATGGAACAGATCGACCCCGCTCTCGTCGAGCTCTTAGGCAGCATCAGCCAGAAGACCGACGCCAGCACCAGCAACGCCTACTGGAACGGCTTCCACCCACGCACCCGCGAGGATGCCGAGGATGAGACCAAGTCACTGCTCTTCCGGACACCAACCAACAACCTCAGCTTCTGGGGCTGCGTGCGATCGCAGTTCCTGCAGGGCATGGCGGCCATGCTGCCAGAAGGATCGGCCAAATTCGGGAAACAACTCGTGAGCTACGACGATGACTATGAGAGTGGCAAGGTTATTCTACACTTCGACGACGGCACCACTGCCCAAGCCGATGTCTTGCTTGGCTGTGACGGCATCCATTCGGTTACTCGAAAGGTTCTGTTGGGTGCTGACCATCCGGCCAGTCGCGCGGGCTTCAGTCACACCGTCACCTACCGCACTATGGTCCCGATCGACGTGGGCATCGCCGCCCTGGGGAAGAAGGTCGCCAAGAGCGCGTGTAATCACTTGGGTCCGAATGCAGATTTGCTCGTGTATCCGGTTCGTATATACCTTACTCCGTGCATACTGGTTGCTAATAACGCGAATAGGTCATGTCCGGGACCCTCCTCAACATCGCCGTGTTCGCCTACGAGGAGCCAGAATTCCCCGACCCCGTCAAGATGACCATTCCCGTCGACCGGAGCGAAATCGAAAAACTCTTCAAGGGCTGGAGTCCTCAAGTGGCTGACATCTGGAAGCTCTATCCGGAGAAGGTAGTCAAATGGGGGATCTTCGATCTGGAAGATAACCCCCCGCCGACGTATGCGCGCGGCCGGGCCTGTCTCGTCGGCGATGCCGCACACGCCAGCACCCCGTACTTGGGCGTGGGCGCTTGTACCGGTGTAGAGGACGCGCTGGTAATCTGCACACTGTTGGAGTCGGTGCAGCAGAAGGCGCTTGGCGGGGCGGCGTTGAGAGATGCGCTGACCGGATCGTTACAGACGTATAGTCAGGCACGGTTGGAGCGGGGGAGATGGATTCATCATCATTCGCGCCAGATGGGCCAGATGTATCATTGGCGGTATGGGCCGACCGGACGGGACCCGGAGCGGATGAAGAAGACGCTGGAGAAGAATTGGTCGACGGTGGTGAACTATGATGTTTGGGGGCCGTTGGACCCGGAGTTGAGAGAGTTGGCGGAAAAGAGGTTGAAGGCTTAGTCAACTGCCATGATTTTTATGTTGTTTAGTAATTCAGCTCTGGGAATCTACGTTAATATTCATCCCTCGAATACTTTTACTTGTTTTAAGACTTGATGTAGCTTTTACTATGAGATTAAGCGCTCTAGACCCCCTTGGTGAACATTATTGCGAAACATCAATCACGGTATGTTAAGCCAAAAGTTGCTCCGGATTTGGGGCTCTAATCTCGGCGGAAAGAAAAGACAGCAGCAGAAATGTATTTTATGTCCTTCCACGAGTTCTTTTGATAATCCTGTAATAAAACGTAGAACTCAGTTTTTATCCGGGAAATTATCAATGTATGTATCTGTTGATAATATGTACAGGATCAAGTCTGGATTTCCTATCCCTCCGGAGTTACCTTGAGATCCCGATCCCGCGGACCCTACCGTACTCTACCGTGCAAGAATCAGAGGTATCCCACGTACGTTGGTAATTTACGACGCGGCTAGGCCTATAGCAGGTGGTATATTCTGGTCCTTGTTTGATTTTTCTCTATGTCAGTGGCCATGGATATCGTATCTCGATTAAATATATTATTTTGTGCTGCGGGAAAAGTGTGTAAATTTAAGGTGGGAACAAATATATATTACTCGGATGGGGTCCTGGTGGGAACTCACGAAACGAATTGAACAATTTTAAGACAAAAAGATGTATGGGATGCTCATTGCTATCTTTCTGATGATCCTACAAATACAGTCGATTACAATTGAGGGTTCATATCTTTGATAAGTGTAGTTAAATTCAGACAACGAAATCGCAGACATCTATATTCTGTCCCGAACTATAAACCCAACAAATGTAACCAAATCCTCCAAGCACGATAGATACATATTAATCCATTCCACTAATCCCTCACTGAGGCGGCTTCATAATCGACCGATCTCCCGTCGACCAAATATGCGTCGACTTCATCTTATTCAACTTCCAGAAGCCCTCCTCCACTTTCACCGCATCACACGCATAGAAAGCCCCCGTGACAAACTTCGTCGAATCGGGCTCATATCCCTTCCCCACGACACAATGCACCGCCTGAGCCACAAACGTCACCCGGCCAGTGGTTTCCGTGTCGACACTGACTCGCATGTTACTGAGGTAGTGGATGGTGTCGACCCGGTTGCTGACATTCACCCAGACCTTGTTCAAGAGCTCGTCGTAGCCATCGCACACCTTGAAGGCAATGTCGGTGTAGACGTCCGGGGTGACGCTGGACTCGAGCAGCTCTTCGCTGGATTGGTCAATGGAGGAGAAGGCGCGGTAGCAGGCGTCGGCGATGGCGTCGCGGTCGCTGAGAGGGGGACCGGCCAGTTTGGCGGGGAGGGGGGTGCCGTTTTGGACCATGATTGGTTTGCTTTGGTGGGGATGTGGAAGAGAGGATGGTATCGATGGTAGTGAGGAGGGTTGAGGAGTTGATGGGGATGATGGTGGTTGGGATAGCTGGGTACATCCATCTAGTAGATATAGGATGGTCGGTCGGGTCGGGCGGGAGTATAGGTACCTACCAGGCGGCTAGCCGACCCGCCCGTCGTCGGATTGTTGTCCCGCGGCCGGACAATCCATTCCCTCCGACACCTCCATCTGCAATCCCTTCTTGACTTGGAGCAATGTCCTCCGGACTAGATTCCTCATGGCTCTTGGAGTTGGCCCAGATCTCCCTCACAGCCGACCTGGCATCAGCCGGGGGAACATTTCTGACGCGGACTTATAATTCCCCCACCGTCAGCCGGGATGGTTTCAGCGGGGGCCCTGGGCGATCCTTCGCTAAATCGATGCCTCGTTAGTGCTGATCAGGCCTGAATAGAGGGCTGCAACGAGGATCTCCACGTGGTTTATATACGTTCATGGTGAACGGGATCAGCATGATATATTGACTGGACAGTTTCTTCATTTCTCAGGGTATCCTAATCCAAACCCCCCTAACACCCACTTACCCACTCCTATCGAGAGTCCTCACTTCACCTCATTCACTGTCATTCTCTTCACCATCACACAGCACCACACAACCTCCTCGACATAATGGACTCCGACAACAGCGAGTGGGCCAGCGAGCCCATTGCCGTCATCGGCATGAGCTGCAAATTCTCCGGCGGTGCCAGCAACCCCGACAAGCTCTGGGACCTCATGGCCTCGGGGAAGACCGGCTGGAGTGAGATCCCAGAGGATCGCTATAATCTCCAAGGTGTCTACCACGCCAACCACGAAAGAACGAGCACGGTGTGTAAAAATCTAACACACAATCAACCTACATCCGACGTACTGACAATCCCAGACACATGTCAAAGGTGGACACTTCCTCGACGATGATGTCGCCGCCTTTGATGCGGCCTTCTTCAACTACTCGGCGGAGATGGCTCAGGTCGTCGACCCCCAATTTCGACTCCAGCTCGAGTCGACGTATGAGGCGCTGGAAAATGGTCTGCGCATGCTCCACTCTATTTTCTCCACTACATTGACATTCAACTGACTCGCTGTAGCTGGTCTACCTCTTTCCCAGGTGATGGGATCTCAGACGTCCGTATTCGCCGGTGTCTTCACGCACGACTATCAAGAGGGAATAATACGAGACGAAGACAGACTCCCACGCTTCAATGTCGTGGGCACATGGAGTCCCATGTCCTCCAACCGTATTTCGCACTTTTTTGACTTCCGTGGCGCCAGTATGACTCTGGAAACTGGATGTTCCACGACCCTGGTGGCCCTGCATCAAGCGGTCCACACCCTGCGCAATCGCGAGGCCGACATGTCCGTGGTGACTGGAGCCAACGTGATGTTGAACCCTGACACCTTCAAGGCGATCGGGTCCCTGGGAATGCTGTCGCCCGACGGCCGCTCATTCGCCTTTGATTCGCGCGCCAACGGATACGGTCGCGGAGAGGGCGTCGCCACCATCATCATCAAGCGACTGTCGGACGCGCTGGCCGCCAATGACCCCATTCGCGCCGTTATCCGCGAGACTGCCTTAAATCAGGACGGCAAGACCGATACCATCACGACGCCGTCCGGCACTGCCCAGGTGGACCTCATGCGCGAATGTTACCGTCGGGCTGGCCTCGACCCCCGCGGCACTCAATACTTTGAGGCCCATGGTACGGGCACGCCAGCCGGTGACCCCATCGAGGCGGGAGCTATGGCGGCCATCTTTGGCGGAGGAGAAGGCCGCGACAACGAGGAGCACTACCTGCGCATTGGCTCTGTGAAAACAAATGTCGGCCATACTGAAGCCGCTTCCGGTCTCGCCGCCATGATCAAAGGTGTTTTGTGTCTTGAGAAGGGATTGATTCCGCCCACGGTCAATTATGAAACGCCCAACCCCAAGCTCAAGCTCGACGAGTGGCGTCTCAAGGTGGTGAGGACAATGGAGCAGTGGCCCGACAGTCTGGTGGATGGTCCACGCCGCATGTCAATCAACAACTTTGGCTACGGCGGAGCGAATGCCCATGTCATTCTAGAGAGCGCCGACCCATGGACCTTGACATCGGATTTGGATCTGAATCCCGTCAATGGTAATCACACGACCGATATAGCAGACGACGCCAAAGTGCTCATCCTCAGCGCGCGCGACGAGCGGGGCTGTCAACAAATGGTGTCCGACCTCAAGGCGTATCTGGAAAAGCACCGGTCGCTTGGGCCCCAGACCTCTGAGCAGCTGCTGCGGAATCTCAGCTACACGCTGGGCGAGCGCCGGACACTCTTCCAGTGGGTGGCAGCGCACCAGGTGCGTCTGGAAAAGGACGGCTCCCTCGACGCCGCCATCCAAGCCTTGGAGTCACCTCGCTTCAAGCCCGGTCGCCGTGCCGCGGAGAGTCCCCGCATCGGTATGATTTTCACTGGCCAGGGCGCGCAGTGGTATGCCATGGGCCGTGAGTTGTTGACGTCTTACCCTGTCTTCCGCCAGTCGATCGAGGAAGCAGAGGCCTACCTAAAAGACCTCGGGGCGGACTGGTCGTTGCTCGAGGAGCTCCAGCGCGACAAGGCGACGACCCAGGTCCACGCTACGAAGATCAGCATCCCCGTGTGCGTGGCGCTCCAGATCGCATTGGTGCGCCTGCTGGAATCATGGGGCATCACGCCCTCCGCGGTGGCCAGTCACTCATCCGGTGAGATCGCAGCAGCCTTTGCCGTAGGGGCTCTCACACATCGCCAGGCCATGGCGACGGCCTACTACCGCGCCGTCCTCGTTGCCGACGAGACTCAGCGCCCACCCGGGGCTGCCAAGGGTGCGATGGCGGCGGTCGGCTTGGGGGTTGACGCCGTGCAGCCCTACCTCGCCCGGCTGACCAAGGAAAACGGCAAAGCGGTGGTGGCCTGCGTCAACAGCCCTCAAAGTGTCACCATCTCTGGTGATTCGGACGCCGTTCAAGTGATCGAGGACCTGTGCAAGCAAGATGGCGTGTTTGCCCGTCGTCTCAAAGTCCAACAGGCATACCACTCCCACCATATGGACCCGTTCGCGGATGCCTACCGGGAGCGCCTTCGCGCCGAAATGGCGCGGGGGGTGCTGCAAAATGGCAAGCAACAGGCTCAGGCCGCCAAGAAAGAACTCAAGGCGGTTTTTGCGTCGGCCGTCACGGGTGGACGTGTCACCGACATCAAGGACATTGCCAGTCCCGATCACTGGGTGGGTAGTCTGGTGCAGCCGGTCGAGTTCGTGGACGCCGTCACTGAAATGGTGCTGGGCGATCCGGATGACCCGACAGGCAGAAGTGTCGACGTCTTGCTCGAGGTCGGCCCTCATACGGCGCTGGGAGGTCCGATCCGTGAGATTCTATCCCTGCCCGAGTTCGAGGGTATCGAGCTCCCCTACTGGGGCTGTCTCATCCGCGATGAACACGCCGGCGACAGTATGCGATCGGCCGCCATCAACCTGTTCCGCGAAGGTCAATCCCTCGTCATGGACCAGATTAATTTCCCCGTGCCTTCGTATGACGAGGAGCCCCAGGTCCTGACGGATTTGCCATCATATCCTTGGAACCACACCATGCGTCACTGGCAAGAGTCCCGAGTCAACCGGGCGATTCGCGAACGCAGTGAGCCTCCTCACGAGCTGCTTGGCATGCCTGTCGCCGGCAATGATCCCAGCGCATCTGTGTGGCGCCGTATGTTGCGTGTTACCGAAACCCCCTGGGTCCGCGATCATATGGTGCAGGGCAGTATTGTCTACCCCGGCTCGGGCTACATTTGCCTCGCGATTGAAGCCGCTCGGCAGTTGGAGAAAGCCAATGCCGCCGACATTTCTGGATTCCGCCTGCGCGACGTCAACTTCTTGTTCGCCCTGGTTATCCCGGAGAGCGCGGACGGCGTGGAGATCCGAACCACGCTTCAGTCGGTCCCGGAGCGAGAAATTGGCGCCCGCGGCTGGCGGCGCTTTGAGGTCTCGTCGGTTACCTTGGATAACCGGTGGACGTTGCACGCCAAGGGCATGATCCAGGTCGAGCGCGAGGCCACAGCCCTAAACACGGCTGAGCGCCGCCCGTTGTCGACGTACACCCGCCAGCCGGACCCCCAGGACTTGTTCGCCAACCTCCGGGCCCGCAGTGTCTACCACGGTCCGCTCTTCCAGAATACCACCAAGATCATCCAGGATGGCCGGGAGCCGCGATCTGTATGCGACATCACGGTCCGTCATGAAGCTTCGTCCGACACCGACCCGGTGGTGGCGGCACAGAACACCCTGCTGCACCCTATCACGCTGGATGCGGTCGTCGTGGCCTTCTACTCCGTCCTGCCGAGCGTGGGAGGCCTCCAGGAAGACCCCAAGCTCCCGCGGTCTGTCGCCTCGATGTGGGTATCGAGCAATATCAGCCACGAGATTGGCCGCACCCTGCACTGCGACACGTCTTTGTTACATGACGACGCGCAGAGCGGCATCGCGAACATTACTGTTTTCGACGGCCCAACGGACGACGCGGTGCTCAAGATCCAGGGCATTGAGTTGGCCTCTCTGGGACGGGGTAGCGGTGCCACGGCGCGCCAGGATGCAGCCAACAAGGGCGGTGCTGTCGTCCCCAGCAAGTGGGAGCAGGAGCTGTGTAGCAAACTCGTCTGGGGACCCGATTTGTCGCTGCGAAACCCCCGGGCTCTCGCCCAGATCAAGGAGCAGCTGGTTGCACCCGAGTCCGATGCCGACGCAGACCTCGCCAAGAATCTCCAGCGCTTGTGCGTCTATTATGCCCAGGATGCGCTCCGAACCCTCACTCCCGCGGACGTAGCCCACCTACAGGAGCAGCCTCATTTGGCCAAGTACTACGCATGGCTACAGGGATTGACCGCCAACGCCGCCCAGGATGAGCTGGAGAAGCGTCAGGAATACATTGCCGCGTCGGTCTCGCAAAGCACCGATGGGCAGTTGGTCGGTCGCCTCGGACCCCTCCTCCCGTCCATTCTTCGTGGTGAGCTCAAGGTGGAAGACGTGAGTGGCCTATTGAATGAGTACAACGCCAAGGCGATGCGTCGGTCATCTGCTCTGAGCAAGCTCTCGACGCTGTTGCGCAAGGTAGCTCACAAGAACCCCAGTGCCCGCGTCCTCCAGATCGGTGCCGGTACCGGTGCCCACGCGACCCGTCGCATCCTGGAGACGCTGGGCACGGCCAAGACCCCCGTGGTCGCCAGCTGGCACGTTACCGAGCCATCTTCCGAGGCCTTGGAGGATGCCCAGGCCCAACTTGCCGACTGGGCCGATTGGCTCGAGTTCGACCAACTCGACATCGAGCAGAGCCCGGCCAAGCAGAAGTTTACCCCCGGGAGCTATGACATCGTGGTGGCATTCCAGGCTCTTCGCACCACCAAGGACACCGCCAGTGCCGTTGCCAATGTGCGTAGCCTGCTGAAGCCCAGCGGTACGTTGATCTTTGCGGAGACGACCCAGGCGCAGGTCGATGTGGATTTCATCTTTGGGCTGCTGCCGAGCTGGTGGCAAGGTGAAGATATCACTGCGTCTGCTTGGGACGACGTGCTTCGGGACGCTGGGTTGAGTGGTGTGGATGTGGAGATTCGTGACTCGGAGAGCGACCTCATCCATGCCACCAGTGTTATCATGTCTACGGTGCCGGTCGTCGAAGACCAGAAAGAGACCCTGGGCAACGGGGAGAGCTTCGTCGTGGTCACCAGTAGCAAGACCCCTCCACCCCCGGGCTTTGTCGATCTGCTATCCCAGCGCATCCAGGCCTTGACCGGTTCTGGCACTGCCCTCCCCGAGCACCTCGTGCTTGAGAAGAGCAGCTTCGACGCCTACAAGGCCAAGATTTGTGTGTTTGTTGGCGAGATTGACGAGCCCATTATGGCGGATCTCGACGCCGCGCGCATGGAAGGCCTCCGCGCCATGGTCACGCAATGCAGCGGCCTGCTCTGGGTTACGACCGGCGGCACCGTGGAGAGCGAAGTGCCCGAACGGGCGGTTTACCAGGGTTTCCTGCGTGTGCTGCGCAATGAGTATATCAGCCGTCGCTTTCTCTCGCTGGACCTCGACCCGGCTCATGCTGCTGAGAGATGGTCCTCGGGTGGAGAGGCCGTCGTCTCGACTATCGTGCAGGTCCTCCAAGAGGGATTCGGTCGTTCTGAGGAGGTCGGTCCGGCCGAGTTCGAATATGCTGAGCGTGACGGTGTCCTGCAGGTTCCCCGGTACTACAAAGACGATCAGTACAATGATATGGTCACTGGACCGCTGGTGCCAAGCTGGGGTGAGGTACTCCCTGCTGCCAAGGACGACAAGGGCAATACCGATGCGGTTTCCAGCCTCCCCCTCGAGCCCCTGTTCCAGGAGAACCGGCCGCTACGGCTGGAAGTGGGCATTCCGGGACACTTGGACACCTTGGCTTTCGTTCACTATGAGGAAGACCATGCGTCATTGGCACCGGAGCTCATCGAGATTAGCCCTCGGGCCTACGGAGTCTGCTCGCGCGACGTCCTGGCCGCTATGGGCCAACTCAAGGATCGTTCCATGGGCCTTGAATGCGCCGGGATCATTACGCGTGTCGGTGCGGAAGCTCAAGCCAAGGGCTACACTGTCGGTGACCGCGTCATGGCGCTTTTGCCTGGCGCGTCTTTCGCCAGCTCTGCCCATGTCCCATGGCATGGCGTCGTGCAGATCCCGAGCAGCATGGAGTTTGTGACCGCCGCGTCGCTTCCCCTGGCTTTTACCATTGCCTACGCCGGCCTCGTCGACACCGCGCGCCTGACCGCCGGGCAGTCGGTACTCATCCATGCCGCGGCCGGAGCCATTGGGCAAGCCGCCATCATGCTGGCCAAGCACCTCGGCGTCACGGAGATTTACGCTACGGCTGGGTCCGAGGAGAAACGGGGCCTCCTGCAGCGCGAGTTTGGCATCCCTGCTGAGCGCATCTTCAACAGCCGCGACGCATCGTTCGCCCCCGCCGTTCTGGCTGCCACCAAAGGACGCGGCGTCGACGTTGTGCTCAACTCGCTGCCCGGTCCACTCCTGCAGGCCAGTCTCAGCGCCATTGCGCCTCTGGGCTACCTGCTGGAAATCGGCAAGAAAGACATCGAGAGCAACAGTCTGGTGGCGCTCGAGTCCTTCTCTCGCGGTATCTCATTTATCACCTTGGACATCCCGACGCTCTTGCGCCGCCGCGGCCCCGATGTTCACCACGCACTGGTTGAGACCACCCGCCTGATCGAACAGCAGGCGATTCAGCCCGTTCACCCCCTGACCATCTACCCCATGCAGGACGCCCAAGCGGCTTTCCGCTTCGTGCAGGCAGGTGCCCAACTTGGCAAGGTGGTGCTCTCTACCGGCCCCGACGAACAAGTCCACGTTGTCCCCAAACCTAAGGGCATCACTGATACAACCCGACTACGCCCTGATGCATCCTACCTCATCGTGGGTGGTGTCGGCGGTATCGGCCGTTCCATCGCCCACTGGCTATTCGCCCACGGAGCCAGAAACCTGATCCTGCTTTCCCGCAGCGCCGGAAATCTCGACCTCGAGAAGAACCAGACCACCGACGGCGCCCTCTTCATCCGCGAACTCCGCGACTCCGGCTGTCGTGTCAAGCCCGTCAGCTGCGACATTTCCATCGCCAGCTCCCTAACCAAGGCTCTCCGCATCTGCGAAGACGACGGCTTCCCGCCCGTCCGCGGTGTCATCCAAGGCGCCATGCTCCTCCGCGACGCCATCTTCGAACAAATGACCCTCTCCGACTGGCACGGCGGCCTCAGCCCCAAGCTCTACGGCACCTGGAACCTGCACACGGAATTCTCCCAACCCTCCTCCCTCGACTTCTTCATCATGCTCTCCTCCGTCTCCGGCGTCGTCGGCATCGCCTCCCAAACCAACTACGCCGCCGGCGGTTCCTACGAAGACGCCATGGCCCGATGGCGCCAATCCCGCAACCTCCCGGGCGTAGCCATTGACCTAGGCCCCATCTCCGACATCGGCTACGTGTCCACGTCCAGCAAAGTGGCCGACCGACTCCGCAAAGACGGTGACTTCGCCATGCTGGACGAAGACATCGTGCTCCGCGCCCTCAACGCCGCCGTGCTTCACCCGCTCCACGCCCGCACCCAGATCATCGTGGGCCTTAACTCCGCCCCCGGCCCACAGTGGGACCCTCAGGGCCGCTCCCAACTCGGCCGCGACGCCCGCTTCGCCCCTCTCCACCCGCCGTCATCCTCCAAAGCCGCATCCCGATCGGCCGATAGCGACACCACCGCGTCGCTTTCCGCACAGCTCGCCGAGACGGCCGCTGACCCACAGGCCGGAGCCGCACTTATCGCCGCGGCTATTGCGGCGAAACTTGCGGACATCTTCATGACTCCCGTTGCGGAGATTGATCTGACGAAACCCCCTGCCCACTTTGGAGTTGATTCCTTGATTGCGGTCGAGTTACGGAATATGCTGGTTTTGCAGGCGGCCGCGGACATTTCTATTTTTAATATTTTGCAGACGGAGAGTTTGGGTGCGTTGGCGGGGTTGGTTGCGGAGAAGAGTCGGTTTTTGCAGGCTGCTTAGGATTTTCTTACTGTGTTGGCATTATTTTATTTTTTTAATTGTATCAGATTGTCAGTATTGGAATGTGTTGTTAGCGAAAGTGGTCTATTGTATTATGCAGATATTATCTCTTTCATAGACGTTATCATTACTACTTTCTTTCTTCATTCTATAAACTAAACTGAACTACAACACCTGGCACTAAGATATAGTAGACCGTTTTATTCATTTAAATCCTACATACACATCACACAATCCTCCCCGCCACCCCACACCCACACGGTTCCCAACAACAAGCCCACTAATAATACTCCCCACCTCTCTCCCTCGTATACAGCAACCAATAATACTACTATTAATTCCCTCGCAGAACCCATCAACTACGTTCCCTTGAACCGTTATCTCGACGCTAACTGTCTGACTACTAGCCTTGGATATATATATATGGTGTGATGAAGTATAGTATAGTAAAGTATAGTTAATATAGACTCAAACAAGCAAAAGTACCCGAGAGGTCAGACTCAGTCATCATAGATAAGAAGAGAGAAAATGAAAAAATGAAAAGTCGGTGACGTAGTGTGCTGATTCCAGATATTCCATCCGTCAGACGGTTTCGTTGAGAATTAGAGATGTGAAGATGGATGAACAAATCTATCACTGGTGATTAGTGAAGTTGGGCATAGAATTAGTGTAAGAATTCTTCTATCTCGGATGTATTCTTTCTAGTCTATCTCTAGAGTGAGTATATTTGTTTGAACATGCAAATAAAATAGCGCTTCCACCTCCAAAACTCCAGACATATTCCAACCCCACGTAAAGTTACAACCAACGCCACTTCGTACATGTCGTCATTAATACATATCTAAATCCAATCATTCTAAATCAAGGCACACCAATTGTCGCCCTGAGGTTCTAAAAGGGAAAGGAAATTTTGTGCCAGTTTGTTGAGACCAGTTGAGGCTTGTAATGTCGTTACGATGCTGGGCATGAGTTTGATGTAGGCGTCATTGAGCCCGGGGTGAGATTGGGAGAATCGGGCGGCGAGGAGGAGTAGGATGGGTGTTAGGGGGTGCATCTGCGGATTGTTAGCATTTCCCCTTTCATATAGACTATAATAAGCCTGCTGGAGTTGTGGGGGGGAAGGGGGGGGGGGGTACCTGAAAGTGCTGCCCAAGTACGGCAATTAGAACAGCGATATCAGCCACAGAATCCAGCGATTGTTGTTTGTGTTCGGTGTAGAGAGCTTGGGTGAGCTGCGTGCCTTGTGGGTCGGTCCCTAGGGGTCGGGACTCGATCAGGTCATAGAGCATCAGCACGGCGATATGGGCCGCTAGAGTGACAAAGGAGATGATAGGGTCCGGGTATTCCAATGAGGCATATAATCGCAGCATCCGGATGCGTTGAGCCAATAGTGCATTCAGGGAACGATGTCGACGGCAGAATTCCTGGCAAGGCCTGCCTGGAGGTTTCTGTTTATGTTCCAGAACCCGTCCACAGATGGTAGCGCCGATGACACTCTCAGTAAAGGATGACAGGTTGTTGTGCGGCCACTCCAGGTCGACGATCGGAATCATGTCCGCGAGAAAGCTCATCTCCATGGGACGACCACTGGCAAAGTTCGCCTCGGGAGCCGGTAGACGGGTACGGATCTAGTACCAGTAAATATATTATTTGTTGTAATAGGGGAAGCACTTACCAGCCGTTCATCGAAGAACATGTGCAGCCCATCAACCATACTCGTGAAACGGTCGATTGTATATGCCAGCCAGAAGGTCCGCCGTTTGGTTTCAATATCGATCCAGTCATCTTGCACTGGCCCCTGAAGAGTGAGTTGCCCTTGATACTGCTCTAGTTGCATGGTAGCCGGTGCTTGAGGTACATCCAGTTCGTATAACCTCATCATCTGGATCAAACGAAAGGCCCTCCCGGCGGACATCATCCCTCGGTGGAAGTCTTGACATGTTAGCTCGTAGAGGGCAAGCAAGGTCCATGCCTGGGCCTGCTCCAGGCATATTTGCTGAGAGGGTTCGTCGGATTCGACTGCATGCAGAAGCTGTCTTGTCTTGTTGTATAATTTGCGCCCATCGTCTTGGAACTGACTGGAGAGGGATGAAGCCAACGTCCACATCGCATGCTGTAGGCAGGTTTTTTGCTTGCTCTTACTTGCCTGCTTGGACCAAGACCGGTAGCGGTGTGTTTGAATTATTGGCGCAAATGCATAAGCCCGATCAAAGTACAGCTGGTCTCTGAGAATAATTAAAATCGTTGTAAATAGCTTCGAGTGTCAGACTTACAGGTCGTTGTGCATCATAGGTGTTATTATAAAATCAGGCTCCTTATAAATTTGAACCAGCTCCTGAAGATTGTCCACCGAGGGAAGGGAGGGAAATGGCGAGCTTGCGTCGAAACAACCCCAGGGTTCCATGTGGATCATGGGCACTTGGAATTCCACCGGTGCCGGCCATTGCGGGAGATTCACAATGGTTTCTGGAGTGGTGCTGGTGGTGTTTTGAATTTCCGTATGGTCTGTACTGCTCCCCCCGCTGCCACCTTCGTTGTCTGTGGTCCCCTCTTGGGAGGGTGAGAAGGCTCTTGTTTCAGTAGGAGAAGCCCGTTGTTGTTTTTCTAGCTGGCTTTGAAGGTCCTCTAGCGCACCACTTGATTAGTCTAAGAGTCGAGATGGGGCGTCAATGATTGCAGCAGCCTACCGATTCTTTTCTGTAGCGTCTTGAGATATCCCTTCTTTGGTCCTCTGGGGGGACAGCTGTCTCGCACGACGCAATTCACCCCGGCAGTAGCACAAGCCATGCATTGCGGGGTTCCCCTATCGCAGCGGATCCTTTTTCGTCGACATTCTTCACACTGTAACCAGAAGTCAGTATAAGAGTCTCTATGATTGGGTGAAGGTGGCCACCTACTGCAAGTCCTGGTTGTTGTCGCTGTGCTTGTCCCGCCATCGATGCTGTCGCAAACTATGCTCTGTACTCGACCAAGTAAATGAGCAGTTCCTTGTCAGGTCTTGAAGTATGGCGATCTTGCAAATATATCAACCAAAGCAATAGACTTGTCTAAGCTGCCCACGTGGGTTTTACGTGGTCTCCGAGGTATTAATATATATTGTATTCATCCCGCGTCAAACCCGCCAGGATTGGGGCGATAGTGTAAGGCAGGCCGTGGGAATGCAGGCCGTACCAATCAAGGCAAAAACGCGTGGTTCCCAGGAATCCTGACGAATCCTTCGGGCCTCCGCACACAGCCCTGTCCAGGGCCAACACCAAGGTCGAAATGGTTGGGAGCGTTTGACAGCAAGATCCACGGCGACAGTGCGAGACAGGAATAGTTGATAAGCCACCAACGCATCGAGTTAGCCAAACAGGAGACAGTTGGGGGGGTTATCCCAGACAAGGTAAGTCAGAGATGAGCCACATGTGCCGGGGGTCAGCTTCCACGGAGATTCTGCACGAGTCGATCCTGCCAATTCCCCCTCAGATTGGGTGGAATGGAGGTGCGATAATCTCACATCAGCCTGCATGCTGCGTTAACCCGAAAGGCCCGGAATAACCCTGGCTGGATTGGAATCCTGGTCTGAATGGAAGATGTCAACTGGTGTGGAAGATGGCTGCCAAGTGGGAGGCGGTCTAGGCGTCCTTTGGGGGCCAGAACCACTCAATACGGAGAAATACGGAGGACTCTGTACCATCCTTTCCGCCCCACCCCTGCCCAAACGCCAATTTGGCTTAACCTCGCACTACTCCCCTTGTTTGGTATGGTATGTTATATTACTATCACCTTATTGAACTAGTATGTTTGAGATTATTCGTCTGTGTTAAGGTTCTTAGGGGCCTTGGCGTATCAAGAATCCTGGTTTTATACTCGAAGTCTGTTATACCCTACCTCCGTATAGTTTCATTGTCATAAGTGTAGTAATGTATCTACTACTTCATGGGGCCTTACTGTGTAGTAGGAGGTATTGAGTGATCTGGTGATGCTCTTTACATCATGAAAACATGTAATCATTGCAAATCCCCACTGGAATTCTGGAAAAGGACCAGGGTAAAGTCCGTTGGTGGGCCAGTGGGGCAAGGTCAACACCACTGCAACTGCAGCGTGGTGGTGGAGATTATGCCAATCTGAGCATGCAGTACGTGCAGGTCCGACGCACAGCACCGGATACCGCAGCCGGTTCCGATGGCTATTATTATTATGTTGTTGGAGGACACGGCCATACTGTGAGGGGTACGGCCCCGTCCAAGTGCCCTGGAACGGCCCGCCAACGCCGCAATCGCCGAGCTGTTGCCTGGGCGAGCTTATCCTGAAATTACCCCGAAATTTCAGTACGATTCTTCCATTTTCTTTGCAAGACTCCACAGCGGATATTCGGCTTTTCCAAAGTCAAACACCATCGTGAAATCCAACTCGTTGCTGCATTCCATCCACTGCCTGGGTCGTGACCTGTCACCTGCCTGATTCAGTCTGGTGGGAATGAGGCTGGAGGACGCTTGGTGGGGAACCTTCGGAAGATAAGTAAATGCCGCGCAGCTTCCCTCGCCTGGACCATCACTAGTCATACGATGTTACTGGATTGCAGTATTATAGATACGACCGGCAAGGATGAGGAGATCTACTGCCGAACACGAGAATTGGACCCTACGAGGGCGGAGACGGAGAGTGCCAAGAAACGATCGACGTATCCCGTAGGCTGTAACGTAACAACCAGAACTAACCACAACAACATCATCATCATCTTCTTCTTCAGCCTGCATAAGACTAACTTGCGATTAGACATCTGACTCGTGGCTCATGAGGATTCTCCAATCCTTCGGCAGACGGTGCATAACTTGCAGATGGTGAAATCTCGGACTTTGCACGTCCCGACGGCCCAATCTCGGAAATCCCCCATCCATGAATTGGAGCTTGCGCACTGACCGTCGCGGCCGGTTCTCGGCATGGCATCAACATTCAAGGATGAGCTGCTTCCGATGCCCCTGCAATTCCATTCTGAAAAGACCCTGAAGTGGAAGGAGCATCGCCAGGTTGGTGTCTCACCATCATCTCACTCCCCACCCGCTCGTATTAACTGGGTCTATGACACGAAGTTCCCACAGAGCTGCAGGTAGCAATTGACTTTTTAACCAATGCAAGGCAGTCTCGCACAGTCGATCTCTTACATCCGAGTCAGAAACCGCGTGGCAATGACATGGAACACATCGCCACGTGTGTCATGATTGCGGCTGAAGCAAGTATGGACGGGGCCGGACTTTAGTCAACCCCCGATTCCCGATGGCACAAGTCGAGGCCCGATCCGACCGGCTCGAGCCTCAACATCTTCATCCATATTAAACCCGTGCCACCCCGTTCGGCCGCGAAGGAATCGCAGACATTCTACCACATGATCCTTCGTCTATTTTACAACAGGGGTACCACATGCACGATGTAGTCTACCTGCCTGTTCCTCTGCATCCTGTGAGTCCTAGGCAGGGGAGCTAGACAGGGATGTAGACCAGGGTGTAGACAGGGGAGTTGAGGAGTAGCAAGAGCAGTAACACCAACACTATCTCACCTTACCTTTGTTCTCCGCATCCTCCCCAATTCTTCCCCTCACCTCCTCATCCTCCTCATCCTCCTAATCCTTCCCCTCACTTTCTATCTATGGCAACTGTATCATCATCAATCTCAACCCCTGTTCTCGTCCCTCATCTCTCCAATCCATGCCTAGTAGTAGCACGCGCACACAAAATCCTCACTCTTCCATATCTGCCCACAATCCTCCGCACTCCTGCATCATCCCCTCATAATCCAACCTCCGGGTTTTCCGGCACCGATCGCATCTCTCTTCTAAGCACGTATCCGCGAGCATCCGTCGCCCCCTGTCAACCAACTCCTCCTGAAGATTCAAGTCACATACCCATCAACTGCTATTCACCAGTCATCGATTCCTCATTCTCCTCACGATGTCGAAATACCCCGCACTTCAACCAGCGTCGTCCGCTTATCTACCTTGTTCGTCCCTGGTGGAGGAGAAAGACATCAGTATCTCTTCGGCACGATTTCAAAGACATAATGTATGGGTACTTATTCAGCTTTCCAGTCAACCCCATGACCGAGACATATCTCTTCTGGTTTTGTTGGGAGCTTTTGACATAAAACGTCCTCAACGCCCATACACGTCCACGCGCCATGCAGGTTCAGTGTGCGCCGCAACTCAAACAGGACCATTTGACCTTTGTCATACCTTAAACAAGGGACCTCGTAGCTTTTGCATTTCACTTATCTCTCTAGCTGCTTGGGGAAGAGCGCCATCACTTCCACTTTCAATGTCTCCACCATCTGCCGTGGCGTCGTGACATATCTCGCTCAGCCTCGGTGATGGGTCGGAGATGAATGCCGTGGCGTCTATCACGGCGCCGTGCGCGACGGGGTAGCGGATCGGATGCGGATCGGATGCGCGCCGGCCGATATGGCTGGTTGGTTTGTTGCTATAGCCTCGATGGCGGTGGCCGTGAATGCGCCTCGGGCTTGCTCGGTTCGCCTGACATGGACATTTCGTCGGATCCGGTTGTGGCAAAATGAGTAATCCCCATGCTTGATATCAGAAATTTGTTGCCTTGCCATTTCTATCACATATGCTGATAAGAAATTCTTGCCGGGCTGAATTCACCTGACAGGCTGGCTCGGCAGGTGCTGCCCATTTGGTCAGATCAACCATCGATGAATGGATCGGACTCGAGACATGTCCTTGTAGCCGAGTGGTCAGCTTTCGCATTTACCTTGCTTGGCGTGTCTCTTGTACTCACACCTCTTCATCTTGTTCTCAATGCCGATGTGGTCGATGGTAACCACTCGAAGACGGCCACTGACCACTCGGTCAAAAGGAATTCTCCCGGCCAGACCATCACTTGGAAATTGATCGGATAGAAGAAAGAGATCAATCACGTTCATCGACGATGATACCAGATGGATGGTGAACGCGCGTCGGCCGAGGCTAACCTCGCCACGCTACAGTCCGCAGAAGTCTGCCCCGGGCGCTAGAACAGCGGCCCAGGAACCAGCAGTTAGGGCAACGTTCCATATGCCCGTTACACGTGGACGGAGCAACCGTCGCTCCGACGCTTCAGTGAATATTTCTCTTTGGACTTTAAATTCCTTCTAGTGTCATGGCTAAGCTCCGATAGGTAACCACTATCGAGATGGTGCACCTCACCTCGTGTCATGTGGAGTCCGGCAATATGGGTGGCTGCTGCTGCAATCCTTCCGGAGTTTCTTCAGCCCTAACATCAGCTTCCCGGAACAAAGTAAGTCAGAACCCACCCCACCTATCACGACCCCAGTCCATCTATAAAACCTCAACAACCAATCCCCTCAATCCCATTCCATCAACCACCATCTTCCCATTCATTCCCAAGATGTTGGCCACCTCTTTCCTCTCCCTTGCCAGCGCCACCGGCGCCATGGCCGCCGCCATCCACACTCGCAATCAATTCGATGCGTCTGCGTATGCCGCCGACGACATCATCGAGCGAGACTTCGCCATCATCGGCGGCGGCGCCGCAGGAACCTATGCCGCCGTCAGTCTGGCTGACCAAAACCACACGTTCACCCTGGTCGAAATCTCCGACCGACTCGGCGGCCACACTCGGACCTTCCACGACCCAGCCACAGGCGCCTCCGTCGACTTTGGCGTGCAAATCCACCTCGACGTCCCCATCGTCCAGGACTTCTTCACCCGGCTCAACTCCTCCCTCGCCGCCGTGGAACTCTCCAGCTTCGGCACCCCCAAATACTACGACTTCACCAAACAAGTCGCCCTCCCCAACCACACCGCCGGCACCATGCAATCCGACTACGTGACCCTCCTCAACAAATACCCCTACGTCGACGACCTCGTCAACCTCCCTGACTCCGTCCCCTCCGACCTCCTCCTCGCCTGGCCCGAGTTCGCCCAAAAACACAACCTCTCCCAGGGCTCCACCGAAGCCGGTCTCGCCTGGCCCGCCACCCCCGGCGATCCTCTCTCCACCACCGCCCTCGCCATCCTCAACGACGGCAACCACATCGAACTCGCCGAAGACGAAGGCGGCGCCGTCCACAACGCCAACAACGACAACTCCCAAATCTACACCAACGCCCTGGCCGAATTCCAACCCCACATCCTCCTCAACTCCTCCATCGTCGCCGCCCAACGCGGCCTGAACCGCTCCTCCGGCGTCCAACTCGTCGCCTCCACCCCGGAGGGCAAAAAACTCATCAAAGCCAAACAACTCATCCTCGCCATGCCCCCTGTCCTCGATAACACCAAATCCTTCAACCTCGACACAACCGAGAATTCCATCCTCGGTAAACTCTCCGGAAAATACTACTACGGCGGCGTGGTCAACAACACCGGTCTCGAAGAGGGGATTGCGTACACCAACGTCGGGGTAGATAGACCTTACAATGCTGCCAGTCTGCCTGGCGTCGTGGAGATCGCTCCCTCCGCTTACTCCGGGTACCAGTTCTACTGGTATAACACGGAGGTTGCCACCACTCAGGAGGAAGTCCAGGCCGCGGCTAAGAGCACCATCCAGTGGCTGCAGACACAGAATAACGTGACGACCTCGGAGCCGAACTTTCTCGATTATCAGGATTTCTCCCCTTTCCATTTGAGTCCTCCCAACGAGGACGTCGAGGACGGGTGGTACACTAAGATGAAGGGACTCCAGGGTCATAGGAACACGTGGTATATCAGTTCGTTGTTCGTTGTGGGATCCACTCAGGTCTGGAATAGTACTAATATCCTCCTTCCGGATATTATTAGCGCGGCGCAGGCTTAAGCCTCGCTAGTTACAAGAACTGGATGATCGTTGAGAGGATTGTTTTCTTTTCTTGTGGATGGTGATTGATTCCTCCTCAGATATATATTAATAAACTCATTGTATTATTTTGTTGAACGTCTTCCTACCTTTCCAGTCTAATCCCTCCCTACAACCAGAAGATAGATAACTAGATAGATAATTCTTTCTCAACTACTTTACTCATATTAGCACCTAATTCTTGATCTTATTTCCTCGAAAAGAAATGATAGATCCAATACCCAATATGCAATACCCAAAGACTTATTCATGGTTATAATACATACATACATACATAGTTAGATAGATAGATAGATAGATAAATAAAACTACCTCGCTCTATACCCGGGCCTAGCCCTAACGCAGAACAAAGCAAACAAAGCAAGACAGGGTCACCCAACCCAGAACAGCGCATCTAGCTACCCCCCCTCTTTCCCACCGACCCAGGGACTAAAGCGGGGTCATGTCCAAGGATGAGCAAACAGAAAAACAGAAGGAAATTATAAATAAAAAAGAAAAAAAAGAGGGAAAGATAGATTCTCAATACGCGCTGCAATGCCTGCCTCGGCAGTACGCGAACTGCGAAAGAACAGGAATCAGCGGGAATTAGTCTAGTACATGGGAGAGGTTTGTCTACGAGGGCTTATATCCGTCCGACGGGTCGATCCACAAAGCACGTGGGTTGCCTGCCCCAAGCCAAGGAACGTGATCATGTGGAGGGCTGCAGGGATGGATCGGATCTAGGTAATGGTTGCCACGGCTATCGACTCTACTTAGGTACCTATCTACTTCTCGGTGATATGCAGGGGCTAGTTCGGTTGGGTGGAATAAGAGTATTACTGATCGATAATACTAGTAATAAGACTGGAGTGGTCGTTTTTAAGAAAACGGTCGGTATTTGTGGTATATGGTTATTTATTTTTCGTAGCCGGGGGTTGGCCCTGCGGGGGCTGTGGTTCATGTGAACACACTCTATATGTCATCATCATTATCACGAGTATATTATGTAGACTATCGATATTAACATTTCTATACCTTCTATTTGTAGGAAAGGTGTAGTACATACGACCACAGGGTGTGGAGAACAGGGCTTCCCGTCCGCTCAGCCGTACTTAAGCCACACGCCGGGAGGTTAGTAGTTGGGTGGGTGACCACCAGCGAATCCCTTCTGTTGTATGTTTTTCTCTTTTTTTTTTTCTCTTCTTTTTTTCTTTATCAAGCTGACAGCTAGAGGGAATTATTCCCTTGTAGGCCCACAAGCGCTGGTGAGTGGTGGTACGATAGTAGGACTACTTCTTGAACAATGCCAAGATATCCTCCTTGCCAAATGCAGCGGCAATATCCTGATGCATTGGTTAGTAATCTGTGTATATATATCATAGAATATGGTAGCTTACCACTGGTGTTCGCTGTTTATCATCCTCGTCAAAAGGATCCAATCCCAGCTCCATCAAGTAGGTGAACGCATCGACAAACTTCTTATCCGGCGGAGAAGGAATGAGACTATGTGGTACCCCTACCTTGGCGACTGCATGCAAAAGAGACTCTCCCTTGTTGTTCACCACAAAAAGATCCTGATCCCGCGGCAAGGAAACGGTCCAGTAGAGGCCCGCGAAGAGAGGGCTGGGAGGATAAACTCCGCACATATTTGAACAGCGGCGTATCTCCATTATTATCCCGGGCGTTGATATCCAATCCGCGACCCAGCAGCCGAGAGAAATCCACCCAAAGGTCCTCCGGTGGGGGACGCTGGGGACTTCTAGTCATCTGGCGGTCTGATGCATTTACCTCGCGGAGACATCCGGCTAAATGATGAAGAAGAGTATTTCCGTCGCTGTCTGCGACCACGGGATCAGCACCCGCATCCAGAAGGAGACGAACGGCTTTCCATTGATGTCCTCTCGCAGCCACATGGAGTGGTGTGTTCCGCTGTTGGTTTGTCTGATGGATTAAATTCCGAGGGCATTTGCTGATCATCATGGGCAGAATCTGGGCCGCTGATGGGATCCCGTGTTGCTCGGGTGCCACGAGTAAATGCAGCACATTATTGCCCTTTTCGTCTGTTGCGGACAGGTCTGCGCCCATCTCACATAGTCGGAAAATAGCATGTGCCTTTTGCATTGATGCAGTAGGGTGCGGCTCCAAATTGTCGAACGCGTGGGCCTTCTGGCTCTGAAACTTATCCTGTCTGCTGCCCACTTCACACGTGGCCAGCAAGAGTGTCCTTCCATGGCAGTCCCTTCTCTCTAGATCCGCCTCGGTCAACCGGGCTAAAAAGGGCTCTACGATGCCACCCTGGTTAAACACACCGTGGATGGTCGTTATACCCTCCCCAGATAAACAGAATGGGTCCGCACCGTGAGCTAGCAGGAGCTCGACAATCTCCACTGCCTTGGCCCGTTCAGCGACTTGATTGAATCGACCATGCGCGGCATAATGTACTGGCTGACATAGCAAAAGCCGCTGCTCTCGATCACGAATCTCTTCTGCCTCTTGGATCCGTCTGTCTTCGAATTCTCCTCCAAAATGTCTAGCAAACATGCGTTTCTCGAATTTATCTAGTTCGGCCAGTGATTGCTTGAATGGGGTCTGGCCCCAGTTGCACCCACTTTCAAGGACAATGCGGACGGTTTCGATATCCTGCTGGGAGATAGCTTCAAACAACACCGGTCTAGAACCCAGCTCAAATTTCCCGCCATGGTTGAGAAGTAGTTGGACCATCTCGCTATTCCCAACCGCGAATGCTAGCGACATGACACCCGTCTTGTGAAGTGCGTTCGGATCAGCACCATCCTCGAGTAACACTGCTGCAAGTCCCAGCCGGCGATATCCACCTCTCACGGCGATATGCAAGGGTGTCTGGCCTTTTGCGTTGCGCATGGTCACATCAGTGCCGCGTTGCAGCAGGTACCTTATTGCATCCGTTTGCCACCAGTGGTTCCCAACAGCTAAGATATGCAACGCGCTCCGATGCGGTTCGTCGTTTATGTATCTGCCTAGCAATGGGGCACGTACATTCTCATAGGCGCGAATGTTCACGTCCGCATGGAATGCTTCGATAATCACTTGCAGCATATTCAAATTGGGGAGTTCGCGTTCAGATGCCGTGAAGATCAGCGGTGGTAGATCGAAGTTGATTTCAAATGGGCGGGACATGGCACCGTCGATCCAGTCTGTCTCGTCTCGTGATTTGCCCAGTGTCTCGAATAGATGCGAAAACCCCCATCGGGCGAGGGATTGAATGAAGTCTTCCCGTCTTATTCTGTTCTTTGAAAAGACTTGCTTCCGACTGACTTCCAAACCGCGGCCCACCATCAGTTCTAATACGCGGAACGCACCTTGTTTGAGCAGATGCTCACATTCTACTATAATTTCGCGCGGTGACGCCGATGCGGCTTTTGCTGCTGTTTCTGTCGCTTTATCGATCAGTGTATGGATATACTCGTCCCTAGGTGTCAGAGACAACTGTTTTGCCTCTGCTTGTGGATGTCGCGGAGTCAGATCAGCCAACTCCATAACCATCTCATCATTCTCCAGATCAACGGCAAATTCAAGCGGTGATCTGCCCATACTATCTCGGGCTAACGGATCCGCTCCGTGAGCGAGCAGTGCACGAATAATCCCTGTCACGCCTAAGGTATCATCTTCATTCTTGACAGTCCGACGTTGCTCTGCTTGACGCGAATCAGAAGTGGAAGGGTGTCGCTTGAACTCCGCACAGGCATGTAGTGACGTCCTGCTCTTCTTATCCGTGCGGCTTACATCTGCGCCTGCTTCAAGGAGAAGCATCGCACTCTCCACCCGTCCAGAACAACAGGCGATATTAATGGTGTGCGACCGTCTTGATTAGCTTCGTTAATGGCTTCCTGGAGCGGTTCATCGTCGAGATAACTCTCTAGCAAAAGGCCGAGCGTGTTACTGTCCCTCGCTGCGGCGGCGATATGCAGCACGTTCTCTCCCCTGCAAGTCCTTTTGCCCTGAGACTCGCACCGCGGCGTATCAACCAGTCGACCAACACTTCCGAGTTAGCCGCCGCTAGATGAATGGGCCTTCGTCCTTGATGGTCTTCCACTTCTAGCATGGCCTTGACCTCTATGGCAGGGAGATGGTCAATCGGACTTTTACTCGGGTCGAGCAATATCTGGGCATTTGACGCCTCGGCGCCACACATGCAATGCAGAAGAGTCTGGCCGTCGTGGTTTCTCCTTGATAGATGGATGCCCCCCGCCAGGCGCCGCAGCATATATACCATTGAGACAAGAGCGTTAAAGCTGTGATGGAGGGTGTGCCGCATCAAGACATGCCAGACGGTGTCGCCGTTATGGTTGAGGTGGAGCGGGTCAGCTCCTGCACTGAGTAGCACATGTAGATCCCCGAGACAGCGATGATGCTCGCAAAACAGATGCAACACCCCATTACCCTCGTTATCGATAGCGTGAATATCGGCGCCCAGATCGAGTAGCTGAGCCAAAGCCCTGGAACTGTCACGAGCGATGACAGTGCGCAGGAAGAGTGTACGTCCATCATTGTCTTTCGCTTCGAGATCTGCGCCCATATCAACCAGAAAGCGAACCTGGTCGATGTTGTGCGTGCAAAGCAGTGGGGTGCAGCCCTCGTTATTGTGCCGATTTAGGTCGGCGCCCATGCCGACGAGCTTTTGAAGGGTATTTTTTGTTGGCCGTCTCTTCAACAGCAGGTGAAATGGTGTGTTTCCTTCCTCGTCAGTGATGTTCCAGTCCGTCACGTAGGGTTGTAACAGATCGAAGTTTATCTCGTCGAAATCATATTTCTGGCACCAGACCAGGAGAGGGACGCGATCCCCGTTTCCATTCATCACGTCCCAACTCGCTCCGGCGCGTGTCATGGCATGGAGAATACGCGCCACAGAGCCGTCGTAAGTTCGATCCCGCGGGTCTAAGAGGTGTAAGGGGGTGCTACCGTTCTCATCGATCACATGGACGTCTGCTCCATGCTTGAGTAGTTTCTCCACAATCGTAGATGCTTGCGCAGCCACACACGCATGAAGGGCAGTACGGCCGATTTTTGAGCGAGCGTTCACATCGCATCCGGTGCGGAGGATGATATCCAGGCATTTCTCTTTGTCCTCTGTGGTTGTCCGGCGGCGTAATCGCACCCGTTGAAGTGAGCTGCACAATGTTATCAGGAGGTTGTACTCGGATTTGTTGGTGTATGATGGTTTAATCGTGCAGATAGATCAATAAGAACTTGCAAGACCGCAGGGTCATGAGCTTGCGTCGCAGAGGTCAGACAATCCTGGATAAAGTTGTCCCTCGTCATGTCGAGCTCAGGCAAATCGACCAGCATCTCAACCATCTCCAGTTGATGAGCATCTATCGACCACTGAAGGGCCGATTTCAAGTCATGAGCCGCCAGGTATGGTAGCATGGCTCGGACGGAATGCACTGCACCAGCTTCACATGCATATTCCAGCGGTGATCCAAAGTTTCGTCCTGGCATGTAAGTAGAGCATTGTGGCGGATCATACTTGGTCGACCGGTGCACCACTGGGTCAGCTCCAGCTTCCAGAAGTAGACGCACGACGCCATGATGGTTCATCTGCGCGGCGTAGTGCAGTGGACGTCTTCCACGATGATCTGGCTCGGGGTTGGGCGTCGCTCCATTCTCAAGCAGGAGGGAAACCATGTCCGGGAACCCCTTAGCTGCCGCTCTACTCAGGGGGGTCATTTTCTGTCCGTCCAGGGCGTTGACATCACAGCCACGCTCGGCGTGCTGGATCAGCGCTTTCGCATACGCAGTCATATGTCCCCAGGCAGAGACATGCTGCGGAGAGATGGTGGCAGACTCGCGCTCAACCTTCATCACCATCTCAACGTAGGCGAGATACGATGGGTTCTCCAGGCGAGTGAAGGCATTGAGCAAATTCATCAGGTCACTCTTGATCTCCGGTAGCCGCGAGACGTGAATAAACCAATTACAGGCGGCGTATTCAATAAAGGGGAAGTTTAGCTGGGCACGTTGCATGTCTTTCCACGGGTCACGGACGAGGCGAGATACTGTTTGGCGTTTCCAGGTGGTCAGACCACCTGATAGGAGGTAACGCACGCAGGCTAACACAATCTGGTTTGTTTCTACCATGTCAATGACAGGAAATGTGTTTTCATGCATGCTGATACGATCGGCTCGGTTGGTATCCGTCAGGAACTCGGTGAACGAGTGATGGGTGATAGACACTGTTTCATCGGGGAGAATCCCCAGCAAGGGCCCACAAGACATGCGGATGAGGCTTTTGGCGTCCGATTACTTTGGTTTGCAGTCCCTGTTGTTACCATCGAGAAACTTCCACACGGTCGCAATCTCCAACAAACGTAGGGGACGAGTGGCGTGCGTGACGAGCTGCAGAATAAACATCTGCCGCTCACGCGGGACACCCGCACGGCGCGAATGATCGTTCAACATTTGTGAATATAGATCTTCTAGAGTAGCATGAATAGACTGGATGAGGCGTTGAACAGCCTGTATGTTCAAAGAAGCACGTTGAGCTTCCTCGAGAACCTCGTTCAGCATGAGCCGAGCATAGAGAAAGGATGGAAAAACACGGTCCTCCATGGACCGGATGATCTCGTTGCGGATTGCCGATTGAATACTATCTTTGGCCAGGTCGAGCTGAAACCGCATAAAGCAAGCTATGTCGCGGTTGACGAGTCGATCCTCCAGCCTGACAGACAAGATCCCTCCCAGTGCGGTCTGGATCTGGGGCAGTGGACGGCTAGAGACGAGAACCTTGACGCGATCAGGTCTTTGACGACACAGCGTGACGAGACGCTGCAAGAGGTCTTGAGCGTCATTATCGTCGAGTTCATCCAGGGCGTCAGCGACACAGTAGACGCGTGTCGGCATGGCCAGTAAGGCGTCAGTTAGGATCTGCCAAAGCTCTGCAAAACTGTACTCAGTGACGATGCTGCCCTGCTTCTTGCAAGCGCCGAGCGCCTTCTGCAGGCTTGGTGAGTGAGGGAGCAACTGGTCGAGCCAGTCACGGACCAAGGCGTGGGACCCATGACACGCTGTAACGATCTGGCGAAAGAAGAAGAGAATAGGAGCCTGCGGCTCGTATTGTTGCAGACGGGCGATGCGCGATGCAATTAGAACGCTTTTTCCCGCTCCGGCAATCGCTCTAATCCAGAGGATGGCTTCGGAGTCGGTGCCGTGCCACCTCTCATATTGGGGAGTCTTCTCGATCCAGTCGCCCGTTCCAGGGACGTGAGCGCCGACATGTTTGTGGAAGTCGCTAGCGGGGTCGTGGTATGCAGTTGGCTGAAGCCAGGAAGAGAGTTCTGGGAAGGACTGGGGATTTGGACGATCCACAAGGACGAAGTCGTCTTCCATGGCGGCGATGCGTTGTTGAGCTGAGGTAAGAAGAGGGGACGACGGGCTTATTAGTAGAGAATTCCCCGTTAGGCAGCCATCATGTGATGGAAAATTCGTACCATGACAGGATTACAGGCAGGGTATTAGGCGACCACTGGCTAGTATATTTACCATAGAATTTATCACAATTTCTTTTATGATGGAACGAAGTCTCTTCTACTTGGATGGTCGTACTAGTAGTGATAGTACTAGTAGTTGTAATAGTAGTAGTAGTAATAGTGGGTCACACCGTGTTGATCCGGACGAGGAATTCCGACTTGGCTTATATATCCTTCTGTTTATGAATAGGCCTTCCGGTGCCGGGATTGGTGAAACCTGGTAGACCTGCATCCGAGCTGGGAAATTTGGGTGATGGCGGGTGAAACCGCCATTGGGCCACGGTCGGCTTCCGCTCGGCACAAGTTCATCCTTTTATTCCTTGTTATTAATTGGATGTTTAATGGCAGATAGTTTAAGTGGCAGTTTTTCATTGGATATCGTGACTGGCGAATGGTAAAGAAGATTCCGTTGTAGTGTGTCGGTTGTTCGAGGTCTACAGCGAGAACATGATGGGAATTGGAAGGGAGGGTGTGAAGCCAGGATAATGTTGAATTCTTAGGTGTATTCCTTACAACCATCCACTTTAGTCTGGTAGTTGTGATCACGATAAATAAAAACGATGCTACCTACTCCCGGATATCCCGATCGATAATCCTCGCAGCAGCGAGACATTTCTCGTCTTGGAATCGGGAAGTAATGATTTGTAGAGCGCAGGGGGCGCCATCGACAGCTTCGGGGTTGTCTATATTGATCGGTTATTATTCCGTTGACTGACTTGCAGTGCTCAAAGGGGCTTGGTCAACTCACAACTAGGCTGCATGCCGTCATTAATGGCCATTGGCTCAGGATCGAGGTCCTTCGATGCTTGTCCATACGGAATCACACAGGCTGGATACTATAGATATTGTCAGTACCACCCAATGGCATCTGTGGTAGAGGAAGCCTACATCGAGGAGATTCCACACCACCGTGTATGGGGGCCACGCGTAGGTATCATGCGGCACGGCGGTATTCTGCGCGCCCGGGGCAAGAATCACATCGATGCCCGTGTCAACCCATACCTTACGCCAGGCATCGCGGTAGTCCTGTCTCTTGTGGTGCAATTCGTGGATTTTCTCGAAAATCCCGAGGTCTTTGGAAACGGGAAATGACCCAGTCACCATAGGGGAGGGGCCTTGCGCGACCGAGGTAACAAGCGGTTCACCGCTGGGTGTGACGTGGTCGAGACGGGGTGCATACGTGCCGTATTGCCAGAATAGACGGTTCGCGTATGCAATGTCGAGGTCTTTGTTGGTGTCGTTGTCAAGGTAGATGATACGGTGGCCCTTGCGGGTTAAGGCCTCGATAGCCAATTGCAGGGCCCGTTTGACAGGAGGATGAAGGGGGTACTTCTCGTCTGCAGCAAGGACGCCGATAGTGAGGAGGGACTGGGTTGGAGGGCGGGTCCAGGGAGCGCCGAGGGTCGTCACGTCGTAGCGCCAGGGTTCCGCGTTGAGAATGGTGGACATGAAGAGCTCGAGGTCCTCAAAGGTTGCGGTCATAGGTCCTGCACAGGGCTCCACTGACGGGGGCCCTTCGTAAAGGAAGCGGACTTGGCCGCCATACGGAATGCGGGCTGTCGTTGGCTTGAAGCCGTAGATACCGCAGCAAAGCGCGGGGATGCGGATTGAACCTGCGACGTCGGTTCCAACGCCGATGAGAGACCCTCGGAGGGCAAGAAGAGCGCCTTCGCCGCCAGTAGAGCCCCCAGCTGTGAGGGTCGTGTTGTGTGGGTTGAGGGTGCGTCCGTAGATGTTGTTATCGGAGTCGGCGGTCTAGATGGACGTTAGTCGTGCACAGGGATGAGGACAAGGAAGCTCACCAGCATCGTCTGGGGGATGTTTGTCTTGACATACAGCACCGCACCCAGGTCCAGTAGCATATCAACAACGGCCGAGTTTGATGTCGCAAGGCCGTGATCGAGGAAAGACACATACCCAATAGTAGTGTGGTATCCTTTCACATGGTAGCTATCTTTGAGACTAATCGGGAGGCCATGCAACGGTCCTACAACCTTCTTCTCTCGCTTGAGATAGTCATCAAGATACTTGGCACGTTCTAGAGCAAAGTCAAAGAAATGCTCGGTCAAACAAAATGTCTATCGGGGTTAGTCTTTGAATGTTCTAAAGACTGTTTGTAGGAAGCTCACCAATTGCTGTGCGATAGCAGCCCGCTTACAAAACGCGGTTGTCACGGCCACAGAACTCAGCTTGCCAGTGGCAAGTTTCTGGAGCAATTGAGTAGCGTCGTAGTTCTCTGTAAGATCTAACTCTGTCTCCGTGAGGATGCCGCTCTTTTCTACTGCATTAGAGGCCAGTAGATGGTTGGGGCGGGGAAGGGAGGCGACGAAGTTCTCCTTTAGTCGCCATTCTTGGGGGATTTTGGAGTCGAGATCCTTGCGTCTTTGGGCGACGATAGCACGCCAGTCTTGGGTTATCAATTGAGTGATAGTCATGTTGACCTTGGATGATGTGCTTGAATGAGGGGTGGAGGGGTTGTTGTGGGATAGAGGAGGCGGTGGTTGTTGCGCCTGCTTATACTTGGCCGGAGCATCCCACTGTGCTGACTGGCGGGTCGGAGAACGCTCCCAGCAATCTTGGTTCTTTCTTTATCTTTTCTTGGCAAGTTTTGGACCTGTATCTGATGGTAGATGTCGTTATCTCGTTCAATCTTCTTACTAGGTGGTTATCTGGCTTCCCCGCACGGCGGTCCAGGTCCGGCCATTTTCGCAACCCACCATGCAGAGTATCCCATCTTGCCAATTGCACCTTCCACAGGAGAAAGAGTTGCTTATCGCTCCAAGTCAGTATGTGTGATGACCGTATCTGAGGCTGAGCCATGACCCTTTACATATCCGAGCTTGATCTCAGACCGGGACGCAGAGACCAAGGTCTCGGTGAAGATGGTAGTCGGGAATGCTCCGGACGCTGAATTATGCATTGAGAGCTGTCGATTGTGTTTATCCCGAGTATGAATCAGTACAGTAACGATTTCTCGCCCGATTTTATCGCTCACCTGCATAGTCCCCCGAAATACAATCGGATCTGATCCACAGGACCAAGCTGACAGCTAGACCGTGCACGTCCTCCTGCAGGATCCTTGTTATCAGCATGCGCAGCGCGTATCCTATAATACAGTTATCTCCATCTTCAAGTTGATCAGGATTTCATCTCCCAGAGGCCGTGTCGGATCTTATACAAGAGCATATAGCCATAGTCTCCATCTAATTTCCTGAATAGTTCCAGGTGTCACCTCTTGTTCTTAGCGTAGTAGGCATCCCTCGGCAATCCCTAACCACGCCAAGTGCGTCAAGCCTCTACCCATCTCTACACCGTGGCAGGTGTTCACTTCACCGATCGAACCTCCATGGAACACGCTGTCACCACCGCCAGGGCCACCATGCCCAAGCCCAGGTCAAATGTCTTCCCTGATGGAATGACTGAACGAGCTACAACTGCCGCGATGACGGCCGATGATGACGCAGACACGACGCCATCACCGAACGATCCACCCACCCACTGAATGATTACAGCGGTGACAGAAGAAAGTGGGATACGAAGTGGGAGACATTGATTTCCATCTGATCCGAACTATCACATGTTAAGCAGTTGATAGAGGGAGGCTGACGAGAACTATTTAGATAGCTGGAGACAACCCTCTGCCGTCTTAGATCAGATGGCGCACCATTTAATGCACAGTCCTCAATCTGATCTTTATAGCTTGTCAAACCACCACATAGACCAAAAAAGATAGATATATTCCTGTTAGCTACTGGCATAAAAGAGTACAGGAGATGTCCCAACCTACTCCCTTCTCTCTCCTACCGTAAAGCTGGGTGACCTTCGGGTCAGATGGCGTATGTGGTAAAAGGGAACACCAGCTAAATGACGTTAAACCAAAGTTTCCCCCCAGTTTTTCGGGTGGTATGGGTTCGAACCCCGCTGACAGCGGCATCGAATTCTTTTTCACCACCTCTTCCTACTGCATGATAATATTCTCTCGCAGCCACATCGTGCTGGACAAGTGTCGCTGGCTCCAGCCTAATAAGTACACTTTAGTTATCCATCATTCGTGGAGTATCTGTCTCATCGCCTATCAATAAGTCAATCCGTCAGGATATCGAATACAGGGCCAACGGGGGCTAGGTAGTACCTAGTACATAACTATTCGTGGTCAGTAAAAAGTAATCACCTCTCGGTAGATATACGAACTATGTATGTATTTCACCTAGTGAAATGCAGTATCGCAATTGACATTTCCAGTTGGTATATAGACATCCCTCAATCATATTAACATTAAGGTGACTCGTGCGCATGAGAATTTTGAGCTCAAGAAGCCTTTATACTCAAAGAGTGATAAGAATTATATATCGCTTTGACTGTAACATGTGTGGGATTAGGTTCACCAAGATCTACAAATTTCTGATACGTGCTTCCCAGAGTCCTCTCCTTGGGTATTACTTAAACGGTTGCCATAACTCTCTAATTCTTTTATATATAAGTTGCAATGCCTTCCGAGGACTTATTCTCTTGATTCACTTTCTGTGTTGTCTTTTTCACATGTGACTGCTGATAATCTGTACTGAATCCGCCCTGGGAAGTGACAGTTATTTCTTATGTCCTTTTTGAAACACAGTTTGGACAACGGCATAGACACCTTCCAACTCCTAATCAACGGCGGATACCAGAATACTTGATGCAACGGCACTCAATTTCACAAGCTACTGATGTCTTTAGAGTGGAAGGAACAAATACATTTTTTACTAGAAGCATATGCTAGCTTTACTTGGCTGTGCTCTGATACCATTGACCCTCCATTACAAGGGATCTTCCAGCTCCTGCCCGGATGTTATTCCACTGCTGGCAAAAAACCAATTCAGAGCCTAAGAAGTGAATGTCACACATAGCGGCCCACATGACCTAGACAGGCAGCAGCAGCAGTAGTACCTTGTTACCTACACACAGGATATACCCTCCCTCCCAACATCCAACACACCCACCCCTCCACATCCCAACTCACCATGTCCTCAATAACCACAATCCGCACCCAAATCCTCACCAACCCCCACCCCCAACGCCTCGTCCTCAAACTCCCCACCAAAGAACTCAACCCCCAAAACTACCGCCTCTCAGCCAGAGACTTCCTCAACACCATCTTCCCCAACTACAAAGACGACAACCGGATCAATTTCCTAGCTATTGAAATCCAAGCCAAGCACACATACATAGCCATAGACGTGAACAATTTCGATTACGATTTCGAAACCGCACATGAAACAACAACAATTCTCCCGGTATATGTTCTCTGGAACCATAAACGAAACGGATGGTACCTGGTACGATGGTCGCAGGAAGATGAACCCCTCGCGAGGAAAATAGCAGACCTGCATGATCTTAATGGGTTTGAGGCCACGGTGCCCTTTCTGGCGGATTTTAATGGAGTGGTGGTTTATGAGAATTCGAGATATTTGGATGGGAGGAGATGGGGGAGGTGGGATGTTTCTGGGTCTAGTGGTGAAGGTGTGTGATTTGGGTTGGGTTGGTGGGGTATTAAGGTGGAGTTGGGTTTGGCGGTGGGGATATGGGGGTTGTTGGGAATTAGGAGGGAAAGGGACAGGAAGAAGATGGAGGACGCGATGGGTTTGTGTTTTGATAGAATCTCCAGATTGAGGGGTAGTGAAGAGGGTGATGATATCGCCAAGGCACGATTCACTAGTTCTTTAAGGTTTAAATATGATACGTCAACTGGTCAGTCAGAAAGACAGTCTTGATGGGTAAAGTAGATGTGTACCTTGATGCTCTGACTTTCTTGAACCCTAGATAAATTCTACGTTCTATCAATCAAAGGTCTACCCCTCCACATGCAATTCCTTCAACAAATCCACCCGCACATCATTCAAAATCTCCATCATCTGCTTCTCGGTGTGATACGCCTCATTATACACCAACCGCATGGTCAACCGATCCCGGAAAGTCCAGACATACACGACGCCCTGACGCGACAGCATTTCCACGCCGACTCCCGCATACATGATACTAAACCCACGCTCCGGGGTACCATACTCGCGCTGCAAATATTGCTCCATGATTCCCATGCTGCTCATATCGATATCGCTGGGCGGCTCCGCCGGCGTCGGCAGGTTGCGAAGCACCTCGACCAACGTGGACGCATACTCGCGGTGGGCTTGGATATAGTCGCTGCTGATGCCCTTTTGGTACTCAGCCCTGAACTTGCGGGCATTCTCCTCCCAGGTGTTGGAGGCGTCAACGCGCGCCAACCAGCCGGACGTGAAGAGCGCCGCTGCCACCGCCGGCGTCGAGTACGGTTCGGGCAGATATGGCCGCAGCGAATGTTTGATGGTGCTGGTGTAGTGACGGCCGGTGATGGCACGCCGGAAGTTGACCGCCGCGAGACTGGCATGAACCGCGGCCGTGATGCCCACCCCGCGGGCTTTGGCAGCGGCCACGACGGCGAAGGTGAGGGTCGGTGAGAAGGTCAGCTCGGCGGCCCGCGTGCCCGAGGGCATGGTCGAGGCATCACCGATATAGGATACCCCCACGGCGCCCGTCGCGTGGGCAAAGGTGCCTACTGCCTCGTGGGCGATGGCTTTTTGCTCGTCGGTCGCGGTGAGGGGCATGTTGCCGGCTTCTTCGACGAGGGGCGCCAGCCGGTCAATCTCGGATCCCCAGGAGAAGGCCTCGAAGGCTTCGGGCAGCTTCGCGGACAGAAGGTTGCTAGCGTTCGAAGCCATCAGGTCCACTAATTGGCCTAGGAGCAGGAGGCCGCCCACTCCGTCCATCCGCCAGTGTGCTGTGTGCAGGAGCAGTTCCCCCGTTTGGGGGATGTAGTATAGCCGGGCGTCCGGGGCCGGGGCAATGGTGCGGATCACCTCGTCGGCGGACTGGGCGTCGGCCTCGACGAAGAAGGTCTGGGAGGCCCATTGCCTAAGCGCATCGGCCGAGGCAGGAACCGTGTAGACGACGTTGACGTTGAAGGCGTCGGGATGCGCGGCCAGACTGGGGTGGTGGAAGCGCAGCTGCAACCAAGAGTAGCGGATTAGGGTTGGGAGAAGATCGGCCGGGAAGTCTCCACGAGGACGGATGGCGACGGTGTAATTGATGGCCCAGTGCTCCCGACCCAGCGCGTGGCCGGGGTCACTGATCAACTTGAAGAAGATTTCATTTGGGCCCAGGGGCCGGATGAAGGTTTTTTGCGAGTGCTCAGCTGCGGTCCACGGCATGATTGAAGCAAAAGGGATGAGCTGCTGATGGCCATGGCAGCGGGTTGAAATACATTCCTAAATCCCTCATCCCACATTAGTCAAAGCTGGGATTAATTTCAATCTTTACTCAATCCAGCAGTCCACCGGTCAATCCTCATAAGTTCTTACGACACCATAAGCACTAACGATCAATCCATCTGAGATGCCCCATCGGGCCCATCCCATACAGTAAGTCAATAAGCACCATGCATCACGCCCATTCCAGTCACCTTGGGAGCTCCACTGGCCGAGTGACTTGAACTCCAAAGTAGTACGGCGTAGGAGTTGTGGTATCAGGATGATTTGCTTGGTCAAGAGCACCGCACAACAAACCATGGGCCGTGCATGGCCCCAATCTGCAAGTGGAAGGTGTCGCTTTGGACCTGATCAAGGCGGTGAGCAGATCAGTGAAGACAATACTGGGGATGACAATACTCCGTATCGGCATCGTACCCGGCTATGACTTCTTGCGGCTTGGTTTGGGTCACGTGAATAAAGGCGGTCGGCCCCAGTCCCGTGACTCGGGGAGTGCGGGGAAGAGACCCGGCATTACTCCGCACTTGTTCTCGTGTCCATCGACGGACCTCGCTTGGGATTTCGGCCATCAGAAATTCCAATCGCCTGCACGTCTGTGTCTTCACCCCTTCAATGCGTCGCTGTTCTGTATTGGAGGGTCTTTCTTGAAGTCTCCAAGATGGAAAAACCCCGTAAGCGGGCCATTTTGGCATGCAATTCGTGTCGTCGGAGGTAGGGGCGCTATGATAGCATGCGACGCGTCAGAAATGCTCTTGCTAATAGAGACCAGAAAACGACGATGCGACGGAAACATCCCGCTTTGTGGTCTCTGCGATGAAGCGGGGGTAGAATGTGTTTACAGCGGAGCTATTCATGGAAGGTTTGTTTGGAAGCATCTGTGGCAGCCCCTTTCGGCTCACTTACAAGGGTCATAGGAGGCAGGTGGCATCCAGTTCATCTCAGTTCTTGCGGCGCCTCGATGCGATTGAGGGCCTGTTATATAAGAACCTCACACCATCGGATTTCCAAAAAGCTCCAGCTCCGATTTCGCACCCACCGCAGGTCACCTCACCAGCACTGACCGGAACTGATCATCCGCATGGGGATCAACTCGATGCCATACCCGATGGATTAGCCACGGGCAATACACCATCCATTTTGAACTCAGGATCTAGCTGTCAGGATGTCTTCACCACAGATCTATCCAGCTTGGATATTCCCCCTATGAATATCCCATTCGGCCACACGACAACCACCGAAGATCTTCTGCGCATGGACATAGTACAGGATCTGATCGGGGAATTTCCTCCCGATCTCTTTATCTCCACCGAGGCAAGCCGGGAGGTTCCTCCGGAGCTCTCTTTCAGTCCCCGGGAATTTGCGCGCGACCACCTTCCTACAATCGAGGAGCCTGAAACGGACTTGTTAGTGAAAGCGTTCTTCAACTTAGTCCATCCCGAAATACCAATGATCGATGAATGTGACTTTCGCAAGCTCTACCGGTCAGTGCTTGAACATGGGCTACAGGATAATTGTGACTCCGCCTTGTGCTTGATTGTCTTTGCCCTTGGATCGGCTGTTACCGAACATTGTGATGCGGCGATGCCTGATCCTGTTTTCATGGTACCAGGGTCCAGGTTCCTGTCGCCTGCACTGCAAATAGTGATTCGAGAATCATTAGTGTCGTTTAATTTGGGTCTCGCGCTCCCGCAGGCACTGATTTTGGCGTCGAAATATTTCGGCTACCTATTGCGTCCTCTTCAATCATGGAAGATGATTCATCTGGCATCTACCAGCATTCAATACATATACGAAAGGTATCTTGGGATCTCCATTGTTCAGAGTCAAAAACATATCACATTGAAGCTATCTGACTAACTCTGGCAATACAAGGTCTCGAGGAAACCCTCACTCGAAGACTTTCCCATCCATTTTGCTAACTGCATGGGCGGCTTTTGATGTCGAAAGGTTCGTGGCCATCTTAATCCGCGGCATCTGCAATAAATTAATGTTGATTTGCCAGCGACCTCATCGCCGAACATCACCTTCCAAGCAGCGGAATCGAAAATATGGTTGATACGATGCCTTTGCCGTCCATGGGCGATTATAACTCCCCGGGGACTCATTATTGGCTGGCAGAGCTTTCAGCGCGACGACTTCTGAACCGAGTTCACTACACCATGTATCGAAATGAGCCCAGTAACATTCCCAATAGCGATGCTTCTCTGGGTCGAACGTGGAAAGTCTCCGACGAACTCAACCGACAGCTCGATGACTGGTTTCAACTTCTACCAGCCACCATCAAGCCCGATCTGCAAACTTCTGTGGAATCTTCTCCGGTGGAACTGAACATTCTGCACCGCTTTCACTCCACCAAAGATGTTATCCTCAGGCCCTTCCTGATCTACACCTGCAAGATATCGTCCGGGGCGGAAGTTCCACTCGATCTCATCTCCAGGAGCTCGCAGTGTCTCGATAATTGTCGAGCTTACCTTGAAGTGTCGATGCAACGGCTTTCGACTCCATCATCCTGCAGGGAGATCATCCTTCACTCGTACGTCGCCCCGATGAGCCCAAGATAGACGAATGACTAACATTCTTCGGTTCTTATCCCAGGACATTTGCTGCTATTATTGTCTTGACACTGGGGTCATTATGTCCGTCGCTTGCGCATTTCGTTGACGACATTGAAACTCTACAGAGCAAAGCTCTCAACACCATGGGACGTTTTGCCTTTGATGGTTCCTCCATCCAAGACCTGCACGCAATTACTGTCCTTCTGCGTCACAGAACGCGAGTGCTGCGACGAGGGAATGTTAATGGGCCAAGCTTGCTAGGATGACGAGTGACAACTTGCTCTTATCTTATTGAATAGATTGAACCTTACATCAGGTGCTAAAGCGGAAACCGCCGTTCGCACACACAACACTGCCTGTGCAGAAGCCTGCATCCTTCAGGCACAAAATACCCACGATCCCGGCAACTTCGTGCGCGTAGCCCGGTCTTCTTCCGCCCATCTTCTCCTTGCTGAGCTTGACGAGAGTCGGGTCGTCGACGCCTTCCCGAATTGCAGCGAGAGGCATATTCGAATGCCAGCTTTCCATCTGCTTCCAGAACCCCTCTCCTGCGGCATAGTACATATCCCCTTCAACCGGCCCCGGGCTCACGGCGTTGACAGTGGCACGCTCCGCCAGCTCACGGGCCCAAGTACGAGTCATGGCCTCGAGCGCAGCTTTGGTGCCACCATAAATGGTTTGCCCCACAAATCCGAGGGAGGATGAGACGCTCGACAGATTGATGATACGACCGGACCGGTCGTGGGGGAGAAACGGCTTGCACTCTTGTGTCATCATCAGCGGAGCGAGAACGTTGACAGCATACTGATCATGGAAAGCTTGCTCGGGAATCTCGCCAATTTCATAGTTGCCGCCGATGCCCGCGTTGTTAATGAGGATATCCACCACCAGATTGCCGTTTGCATCTCCATAATGCATCTTGGCTGCGGAGATGATTTGTTTCGCAGCAGCCTGAGGCGTCGCAAGATCCGCCTGGACCGATTCGCACCGAATATGATGCTTCTCTCGCAGATCAGCACCCAGGGACTTGATGGCCTCCTCGGATGATGGAGATGTATAACAGAGAAGTAAGCTGGCACCCATCTGACCCAGGTGGCGGGCTATTGCGGCACCGATTCCTAGCGCAACATCAGTATCGAAGCTTCGCGCTTTGAGTGCTGCGATAGACACATACCTCGCGAACCACCTGTGATAATGGCAAGTTTTCCGTTGAGTGATGCCATCTTTCAAAAACTTCGGATCGATACCAGCTCTTAAGCAGACTGAAAGGAGGATACCTGGATGATTCTGAAGAAAATAAAATCTTTCCACAATGTCGTGGCAGCTATTTATTAGTGGCCAACTGCCCATGTCCAGAAGCGAGCATAACCTTCCGACACAGCGGACAACCACTCCTGAGATTCTCATGGGTCTAGCCCGAGTAACGACCGACAGCGTGAAGCGGGATCCCTGCGGACCGGATCCGCCAGTTGGGTAGAGAGTTAGTACACATTTTCAGGGCAACGGAAGACCCGAAACATGTGGGCATGAACTGCCAAGTCATGTGAGCAACTTGCCAGTGGATTTAGCCTACCTACTACCTAGTCAATTGAGCCGAGTGAACGTGGGGGGTTTGAATGGGTGGGGTCTTAGGCGGAGGAAATAGACCAATGGCGGCAATCACCCGCCAACTCCGTCCGGCGGCGGATGTCTTCCACTCGATAGCCACCCGGGCCGCAGCAACCCCAGGCATGCTGAGAATGCGGGGGATGGCGTTGCACCATCTGAAGTCATTCAATGTAAAAGTCTTCGAATTCAGGTATCTACGGCGAGGAGTTTCTGGAGAATACTTAAGTACTAACCTGCTTGCTCTCTTAGTCCTCTAACAAGTCCTTTGCCGAGTCTCGTGGTAAACAAGTCGTGCCGATCTCTTTTTGGTTTTTATTATTATTCCAAAATGTCGACCCTTGGCTCCGAGAATCCTTCTTTCGTCCTTGAGGCGGTGCAAAAGGTCTCGATGAGAAACATCCCTGTTCCCGAAATCACCGACCCCTACGATGTTATTGTCAACATCAAACACACTGGTATCTGCGGGTATGCCCTGTCTCGAAAACCCCAGCCTTACTTCACGAAATCCTAACCCATCGATCAGGTCCGATGTCCACTACTGGCAGCGTGGCCGCATTGGGGATTTCGTCCTTGACTCACCTATCGTCCTGGGCCATGAATCTGCCGGCACGGTCGTCTCTGTCGGAACCGCCGTTAAACACCTGAAGCCTGGCGACAATGTTGCCATTGAACCGGGTGTACCTTGTCGCCACTGTGACTACTGCCGCAAAGGATCCTATAACCTTTGCCCTGACACCGTCTTCGCTGCAACCCCGCCCCACAATGGAACCCTCTCCAAATACTTCAAGACTGCGGGCGACTACTGCTACCTCCTGCCATCCCATCTAACCCTTGAAGATGGCGCTCTGTGCGAGCCCGTCGCATGTGCCGTGCAGATCTGCCGCGTCGGCGAGATCCGGGGCGGCCAAACAGTCGTCGTCTTCGGCTGTGGTCCAATCGGTCTTCTGGTCCAGAGCGTTGCTAAGCAGTTTGGCGCCAAAACCGTCATCGGCATCGACGTCAACCCCAAGCGTCTCGAAATGGCCAGTACAATAATGAAGTCTGCAGATGGTGTCTTCCAGCCTCCTGCCCTCCCTCCGAACGAACCCTACGACATGGACAAGGACGTCCTATTCAACGGCCAGGTTGCCAAAACTATCAAAGAGCAATTCAATCTCGGCGAAGGTCCCGATGTTGTCATTGACGCTACTGGAGCCCAGAGCGCCATCCAGACTGGTATTCAACTGTGCAAAAAGGGAGGCATGTTTGTTCAGGCCGGAATGGGCCGAGAGGTGAGACTTTCCTTTTGAAATGAGAACATGGCAGCGAGCAGATCACTAACCATTTCGCAAATACAACAGAACATTGTCTTTCCCATCACCACTGCCTGCATCAGGGATTTGACCCTTCGAGGATCAATCCGGTACACTGCCGGTGTGTATCCATCTGCCATTGACCTTGTGGCGAGCGGGAAGGTCCAGCCACAGAAGATTGTCTCGCATCGGTACAAGTTCGAACAAGCCGAGGAGGCTTTTGAGAAGGTGAAAAGGGGGGGTGAGGATGTGTTGAAGGTTATTATTGAGGGCATCTGAGGTGTGCTGAATAGAAGAATGAAATCAATCAATCCATTTTTGGAAAGGAGAGTGCATGGACTATGCTGTAGTGTTATAGCTGGTAATTGTGGTACTTATATCATATCATATCATAGGAATGAGGTAAACTGATTAATAGGTGGGACTCTATATAAAGAACGGGAGGTGCTACGCCCACCCACACCTTGTACCTACCCAACCTATACAATTAAGCTTAGTATACTAGGTCTTGGACTGTGCGTGGCCCAAGGCGCTGCGTGTGGCCGACAGCTATCTACCACTCTGTATGGACTATGTAATGACTAAGCTGGGAGACCTGTTCAATTGGTCTGGGGTCTTGCCCCGCGCGGCCCCCCCCCCGGCCAAACTAGTAGTTAGACAGGAAGCTCGGGAAAGACTATATAGTAGTATAGCTATCAGAGGGTATTGTAGATGTTGCCGAGTGTTATGTATTCTCATAGACGGCGCCGTTTAAGTCGGGGTTGGTCGCTGTCGGCAGAAGTAATTCCCAAACATGGCTGTTCAATCAGACTGTCAATTGTATCGCGAGAAATGCTCTCCTGGTTGCTCTGAGTTACCTTTGATGTATTCCTGACATCCTGGTGCACCGAAGAGGTGGATGAGGTATTGGTATCGGGGTGGGATGATGGAGTAGTGCAGTCAGATAGTTGTCTCAGGGAGGCACTTGTTGGCAACGAACACCTCTCTATGCTCATTCGCAGATGCGACAGGGAGTCGTGAACCTCCTGGCTCAAGGTGGCGATGGGTTGCTGTGTTGTTTTTGAAGACAGTGCCATCTCGCTCTGGAATTGCTGTGAGTCTTTGGGTATTATTCCAAGTCGGTCCTTCGCTGTTGAGCATGAGTGTTTGACAATAGTCCCTAGGGTTTCCAAATGGCCAAGATAGGAGTCACTAAGCTGACTGTTCTGTGATTTTGTCGTTTCCAGTTTTTTGAGCCCAGAGCTCTAATTCTTCATCAAGTATTTCTTTGTGATTGTCGAAGCTTTGCTGTAGGTCCTTCCGCGCGGAGACTGCTGTTTGCTGGACAGAGAGGTGTTGTTTGTCGATGGTCTGCTTCGGGCTATCAAAAGGTCAGAGTGAGAGCAACATAGGATAGGAACTGTACTTTCTTATCCTGCCCCATACGTACAATGAGATTGTTCCTTAAGTCAATGAGTTCTTCAGTAAGTTGTTGCTGCCTTGTGACACATCGATCAAGCCGGCTGTGTGTTGTAAGGCCCGTAAGAAGCTCACCGGAGCTTGCAATGTCATTGCAGATAGTACTGTGGTTGTCTTGAAGTCGATCCCAACGACGCTGAGATTCAAGGTTGTAGAGTGCACCAATTTGGGTCAGAAGCTTATGGCGCTCTGTTTCAGCGTTTGTACGCTCCTCCTCCAGAAATCGAGACAGATCAAGCGAGGTCTTATGGTTCATTTCTGTCATTCGAGCATTGGCATCTTGAAGCTGATGCTGTAGTTCGCTGATTTCGACATTTGCTCTTCAATATGATTCACGATTATCTGAACTATAGAGTTGACATCATTGCCGAGTGTGTTGTAGGCCATATCAAACTGAACCTGATTAGCTAAGGTCTTAGGAAGGTATATAAAGGTTGTACCTGGTTATTGCACTTTGTTAGTTCATCTTGGAAACTTTGAGACATCCGGATGATTGTTTGAGGGAGTTCAATCAAGATCTTGGAGACCATAACCCTGACCTGTTTGCTGATTTGCTTGAGCTCTTGGAAAGATTCGTCTGTCTCGCTCTTCAATAATTGTGTTTGGGAGTCAACCTCAGCATTTTCAACAGTATGGAGGGCATCATAAAGAAGGCTATCACTCCTCTGCGCCGCCATTGTCTCATTCTCAAAAAATCGGCTGAGATTGGTCGAAAAGTCCTGGAAAAGTTTTGTCTGGTGAGCTTCAAAACTCTTCATTCGAATTCCCACTTTCTCAGTGATATCCGAAACCTCTGCAACAGATCCACCCCATATCTTCTTAGCCTTGTTTATAGTGTCATTTATTTGACAGAGCTTTGAATGCGTCTCCTTATTATCGGATTCGGAGTCTCGGAGCTGACGTCTTAATGCAAGCAGCTCTTCTGCCTTGTGTTGAAAGCCAGATTCCAAGGCTTCTATTTTCTGTTTTTGCTCCTCGTTGGCAATCCGCCGGGACTCGTTTTCTTTGGTCATCTCTTCATATGTCTCCGGAGTCATATAGATGCCGTTTCGATGTCTTGTTGCTCTCAAGTTGCGTTTAAGATTCTCGATTTCCGAAGAGAGCTCTGATAGTAATGTATCTTTCGGCACGGGCGTGTTTATCTGTGGCCTGTTGTGAATGTTCTTCGCACGAAATGCTTAGTCCAACGTTGAGACGATCTCTTCCTGACTTGACCGACAAGGAGAAACAGTAGCGATTATGCAAATCCTGGTGCGGCCACCTAAGGAATCTTGCAGTAACCTTGTCAATTTCGATTCTCTAACCAACGTTATTTTTGTTATCTCTTCTTCTATTAAACCTTTTAATACATTACCTGTACGGAACATGTGAAGCTTTGTCAACCAATGCATTGATGACTCGTCCAAGTGTTAGCAAGCTTCTGTTGATTTGACCGGCTTCAACAGCTCGCTTGTTCTCAGCACCACTGCGCTGGATATTCTCACTTCCAGCTAGGTCTACCAGATTCAGCTTCCCCGACGTAATGGACCCTTCACTAGACTTGGTAAGCACGTTGATTGTGAAAATGGTATGACTCCGGGAACTCAGATCATTGCATTTGGTTGCTGCCACCTGCCGTTTCTGACTAGCAATTTGTAGTAGCTGAATACCGGCTGATGGAGAATCAATGTATGAGTCTTGCATTCCTTTCACCAATATACTCCTGTTGAAAGTATTCCGTTCGTTTTCAAACAGTTGTAGTTTCACATCCTCCTCATCGGAGAGAAGATCATGTAAGACCTCATTGTAAAGCTCGATGAAAGAGCACTTGATAGTGCTATCTGTTCCCCTAAGCGTATCAAATAGGGTGCAAAGGGTGCGTGGGATGATCCCCGCATTATCCGACAACAGCCCAAAATCTTCCGTCATGTCTCCGAACATGGTGTATGTTTTACCTGTGCCGGTCTGTCCATATGCAAAGATGGTGCAGTTGTAGCCTAACAGCAGCTGTGTCATAGATCAGCACATATAGCAAGAGGCAAGGCAACTTTGAACCTCACTTCGTCAATCATTGGCAATACAGTGTCTTCATAGACCGTCCGCTGGTCAGCAGCCGATGAGAATACCCGATCAAAGTTGTAGATCTTTTTTGGGAGAGAACCCATAGACATTTCCACAGTCTTTCCCTTAAAGTCATCTGTTTGTAGTATAACGGGATGACCTCCGTTCGTCTCCTGTTCATTGCGACCCTGGCAGCGCACTGTCACATATATTGCTGTTTTATCACCAACTTCAAGCTCCCTACTTTGTGAGGTTGTTGGTATGCACGGGTCATTTGCATGAGCAGTTTTCCGGGTTTGTGATGATCTGGCTCGCTGAGAGAGTCCCACGAAGCCAGCTTGTCCTTCATTTTGACCCGTGCGTCGAGTGGTAAATCTAGACCGAGTAGTCATTTCCTGAACGCAAGTCAGGAACAAGTGGAGAAGAGGGTGGGGAGTATGAGGGATGGAGGCAAAGTGACGTGCTTTGAAGGCGCGCGCGCCGGTAAACAAGCCTAACATCACGTGGCTCCAAGGAGGCTCGGAACATACAGGAAAACGCCGATATTAGCAACCAAATTACCTGATCTTATAATACTAGGTAGTTGTTAGGACTGAACTCTCTATTCATACAGAATTGCTTACGTTAAGAATCTGATGGGCTGAATTGCCAACTATACAGCAGATATGGGACAGAGTAGCCAGCAAACAACATTCGCCTTCTCATCTACCTAAGCCCCAAGCATGGCACACTCAGTGTCGATGTATACATGTCGGGAATCTCAGAAACCGGAAGGTAAGATGGCTGACTCCGCCGGAACCGTCTCCTCGTCTACCTAGAAGTATGAGCTAGCCAGTGAGAACAGTGAACGGGTGTCCAATCCGGGCCCACCATCTGATAGCCCAAGGAAGAGAGACGTGGAAACGGAAGTTCGAGCTTCAAGAATAAAGAAGAGCAGATATTATACATAATGTGCACATACTGCACATACATCCATGGATGGAGCCCAGTCCAGTTCCTACGGCATTACAGGTGCTAGTAGTACAGGTGCCAACATGCTACACAGTGACCGAGACATTCTTCGCTCTCTACACACTATGATTCATCAAGCTACACACAACAAGATATATACATCTCACTCTTCCACCCCCCTCACCGACAGGTATACCCCCCATCAATCCGAATATCAGCACCTGTCGTGTATGAGCTTGCATCGCTTGCCAGATAGACATATGCGGCCTTCAACTCCTTCGGCTGACTCGTCCTTCCCATAGGAATCATCCCAATCCACCCCCTCTGAATCTCCGGATCCACAAAATCCGACAATCCCGTATCAATATACCCCGGCGAGATACTATTCACACGAGCGAACTCCCTCCACTCATTCGCCAACGACCTCGCCATATGAATACAACCCGCCTTGGCCACATTATACGACGTCTGTTCCTGCGGATAATTGGCAATGTGTCCCGAGATAGACGCCGTAATAACAAAACTCCCTTTCCCCTGGGTCTTGAAATGAGGGCCAATGGCCTTAGCGCAGTAGAAAACCGAGTTGAGGTCCGCTTGGATGATATTCTCCCATGCCTCGACGGTCCCATTGAGGATGTCTGTATCGGCTGTCCGGCCCGCGTTGGCGATGAAGGCATCGATGTGGCCGAAGTCATGGATGATGGTGTCAACCAATTTTTGAACCTCCAGCCACTTGGATGTGTCGCATTGGTAGGATTTGGCTTTAATGCCGTAGCTGCTTGCGAGTTCGTGGGCGTTGGCCGACGCTTGTTCTTGGCGGGTGAAGTAGGTGAGCGCGATGTTGGCGCCCATTTCGGCGCAGCCGCGTGCGGCTTCTATCCCGATTCCTTGAGCGTTGGAGGCGCCGGTGATCACGACCACTTTGCCTTTGAGGCTGAAGAGGTCGGTGAGAAGGTTGGAGGGGGGGATTTCAAGGGGCATGGTGGTGGGGGATGGAGGAATGATGAAATCGAAAAGAATCGGTGAAAGAACTAGTCTTGGGGGTGTGACTTGCAAGGGTTTCTTCGGTGCTCTTTTCTGTTGATGGGAACTGAGGTTCGTGGATAAGGTAGCATGTCTTTTATATTCGTTGAGAATTGGTGGGTTCATGTCCATTGAATGGAGAGCGGAGGGAAGCCCGTGGGGAAGTCGTGGAAACATAGCGGGCGGATAGATAGCGGGTCGAGGCGGATATCCCGCCGTGGGAGTATAGCCGTGGTCTGCTGCAGTCCACTGCTGATCGACGCGATCACCAGCATATTCCAATTCCTCATTGCGCAAATATTATATTCAAAGAGAACCGTTGAAGGCTAGTCCTGGAGAAGTATTGCGGCCCAGTTCCATTTGAGATCACAATCCTCAACGTCTCGACCGAAGACACGCACGGCTCCACCTGGCTCTCCCCGTTGACGACTCCAAACGCACGAACAGAAGGAGAAGAATAGAGCCCTGGAGTGTTAGTGCTTACAGCGTAGGGCAGCTGCCTGAGCCCCAAAAGGGCAGACGCCAGGGGGCTGCCGTTGCCATGCACGGCACTCAATTCAAGTGTACATTGGGCTTGCTCGTCAACTACAGTATACCTAAACCATGCCTCGAGTGAACACCTTTCTGCTCACATCTATTGTGGACTTTCCAGAAATGAGTGAATTCTTCAATCTTCGAGAAGTAGAACATTCAAAACGACACCGCCGTAGAAGTGTAGTAAACGGACCCAAGGATTCTAATTCGGCCGGACACTACATCAAGACGTTGTCGCTGAAGAAAGGGAGTTCTCAACGAGTTAGGTTAATGTCTTTGAGCATTGTAGTGCTGCAGCATTGGTTGTCTTGGCACGGTGGAGCATTAAGAATCGGTATCAGGCATATAGAATTCCAGAGGTTTGGTGTCTTGGCCTCTAATCTGCGTTTTTCTAAGAGATGACTCGGCACTACTCTTACGATGATTTCTAATGCTATAACAGTGCTGTAGGGTTACTATTCGTCTTAACTCCATGTTCAGTTTGCTTAAGAGGTGCAATCAATATCATTCAAAAAAACTCAACAAACTGGTTCAAAAGTGACTAAAACTACTATGATATTATCCTCAGTAAGGAATCACTCCCGCTAGCTTCAGCATCCGATCCGACATATCCGGCTTTTCCAATGGCTCTTTCCTATCTTTCGGATCGATGGTGCCATCAGGGCGCCGCGCAACCAATGGCCGCAGGAAAATGTTGTCATGCGCCCAATGAGTCGTGGCACCGTAGACCGAAAACACCCTTCTCTTCTCTTCGATGGCCTCTTCCGTAGCGAGTCGCGCTGGAGAATAACTAGCGTATATGACCGTGCGAATGACATTACTCTTCTCTGTGGGCTCCCCACCCCAGTGCACAGTGCGACTATCCCAGAGAATCAGATCACCAGGTTCTGTGGTGACTTTGATTGCGTGAAGTCCTTTACCAGCCCACCATTTCATCTCGTCTTCACTGAAGCGGCGCCAGTCCTTGGTCTCCCATCCCTTTGGGTCGGTTTGTGTATCGAAGAATTCATCATTGAAAGTATGAGACCGCGGCAGGCACATAAGACTTCCATCCTCAGGGCCAGCAGGACTCAGGCTGATGATGCCCTGAATACAATGCATCCCTCTCTTGAAGGGGGACTGGTCGATATGTGGCCATGGCGGACGGGCTGGCTTGTCTTCACGGTTGGGGAACGTGATGTTGAGAGAATCATAGGAAACCAGTAATTCATCGGTCTCCCATACTTTGGCGAAAGCATCGACGACGCCTGGTTCCATCCGGGCATCCCACATGAACTTCTCATGGACCACCCCGTAATTGTCGAACGTGTTAAGTTTGCTCTGCACAGGGAGGTTTTCGGCCTTCCATGTGCTGGGGTCGTTCATATCCAGCGGAGTATCGAAAGAGGTGACCCAATCAAAGGCCTTTTGTTGGTACTGAAGGGCTCTTTCACGAGGAATGGCGTTTTTGATCACCACGTAACCATTCTCATGGAGTTCATCACGGAAATCGCCATGCGTCGCTTTGATCCTGGTGGTGACGTTAGCAGGTTAGGTTTTGGCGTGACTTGTGGTTTGTTCCATGTGTTACCTTAGAGGACCTTGGATGACGCTTCCAGTAGGTGCGGACTGTGTAGTCGACATGTTATCGATAGGGCTTAGACAGCAGTAGTTGGTAATAATAATCGTAGTTGAGTTTCTCGATGGCTTTCCAGGCCTGTGGGGTATAGAGCGAATCTGTCTCACCGGTGAGCTGGAGAGCTTTTATGTCCGTTTATTACCCCCATGATTGATGGTCTGATCGTCCTGTCAAGTTTCCCTGAACTCCGCTTCTTTCCCTCGGAGTATCGTGACGGAGTCCGTGTGTTGCCGTTTCTTCCGCATAATGGTTTGCGTTGCAGCTGGAGGCGGACACACGAGCGGGATTTCCGCAAAACTTCAATCCCCGCATTCATCTCCGCTTCATGTCATAGATGTTGCCAAGGTTTACATTCAATACGGCCTGTAGGCCCGAATGCTGATCGCAGAATGGTCCCACGTCATCCCTGGACAGGGCAAGCGAGGCTTAACCTCTCATGCACTCTATGAATGCATGTAACCAAAGTGTGGAAATGAGCCTTGAATGCGAGAACCTTCTGGAACATCATTACAGTAGTATAAGGTGCGTGGCAAGCATGCCAGCTAATGCTACTGGAATGTATATACAGTGCGGGTGACGTCGTCTTCATCCCCCCAATGAGTACGCCGAGCTTGAAATTAGAGCGGACGCCATTTAAAGGTACCGAAGGTATGAAGTAGATAGTTATCAGAACTTGCAGTGCTAGGGTCTACCGACGAAAATTATAGAGGTGCTAATAATGATGGAAAGGAAAGCTACCCGGATTTCATCGACCAGTTTAAACCCAGCCTTCGATGGAAGTAAGATCACCGACGCTTCCGGAGTTGTGTGTGCTCTGGGTAGCACTAGCAAATCCGACTATGCACCGCACTTTGGAAAAATGTACGAGTCCGAGTTGATGACAAACTGTTGCCGAATTTCACCTGAAGTACGCTGTCAATGTGCTGACGCCCATCCGCGTGGCACGGGCTGTTCCCTCTCTCCTCTCTGGCAGATACCTGGCCAAAATATGAAAATTAGCAGTGTGGTCCCCTGCTTGGGATTGCCATTCATTCTCTGTATCAAAGGACGAAGGCTGTCCTGGAAGTAATGATTAGACGTGGACTCGTGCTCGCAGAAAGACATGCCGTAGAAACCGTCACCCGGGGTACTATCGATGTGATATGTACTTTGCGGCCGAAGAGAAGATTTGGGGCAGATAAGGATCTTCTCAAGAAAAAGATGTAATGGTGAGAAGACGCAAATAAATTGTCATTGTGAAGGCTGATACATGAAAATGGGTGGCCGCTAAAAGAGAGTGCCGCTGTAGTTGATAGATCTGTGGTCCTGATGATTGAAAGTAGAATTTGTAAGATCAATCCAGGACTAGCATCCGCTGAGCTGTTTTGAGAGGCGTTCAGAAAATCTTATCTTTTGAATGATGGTGCTCAAAATCAATTCCACAGATTCTGCGCTGGACCCTGGAGTCATCCATTGTTTTATAGTAACCGTCAAACTTGTCAAAACAACTATAATATCAGGCACCAAATACCTGAGCTGTGGACTCCCCCAAGCGATGGTGAGAACAAATGCGCAGGCAAGAGATCTGGAAGGCGTCAGTTTTGTGTCTACCCACACCCAATGATCCTTACGCTTGAATAGTCGTCCAGGTATATTGACTCCTTTCCTGCAAAACATGAGCAGCAATCTGGATATAATTGCGACAGCTCTGCACACAGGATTCACAACGCTCCACCATAAATGCTGGGAAATGAGTATTATTTGGCAGGGACGCAACGTAGAGGAGCCATGGTCGGCAAATAATGTGTTTTGCAGACCAATACCGACATCTCAACCAGCCGTCCCGCCAGCTAGTGGGCTCACTGTCCGTCAGATCGAACTTGATGCCATCTGGTAAAGAGTGACACCACGAATCTAGTTGATGGGAAAGCTCGTTGCAAAGATTTTCCAATGAGTCCACTGTCAGAAGGTGCTCGGTAGTAAATGAACTGTTGAGTCGGCTAAGCCCATCTTCTGGGACCCCGGTTGGGCCTATGGAGCTAGCATAAACCGCTCCGTGAACACGGTTCAGCAATCTCCTGATTGAGCATTCTGCCAAAAACGTAAGGCCGTCGGAGTCAACGCCTTTGGCAAAGCACGGAAATGGAATGCTTTCGACCGTAAGCTCAATCCCGCTGCGTGGCAGATGGAACTCTGCCAGCATATCACTAGTGTCGAAATTAATTCATGCGTACTGATTGATATAAAGGATATGCTTACCATTCCAGAAGGAAGCATGTCCAACACAAGCGTCCCAAGCAGTCCACCTCATCTTGGCTCGTCGTGTCGTTGATTCTGTGTGTACCTTTAGAAGGTGTGCGTCAGGAAACTTCTGAAGGTTGACGTACTGCTTCACCATGATCTGGGCTTTCGTGGAAGCCATATATACCATGCTCCATGATTGAAGAGGACGTTCTTGATAGCATAAGTAGATTGCACAATATACCAGACCACAGACAAGTGGTAAATTGAAATGGAAGGATGTGGTCCACTGCGAGATCAGCTTGTAATATGATCGAGCAAAGAGTTCTATCCCATTAATCTCCGAGCACTGCCCAGGAGAGCAAGCCTGTCGGTTCGACGCAAGTTTCCCAAGAGCAAGAACAACAAGACACAACGCTTCGCCAGATTTATTCCCAGTGCGAGCAAAAAGATTTTCATGGACAAAGCCCCTAAAGCTATTCGGATTCAGAATTGGGAAGTGAGGATGAATTTGGGAGAAGAATGATGCGAGTAGAGCATCTGCATCATCTTTTTCAATGCTGAAAACAGTATCAGGCATTTGGGGCTCGAGGTTCCTCGTGGATTCGATCTTATAGAAAAAGTCTTCTGCATAGTTCCCGATAAGCTTTCTGATTTGATCAACTGAAAAAAGGCTGCTCGCTGGAGTAACATGGCCAACAGGAATTGTAAGTAGCTCGTCCTCTGCATATTGATTGCCACTTAATTTTCGTCCAGTTTCAGGTGCCCACTGCAAGCTATGCGTATCCACCATGGAAGGTGAATACTGGTTCACGAACTTCTGGGGCTGGAGCAATGATACCTCAGGCGTGAATAACAGTGACGATGAGAATCCTGATATATTGGGCTCGTGTTCCGAGCCATTTTGTTTGCCCCAGGATTCCTGTAACTCGGAATTCGAAGATTGACAATGCTTTTCGGATGGCAGCACAGTGTTTTGTCTTTGGATTGCTCTTTCAAGACCATCGAGTCTCCGCACGATATCGGCCGTCGTTGTGCCTCTCCTGTTTTAAGATTTAGTTGCAAGTCTGTCGAAGTGATGGGGCTGAGCACTTCTTACTGCTCTAGAAGGGGTGAAGAAACATCCTCAGTCACCGGCGAAGGGGTGCTCGCGGTATGAGCAATAAAATCCTGATAGTCACATGGAACACCGGCCACCTTGCATAGGCGACAAGTAGGCCTATGGCCGTCGCATTTTCGCTTCCTGGGCAGGATCAGGTTATCTGCTCCGTTCAAAGTTTGAGGGTCTCACCTTTGCCGGCAAAGATTGCAAGCTATGGGGGATCTTTTGCGAGTTAAACTCATTTGAAGCTCCAGGGAACTGTGGAATACAATGATAAAAGTGCTGAAGGAGGAATCAAAGATGACGCCTATCGCTTTCGCCCCGTACAATTGCCGCCTTCTCCGCCTCCATTCACCGTCTCTTGTCACCGCCTGGGTCACCGCCCGTCCGGATTGCGGGGACGAAATATCCCCAGGAAGACAAGCTCGAGTGAAGGGTAGCAGATCATCGATCGTTGAATCCAATCCACGACGCGGGATTACAAAAGCAAGATGCTTCGGGGGCTTTTCCAACGCTGACAGCATCGATTATTCCGATTAGTGCCTAGCAAAAACACAGGGAAGTTCTGACCGGTGTCACTTGACGTACTTGGTTTTTCAATTTTGCGGGAAACCCCCGCAAATGGGATTGGTGCAAATCGGATGACTTTCTGTTTTGGGCCATTCTTCATCCGCGGCTTATCCGCAAAAGGCGGCTTTTCCGCTTTTTGGCTGCGGGATCACTACTCGAGTGCATTACCCCATGCTCCCCCGCAACCTGGCAATAGCGACTCGTATGTAGGTCCTAAAGAAACCCCGGTTGGGGAACTAATTTTCTGGCTTCGATAATTCGGATTCTGTTGCTAGTGTTGTTACGTTTCGACAACAAGCGATCGCCACAATCCGACTTTGGAGATCATCAGTCCAGATCGTTGCGGGTCCGCGTCGCCCGCAATCGGCAACGAATGTACATCTCCGCTTCGACTCCGCCTGCCGCAGCGAAATATGCTGCGGACTGAGTCTTTCACGGACATGGCTATCTTCTCAGCAGGCTCAGCAACATATCCTCCGCAATTGATTGCTAAGCGAAAGTCAAGCTGGGGTCAAATGCACCCTATGTGTTCTGCAAATATCGGACGGGGGACAGCCTTGTCAAGTTACATAACCTGTAGGCGTAGCTACCGATAGTATATATATAACAAAACAGTTGACATAGTCAACCGTAGGCCATCTGAACTTTGCACCACCATCTCAGAGCCCAAGCCTGAGTCTTACAATGATCCGAACCATTTCTCCAAATTGTCTCAAGTGCCCTACTTTCCGTGCGGGAAAATGCGCCGGAACAGTCAAGCGGCTCGTGGCAACCGAGTCATCTCCGATCACTCGCAAAGGCAAGAAAGAAGGGGATATCTCTTCAATCTTTACAACATTTTCCGGGAAAGCCAGCCTGCCACTTCCTGACCGTTTCCGTGAAATGAAACGAAATCTCACCGCGGGCTTCGAAGAGCAGCTCCAGAAGTCATGGGACGAACTTGTGGAAGTTTTGAAAGTACGAACTGAAGAGGTTGCCACCAAGCGAAAGGCTGTACGTTCATCCAATCGTGGTAGACGACGTTGGATAAACAGCTGACTGGTATAGATTATCCCCCAATTGAACTTTGCTGACATCAAATCCGGAACCGTATCTCCTGCAGATGTGGCTGCTATACGACGCACCGGGGTTGCCGTTATCAGAGGGGTTGTGGACAAGGATGTCACGGAAAATCTACTCGCTGACGCCCGCCAATACCTGACGTCCCGTCCATTCAAGGGTTTTCCGGCTGATTCAGATGAAAAGGTGCCAAACCAGCCGCTAAAGCTTCTGGTCCTGGGCTAACCTCTAGGCAGGTGATCTATGAGTCGTATTGGAGTCCTTCTCAAGTGAAAGCAAGATCGCATCCCAATATGCTTTATACGCAGTCATGGATGAATCAGCTGTATACTGCCGATGCAAATCAAAAGAGTAAGCTGCAATGAGATGTCGAGATCGTGAATCCAGCTGATACAGTTTAGTTGACCTTTCGGTCCCACTCACTTATTGTGACCGTGTCCAAATCCGACCACCAGGTGATGAAAAGTTCGGGCTTCCACCTCACGTCGATGGCGGAGGAGTGGAGAGATGGGAGGACAAGGCTTATAGCCACACCTACCGCAAAATATTCGAAGGAAAGGTAGGGGGGCTCAGTTAGGTCTCTATCCCTTTCAGTATCAAACTAACAACCCATCAGTGGCAAGAATTTGATCCCTGGGATCTTACTGGCCGCCTTGATGCCAACATGAACCTGTATGAAGGACCGGGGGGGTGCTCAGACTTTAGAAGTTTCCAAAGCTGGCTTGGATTATCCCGCCATGGACCCCAGGAAGGTAGGGAAGGCTCTTCGTTTGAGAACTAATTTGAAATTGACCACTCGACTCGTTAGGCACTCTCGTCGTCCACCCCATCCTGCAACCGGCCACTGCTTACTGGATGCTTCGGCCCTTTTTCAAGCCTACTCGAAAGGATTCTTTGGATGGATGGAAATTCTCTCTCGAAGATGATGACGGCAGTGTTTACCTGCATGGCTCCAACCCAGGAGATGTCCAAGAGCATACCCCCGCTCATCATCCTCATTTAAGACTCGCGGAAACCATGATTCCCTACCCCACCGTTGAGCCTGGTGACACTGGTAAGACAGAGACCCATACCATAAGGCCATATAAAACTAATAATGAGGATGGTATTCTGGAGTGCCGATACTATACACGGCACGGAGATGAAAAACACAGGAAACATCGACGCTTGTGTTTTCTATATCCCGTCCGTCCCATTGATGCCTAGCAACGCGGTAAGTAAATCGACCATGGTCGCCTGATCAGGAATTCGACGCTTACAAGACCTAGCAATACGTCGCACAGCAACGTGAGGCTTTTCTGCAAGGTACTCCTCCTCCCGACTTCCCTGGTGGATGTGGCGAATTCGAATACTCTGATAGAGGAACGGTTGCAGACATTCAGTCCAAACAGGGCAAGGTTGCAATGGGTCTGAGCCCTGTCAGGCTTGGCAAGGATGAGAAGTCGAAGAAGCTTGAGCAGGAGGTTAATGGAATTTGGGGATTCTAAGAGCTCCAATCTCAGTATTGCGTCAACTTTGTGCATCATGGGATTGCTTCTGGATCAATTCGGCCATCATTGGTTTAATAAAATCTATAATATTTCCAGTCACCAGATTTGCCATTCCTGTGGCAGTTACCATATTCCACCCCTCTATAAAGTAGTAAACACTTGCATCCCTCGTTATCTCCCAAGTCATACTACTCTGATACCCATAATTCCGGGAATCAATTGATGCCAGGGGGTCTGGGAGAGAGGGGAATATTCCCCCTCTTCGGAACGATGTTGCGGTTATGCAAGGGTGGCGGATGCGATCCGCAGCCACTCCGCCAACATAACTGACCTTGTTCGATGCCGCCCAAGCTTCTTGTACAGTTGTACTACCCCTTGATTCTCTTCAGGTTGAGCGGAAGGCGGGCCGCCGGGAGATCCTGGATGCGGAAGTGGCACGCGGAGCCCCCAGACAATCAATCTATTTTACCCCGGATTTCCCGGCGTTTCTTTGCAAAGGTAGAAGACCTTTTCAAAGCGGAACAATGACAAGTGCAACAAACATCGTGGGCGGATCAATTGCAGAGGCACTGCCAGTGACCGATAAGTACTGGTCTCAGCAGCGGCATTTGCTACGATTGAACCTCGTCCTCCTCATCCCCCTGCTCTCGTCCTCGACTTTTGGCTATGATGGTGAGATACCATAGTCCCTCGCGATATTCAACGGCTAAGAATGAGTTTTGTTATAGGGTCTTTGATGAACGGACTGCAATCCTTGAGACAATGGCAAGAATACTTCAACAATCCCAGGGGCAGCCTCTTGGGAACCATCATCGCCTCTCAGTCTATCGGAAGTGTCATCGCGCTTCCATTCCTAGCCCATCTCTGCGATCAGTATGGTCGTAAGCCAATCCTGTTTGCGGGACTGGTCATCATATGCATCGCCACGGGTATACAATGTGCATCGGTGAACCTGCCGATGTTCATAGTAGCCCGCATTCTGATTGGAATTGGAGGCATGTTCAGTTCCCAGCCAAGCCCAATGTTGATTGCCGAGTTGGCATATCCTACCCATCGTGGTAAATATACTTCGGCATACTGGACCATGTACTACCTGGGTGAGTGTAGAGAACTTGACGACTCTCTACTCAAAAGCTCACAATCAATAACGTTCCTAGGTGCGATCCTCTCTTCATGGTGCACATTTGGCACCCAAGCTCTATCCGGCAGCTTGTCATGGCGCATACCCTCCCTCCTACAAGCAGGGTATCCTCTGGTGCAGCTAATCTTCCTTTACTGGGTTCCAGAATCCCCACGATGGCTAGTAGCGCAAAACCGGATCCAAGAAGCCACAGCCACTCTCCAGAAATACCATGCCGGCCAAGAGGATCCAAACGCAGAACCTTCACCTCTTGTTGCAGTAGAGATAGCCGAGATCACCCACGCCATCGAAATCGAGAACAGTTCCCAATCCACGGGCTGGTCCACCTTGGTAGCAACACCAGGTAATTCCCCCCCCTCCTTTCTTCACCTAAATCCAATAACCAACACTAACACCACCATCACAAACCAAGGCAACCGCAAACGAACCACCATCGCAATCTGCGTCGGCGCCTTCGCCCAATGGAACGGCATCGCCGTAGTCTCCTACTTCCTGACCCTCGTCCTCGACTCCATCGGAATCACATCCCCCCACACCCAAACCCTCCTCAACGGCCTTCTCCAACTCTTCAACTTCGCCGCCTCCCTAACGGCCGCATTCCTCGTCGACCGACTCGGCCGCCGCACCCTATTCCTCTGGAGCGGAATCGGCATGTTCATCTCCTACATAATCTGGACCGTTTGTTCGGCCCTCACCACCGAAACTGGCTCCAAGCCCGCAGGCTACATCGTTATCGTCTGCGTCTTCATTGTCTTCTTCCACTACGACATCGCCTGGACCCCGCTACTCTTCGGCTACCCGACAGAAATCTTCCCTTACTCGCTTCGCTCCAAGGGCCTGGCCGTCGAGATGATGGCCGTGTACGGGTCTCTGGTTATTTCCTCATTCTGTAACCCGATTGGGATTGCGAATCTGGGCTGGAAGTACTATATCGTGTTTTGTGTTTTTCTGGCGGGGATCTTGGGCACGGTGTTTTTTTATTTCCCCGAGACGAAGGGGCATTCTTTGGAGGAGATTGCGGTTATTTTTGATGGGGATTCACGGCGTGGTATGTTGGATTTTGGTGATGAGGGGGGTTGTTTGGTAGATGAGGGGAAGAGGGGGGGAGGGGAGCATGTGGAGGTTGTGGAATGATGAGATTTCCTTGCTTGAGTGAGGTGGGTGAGCAGTCAGCGCTGACACTGACTTCCTTCTTTCTTTCTTTGCGGGGAATGGAGATACGAGTCATTCGATGTGTGTCAGTGGTCGCGCCAGTTTCGGGACCTACTGTAGATAGTATCAATATGTGGTAGTAGATCCTGAGAAGCATACGATGGAATGCCGTATAATTACAGTGTCGGGTCCTGGAGCCTCAAAGGGGGAGGGAGAGGGACGGAGTACGTCAGATGTTCTCTCTCTCTCTTTTTTTTTAGGTTGGTTTGTATGATATAGAAAGAGGTGAATATTATCTAGGAGGACTGAATCTTTGTGATTATTTCTTTTTGTGTATAATAAGTTCCAGAGGGTTGGTATCTTGGGATGGATGGGAGTGCTGGTCAGTATTAGGGAAGATCGTCAGGTTGGAAATGATGAAAATGACGCAGTTTTATTATTAATACTCTTTACTTTCCTGGGGACGGTCCGTGGTTCCATAGCCCGGACCGGCAATGCAAACTACTCAACCCTAACCTCCAACTCAACAACTCTTTGAATCTGCAATGGTCCATCTCCATCTTTCCTCTCCTCCTCCATTCTATTTCTTCCCCCCTCTCCGCTTCCTCTCCCGCTCCCGCTCCGTCTCCCACTCCCCAACGAGCTCCCCTCCTCGTCACCATCACCATGTCCAATCGTCGTCGTCACTGCCGCCGCATTATCCCACGGTCTGTTGCGCCCAGCGTTCACCTCCCCCAGCTCCAAAAACTCAGCCTGGTCATCCGTCTCCGAGGGAAGCATACGGCTCTGGTTACGCTGGGTGCGACGCACGCCGCTCATCCCGTACGAGCGGGTGGGGTCTAGAGTCTGGCTCTGGCTGGGGTGGCGCTTGCGACGACGCGAGGTATAACTAGATGTCAGGGTGGAAGCGAAGGCGTGGAAGTAGGGGCCGTAGGTAGGGATGCAGGCGATGATTACCTGGGGGTTGTTTGTGTTAGTAATGATGCTTAGTGATGCGGAAGGACAAGGGCATACTCCTAGACCGATTTCCACGGAGGACCACAGGACGATCGGTTGGCTGTCCGTGTAGGTCTTGAGGTTTTTGATGGTGAAGATGCGGATGATTTGGATGATGGTGATGAAGAAGCCGAGGGCGAAGAGGCCGATTAGGGCGACTTTTTGCGAATGGTGGAGTTGTAAGGACCATAGGACGGGGAGGGGGAGGGCGATGATGAGCATGTCGAAGCCGAGACTTGTTCCTGGTTGTTTTGGTTATGGTTTGTTCGGGGGAAGGGGGGTAGATGGGTGGATGGGTGGATGTACCTGCTAAAGCTGTTGTCTGGTCAGTAGGGAAGATGATGAGGAGGTGTAGGATGCATACCATAGTATGAAGCCACTGTGTCGATGCACTTTCCTGGGAGATTTGTATCCCATTGTTTCGCGACCTAAACTCTTGTTAGAATTAGATAGGATCTGCGACGGCCGGCGCCGACTCACTGGATTGCAGGCGAGTGTTAAGAGTAATGTAAACACCACTTGGTTGCACACCACAGCTACTACCACCACGATGATCACCCATCGGTACGCGGCCACGAAACCCCCAACCCGCAAGTAGGATGTCAGAAGCGAGACTTTGAAGCAGAGGATAGCGAGGATGTACGTGGGCCCGCCGGCGTATTGGATCTGAGCTGTCACCAGGTCGAACTTCAACAGCAGGGGAGGGTATCAACCTTGCTGAACATCACCACATTGGCGTCCGGGAAATAAGCCGCGTCCAGACCTAAGCCATACCGTGTTTCTAGATGTCATTGTCAGATTCACTGGTCATTGGGTACACTCGGGAATAAAGCATACGGGCCACCGAGATTCCGGCATAACCCAACCCCAACACCGCACTGCACGCCACGGCATAGTCATCTAACCACAGGGCGCGCTTCGTATGCAACCGGATATACAAGCGCAACCCGACCGCGATCACCGCACTGATGCTGAAGACCAAGCAAACGGCGATGACCCGTGCGATGTGACTGTGGGGGTCGGGGTGGGTGAGATTATGGACCCAACCCATGACATTCCGCTGTTGGCGTTGAAGCTGAAGGAAAGATCAACAAGGATGATTGTGCAGAAAACCCCGTACTTTTTTTTGTTTTTCTCCTCTCCTTTTTTTTTTTTTCTTTCATTTTTCTTGTCTGCCATGTGGCATTTGACGAGGAAATTACAGCAACCCCTTGGCGGTTACGCGATGGATCGATTCCCTAAAAGCTAAGGGTAAGACATGGCCGGGCAGCAAACCACCATCGACAATAACCCTATCCCCGACCCACAGTGGATCTTCAACGCCACGCAGGAACAGGCAATCGGATCGCGCGCTTTCTAAGCGGGGCTGCCACACGCCGGACTGGACCGACCGGTTAACAAGCGGGGAAGCTAAGACCCTCGAGCTTTTGAGCAATATCGAGCCAGTCGCATGATAGGGTCACTAACGAGGTGGAGATGCTTGGACTGCTACTAGTCCTATAGTCTCTATCATTCCAGGACATTCGCCGAGCCCATCAAACACTAGAACCACGCCACACGGTGGTGTGAGCAAATGAAAGGCCCTCCAGGTTCTGCAGCAGGCCAACGTGAAGAAATGTTCCTGCCTAAGTGCTGACATTCAGGGGAGGGCTTTTCGGAACTCTCCGGAATCATGCAACAGGATTAATGTCTTCACCGGCAGCAGGGATGGATGGCCAGGCCCACTTCACTGGAAGTAGCTCCATCATTGTAGCCGACAGAATGCCGTTGGGGGATAAGTGTTTCAACGCCGGAGGAATATAAATTAGAATCCGCCACCCCTGTCGCTCCGGCCAGAGTTCCGAGCAGAGCCTGTCATCCATTCCACCGTCATGCTTGCACCCACCTTCTGGACCAGCTTGCTGGCCCTCACGGCCTCGGCCTCGGCCACAGCCATTAGCCGGAGCACCACCAGCAGCTGTCGCTGTTTCCCTGGCGATGCCTGTTGGCCCTCGGCCAGTGAATGGGCCCAGCTCAACCAAACCGTGGACGGTCGCCTCATCAAGACCATCCCCTTGGGCAAGCCCTGCCATGCCCCCAACTACGATGCCTCAGTCTGTGCCGTGCTGAAGGATGAATGGACCGAGCCTGAGCTCCAGTAAGCCGGACCCCCCCCCCCCCCCCATGCCATCATGCATATCATATATTCATAGTCCATCCTGCTCACGACTCCACTAGCTACACCTCCAGCAGCTCCATCATGGCCCCATGGTTCGCCAATGGCACCTGCGACCCCTTCCACCCGATCGCCAAGCCGTGCACGATGGGCAACTACATCGACTACGCCGTCAATGTCTCCACTCCCGCGCATATCTCGGCCGCTCTCCGCTTCGCTGACACCCACAACATCCGCCTGGTGATCCGCAACACGGGCCATGACTACAATGGCAAGTCCACCGGCGCCGGAGCCCTGGGCGTGTGGACTCACCACCTGAAGTCCAAGACCCTGATCACCAACTACACCGACTCCCACTACACCGGCCCCGCGGTCCGTCTCGGCTCAGGCGTGCAGGGTTTCGAGGCCTACGACTTCGCCGACGCCAACGGCTACCAAATCGTCGGCGGCGAGTGCTCGTCCGTAGGCATTGCCGGCGGATACTCGCAGGGTGGTGGCCACTCGGCCCTCTCCTCGCGCTACGGCCTGGCAGCTGACCAGGTGCTGGCGTGGGAGGTTGTCACCGGCTCCGGCGACTTCGTGACCGCCACGCGCGACAACGAATACCAGGACCTCTACTGGGCCCTGAGCGGTGGTGGCGGTGGTACCTACGGTGTCGTCGTGGCTATGACTTCCAAACTGCATACCTCGACCCCAACCTCCGGTCTCAGCCTGACCTTCACCAACGACAACATCACTCAAGACACCTTCTTCGACGCCGTCACTCTCTACCACACCCTCCTCCCCAGCATCGTGGACGCCGGCGTCATGAGCATCTGGTACTTCACCAACACCTCCTTCTACATCTCCCCCCTGACCGGCCCGGGTGTCCCTGTCGCCACCCTCCGCTCTCTCGTGGCACCCTTCGAAGCCGGCCTCACCAAGCTGGGCATCCAATACACCCTCGTGGCCAAGCAATTCGACACCTACCTCGAGGAGTTCAACACCATGGAGGCCGAGATCGCCGTCGGCAAGGCCCAGTACGGTGGATGGTTGATCCCACGCGACGTCGTCACCCAGAACACCTCCGCCTTGACCACCGCGTACCGCAAGATCGTCTCGGACGGCGCCACCTTCATCGGAGTCGGCCTGAACGTTAACCGCACGGTGGCGGGTGACGTCGACAACGCCGTTCTGCCCGCCTGGCGCGAGGCCTTGATCGATACCACCCTGACGACTCCCTGGGAGTGGGATGCCCGTGCTGAGATGATCGTCGAGCAGGACAAGATGACCAATGACTACATCCCCTTGCTTGAGGCTCTGGCTCCGAACTCCGGCGCGTACATGAACGAGGGTAACTTCCAGCAGCCTAACTGGCAGAAGGCGTTCTATGGTGTTAACTATGATCGTCTGTTGGAGGTCAAGAATAAGTATGATCCGAATGGATTGTTCTATGCTCTTAAGGCTGTGGGATCGGATGCTTGGACTCAGTTGGAGGATGGACGGTTGTGTCGTGCTTGAGAAGTACTTGTATATATGTAGAATACATTCAGAATATGTAATATATCTATTTACTTACACCTTTAGTCTAGCCTATCGCTTCTTTCACCAGTTTTTCATTCTATGATGTGATTAATTTCAAAATCTAAGATCTATTTCTGAAAATAATCATCTCCCAAACTTGAACCAAAGAGATAAAAGTCCTGGATAATAACTAGACCAAGTATCTTACTTGCTTATTGTACTTTGCTCACCACACTCACCCATATTCTCAACACTACCGGAACGTTACGTGACTTGGGCATTACTTCATGCCAGTCAATCTGCTTTTATGGCCGCAGTATTCCAAACACAAATCAAACACTCCTTTGGCTTTTTCTTCTTTTCGTTTTTCAATTTTTTTTTTACCCCTCGTAAGGACAGGGCTTATCAGACATATCGCACTTCCGTTCGACCCAATAATCATAAACATAAACAAATTGAGATTGAGTATACATAATGATAAGCCACTACACTACCCCGTACGTATCTCACTAATAGTTACTGGCGTAAAAGGTATATTATTTCCCCGTCTCACACAACGGTCCAAACCACGCCCCTCCCGTGACTTCTTCCCAGCCCTCGTTGCCGACACATCTCCAACACCAAAACACGTTGTCTGGGTCGTATTTCTTCTTGACTGACACAAGCCAGTCGTATCTATCTCCAAACCAATTCTTTCTCCAGTCTGGGTCGTATGGATCTGCTTCGTTCACGTAGGTGCCCATGTCCGGAGCCACGTCCTTCATTGCTTTTAGTTTGATGTTGGTGAGATCGCTTCGGTGTTGGTGAATCTCCTCGGTGCCGGCGTTTTCAGGCCAGACTTCGATTTGCTGGAATAGGAGGTGGGCTTTCCGCCATGCCGGGTTCATGGATGTATGAGGGACGGAGTCGAGGACTTTCCCGCCTGCGACGATGTTGAATAGGGTGGCCCAGAGGGTGCTGTTCGGGACTACCGTTTGGTTGGTGATGGTTTCGAGTAGACTGGTTAGGTTGTTCTGCGGGGACTCGAGTGTTTGCTTGGTCATAAGTTGGGAGGCCATGATGGGTCGGTTTGATCCGGGGGTTGTATGGTGTTGGCTGGCATAGTAGGCGTAGAATGAAGGGTAGGTGGTGAAGGTGGAGGACACTAGATATGAGGTGCCGTTGTGAGGGAGGAGGTCAGTGAGGATCAGCCAGTTCATGGCGTCTTTGGCGCGCTGCAGGGCTGAGGTGGAGTTGTTTTCGAGGAGGTTGAGGAAGGGGTGGGTGTAGACTAATGGGCCGGATATGGGGGTGAGGATTGCGGTGCCGGAGTACCCTGCGTCGGAGAGGGCTGCTAGTTTTGACATGATGTTGCCGGTGGCGTTGAGAACGGCGGCGTTGTTTCCATGCAGTGCCATGATGTCGAGATTGTGGCCTAGAACGGGACGCGTTGGGTGCGCTTTGATTGTGGCGGAGAGGACTACCCCGTAGGTGCCTCCGCCGCCGCCTCGGAGTGCTGTGAAGAGGTCGGTATATTGGCATGCGTTGGCGGTGACAAGTTCCCCTGATGCTAGCACTACTTTGTATTCGAGAACCTGGTCGGCTGCGAGTCCGAAGAAGTGGCTTGCCGGGCCATGGCCGCCTCCCTGCATGTAGCCTCCGAGAACACCGACCGTCTGGACTATTATTAGTTTCGTTCTGTTTTAGATTATTGTGATGAACGTACCGGATCCGCTCCACCGACCGCGATGACGCCGTGCTCGCCGGCAAAGTCGTATACATCCTGCCACACGTATCCCCCGCCGACGGTAATTGCATTTCCAGTCCAGTTGGATGGGCAAGATCCATTGGACGGAATGAAGTTGTCGTGGAAATGAAGTCCATCTTTGATAGACTTGATCCAAATGGATAGACTGCCGTATCCTTGCGATCTGGGATCGTCAGTACCATACCGTCGTAAACCTTGGAATTAAGTTCTCACCGCTGCGAAATATCATGTCCAGTGTTCTTAATCACCAATCTCACATTGTTGTCGCTGGCAAATTTAATCCCGGCAGCCACATCCCCTGCCTTTGTCGCCTTGACGGTGTAAACGGGATGATTGCCCAGATCGCACTGTGGGTAGCCAGCCACCGTGGCATTCACGGGAGGACAGCATTCCACGAGAGGATAGCTATATCCAATGGGAAAAGTGGCCTGGTAGACGTTGCTGGTCCAGTTGGAGCTGATGCTTTGACAGAGCTCGGAACTGTAGCCTGGGCCGTGGTAGCAGTGTCTGGCAATGGGTTCATTGCGTACAAGCTTTCCATTCACGGAGCTGTTGAGGGTGTTCCATGAGTTGACAGAAGGCCAGCAATTGTCGTTAGGGGTCTTCATTCGAAAGTTAGATATAGAGCCTCATGCAAGACGGAAGTCGTTGATAACATACGCATTTGCACTTGGCAAAGACTGACTGTGCTCCAGCCAGGAACAAAAGAGTTTTAAGAAGCATGCCGGTTTCAAATTGTCTTAACAGTTTGTTATTGAATCATTTCAAGTTTGTAGCCATCTGGGTATCAGCGACCTTTTATAATATTTGTCTTTTCGTGTTGTCTGGCCAGTGACGTTGTCCGCGCAATATATTGCGCCCACAACCACCACCCCAGCACGAAAATTATTGCGCCAGTCCACTATTTTTATCAGTAGTGGACTATAACTTGCATCGTTAGGCTGACTTGTGGTGTGCATTTTCAACGTTGTACCAGATTCTCATGCGTTGTGTCCTCAAACCTGCGGTATGGCTTTCACTGAGATGATCCAGCAGGAAGGGAGGCGCTACAAGCACCGGCCAGGTTGATCCCATACTGGCCCGCTAACCACACCCCTTTTATATTTTCGCCTACCTCTTTAGAAAGCTATCAGGCAGAATTTTAATTATTTAGTGAATTCTGTATTTACTGTGTAACTTAAGCAGGTATTTGTGGCTTGAGGTGTGCGTTATGGCCTTAGGCATGACGATATCAAAGGCGGTGTGATTTTGCTCGTTTTAGAGTGAGCTATTCCTACTGTAGTAGGCGGAGAGTAAGAAGGGGTGTGATTAGCGGATTTTGGGGTGCTTGTAGCGCCTCCCCACAGGAATAATCATCTTCTCATCTTTCGTCTTACAGTCATCTCAAAAGGTGCCAGTCAAGACAGACATGAGTATGACCAGTCCCTCCTTTACGAGATTTGGTGGACTACCTATGAATACAAAAGAGACACCGGATTCAAGCCGGATGACTACCGCTCAGCAATGGCGTAGTCAATCTCTAGGATCATTGCTGAAGCATACACCTACTACCTCTCATAATAAATTTGATGTCAATGGAGCAGAAGACGAAGTCAAGTACACTAGACCCACAATAGACTGAGACTGTGACATGATAAGCCGTATCGCCAGCTGATGCAGATCACTCAGCCTCGCGCGGCCGCCATTTCAACTTGCAATCTGCAATCCTCCACGACTCCATTCCTACTCCTCGGGATATATCGAAATGCAAGGGCAAAAAGCCGAACGAGGCCCGAGAGGCAGATATGCTCGTCTAATCTGCCGGGGCTGCAGAGCTCGCAAGATCAAATGCGTGCTCCCTTCCGCGGCCTTGGGCCCACTGGATTACCCCACAACCCAACGCAACGACTGTGAACGATGTCGCAATCTCGATCTGGAATGCATTATCGAGCACACCTCTCTAGGACGTCCAGCGAAACGCGCAAATCGCGCAAATATTTCGAGCAAACCGCCCCGGTCGGACCCGTCGGATTCCCCGCGTTCAGGCCAAGATGTGCCCAAGCTGTCGGACTCGATCCGGCAGTATCTTTTCTCGGGCGCAATGGACGACAACCTCATGTTGCAAAGATCGCGGGATGTCACGGATCCCTCCGACGACGATCTTCTTTACCATGCCATGGCCAACACCAGCACTTTCATCGCGGGCGTGTTGGCCAAGGACGCTTCTTTCGGCTCCGGCATTCGATTGATGTCAACTTGGAGCACGCCTCTAACAGAAATAGTGAGCCATGGGCTCGCTGGGGAGCTGGATAATTTGTAGGATTATCTCAAATTTCCGATCTCATCAGCTGCTAATACTAGGTAGATTAGTATGGCAGCGTCTCTTCGTTCTGGGGATACCAAGTCTGCTCCACTTGCGAGAGCGCTTGTTGTCAACCGACCCCAATACCAATAATGTCGCCACCAAGCTGCTCTTCGCAGTGTCCTGTCTTGCTGCTTGTGAAAGCTCCGGGGCTCGCCTGAATGATCCCCTCAAAGACAGTCTACAGCAGGCTGTTTCGTCATACGGCCAGGACTTTATCTTCAGTCCTCCCACACATATCGATTCTATTGTTGTCTGTCGCTTTTTATCGGCATTCAAGCCAACAGCTCTGGCCACGTCAAAACGGGTTGCACATCAATGCGTTAAAGCTGAGCTGTATATTAATATCGCATACCGGATCGCAGAGCGGCTAAGACTATTACCCGAGCCAGGGATTATGCCATTTCAGGATACGACGGCCATTGACAGTGTGGAGATGGAGCGGGAGCTGATTCTTTCTATCCAAGGACTTCAGCTAATTGCCGAGGAGTTCCTATTGGGGGACTTTTTGTCAATGACACTGCATGGCTTCCGGCAGGTCCTCCAACGGATGCAACCACACATTGACTCTTATCAGGTCCTTTTGCAAACCAGGCCCTGTTCGCCAATCATGATCTTCCATATCAAATGGACCACGGCGACCTTTCTGCAGATCGAGGCAATGGCAAACTCGAGGCAGTGCTGGATGAATCCCAATCGGTTATATATCGTTGTCGAAGAGGGCGAAAAGAAGTGCCTGGCTGAAATCAACTCTGCCTATGAGTTGCTGGAAGCAGCCGGAAGTGGACAGCAGAACGAGCTCACGGCCATGTGTTCGCTGCTTGAGCTTCGTTTTCATGGAGTGATTGCCAGGATGTTGGGCCTCGGGTTATTCTTCATGTCAGTTCTTCAAGCAAGGGCAGAAAAGGATCAACCGCAGAATGGCACAGAAATTCTCCGGGATGAAGCTACCCAGATGGGTAATACCGTCATTAATTCGATCATGAAGACGCCAGACTCTGAAATGAACTCGCATTTTTTCAACTTCCTGCGTCATTTTGGGGGACGGTATCCGAACAAGCTGCGAGGGATCCTGGCCAAATTCATAGAGTGCACGACAATCAAGCTGGGTGGCAACGACTACATTGCGCCCGTCCGCCCAATAGCAATGGAGATTGTGAACCAATGCAAGAACATCGTGGAAAACAACCTGATTCGATTCAAGATTTCGGGAAGACTGCATCCCAATTTTGACAAACAACTGGACCTTTTCACCCGATGCGCCCATGCATTAGTCGCCATGGCGGTCCCAGACTCTCCAGAGGCTGCCTTTAGGAGTGGCTGCGTGTATTCCGCAAGCAGCAAGATGGTCTACGGTCTGTGCGATTTGATGAACAGTTTGAAACAGCAGGCTTCTCTTGTTGACGCCAATATACCCACAATTACGACCGAGTCCCTTGCTATGCCCTCTATGCAGTTCAGTTCCTTCGAGACATGGAACCTGTGGCCGTATCCGGATACTCAACCGCAGCATATGTTTGATTGGAGTCAACCAACCCTTTTTGCTACCACTGCATCGGATTTCCTGGGTACGACTGCTGAGTTTGATAGCATGCTACCATTTACAACACCAGATGCGTCACTGTAAGGAATGAGCACATACAAGTACGGCATGTCGAGTTTCGTATACTGCATGAAGGATAGAGCCATGTGTTCTCAAATCACGATTGACGAGTTATGAAATAATACAAACTATCATCCTCAATACCTCCATCATTCATCCCGCCTTATTTCATCATTCTATACTTATTACTTTACTTACTTTGAAATTTAGTCAATTATATAAGCGCAAAATACACCGCGCAAATTATAAACCGCGCAATTAACTCCCGTGTTCTTTCCGCTCCAGCTGACATCGCAAGTTCGCGCAAATTTAACTATGCCGGCTCCACTGATCAGCACCACTGCTCTTGGCATGACTTGACTGAGTGTAATAAACCTGCACAATCCCAATCGAAGCCTTGTTTGCACACTCAATGCGCGTGGCGGTGTCATTGCACGATGATCTCGCTGTCCTCCTGAGTACCAACATGAAGCATCAGGGCTGAGCTTGGCTTTGGTCCTCACTATGTCATATTTGGGCATGTATTTGGTTTTGTGGTGGAGATATAAGGTAAGTTGTTCTGCTTGTATCTCATTTCCATTTCCATAAAAACAAGAGCCATTCATTCATCATAATCAAATTCCCATTTTATTGAAGACACAACACAACATGATCCTTCTAACCCCAAGAACAGTCGCAGCAGGCAGCTATGGCTGTCCTATCCCAGACCATCTCTCACAAAGTACACACCTTATCCTTCTCATATCCCATTCTACTTCCCCAAATAACCTAGCAACTGACACAACAACAACCACCACCCCCCTCATCAGACCCCTCACCTTCTACCAATTCAACATGCTCGTCTCCGGCACCTGCACCTGCACCATCATAATCCTACCCCTAATCTTCAATCTGATGCACCGACACGCCACACACATGAGCAACCCTAATGAACAACTCAAGTACCCCTTTCCCCTTCCCTCAGTTCCCACAAACACTAACATACCACTCCCCCTTGGCGGTGGGGGGAAAATCTACAACCTCATCCACTCGTACCCAATCCTCTCCTTCATCTCATTCTGCTTTCCAAACTCTTACATTCTACCTGCAGGGATTCACAGAGGTACTTTATAATAAGGAGACGTAGTTCTAGGTTTAACATTTTCTAGGCAGGCTTTGATAGGAGGGGGAAACAGGTTTCGGGCTTAAGTCATACACCGGAAGACAATTCATCTCAGGCAAGTCTGTATAGGCATCGAAGTATTGCATACCGCATTCCGGTTGGTCTTTCAGATTTGAACCATCAATAGCCGGGCGTGTTCATTATCAGTTATCATTGGACCTCAGAATTCTGTCGTGATGTTGTGTGTAAAAACAGACGTACTAATTGCTCAAGAGATCTTCCTTCATTGGTTAGAATTGGAAGAAAGGGATGAGTTGTTCAGAAGTTAAAGCCAATAGTAGATCGGCAATCCTTCCCATCTTAAATCAGTGGAAAGCTTCACAAATCAACGTCCTCTATGAAAGCCAGATATCTAAGCCAGTGAAAGACATGTTAAAAACTATTGATCAAATAAATTGGTTCTTATCGAGCAAAGCAAGAATATGAGCCGCTTGATCAAGAACATTCTTCACCCGTATATAGTAGCTTCTTGTAGCTCTTTTCTTCCTCTTTCCTCCGGGGAAAACTACCTTTCGGAAATCATTCACCCAGGGCACCAAAAATTAATGATAAGGAGTGAAGAATCTCTGCGCAGTCAGAACAAAGTCCTCGTCTTCACTCACAATACCCTTCTTCTGCACAGCGAGATGATGATATCACTCGTATCCCCAATGATCAAATTCCGTGGGCCCAATATCCTGACCGGGCCCATCGTATTGAATGCAGATCCAGAATAACACCCAGAAGAATGACTTAACTCCAAATCGTGCCAAAAGACATGTCTCTCGCCCAGAAGCAGCCCGATGGCCATAAAAGGCCGGTGCCAGTCTTGCCGGGGTCCTGGTCTTGAGTTTCGATGATTGCATGGTTCAAGTCGATGAGAAAAGCAGGCCAGGAGGGATTGTTTGGGTCTTCATTTATTATCCTAATCATCCCGATTACCTTAGAACCTCAATCATGAAGCTTTCGGAAATAATTATAGTCACGTTCTAAAATTGTTGATAGGAGAAGTGCTTGTCTAAGCGTGGGAGAGTAGAACAGTGGAGGGTAGCGAGTCGTCAATAGGAGGAGAGACCTTTGCAGAAGAAAACAGGCGAGGTAGTTCCTCGCTATGTGTATGACATTTAACCTCATAACCAATCATGCATTGCACTAAACCTACTCGATATTCATGACAATTTGAACCAACATTTCATCTGACAACCCTAATAAATCCAACCTCTCGTAGCAATTACAATCTCTGAATCCCCTTGCGAATATTATCGTACTTGGAAGCAGGATAATCCAGCTGATTCTCTGTGCTGTCCAAAGCGGCAGTGCCACCAAGGGAATCCACAACCTATGATCATCAGCCGACAATCCTTATAATTAGGAATGGTAGGTATTACCGTAGAAATCAAACTCTCCGATCCCTTCTTATCCCCAGATGTCTCCCACCACATCGCGCCGCCAAGTCCCCTCTTCTTGATGTAATCCGCCTTTACCTTGGCAATGGCAGGGCTATCATAGCTGATCATAGTTTTCTTGGCAGCATCATAGGAGTAACTTGCACCGATGTTGTTCAGCTCGACAACACTGGCCCCTGACTGAGGAAGGGCTTTGTAATCCCAGACTCCCTTCTCCCAGCTTCCGTCACCGACGCCATTGAATGGCTTTCCGGGTCCATCGGTGTTGGTGAATCCACGTCCGTAGAGTGGCATGCCGAGGATGATCTTGTTAGGTGCGATGCCAGCGGCCACGTAGGCGGAGATAGCCTGTTCTGTATTGAAGGGGGTCGAGGCAGGGTTATCAGAAGACGCATAGAGGTTTGCAAGGTGGCCTGATTTTGTGTCCCAGCTGCCAGAGTAGTCGTAGGCCATTAGGTTCCAAAAGTCAAGCACAGTGTCCATGCTGGCGAGGTGAAGGGTGCTGTATTTTGCGGGACCTGGATCGTGGTCAGAATAGTATGTTAATGTGGGTTGGTGTGGACTTGCCTGCTGGAGAGGCTATGCTGAGAAGAAAGTGCTTTCCGTTGGCACGCTCCCGGCTGTATCTGTCCAACTCCTGCTTTTGATCAGCGTGTGGTGGTCAAGTTTGGTGGGAAGAACATACCGCTCGAATCTCTCTCAGGAGCGCAACCATGTCCCTGGCCTGGGCGTCGTTGGCAGGGTACTAACTCATGTTAGCACAGTAACACTGTAGCAACGAGATTACTCGACATACCTCCCAATCGACATCTAATCCGTCAAACCCTAAATCAGCCAGCAACTTAACCGCCGAGGACGCAAACTTCTTCCTTCCCTGTTCCGAGCTCGCCGGGGTCACGAAATTGCTCGAGTATGTCCACCCTCCAATTGACAGGAGCACCTTCAGCTTCCGGTTATTCTGCTTCAGAAGATATAGCTGCTTGACGCATCCATAAACGTTTGTCCCAACATCATTCCACGAATCGCCCGCGTAGTGCTTCTCGATGTCGGACCATGTATCGGAGAGGTAGACTTCGCCGTCGGAGCGGATGTTGGAAAAGGCATAGAGGATATGAGTCAACTTTTCGGCGGGAATGTCCTGGGGATTGTGGTTCCTGCCATAGATTGCCTTGACGAATCAGTATAAGTGAGACGAAGAGGACACACGATGACTCACCCAGTTCACGTAGTAAGCAATAGACTTGTACCCGGTTCTGCTGTCGGTGCTGCTGTCAGTGCTGTTATCAGTGCTGCTGTCTGCTGTTGTCAGAGAGCGGTGGTGTCGGTGATGTAGGCTACCTGCATGGCCTGAACGGTGGGAGTGAATGACCGTGCCATGGAGTAGTAGAACCAGGCTCAAAAGCAGAAGGAAGGAGAACTTCATATTCAAGGAGTGTCCTAGAACGTCTCGACAAAGGAATGACTGAAATGGTAGTCAAGAAGAAAGTCAAGAGTAATATCAAGGAATGTGCGAAGAGAAGTAGCAGAAGATGTGTGATGCAGACAAAGAAGACTCATCGACACCCTCTCTTTTATAGTGCACTGCGCTCGTTTGCATCAGTCATCAGCAGTGAAAACAGACCTGTATGAATGCAACATCAACAGGTGAATTGGGACAAAGCGGTTACCGACATCTCACCCCAACCAACGTTCATTTGCACCAGTTGAGGGATTCGATTCACGTATGAGGCCCCATGATGCTGAGATTACGATGTTGGGGCCCACTGACCTTTGGATAAAGTTGCCATTTCAGGCCAGTGACTTGTTTCATCTCGCGACATTGGCCCCAAGCGATATTAATGTGTTACTGTTGTATCGACAAAGGGGCGGTTGTATGATGGGATTGGAGCAATTCATATACGAGTCGGTCCGTGGCATATTGTCACTTGATAACAGGGGGGGGTTCCAAACAAACAGGAGGCTTTGATGCCAGGCGGATGCATCATGCGCTGCAAGGCATGGTCAGGCTATGTGGCAAGAAAGCGGGCTGGAGGGGTTTGTGTAATGTTGGGGCGGCGTGGATGCGACAAGTGGGAATAGCCTCGCCCGAGGCCGAATCCGGTAGGCGGATGCAGGTCCCGCCTTTGCCGGCAGTGGATTGCCCCGATTTGGGGTGGGGATCCCTGACTAAATAACTCTCGACTCCGCAATGGCCGTGCTTCAGCCTTGGTTCTAGCTACCTACCTAGTAACTAAGTATCAGGCACACAACTACCAGCTTAGACTATGAAAATGACTGCAATCTGAAAAAGGAAATTTGTATTCATTATTATGCGAGACCAATAAATCTCTGTATCCTAATAAAGCCATGTGCAATATCTGGGTATCCTCCGAATACCAGAAAAAACTTTTGCTCGCAATCTGTAACTGTTCAAACGACCTGGGTATATTGTAACCTTTGAAATCCATAACGCCAATAGAAAGCAAATGAAGGTATCCACTTCTTCTCCGATAATCTGCGTGCCTTGGTCGTAGTCCAATAGCAGGCCACCCTCAGACTCTGACACCTCCCGTGTTGGTTCTCGATGACGGCGGTAGCATTCTCGAACGGTCAGGAGGCAGGTTTGAAGCGCGGGCGGCCGTATACTCGGGCGGTGAGATGGGGGCAGAGCTAAAATCTGAGAAGGATGGAGGCGCGATGCTACGAGGACTGAAAAATTCCGCGTTGACTTGGTCCTGCGTGATCTCAACCACGGTGCCCTTGGGTCCTGCACCAGACCGCGACTCGCACGTCAGCTGGATGGGTACCTTCAGGGATATGGTCGGGGTCAAGAGCCTGGAGTTGGCGGCGTGGTAAGAGACACTGAGCTCGAGGGCGTAGATGCGTGCGATCAAACAAGAATAGAAGGTCGGCACATATGCCTTGGACTTGGGGAGGGTGATGGGCACCACGACCGACGCCGTATAGTAGGCCTTTCCCGCAAACGAGGCCGAGGGGCCGGGCACAGAATCCATGGACGAGGTCGAGTGCATCGAGTCGCGGCGGTCCAAGCCGATGTCGGTGTGCTTAGTCCATTGCGCCGAGGCTACACACATGGTGGACAGTGGTACAGCCTCGGTGTACACCCCTCGGCCCATCTGAGCCCAGGTCCTGATACATGAGGCGGACGGATAATCCCCCCAGGGGTCGGCACTATAGAAGGTCGATACGCGGAGTTTACTCCACACTGTGCCCAGGCGAGGCGGTTGCTCGTCGCCCACTGGATCAAAGCGCAGCTGGACAGTCGCCACGGTGCTCACCGAATCGCGGTCCTCATCGTGGAGGGGACTCAACTGCACCGGCTTGGGCTGGGCGGCAGTCACCACCAATCGACCAAGCTTACCCCTCATTAAGCCACGCTTCACGTCCTTCTCTTTGCGGATGCAGTATAGACCCTCGTCATCCGCGACGTTGAGGGGAGGTTCCTCCTCAACCGCAGGAATGACCCGCACTTTTTTCCCAACGGACACAAGCGTAACAGAGGAGGCGTTCTGGGCCACAGGCTTTCTCTGGAGGGTCACACGAAGCAGATAAGAGATCCGGCACATTTCGGGGGCCATGTCGTCGAGAACCGATTTGCGGTTGTTGGCCATCATGGGATCACCAAACGTGGGTGGCAGCAGCGTGTGCGAACGTTCGACGTGCAGGTTGGTTTTGGTGTGGTTACAAATGTGAGGCAGCAGGCGATCGGGAACCACAAACGTAAACGGGAATTGATAACTGCGACCAGCTTCTAGAACCCGGGGGGTAGGATATGCCGCGTCATCGATGGGCTGGCGAAGGCGAAGGAAGGTATGGTGGGCCCCAGTCCGGCCAGGCATCGATTGGCGCTCCACAGAGGTCCTCGCGGTTCCTGAACCTGGTCAGTATCCTGCCAACTAGGAAAGTCATCCCTTGTGTTCTTCTGGCCGCATACCTTCAAAGGTGACCTCAAGCTCATCAAAACGGGTGTCATGGTCTGTCGTGATGGTGACTGTTCCCTCGATGGTGTCTCCGGTGGTATGCGAAGGGACCAGGCCATCTTGCTGGTTCGCAACAACAATGTCGACCTTGGGCCGGCCGCGGACCGCAAAGGCCGCGAGGGAGCTGGAGCCTCGCGTGAGGATGGACGGAGTGGTCATTGCAGAAGTTGAAAGGAAGTATAGGAAGGACCCGGTGGGATAGAGTGGGATAATCACCACTCACCCCTAAGATACAAGATGAGGGAGGAATCGTCTGGATGAAAAAAAGCGATGGAGGTAGAACCACTGCGGAGTATAGCTTTTATTATAATCCCTCTTAATTTTTTTTTTCTTCCTAAAAAAGAAAAGTCCAATTCCAGAAAATCGAGTGGATGGGGCCCAAAAGGGAGTGAATGTAGGGATGGGGTGATGGCAGTTGCCGTTGGGTAATGGAAAAGCAGCGGTGGAGCTGCGTTCGAGACTGCTTCGATGATGCTGATGTCCTTGCACTCCTTGGGATTTTATTCCATAGAAACATGGCAGAAGAAACATGGCTTCTGCCATGTTTTAATATTTCCTCCCAGCTCGATCCTCCCTCCCTCTTCTGCGCCATGAACCCCTGCCGTGAGTCATGCTGAAAAATCCAGTCCAAGCGCACGTGGTGATTTGCTTTGATATCCGATCCAAGGGGCTACTGGAACTGGGCCAGAAACATGCAGGAAAAGGGACCAGAAGCACCCCAAAAGCAAATACGACCGAATGCAGCGCAATGATAGGACGTCCGAAAGATGGAGCTCCCCATACGGCAAACCGGTCCATGGAATTAAATCCGCGGGCCAACTCAGCCGACTGACTAATGACTGATTGGCGGGCGCTCCGTTGCGCCCTTCGATGTCAAGACAACCCCAACAGCACTGACAGACACCATTAAAGCCCCGCGCCCTACAGTTGATTATCCATGCCTCTTACGGTCAGGAGGAATGCCAATGACGACGATGATCACTCAAATCTTCAGCAGTCCCCCTCCCCCACCAATCAGGTCCACATCCCCAGCTCTTACATTCTTGACAAGACAATCATAGCTGTCCCTCGCGTGATATAGTGGTAGACCTCACACCATTGAGTTACGGATCTTCTGATCCCCAGGGATTGTATGATTGACAGTCGAGAGCCTATTCTTGAGCTTCTCTGCTTCTCTGCTCTCTGCTCTCTTCCCCACGTGCCCGGAATTGCGGCAAGCAAGAGGCCCCCCCCCCCAATAATCCGTTCGGATGATCTGCGATGGAGGTAGTGACTGATGACTGGGGACTGATGACTGCACTGAAAGTTCACGCCCTTTGACATGGTCGGCAAGCCACCAAGCAGCGAGCGCTCTCATTGGCGGCCGCCGCCGTTCGTCTGCCGGTTCTCCTTTCAACTGCGATTTTAGGTTGGGGCCGTTTCTCGCTTGCTTTCCACGCTTTCGACCCAACTGCCCGTCAATTGTTACTACTAAATAAAACTACTCATGATGGCGAACTCGGAACTCATATAGATCAGCTCGCGCGTTCCTGGAATTTTGGGAGGCTGGCAATGCTCGCCGGGAACAAACGACAATAGCCGCGACGGGTTCGAGGCCTGGCTCCAGATTTATCCGCCCGTAACCGGGACCCAGGGACTCACAAAGCTCTAAAGGCTTAAAATTCTGGACCTCCCGCCAGGGTACCCGCTCTGGATCTCAATTTCCTCCACTTTATGAGGCCGGTGTCGCCTAGAAACGGGCCGCTTGCGTTCTCCGATCCTGTTTTCCGCGGCCAACAAGCAGAATTTGCTGCCCTTATACCATCATCGGCACAGGGTCAGGGGTATGGACCCAGCGGCAATGAAAACTCGGAAATATTTGATGGCCTAGGTTGCTCCATCCACGGCGAGATCCCGACTGTGTTGAACGCGTTAGCACGGACTGTGGAGTACTCTTGCGCGTATTGACGATCTACGCTTTACTTGCGTACCAAGCTTGACTTGGACCATCATTAGGAGTCGTCAATCTGAAGCCAGCAGGAGGCTGTAGATCCTAGCAACGCATTCCCTATGACAGCTCAGATATCAGCAATCTAATAGAACGACGCCCGAAATTATGGTCATGTCGCTATAGGAGATCCTAATAAGCTCGGAATTCTACAGAGTAATGCGCTATATCACACCACTCGCAGACTAAATTGCGCAGCAGGCATCATGGGATGTAAAGATGATTTGAGTGGACGACAGGTCTGTTCTAGACCGACCTCCTACTCAGCACTCTTGCCTCTCGGTCTGCTGTAGGCTGAGTACCTCATCTTACTATATAATTTCATCATTCAGTCATGCTGATGAAAAGCCATCAAGTATGACGCAATCTATGTTCAATATGCGAAACAGGCTTAACGGAATGATACGAGGATACGCTATTGCAATACACCATGTGATCCCGAGACGAAGAATTAGCATTACTTGTCATATTCTGAGTACATTCCAGCCCGTATGCTTGAGCGCTACCTATATCGGTTCATCTATCTCACCAGGCTGATTCTCCAGAGGCTTCGCATTAATGAATCCTCCACCCTTTTGGGCTAAGGTGGTCGCTTGGCGGATGATTCGGCAGAGGTGACGGATGATCTGTTTCGGCTCTTCGGTCCATAACAAAAACTGTCTGGAATACTGCCCATGAATTAACTTCAGTGAACAAAAGAAGAGAAATTAGATGGGAAGTATATGAGCATACCAGTCCATTGCTGTCGACATGGTAGAATATCCACTGATAGCTGTCGGTGCAGATACCATAGATATCTCCTTGGATCTCTTTGTTCTTTCTCTTGTTGTAAATCGCGGCTTTTTAGATCCAGTTAGTAACTACCCCTGCATCTCCATCTTGCAACAAAGAAAGCTTTCCACTTACACAAGACCGCCAGCACCCCCCAGCCCCCGTCGAACTCCCTGGTGCTTTTTCGGAGCACCACTAGGTTGGTATGCACATCAACAAGCTCTCCATACCGTAGGATGTAATCCACACGGGTTCTCCAGGTGCGGGGCTCTCTCACATCTACCTGCTCCACTGTGAGGTCATACGGACTGACCCAATATGGGCCTACGTCGGCCTTGAACCCATTCTCGTTGGTTTGCATATCTATCTTCTTCGCGATGGCCAACACAACAAGGAGGAATATATCCATCCGAGTTGAGATGAGCCTCTCACCATCACTCACGACTCTCGATTCGAGCCCTAGGCAGAAAATATCATTTACTTGCTCTGTGATCACTCAGCATATTTCCTTGGACCTATTTGAGAGAGGCAACACATACGCAAGTATTCGAGAATCTGGTTCTCGTCACGATCCGGATCTATATCCCACACATCCTCCCTTTGATTCTGGCCAATGCAGTAGGTGAGCGAGATACCGAGTCTAAATAAGTTAACCAACTCGCTGTTGTCCCCTTCCGCGAGATTGATGCGTTCCGAAGTCATTTTGTCGTTTTAGATGTCGGTTTTCGAATGATTGGATAACAGATTGGGTGGGATGGAGGGTATAATTTATAAGTATGGGGATCAGACCGTATAGTGAATATATCGGAGATTGCAGTGCATTTTACTGATGATGGAGACTTCCGCAGGAGGATTCCTGCTTCAAAATTGCATATTCCGGATGACTCTTTTAGGCAGGTGTGAGGTCGGTAATTACGATCACCTGATCTAGTCCTTCACCTCGTCCTTCACCTCGATACTCTGTAGTTCATTCATTCCCTCCGCATATCACTCATCTTTTTCATCCTTGAGCTACCAACATCTTTTCTAGGTGAAGGGACCCGTGAATAATCAGATACACCACCTCTTCCTCGCCTCCACATCCTTCTGTCCAGGTCAGGTATATCAGGACGGCAGGCATCTCCGAGATCCGACTTACATGAGAGGGTAGTTTGCTGCATTTTCAGCAGTTGCTTCATTCTTTCTATTTGAGAATAAGTATTCCTACTACCAAAAAGGCCTACTAGATCTGACCTGCGTGAGCCCCCAGCCCAAGGCATCGCGAAGGGCCTTTATGAGCATCGTCGCGCATTTCTTATATCAAGATAAAGGACATCCAAAGGACCTTATTGAATACCTAAAATGTTTTGTCGAGCACTTCCGAAAGACTCCAACAGGTACCCCAAACAGCCTCATCAGACAAATTCCAGCAAATTCCGTTAAGCACCCAGCACCGAACACGATGCTTAAGTCAGACCTACGGCCTGGATCTCTGTAAATACCTGAGTTTGCAAAATCTCTAGCATGGTGGGGTAAGTTCTATCCCACTCACTTCTTCCAATGTGCACTTTCTCGATAGTCATCACCCGTCGTCGACCGCCAGGCCACTCCCATACTTTATGGTCTTTGCGATTGTCGAGATGATCTCTATGTCCTGGCCATGTCCTGAATCATACTTGTAGGGGGGATACTTATTGTCACTGGACTTAACCGAAGTAGAAGGATTCTATCTTCCCTGCGCCGCCTGTCTACTAGTACTATATATATTTACTCTACCCACACGAACCTACCCATCACGTTTACGTTGACCCCTCTATATGTTAAACCCCGTTTCTATGTAGATTCAACTCCCCATGTAGATAGAATAGAAGATTAAATAGTAAGTATGACCTCCTCCACTCCAAACATACAGAATATACGACCTCAAAACTATGCTACCATCCCTCTTGACCATTTGAAATTCAAATACCCTATATAACTTATATCTTTAGCTACCAACCATAACAACAGGTGCTGTGGTCTAGTGGTATGACGTCACGTTGTGGCCGTGCCAGCCCCGGTTCGATTCCGGGCAGCGCCAATTACAAAAAACTTTTTAGTTTTTTTTCAGCTTTCCAAATTTATCTAACTATCCGCGATAAGAGAATCATTGATCTGCCCGCCTAAGTGTAGGCTCAATGTCGAACCAGCAACATTAGCCAAAGAGATGCTTGAAGAAATATTATAGTCAAAAACTTCCGATTTTACTTTTTTTTTTAATGCACCCTACCCAAGCACTTTATCTAGACTTGCGCGATACGCATACGCTTACCTTGACCCATCATCATCCCCAACATAGTGTATACGACGCACAGCAGCACCCTGGCTGGCAAAATCACCACCAACGTCACCTCCTCATCCACAACCATCCCATAGCTTTCTGTGTTCGTGAGGTGTTAGGCTGTGGCGAGGCCGATGCGTTGGTTGGCTCCGGTGAGGAGGCTTAAGGGACATGGTGGTGTGGTGTTGTTTTGGTTGTTTGGGAACGAGGAGGCGGTAAAGGTTCAACAATTGCCTGCAACAAGAAACTAATGCAATTCGTGGATAGTGGGGTAATTCTCGGCTGGTTGTGTCGTGACCTCGCCGTCTCGCAGTCGGTGGTGTGAGGGATGGGAGACTCAGCCGTCAATCAAATGAACGGTGTCCAGCTCATTCGGTCACTGGCTCGGAGCTAAGATCCGACGCAAGAGGCGTATCTACTGGATCTCGGGATATAAGAAGGTTCCAAATGACGATGGTTTGTTGGGAAGAGTAGCCAGGAAGGCTGGCAAGCCGGTTGCTTGTCCAAGTCTGCTAAGAGTTAAAGCTTGCCCAAGGCATACCTATTAAGACACTTCTCCTCCCGATCATAGGTATAGGTCCAAAATAGTATGCTTCGTTGAATAGTCTAATAACAGGTATATGATCACTCGAAATCGATCCTGTAACTTTTTATTTACAAGCACCAACATACGCCAGGCATCCAAACGTGTCAAGCTCAGGCTCAAGTCAACATGTCATCTAGTCTTTCGCCCAAAACACCCTCAATCTGCTTCACCCACTTGCGGACTTCTCTTTCCACGTTCTCGTCCTCGTCTTCCATCAGCTCACTGATGTAAGGCAGCATCTCTGGTAGCAGAGCAAGCCATTCCTCACCAAGTTGCTCCGTGAGAGACTGCTGAGCCTTGAGCGCAGCAAGGCGTGTGTGCGGGTTCTCGCCTCCGGCAGTCTTGCCACTGGGTCCGGCAGATGGCCGAAGAAGGCGCATCAGCACGGTATTGAGTTCCTTGTGGTTGTCGGTGGAATCGGCTGCAACTGCCAGTTCCGTGAGAGCGGGGACGGCCTCGGCAATAACAATGGATGCTGTTGACGAGTTCTTGGCGTGGGCGAGTTGGGAGATCAAAGGTTGGGCGATTACCGTGAGGTGAGAGGGGGATTGCCAGAATTCTAAAAAGGTCAGCTAGCTGGTCGGTAGATGCTTAGGCTGAGGACGTACCGTCTTGGTCATGCTCAAAGGCATTCTTGAGCATGCGCATCGTGGCCAACCATAGACTCTTGGTATCCTGGTTCGATGGGTTGGCCTTGCCCAGGACGGAAACCACATTTTCGATGATGTAGCTTGAGTAACCGGTGACGATGGACTAGGTTGGTCAGTACAGAGTTCATTAAAAAGATTGGTAAAGGACATACCTGGAGAGTACCAAAGAAGACCTGGAGGAACCTGTAGAAGGTAGTAAGGCGTGCCAGGCTGCCTCGGGCATCCTTCTTCGGAACACCAGAAGTCGCCCATTCCAGGAGCTTCGTGAAAATAGGGCGGAAGGTGGTGTCGTTGAGCTTGTACACCATCTTAATCGTGACCTCATTAATGATATCTTCGATCTCATCCACATCAGACAAGTCAAATGTAGCCTTGGAGTCCAGCGAGACCTGTTCTCTGCGCAGGTCGAAGGCCTTGAACAGAATACTCGTGAGGACGGCGAGGTTGTTGACGGTTGCGGACTTCGGGTGCTTCTCGATAGCGAGGCTCATGACTCCCAGAGTCTCCCTCGTGGCATCGGGGCCAGCCTTAACAGCATGCTGCCAGTTGCGATCGACCGCGGCATATGTTGCAGCCACATCAACCTTGCGTGCCATGAGTTGGAGTGCCTCTTCTCGGCTTTCATCCTCGACACCTTCTGAGATAGCAGACTTGTAAGAGAGAACGAGGACCTTGTCCAGGTGAGACGCAGAGATCATGTATGGAAGGTGGATGAAAAGAGCGGAGAAGAAGGAGAAAACGGCATCGTGGAGACGAGCGTTTTCCTTACCCTCTTCCAGACTCTGTTCAAGCAATGCCAATGAACGGCTGAGGGCATTCGGCAGCGCAGGAATCATCGCCTCACCGAGAACCTCGGCCATAGAAGCAAGGCACAAGACACCCATGATGCGAATACGCTCATCGTCCTGTCCAATGCAGGCATCGCTAGCAACCACCTGGGCAGCATGGACAACTTTGGAGGGCTCCTTCTTGCCATACTTCTCGGCGATGCGATCGATGCAGGCAACCGCGGCGTGCTTGAGCAGGATATCCGGCGAAGACTCGACGATGTTGACCAAGGTAGGCAGGAAGTCGAGCATGCGGTGTTGCGAGGCACCGTCGCGTTCGGGGTTCTGACGCAGACGGCCTTCCAACAGTCGGAGAACCTTGCGCCGCAGTTCGTCGTTGCGGCGCTGAAGCAGTACCTCGATAGTGTCGAGGAAGTCCACAAGCGACAGAGTACCAAACAGTGCGCTAAGGACGTCACCGCTGGCCTGGCTGACGGGCTTCACGTTCTGCATGGATTCACCAATGGCCAGGACCTGTTCCAAGATCCGAGAGAAGAGCGTGCGGATTTGTCCGACGACCTCGTCTCCCTCCGTTGCGAAGTCCTTGGTCATCTTGACCTTGAGCGACGAGTGCTTGAACAGATGAGCCAGTGTCCGGAGCAAGTCGACTGCAACCTTCTGAGGCTCGCGACCATCATCGCTTCCGATTCCAAGCAGAACCTGCGAGATACCGGGCTTGGACTTGAGCGAATCGTTGACCAAGTCCAAGAACTTGCTGTATGTCTATGAAATTGTGAGTAGATAGGGACATGACTCACAAAAGATCGAATACTTACGTTAAGTTCAACCGGTGCACTAGCATCGGAAACCAATCCTGTCATCAGAATAAGAACATCCTTATCCATGGCATACCGATTGGCAAGCATGGCCAGAACAGCGAACAAGAAGTCCTGAGTTCCCAGCTTGGTGACCAGAGCATGGAACAAGCGCAGGCGGCGATGGGAGGGAATGTGCTCAAAGGCAGCCGTGAAGCTAAGCAACAACTCGGAGGTGCCTGACACCACATCACGCTTTTGATTACGCAATGACTGGATGAGAGCTGGCACGACCTGATCAATCGTTTGGTCAATCACGGAGACCGAGTATTCATCGTCCTTGCGCAGAACGCTAGAGCCCATGAAAGTAAAGATGGGCATCACACTGTGGAGGACCAACTCAGGAGCAATGACAGACAAGCCCGCCACCAGAAGAAGAGCTGCATTCTGCACCTGTGGGCTATCGGTGGTGCGGACGCAATCCACGACCAGGTCAGCCCGAATAACTGAGGTATCAAATTGTGCCTTTGCGGTTCCCTTGGAGCGGTTGACAATGGCAAGGAGACTGCCAAGCGTCAAGCTCAGGAGGTAGCTCAATCCGGATTGGATCTGGGACTTGAAATGATGGAGTGCAGCCAGGGTCTGGAAAAGACCATCAGCCAACTCAGGATGAGCCTCCGGAGTTGAGCTGTCTACCAGCTCCAAGATGAACGTCATCTTCTCCATGAGCTTGCTGAGTTTAGCCTCATCCTTGATGGTCATGGCAACCATATTAGTCTGGCTAGTGCGTCTCCTCTTCGGCGCTGGTCCGAGGGACTCCATGTCCGTGATAGAGACAGGGATCTTGTGAAGGAATTGAAGAAGCACCGAGCCGGTAAGCTCAACGCTGCGAAGAATGTCCCTGCACCCATGAATCAGCGGTGACTCGGTCTCCTCGAGAGAGATCTCGAAGAGCTTTTCTGAAGCATCGACCTGTAGCTCCTCCGCAACGGTGGCCCAAACAGCCTTCATACGGTTGAAGATAGCTGCAACGAAAGAGGGTCTCAAAGACGGAGAATACGGGCTCACATAGGAAAGAAGCAATGTGAGAGCATCCTTGTCCTTGGGCGTGACCGTCATAACCGCCTGCTGATCCACTTCTGCCACAGAGACACGCTCCCGCTCACAGGTATCCTTGGCCTCTTGGTCTTTCATATCCCGCCACGTCTTCAAGAATGGTCCAAGCTCCTTCGTGCGAGTTGTCCCACCAGCCCGATCAACACGGTTGAGAAGCTTGAGCAGAGACAACTTCGGCGCGTAAAGGGGCAGTTGGACAGCATGCGAGCAGAGGAAGGTGAAGAAGCTCAAGCGAAGTGGCTTCTTCAACTCAGCCGCACCCGAATCGGGGGCTGAAGATCCTCGCAATGTAGCTTCGAGGACTCGACCAATGTGAGCCTGGTCAAGGACATACTCCTCCAGGCCTGGCAGCAACGCGCGCTCGAGAATCTTTTGCGCATCACGACCGGCAAGCCATTGAACGTTCTTCGAATGTTTGCCGTAGATCGTGTCGCGAGCCCAAACGCTAGCCTCGCTCTTCTTGCTCTTCTTATACAACCCTCCAATGATGGCCAGCACGCCTGCTGCCTCGCGCCGAATTCTCTCCGAGGAGTCCGCTAGAGCTACCAGCAGGAAAGGCAGAAGAGCCTGAAGATCGACATCGGGGGATACGGAAGTGAGGAGCGAGGAGATGGTGCTGAGCGCAGTTGCCCTGGTGCCAATGGGGTATGATCCGGAGAAAGTCCGGATAAAGAACGACAGATACTGTGCGGACTTCAAAGCATCGCTCTTTCCGAGGGTTGGCAATTCGACAAAAGCCTCCAACTTCTCCTGAGAACCAACAGCAAGGGCAAAGGCCTGGACGAGGCTCTCGAAAGCAGGGATTGATTGCGCACTGAGGGCCGAAGTGTCCAATTTCTTTCCGGCCACCGACTCAAGAGCCGAGGCGAAACCATCGTCGACTGCTTCTTGTTGTGCATCCTCCATTTCGACATCCTCGATGACATGAGTGGTGGGCACAGATTCAATCACAGTTTGCAGGTTATGTTCGAGTGCCGCGACGTCGATGGACGATTCCTCGATCGTTTTCTGGAAGATGGCTCGGAGAGACTCGGACTGGCTGAAGTGCTGAACGAGTTCTGCAAGGTGCGTCTGGGCGTCCAAAGAGAGCACACCCTCTCTGTGAGCATGACTGATAGCGTGAAGGATTGTGGCCATAGCCTTGGCGGCTTCTGGCTCGCCCAAGAGGTTGGTCTCGAACATCAGGGACAGCAGATCCAAGCGCGCGGAATCTTTCTGCTTTGAGAGATCATCGACACATCCGGATACCAAGCCAAGGAGTAAATGAGATGTCGGGTACTGTGCTGAAATTGCCGACAACTGCTTCACGGGTTCTTCCAAGCGCAGCACTGCCTTGAAGGCCCGCTTGGGGATCCTTGTGTCCGGCTTCTGCTGAGCCAGGACAGACAAGCAGATGAGACCAGATTCCATGGTTTCTTCTGTCCAAGATCCGGCAACGGCCTCCATCAATCCATCGAGAAGCTTGTCCTGAAGAGAAGCCTTCTGTGCAAGAACCACGCAGACCATGTAGCAACCAATCACCAGCTCAGAGACATCCTTCATACCCAAGCCGTCGTTCAAGACCGGAAGAACCTTCATGATGACATCCTCGTGCTTTTCTTTCTCAAGATCGCGTCGGCCCGAGCGTGCTGAGTCCAGCATGCCAGCAACTGCCTCCGTTAGAATACCCGCCCAAAACGACAGAAGCGCATGATGGTGTGCCCGCTGCTTGCTGACTTGAAGGGTGTATCTGTTGACGGCTGCTAAGAAGTGCTTGTTGGTCGTAGCACTGTGAACAAGGGGATGGCGGGGAGGGTTGGTTTGGCTCTTCTTGTACGGGTTCAAGATTTTGAAGGTTGGTGTCAAGTCTTCGGGCAGTATTGAGAGCAAGTTCAGGAAAAGAGGGGTGGTATAGTAAGGCAGGAATGTGAGGATTGTAAACTCGGTGTTGTATTCGTGCACTCTGCAAGCTCATTAGCTCATCGAACAAAACTTCTGGTGGATGAGGGTCCTGTTCCACATGTCAATCGTACCGGAAACGCCTAATAAGCCAGTCAACAGCCGTCGCGGCCGGACTCAACAGCAAGTGACCTCCAACCAGCGCAAGGAAAGCTTCCAGCACGGTGCTTAGCTCCTTGTTCTGAGCAGCACTCATCTCCGTACGGTCCTCCGTCTTGCTCTGTTCGCTGAAGATCGTGCGCTCGAACGGCGCGAAACGGGGATCCAGCTGACATAACTCCTGGAACCCTTCGAAGCATATTTGGTAGACGGTGTCGAAATCCTGAGTAGTGGCGACCTTCCAGTCAAAGATGAGGGACTGCGAGTGCGCTATGCGCTGGGCCTTGAGGTTCAACTGGTTGGTCGACTTTGCCGCAATCTGCGACAGCTGCGCGGAGAGGGACGAGGCCATGTTGGACGGTGAAATTTTCGTTTATCGAGTGCTGCAAAAGACGCCCATCCCTCAATTGTCGTCTCCGATAGTTGTGATAGAACCCCAAGCGTTAGCGGGCAGAAATTCCCCGGGCACCGTGGAGATCTTGAATTCCAGGCTCGGAGCAACTTTTTTTTGAGGCCGATGGCCCAAGCCGGAAAAAAGTGCGGGAAGCGGGAGCGGAGTTTTTCCAGCCTTCGCCGCCGCCTTTGGAGAAGCTCCCCACGCCTCACCCTCCAGGAGCATGGATTCCGCTGGCTCCCAGGTATGCAGCTTGGACATTGCTTTGATTTTGCTCATTTGAGGCTAATTATTTTCTCCAGGAAGAAAAATTCATCCCACGCTTCGCCAGCTTCAAGCCTCGGCCAGCCCCTCCGCCCGAAGCTGATCGGCCGCCCGGGCGCCCCAGTCGCGACACCTCCGACCGCGATGAGAAGTCCAGGCACCGCTCCAAGCACCGTTCACGGCATAGAACCCATCATGACCGCTCCAGGTCCCGAGAACGTCGCAGGGAACACAGGGAACATCGTTCCTCGCAGAGGGAAGCCAGTCACCGTCGTCGAGAGCCCACTCCCGAATATTCACGAGCATCTGTATCGAGCCGCAGCGTAAAGCCCCCGACCGAGGAAACCTCAGATCTCTACTTCATAGATAGCAAGGGCGACCGGTACAACCTCATATACGGAACCATACATCGATACAGCGTCCCGCAATATCATCGGGTCGGTCGTGGCAGTGTTTTGGGCCTACCCCCCAGCTACAAGATCGATCGGGAGAGCGCGGTCGAGGACGTGTTGGTTATAACGAGCGAACGTAAGACGGAAAAGTCCAGGGCAAAAGCGAAGAATATTCTTTCGGGCCTAGATAAGAGCAAAGCGCGACTACTTCGAATACGGCCAGAGTCTCTGCTTAATGCAGCCGCAGACACGAAGGACTATATTCCTTTGAGTACATCCAGCAATGAGAAGCGCCGCGACTTTCTGGAAATCGACTCGGGTGACGAGAAATATGCATATCGGTCGATTCATGGTAAAGCAAAACCAGGCGAAGACTTACCCAGCGATGTGGAAGCTGTCTCCGAGACGGATTCGGACAGAGAGGGTGGCCGGAGTGACCCCGACCAGGAAATCAAACAACGCAATGCGGAATTATTGTGGAATATTGAAAACCACCCTACCGACGTTGTCGCATGGCTTACGCTCATAGACCATCAAGAATCGCTTCTCCGGGGATTCGAGAGAGAGTCTAGCTCTTTGACGTACGCGGAACAGAAGGGTTTGGCGGATATCAAGTTATCGCTGTACGAAAAGGCGCTGAAGAAGGTCGGACAGAGCCCTGCGAGGGATCGTCTTCTGCTTGGCCTTCTCGAGGAGGGCGCGAAACTATGGGACACCAAGAAGCTGTCCGCTCAGTGGCAGACAACCTTGAAGTCAAACCCTCAATACATCAGTCTTTGGATCCGATATCTCGACTTCCGCCAAACCGAGTTTCTAGACTTTACTTATGAGCGATGCTTCGCTACTTTCCTTGAGTGTCTGAGACTCAATGGGTCCTCGTCAGATAAACCCGAGAGGGTCCGAATCCACTTGTATCTGTTTCTTCGGTTGACACTTTTCGTTCGCGAAGCTGGGTTTACGGAGCATGCTGCGGCTCTCTGGCAAGGAATTCTAGAGATGACTTACTTCCGACCCGACTCATTCGACGGGGACCGGAGCCCAGAGGATGTGATGTCAGCTTTCCTCGAGTTTTGGGAATCAGAGGTGTCTCGCGTTGGTGAAGCAGGCGCTAAAGGGTGGAGGAGTGCAGGAAATGTGCTCCAGAACCCGAGTGAGACCGAAAAGCCTCGATTCCAGCTCGATGCACGATCCTTATTCGCAACCTGGGCACCGTACGAAAGGGATCGTATTGTCAACGCTCGCTTACCAGCTCGCAGCATCGATGAATCGGAGGAAGATGACCCTTACCGTGTCATCATTGCATCTGATCTCGAAGAAGTCTTATCACTCGCATGGCAGACGAACCCGGATGTGCTGGTTGACAGTTTTCTACATTTCTGTCATCTCCCGCCGATTTCATCGGTTGAGAATCTGAGTACAACAAGTCGTTGGAATGGAGACGGATTTGTACGAAACGAATTTGCCAGCAGTTCATATGCAACCCTGGCGGACTGGCTCCCCAATGTGGCTGCTGACACTGAGCCTACAGCAGCAACCCCCGTTCTCTTCCCTCATCACAACTTTATTGTTGCACTAGACACTCTGTTCGCCGAGCCAACTCAGTGGTTTTCGGCTTTGAAAACCTGGCGCGATGCCACGTCGGGTTCACAGTCCGATATTGACCCTGCCTGGGTCCGCAGAACCCTCCGGGCATTAACAGAAGTGAATCCTGGAAACGATGATCTGGCTGAATATGGCCTTGCTGTGGAGTTTGTGTGCAATGCCAAAGATGCCAGGAAATATGCGAAATCGCTACTCAAAAAGCGATCGTCTAACCTACGACTCTACAACGCCTACGCTCTCATGGAATGGCGATCCGGCAATCACACGGCTGCCGACCATGTCTGGGCAACCTCCCTCTCTATGAGCAAGACCTTCGCCAATCGCGACAGAGTGGATAGCGTCATTCTCTGGCAGACCTGGATTTGGGAGCTTCTCGAGGCTCGCAATATAGCCCATGCATCTCACCTCCTCAACTGCATCCCCCAGAACAGCGTCAATTTGAAGGACCTTCCTGATACTTCAAGCCAACCATCCTTCAGCTCAACAAGTCTGCTAAAGATTCAGAGTGTAAGTTCTAATTCACGCCCACTATTTGTCCTTCCTAACATCCCTCCAGTACCTGTCAGAGGCCCAGCAAATCGGTCTTGCCAATGAAAAAGCCAACGTCTTCATAGCCTGCACAGACTGCCTAGCCATTCTATCCTACCTTTCAAATTCCGAAGACCTCAACAAAGCCTTAGAATCCTACAGTAGCGCACTTGCCGCACTCGCCTCCCTACCCAACCAATCCAAGCCATTCACAGCCTTCACAACCGAGCTCCTCCATCAATCCCGCGCCCGCTTCCTCTACCACCACATCCGCACCAGCAACATCTACAAACCCTCCCACATTCGCGCCCTTCTATCAGAAAGCATCTCCCTCTTCCGCCACAACACCATCTTCCTCTCTCTTTTCGCCTGGAACGAATCGCGCTTCCGCATCGAAGAACGCGTCCGCGACACAATCCGCGACATCACTACCACCAACCCCCGCCCCGACGATCTCACAGCTACACCCACCCAAATACCCATAACCACCCATCTCTTCTCCATCTACACCGAACTCAACCGCCCCATCTACGCCGGCTCGACCCTCCACTCCGTCCGCGCCGCGTTCGAAAAAGCCATCGGCGACCAATCCACCTCCATCTCCACAGCGCACTCTAGCATCACCCTCTGGAAACTCTACATCCTCTTCGAACTATCGCGGAACGAGATCCAACGCGCCAAGAAAGTCTACTATCGCGGAATGCGTGCATGTCCGTGGTCGAAGGAACTCATCATGTTGGCGTTCACGCATCTCCGAGCGGATATTATTCCCTCACATGAGTCGAAGGGTGAAGGGATGAAATTCAACGAGTTAAGACACGTGTATAATGTGTTAGTGGAGAAGGGTTTACGGATTCATCTAGATATCGAGATGGAGTTGGATGAGGTTGCGATGAGGAGTGTTCCGGGGTTGCCGATCAATATGCCCGAGGATGCGGAGAGTGAGGATGAGAAGATGCAGGGTTAGGTTGATCACAAGGTAGTTATCATATAGTGTGATAGGTTAGCGTTGATTATGAATGGACTTGCATTTTCATGACATGGCTTGTGTACGTATTATGTTGATTTAAACATGTACTCTTCACCTGGACGCATCGGATCCCTTCAACGATCATGAGTCGTAGATAGACACTGGGAAATATAGTACAGGATATTGCAGATTACGCGACAGACAAACAGATAGGTACATCCAAAAATTGAACAGACGCCAAGAGTCATCAGTCATCAGGGTTTCGTGTCATCGAGCTTATTGTTCCTTTCTATTTCTTTCTCCTTTTGTTGCTGACATACAAGGACTGACCGTTACCTTCTCGAGGTTATTCGGTCCAGTTGGCAGATTGCTGAGCTGCCTGGATCTTGAGATCCTCGTTAACACAGAAGTGTGAAGGATGGGCTGAGGCTGTCTAGAAGTGTTCCTTCCAGAACTTGAACTTGATGTCCCTTGTTGAGGTCGATATGGTTGCGTCTTTGATTTGTCTGGCAGCAGCATTTGGACCACAGAAGTAGACACCGATTTCGGTAGTTGAATTTCCATGCACGCCGGACAGGTATGTTTGTTCCTGGAGACCATCACGCATGGCAGTGAAAAGGCGTTTGAAGTCAGGACGACCGAAATTCGTTCTGCTTCGTAACTCGGTCAATGGATCGACGGCCTGTCCGACCGAGTTGAGGTAGATATTGGCGGCTGTGTCGTCGTCAAGCCGTTGGGTAAGGTATGTGTGGATTCGTAAAAATTCGGCCTTGCCGTTGAATTCTGCTTCGGCGGCAGACTGGGATTCTAGAGAGGATAGTAAGGCTTGAAACCATTCGAAAGACGAAGTGTCCCTGCAGACCCAGATAAATTCGACACGACGGAGACGACGAGCTAATTTAGCATCGGTCCGTTGATGCCAGATGTTCTTTAGGATAGAGGCCCATGGTGTGACACCGATGCCAGTTCCGATGAGGACGGCCACTTCGTTTTCGAAGACGTCTTCGGCTGGAGCTCCGTATGGACCGTCGACACGGAGCCTGGGCATCCTTTGTCCGTTATGGAGGGCAACTTCGTACATCCCCATAGGGTCAAGGCCTTCCAGATCTCTCGCTTGTGCTGGTCCGCATCCTAGTGCATCGCCTAGGGCGCGAGTGAAATCCCCGACTTGGCGAACGTGGATGCTGATGTATGGGTCGAATGGACAGGACGTGATGGTAAACGGATGCCATTGATTGCTGGATACGTCGGGAGCCTGGATGAAAAGCCATTGCCCTGCCTTATATCTCATGCTGTCTTTGCGGAATTGGATCTCCATCGCGTCTGTGTTTGTGGTGTTAGTGTCGAGGATGCTATGATGGCCCGAAAGAACATACCATATGGATGACGGACAACCTTCAGGATTACAGTTTTGCGTCTCGCTCGAATCTCACGATACAGCCTCTCGAGCATGTACAAGCCGCCAGCGACTAGCTCCCACCTCCAGCCTTCGTATCCTAAGCAGTGGTTCCAAAACCTGGACCCCGCGAAAGGTGAAATAGGTTCTGCAGTATCTCGAACGAAGCAGCCCGTCGCATGCGTATATAAGGCCAGGAAGAACGGTATAAACAGATGGTGCGTGTACCAAAATGTCTCAAAAGACTGCTGTCGGATTCGTTGATGAGCGGTCGTGTACATGAGCATCATGCAGAGAAGCATCACATGGCCTGTTATCCCACCAGCCTCGGTATAATGAATCTGCACGGCCAGCACGGGTCGGATATGGTCTTTTTCAACGTTGTAAAAGCTGCTGATTGTTAGAACAATGACCTCGATTCCGGAAGATCTAGCTTACTTCACGTAATGAGCAGCCGTATGGATTATGGTGAAGATAAGGAGAGCATAGGCTACTTGACGATGGAACCATACCGTTTCATCCAACGGCAACCATCGAACTCGGGGTCTTAGATTCTTGACGACGTTCCTGCACATAGGCAGCAAGAGAAGGGTGGCATCGCAAGATAGAACGAGACCAGCGCCTCTTGATATCCAGACAGAATACCGCAGAGTATTGAGGGCATCTAGCTTCTTGTCCGTGGCTTGTAAATACCTAGACGTTCTCAGTAGCTGCATCGGCGGCTATTGAGGGTCATCAAACCTACCAGCCCACTGCAAATATGGCAATATGCAGTCCCCAGAACAACGAGTAAAACCATATTTTAGAAGCGGCAAAATATGAGCTCCAAGTAAAAGTCATGGTGAGCAGTATTGAATGAGCATGCAAACAAGTTTCTCTCTAAGTAAAGACGTGATCATCGGCCTGCAATGACCCGTGCTTGGAAGGAGTGAATTATCTGGGAGCGCGTATATTGATGGACTTTTCGCTGAAGGCGTCTGTACCATGAATCAAAGGAGTGAGATCGGTGCCGCCCACAGGTCTATGAATCCATAAATAGATTGTCTCTCACGAGCCGACACTATTCGCCGGAGCATACAATGCGTTAAGCCCGCGTCGAGCAAGAAACCTTGTGTGCGAACTTAGATAAGATGTTATTAGACGTTAACAAGGAATGCACGCACCCTGAATATCTCCGGGCACGGATAGTAATTCCTGGCTCCCCCTTTGATTATCGAAAATTACCGCTCATCGATGGAAGCCCTTCATGTGTCAGATTCCGTGGTCGAGATCGTCCAAGATGCGGGAAATGCCGATGAACGCAGAGGGCTGGGGGCCAATTGGGGAACACGAATCAGACCCGATTATACCATTGTTATCTTATTAGGGTCTAGGCCATGAAGGATGAATAATTCAAGTAGATTGATGACAGATGTGGGGTTTGGCCGGTGAGATGCTCAGTTAGGCGGCTTGGTACCCAGAGATACGGTTTTGGTTGCAGGGAGGAGGGGAGAACGGCTGGCGAGAGACGCGAAGATCAGGAATCCTGCTGCTATATTTACCCCAACCCCTGTTCTGCGCGGAATTATGGCGTCGCTAAAGTAGCCTGCAGGAGCGGATCGCCCGGTTGGACACCACTTTCCCCGACTTGCCGATTGCAATGCTCTGGCGGAAAAGTTTTGTAGACCATGAACGTCAGGCGATTAATCATCGCATGATGCGCGGTTCTTCGACAAAAATCACCTGGCTCTGGGCAAGTTCCATTACGTTGAAGAGACGATCCTCCCGCTTGTGTTCCAAGCCCACTATTCGGTGAGTGCCAGTCACACCATCTCCAGGGCCTTCTATGTTCGCGGACTCGTAAAGTTATCACCACGATTGGTGCACCTAGTAGTGCCATGATAGGACCTGGCGAGTCAAATGGCTCAAGACTCCTCTCTTCGCATGCTGCCTATCTTCTCATCTCCCGGCATCAGCCACCAACTGAACCATGTGGCACCAGGATTGAGAATTGCCATCGACAATCCATAAACCCGCAGTCGACTATTCTATATTTCTCCCACTTCTCGTTGATTCGCTCCTTGATGGGTGGAGTCTCGGCCAATTTCGGCCTATGAGATGCGCCGTGCAAGCGCGCTTCCCATCACACACGGTCCGAGCGGCCATCAGGATTGACCGTGTACCTCAGTGGCAGATAGGGATGACTAGGACTGCAGATTAAGGTCCGTCTGCTACCAAATATAGCCATTTCTCTTGAGCCAAGGCAGCCAAGATCCAGGTACTAGTCCAAAGCAGAATCACCTCCGGGGGTCGGGACTCGGGAGAGGAGACCCTGATGCTTTTTGATGGATAGTCCAGGGCGTAGGATGGGCAGGACGGATCAGATGATAATGCCGAGGCATGATTAAGTTCTTGGCCATGCACGGTTGAGGTTTTCATCACAATTAGTGACAGCCAGATTGGCACTCGGACCGTGTGGGTATGGACTGTGCTATTATTACTCCCGGGTGATGGTGGTCGTCAAAAAGACGGTGAGTTGTCCAGCCGTCTTCCTGCCCTGGTCGCTTTTGACCATTGTCTGTTATTTCTGCTAGGTTTTTTTTTTTTTTTTGCGAGTGGATAAGAAGGTGAGATCGAGTTGGCCTGCCAGCGGGTATTTATGGCTGTGTAGCAATCCGTGTCGCATCAGTAGGCGCCCGTTGGAGCTCTTGGGAGGGACGGGGAAAAGAAAACCAACCGACCACCTAACCTGGGCACCAATTTCCCCGCTTCTCGAGTCTTCACAAAAAGGTTCAGAGGAGCACCTGGCCTGGTTGGATCAATCAGAGGGGGGGAACGTGGAACTGCCAGAGATGCATCGGCCGCTAAAGTGTGTTGCCGCAAATCTCCTGCATTGTCCGGTCCACCGTCACGCCCCGTCAAGTCGCTAGTGCATCACACCCCGTCGGGCTGGCCGGCTTCTGGCGCTGAGTGGCTGGCATCCAGGACGTCGAAGCGCCCGGCTGGGGCGTCCAGCATCAAAGCTCCCAGGATCACTCGCGCCGTCACGTTCCGCCGTGCATTCAGGTCCAATCATGGGCCGTGGTCGTGAAGAAGTCGAGGGGTTATTTTGAATTGAAGCAGGGCCTCGTTCATGATTGGTCTCACAAAAAGAGCGGTTGATAAAAAAGGATCCACGTATCACAAGCGTTGAGAGGGGAACAGAGAAGGACGGAGATTCCTTGGCTTCGGCCTATCGTGAAGATGAGGCCGGTCAGGTGGTCTCCTCATTTGGCGCCGGAAGCTATGTATTCCTGGCATTTCCCCCTCCACGACTACCACGACATTGTCAATCACTGGTTTGCTTCGGCAATGCATTGCATGGTTTCTCGAAGCAACGCTGCGTCGCTCTTTCTACATTGAGTTTATGTGATGTGATTGTGGTGACGACCTGCCGGAGAAGACTTTAGCAACCGTGCATTCCACTAGTCCACCTGCCATGTCATTTGGGACGAGCATATCGCATACAACTTTCATTGATCGGGTGGATGGTTGAGGGTCATCCTATCATCGCGCAACATCAATCTGTGTGTTTATGAGACAGCCACAGCATTGTATCTCCACTTGAGCAGATCGCTCTTTCGCAGGACGGAAGACGCTTGATATTCTGCCACTACTTCACAGGCTTGCCTACCATGGGAAGGCTTATCAAAAACCACTGGGCGCGACTTATTATCCTCACAGCCGCAGCTTGTATGTACAACAGTCCTTTGACCTAGCAACAGGACACAGCTAATCTGAGTGCTTCACTATACAGACCAAATCGGCGGTGCGATCGAGGGTTTCATTTGGCCCAAGGTGTTTTGGGACTTCATGACAGATAATCTGAACGGCGCTGTGAACCCGATTCCAATTCTTCAAATCCTCAACCTCCTGATGGGATTGCTCTGCCTCGCATGGGAATGGCCCTTGAAATACTTTGCCGGCACCCTTCCACACCGCAGCATCGAATTCCGATTGATATTCTATCCCCTCAGCGCTCTACTCTCCATGCTCCTCTATCAAGGAACCGACCCTGCTATGTACTACCTTATCGGGATTGGTGTTTATTTCTGGGCCTACAGTGAGGGCGAGGTACGTATCCCGATACCTACACAGAAGCGTGGTCTAATAAGAATAGGTGGTTTGCCCTATACCATGGACCCTGCCGAAGCGAAGCGAATACAAGGTATAGCACGGCTATACTAAGACCAAGATCAAACTTCTCACATATAACGACCACGATACGACACGACATAATGAAGCGATACCCGACAATGCTACTGTAGCAGTAATACCCGTTGTTTTGGAGTTGGGACAGAGAAAACATTCCATTGGGTCAGCAATGACTTTCCAGCTATTGCCCTGGATTGCCTAGAGTAAACATAATCCTACTCTCGATGTACCATAGTTTTTCTGGGGGGCTATTGAATAGAAAGAGTACAGGTTACAGTCCGTTGAATAGCAAGCACCAAATTACACAATAACGTATATTTGACAAAAACGCTATATAGCACTTTCCGATAGATAATGCCCAGCAGTACTTTTTGCAAACCGGCACCCATAGCAGCCCTGGCCCAAAAGTACAGCCGACCACCAGCACTCGCTGCATTCTTGATGCCTTATTCATGCCTTATTTGCGAAGCGCGCTAGCACTGAGCAATACTAGGTTCAGTCCTGCTAGGGAAGTTTCCAGCTCCGAGGCTTCTTATTAATCTGATAGTTTATATAATTTTAGTTTTCTGATTACTTATTTAATTTACTTATAATATGATTTAAACTATATTACCAGTACTCACCACTTCAGCCTAATAAAGATCTTAGAGAGGGTCTAGGGAGAAGAAAGCCTCTCAGTCTATATTCAGACTGTAGATCTGAATTAAGTATTATGTTTTTAAATATTTAACTAAGCTGTGCATGACTGAGCCCTTTAAAAGTACTCAACGGAGCCCTTTAAAAACACTCAATGAAGCCCTTTAAATGCGCTTGACAAAGCTCTTTAGAAGCGTTTAATAGAGCCCTTTAGTAGCACTTGATAAAGCCCTTTAGTAGCCCTTTACATGCGCTTGACGAAGCTCTTTAAATGCGGTCAAAGTGCGTTGCATGTTGCTTACTAAGGCGCTTCGCAATGCCTTGGGCTGGGGGCTTCCCGCAGGCCAGGACCTAGTACACGTGACCTCGTGTCCAATCCTACCCAAAAGAGTTAAGCTTCTGGAACGCTCCAGACCGAGGAACGAAAGATGAGGCAAATCAGCAGTAGTAAACCGAGCCAAAGAAAAGCCTTTTAGCACCAGTCCACGACCCCTGAAATGATTTCCCCTACTTGCTCCTCAACTATATATACCACTAACCCAAGCAACCAGTTTTTACATCCACTAACTTAGAGAATCCCGAGCAACCAACGACAACAAATGTCCCTTCTCCTCGAAGACAATCCCCAAGGGGCCACGAACAAAGCACACGCCCATGAAGACCAAAACGATAACGACGTCCCCGTGAACAAAAAAACCACATTCAACGGCCGCTTAAATCAATACTTCCACATCTCAAAATCCACCTCTACTTCTACAACACAAGAAAAACAACAAAAACAACCCATCCCCTTCTCCTCACCCCTCAAACGCAAACGAGACACCCAAACCATCCTACCAACAACACGAATAACCCGATCTCGATCCCGATCCCACACCCCAACCGCCACCCGCAAGAAACCCACCCCAACACCTACACCTACACCTACACCTACACCCACAGACTCCCTCCTCCGCGACACCATCCCTCCAAACCTAACCCTCCTCCTCGTGGGCGTAAACCCCGGAATCCTAACCGGCACAACCGGTTACGCCTACGCCCACCCAAGCAATCTATTCTGGAAACTCCTCCATTGGTCTGGCATCACATCCATCCGGCATCCGCCCTCAGATACATACCGACTTCCTGAGCTATATAATATTGGGAATACGAATATAGTGGAACGGCCGACTCGGGATGCAAGTATGCTGAGCAAGGCGGAGATGGATGCGGGAGTGCCGGTGTTGGAGGCGAAGGTTGCGGCGATGAGGCCGGAGGTGGTGTGTTTGGTGGGAAAGAGTATTTGGGAGGCGGTTTGGAGGGTTAGGCGTGGGAGGGGGATTAAGAAGGAGGAGTTTAGGTATGGGTGGCAGGGGGAGGGGGAGAATATGGGGAGAGGTGAGGGGTGGGAGGGGGCGAGGGTGTTTGTGGCTACGACGACGAGTGGGTTGGCGGCGGGGATGTCGATGGGGGAGAAGAGGGCGGTTTGGGAGGAGTTGGGGAGGTGGGTTACTTTACGGCGGGAGGAGAAAAGGAGGTGAGGATAGATGAAGGAGGGTTGTGAGATGTAGATGGAATGTGTAGAGATACAGGTTACGTTACGAAGTATGTATAATATGTATAGAAGATAAATTCAGGTATTGATTGTCCCTTGGATTTCTTTATATTCGATCTACCTCTATCTAGGTAGAAAGCTAGGTATGTAATTTCAACTGCATCTGCATCGTATTCTCATCCGCTAGAAAAAGCATAATCAAGTGCTTGATCGGTCGATCGATATCATGCTATCCTTGCCCATACAACATCCCACTCACCCATCAAGGGAGAGGCACTCAACAAACAACAGAGGTGATGTGATGGGAAGAGGCCAGCCCGCCAGCCAGCAAGGCATGCATGTACGAGTTTACCGGTAAGCAGGTCCGTTACGGAAGTTGGTATCGCCTTGTTGTTCACGAGACTATAGCCATTCAGTTAGCTTCCATCATCTATCATATACTTCCAAGGAAGGACGGGCCACATACAATAGTAGACTGGTATTCACCCTTCTCCAGGATCTGGGTTATGCAATCATCTTCGTTGGAAGTGCCGAACTCATTCTCGAGACTGGCCTTGCTAGCTCCGTCAAGGACACCCTGGGCTCCGTGCCTGATTGGGTATTTAGCTCTATTCTCTGGGCAGGTAATTCATGGAGCTGATATCGTGAATGGGGAATTGCAGGGCAATCGCGCTGGGATACTCACTTGTGGGTCACGAAGATCTTCCAGCCGTTGAGAACATCGGCCAAGGGGACTGAGCGGTCACCGCGCCATCTGTTCAGAACGTCGTGGTCGTCGACAAAGACAATGAAGTCGTCGGACGCACCCTTGTAGAAGAGCTTGGAGGTGGGGTCGTTGTGGCGAGGCATGTTGATATTTGGGGCTGTTTTGGTGTTGATGTAGATGTGTGATGAATTGGACAAGGTGCTTGAATCTTTCAGGAAGAAGGTAGCCTGTAGATTCAATGGGTAGGATGGGAAGAGAAGAAGTCGAGCTAGAGCGAGAAGAGGTCGTGTGAGGTGATGGCTGATGACGTCACCACGATGCTACCGGAGGGACAAAGGCGGGCACCGCTGCAGGGGGGTGGAGGATAGTAATTGAATTGGAGAAAAAGGTGGAAGGGAGATTGAGGATTCTATCAAATATCGTGTGATAATTAGGCTGTAGTTGGTAAAGATGATTCTCCTTTCCCTCGAGTGCAGAAGCCCTTTAAATAGGAAGCGTGGATGCGAGATGCCCTGGTCGCCAGCCGAGCACCGACGTCATCATCGACTGATGCTGCAATGCTGCAGTCCCTCCCTTCTGGATCCCCGGTGGAGAAGCATGGCTGACTATGGAATTCAATTCCCTCATCATCATCATCGTCATTCCATTCAACTAACGCGTCTGGCATTCTCGCTAATGCTACTAATTACGTCTCGCTTCGCCCCGGTCAATCTCTCGTCCCCCCCACAGTCCTCGAATCAATACGAATCCTTAAGAACACCAAACATATTTCATGCATCTGTGCCTCTCCATCTGATGCAATTCTGCAGGCAATCTGGAACAAGTTGCATCATCACCTTCACGACGCTCCACTCCCCAGCCCCACGCGACCCTGTCTTTTCGATCTCTTGGATGACATCGAATTGAACATCCTTCGGATAGTGGATGTCTTCGAGGAACAGCTTTCACCAGACGCCTGTCTTCCCTTACCGGTCGGGGAAGTCTCGCATTTGGCTCCTTTCGCTTTCCATGTTTTGGATCGTTTTATTGCTCCCTTGCCATGTCGCAGCAAGGCAGGTTCCTTCTCATGGTCAGATGCTGTTGGCTTGCCTTTCGACACACTCCGTAGCGTCTTGTCCTGGCTCTTGACAATTTTTTTGCAACCTTTGTCCCCGGCACGGATCATCCCTGTACTAGAAACAGTAGGAAATCCACCAGTGTTTAGACTCACACAGCTAGAGCGTCTGTATAAGCCTGGCCGGAGGCTCAAATGTCTCATAATGGACCCGGGACTAAGAAAAATGTCACCCGTTCCCAAAGTCATGCCAGGGTAGGGAAGGGCATCCCGTGTGTAGAGGGAAGAGATGGCACGTTCCAGGAGGATCCGATCTTGTCTTCTGGCGGTCAGTACAAATGCTGGACACGAAGAAGACATCTTTGGCCGCTCGAGTTCACTGTCCACTGCGCCGGATAGGTGAAGACTCTGTGGGCAATGCGTCTTCTTGATGATGATGTTCTGCGAGTCTGGCAGGGTCCGTGACGCGGCCAGTACTTGCATAGAAGGCCGACGAGGCAGTGGAGGCAGTGGACTGCTACCGCAGGCCAATGGTGTCAGTTCGAGAGACAAAAATGAATATTCTTTCAGTTTCGCCAACACAGACTTCTGTATATTAGTCAATGCGGCAGCAGACTTGAGTATCTCGGTCTTCCATTTTTTTTCCTCGCATGCCGATGACGCGCTAAGCACCAACTCGAAGTTCTCGTCGAGGTATTGGAAAGTCAACTTCCAGGAAAATAGGCACCCATAACAACGCAGTCCTATCTCGGTACTTAGTGTAAAAATCAATACCGAAGGCAGTTTCCTTACCTTCCCCGTTTCTCAATGAATCAATCTTCAGGTCGGAAATATAGAGGCAGGCCACTGCTCGAAGCCTCCGGTAGTCATCACTTGGTTTGGCAATTAACAGATGATAAGGAAAAAGGATGCAGACCATGTAGCCTCCGGTAATATGGTCTGAAGTCTGGTACGTGATGTGAAGAACACCGCAGAGTGTCAATGGGCCCAGCTGTTTGTAAGCATCACTAACCGTGTTCTGCAGATTCAGTCTTTAGTTCAGCGACTATGTCCTCGAGTAGCAGATCGGGGCTATCTTACCGATGCAGAAAGATCCATGAGCCCCTGTAATGAAAGAGTCTTGTTGACCAGTGCGTTGTTGACAGGATTGTTAATCCCATGATTGATTTCGCACACCACCGCGCGGACCCTTTCAAGCACCTGCCGAATACCGTCATGGGCGGATGGGTCGTCTTGGATATGCGTCCACCTTAGTAACTCCTCAAGCAACAGGGGATATTTGCACAGACGCTGGACCGGCTGCCAGATTATCAGCACATACGGGCAAGATGGATTAGGTTATTCAAACCTTGATAAGTAGATCGTTCAAAGACATAGCCTTGTTTTCCTCTTGTGTCTGTCTTTCCAATGATGCAACAGACTTCGATAGCGCCTCGAGTCCCTGTTCATATATACGCCAATTGGGTACGGATTGGCGGAGAATATTGAAATCCACTGTAAGTAAGCTATAGTTCTTACAAAATACTTTGTAGGCTGTGAAGGACTCGGACTGCACAGATAAGTCAACAGCCGAAGCAAAATGGGTCAATAGGGGGAATACTTACTAGTTTTCCCACTTCTCGCGCAACTTGCAAAGCCTCTTTGGTCTCTGCAGCCAGCACCTTGAGCCGAGAGTCCACCGACGCTCTAAAGCTGCGTGATCTAAGAGACTTGTTATGTAGGGCTCGGAGTCCAAAGTCAATTGCACACAGGCGCTTGTGCAGCCCCTGGGGCATCAAGTTATCGAACTCGGCCCCTGCAAGGCTCGAGATTGGCGTCAGGTTTCGAATTTGGGCCAGGAAGTCCTCATGTGTATCGCGGATCTGCTGAATGTTATGATATATTTCCGGTCGGACGGAGACTATGAAGAGCGCCTGAAGATAATGAATCAGTTAGCCATCAGCGGTATATCTGCGGGACTTCCTGAAGAAAGATAAAAAAAAACTTCGGAACCATACATCAGCAAGTGCTTTCAGGCCGAAGACATAGTCACATTCAGTGGTGATCAGTTCTCGGAGAACACGGCGCCTCTTGATGGCCCGATGCTGGGCCTCCTCATCGATGGAGGAGCTCAATGTGGGCCTTAAGCTGTCCAAAGATTCACGGACATCAGATCTTATACTCTGGTTTGTCGTGCTCTGTGTGGTTCCCCGCGATCTTACAACGCTTTGACTAGTAATGCTTAGAGTAGCAGTCTTTACAGTTCCCAAAGTTGATGAATGGCGTGATAAGGATTCCCACCCTTTTTCCTGCACCTCCTGAATAGCATGCAGGGATGACAGGTCAGGGGCGAGATCCTGCTTATCTTCTATGAGTTCTTCTGGCCAGCCTTCGATGTATCTTTCAGGAGGATGATAGCCCTTCCTGGATCGGAAGCTATTCATCCATCGCTTGAATGCGGCCACGTGGTCCACCGAGGTTGCAACAGCATGTGTTCCAGTGATTTCCACCTCGAATTCAGGTTTTTCCAAGATGAGTAAAGGAGGTTCGGCAATATCCTTGGATTCTTCCATGATGGTGAGCGTGGTGGAGAGTCAATCTCGGACTAGCACATGGATGCAGGAAATAGGCCATGCTTCGGTTTTATCCATCCCATGAACAGTGACGCTGATGACCAAGTGGAAGCAATGACCAGGTGGAAGCAACGACCGGCACAGATCCTCACATGGGGAAAGCATGATATACTATCTTCACCGGAAGATCTCACATGCCGAACATGACTTCTAGTGCAAGAAGGAGCGAATTCCATGCAGCCAGTGCACTGCACACTTACAATAAGGTTATCCGACCGCTGTCGCTGAAGTAAAAGTCGCCTATACATTCTGCACCACCTAGCTTAGAATAAAATTCTGAAGCGCTGGTCCTACCATGTAGAGGTTGCCCATCACTCTCACCGATGAATCTGAGTTCATCGACAGCATCGGTGCTCCCTGATTTCAGGCTGATCATACCACAAGGAGCCAAAGTGGCGATACAAATTAGCATCAGTGGTTCACAAGAGTGACACCTGTTGCTAATACCTTTGACAGCTGATGGTCCGTCAGTGGCCACAGTATAACTAAACCGCGCGGATGGGGCATGGCCAGCCCGTGGGCTCATCTCGACGAACCCTGTGAGCTGAGTTGAATGCCATATCTACTAGACATAGAACTCGCCACCGTGGAGCATCTTGAGAGGTCGAACACGCGTCCTGATGAAGCCCTCGACGTGGTTGTTGTGCAGCGCTTTCAAAGCGCACGATGCCAAGAAGGAAGAAGTTCCCCCAGATTTCCCACCGAAAGAAGACCCACCGCCGCTTCCCGCGCGATCTGCCTGCAACAGCCTGAGCTCTCGCCGCTCACTCTCCTTTCCTACATCCACGTACCACCAATAATGTTTTAATCCAACTCCCGCTCGTTCTAGAATGGGAATACCCATGGACCGCAATATACATGCTCCTACAGTAGCCTCCGGCCCTACGTCCGGAGGGGCCCCTCCCCGCGATCTGTCCAAGCTCGGCATGGTCGACCTGATGCAAGAAAAGGAACGGATCGAAGAGGAACTTTCAGCCCTGAGCAGCGTTCTCGGCTCGGTAAGTGACTCTTGGTACTGAATGTACTTGCCACTCTGTGAGATGCTGGCTAACAATATGTTCCACTAGCATGGCGTTAATATGAACACATCTCTGACAACCTTCGATGGTTTCCCACGAGACGATATCGACGTTGCCCAAGGTGAGTCACTGCTTTTGCTCCCATCGTGCAGTTTCTAAGAACTGGCTAGTACGCACTACCCGAGCCCGGATTATTCGCCTGCGAAACGACCACAAGGAGGTTATGTCACATCTAGAGAAGGGTATCTACAACCACTTTGCGAATCTGCAGCGCGCACAGGTGGCTGCACCAGCTAGTGGCAATGTGGATGGTACACCAGGGTCAGGGAATGGCGTATCAGATACTGGGGCAGCCGGGTTGCCATTCGCGAAGGTCAATAGCGTGGTGCCTGGAAGCCCTGCCGACCAGGCTGGTCTGAGGGTCGGCGACACCATTCGGGGGTTTGGGAGTGCGAATTGGCTTAATCATGAACGTCTCTCCAAGGTTGCAGAGATAGTCCAGCAAAGCGAAGGGGTACGTTGCTTTAGATCCTCCCTTGCCTTCTGCGCGGGTTGATGGGAACACTTCAATACTGCGCGCGCTTGGAAAAAAAACTCTGGACTAACCTCTCCTAGCGTTCTGTTGCGGTCAAAGTTGCCAGGAAAGAACCTAACTCAACCAGCAGCGTCGATTTATCCCTCGAACTCGTCCCCCGCCGTGATTGGGGCGGCCGTGGTCTGCTGGGCTGTCATCTAGTGCCGCTATAATAGACTCGATGATGTGATCTTCTGTACTTGGAGCAATCCTTGCTACTATCTAACTCTTATGAGGAATGCGACATGGTTTCATGACTAATTCTGTTTGTTGTTGAAAGGAAAATACTTAGGGAAGCATCCAGGACGGCGTTGCGGTTAGGCTCCATGTACGAAATTGCGCCATCATGACCATGAGTTATCCACCATTTCATACGCAGAGTAGATAGCTAGAGTGCTTTTCATCCGGACAAATGCCCGCGGATCGACTGCATTTGCCGCGGTCCTGCGGGGCACTGACGGCCTGAGGCCTGATGCCCACGTGACCGCAGGCTTTGGTGACCGACTCGGGGCAAAAATTCCATCAGCGTTGGAATAACCTTCCTCTCTAAACTCCTCCCTGCCCCCCCGTTCGATCGAACACCTTTGGTACCTACCTACGTTCCATCGACTTGTCGCTTCTGACGGTCGATTTTTAAACTCCACCGGCTGCTACTGACTTTCTTTTCTCCCTTTCGTGGATTCTCCCAAGACATACATTCATCATGGCTGAGGTACCGACCTTCAAGCTTGTCCTCGTCGGTGACGGTGGTACTGGAAAGGCAAGTTCAACCTCGATGAATCCTCTTGTTCTGCTTACTCTGGTGGATGCGGCTCATCGCTGTCTCGACACCGGTTGATGCTCGACTGCATTCCTGTCATGCGTGTTTACCCCTCTCTGTTCCCGTCGTCGCTATCAACAAAAAACTTCATCGCCCCTCCACCTCACCGAGTGGGACGTCATTACTGACTTTAAAATTTCCTGACAGACCACCTTCGTCAAGCGCCACTTGACTGGCGAGTTCGAGAAGAAGTACATTGCGACCCTTGGTGTCGAAGTGCACCCTCTCGCTTTCCACACCGTATGCCCCGCCGGCAACCCCGCTTTGTCCATTCCGCCGTCTTTGTCTCGGTCCGACTAACCCTTCTACCAGAACCTGGGTAACATCCAGTTCGACGTGTGGGACACTGCTGGTCAGGAGAAGTTCGGTGGTCTTCGCGATGGATACTACATCAACGGACAGTGCGGTATCATCATGTTCGATGTGACCTCCCGTATCACCTACAAGAACGTCCCCAACTGGCACCGTAAGTGCTTTCACTTTATCCACACAGTGCGTTTGACATCCGACTGACAATGTACTTCAGGTGATCTCGTCCGTGTCTGCGAGGGTATCCCCATCGTGCTGTGCGGTAACAAGGTCGATGTCAAGGAGCGTAAGGTCAAGGCCAAGACCATCACCTTCCACCGCAAGAAGAACCTCCAGTACTACGACATCTCCGCCAAGTCTAACTACAACTTCGAGAAGCCTTTCCTCTGGCTCGCTCGCAAGCTGGTCGGCAACCCCCAGCTGGTAAGTCGATTCCGTGCCTGCCTTTGGCTCTTGCCCTGACTAACGATCGCTTCCCAGGAATTCGTTGCTGCCCCCGCCCTTGCTCCCCCCGAGGTCGCTGTCAACAAGGAGCTCATGGAACAGTACGAGCAGGAGATGCAGGCCGCCACCCAGATGCCCCTGCCCGACGAGGAGGACCCCGATTTGTAAACGCATGGTCAATGAAGGCTGGGGCTGGGGCTTCGGCCACGGGCTCGTGGCAGTCGCTCTGTCCCGATAACTGGGTACGTTATGCAAGATTTCGAATCACGATACAATGATAGCGGTGGGAGGAAATAAGCCCGAGAACGGTCGGCATGATTATGCATTTGCAATATTTACCACTAGTAGTCTAGACTCTGATTATCTCTACAAAGTTCCTTTGAAACGATGACACTGTTTACCGCCCATCAACTATCACGCGATAGCTGCTGGAAAAGTTCCAAGGTTTTTTTTTCTATCACTCAATACCTACAAACCGTTCCAAGAGAAGGACAAACACCCAAATACCCTAGCATACGAACACCATCAGGACAATACCAACCCACCTTCTTCCTTTCCATCTATTTCCACCTAATCTCCCTACCTAAAACTTCGTAGTTACCCATCCCCATTAGCCAATAATATGAAATAGAAATAGCAACTTGCTTCCATGCTTCCATTAGGTTCAATCGGTTCGGACCCGTCCCCATCAAACGAACGAATCATTTTATCCACATACCACGATCAATAAATAATATCCAAATCTATCCAAGAAATTCTACTAATGTACGTAGTATACTGTTGTTATACCTGGGCCGTAATAAATTGTGGTGGTATGACGTCACCGGTGGGATGATCAGGCCGAGCCCAGTTTGTTGGTGGTTGGGTTGGGTTAGGTTGGGTTGTTGGGTTTCAATGACTACCGTGTCTACCTACTCCGTAGACTATTGCTGTAGTATTTGGGGTTATGTCTTTTTTGGCGGGGTGAGAGGGGTAAGAGAGATTAATGGTGATTGGGTTGTGGTTTATTTTGTTTATTAGGTAGGTAGGTAGGTACTACTATGTAGAGGGGCAGGGTGGGTTAGATGGAATACTACATATCTAGTTGAGAGCTTTGTGCTGAAGAGTGTGTAGTAATCAACTTCTTAGCTATTTCTAGGCAATTTATCTGCTTTGTGCATGCGTTGTGGGGGGTGGATTGGGGAATGGTGATGAGGGGTTAGCTACATTCAGTAAACAAGACTTGGGAAGATGGCGGTGCAGACATTGGTGACAATCCAACTGAAGGGGGAAAAGCAAGGTAGCGAGGTGTGATGAAAGCAGAAGACATGGGAAGATAGAAAGAAAGGGCAGTGGAAGGAAAGGGAAAGGGGTCTAGGGTTGGGGTATCTCGCAGAAAGGGGTTCAGCAAAGTTCGAGCTCAAAAGCCATCAACGCCATAAAAGCAAAGGGAACGTAGATGATGATCGTCAAGAGCGAATATTCTAGAAAACAAGTTAGTATCAACGTCAAGAATAAAGGGACGTAGGAAGGATGGACTTACGAAAAGGAAACGGAGTTCGCGGACTCCCAATCTGCCGACATCCTTCGAGGCCTTTTCGTCCAAAGCACCCTCGACAAGCTCCCGCTTTTGATCCTGCAACTCGAGAATTCGGTCTTCGACGGTATCCTTCACCACGATGCGGTGAACCTGTACAGGGCGGATCTGTCCAATGCGGTGAGCTCGGTCGACTGCCTGCTCTTCCACATAGGGGTTCCAGAACGGGTCGTAGATGATCACCTGCGATGCAGCAACAAGATTCAAGCCTGCGTTTCCAGCTTTCAGCGAAACCAATAGGATGCGGCAGTCCGGGTCTTCTGTGAAGTCCAGCACAGACGCAGTACGATCAGGCACCTTCATGGTTCCGTCGTAGCGCCGATACTGCCATCCCGCGCGAGAGATGGGGATTTCAAGCAAGTCGAGCAAAGACGTGAACTGACTGAAGATAATTGTTTTCTCGTTCCCTTCACGGTTCTGAGTGTCTCGCAAGATCTCCATGGTCTTGTCGAGCTTGGCGCTTGGGACCCAGATCTTTTCCAGACGACGCAGGTACTTGGACTTTGCTTTCTTATTCTTTGAACCTTCCTTCTTGAGCTGTGCAAGGGAACTCTTTGTCTTCGACGCTTTTTCTTTACCCTTGCCCTTAATCCCGCCCCTCGCCTTGGCCTTCCCCTTCCCCTTGGCCTTGGGCGTAAAGTCTTCATCGTCGGCATCATCGTTGACAATGAATCGAGACAAACTTCCGGCATCGTCGCTATCGTCGCTATCGTCGCTATCATCATCGCTGTCGTCGTCGCTGTCGCTGTTACTCTCATCGGCATCGTCATCCTCCGTTGGATATGCCGTGCTTGTTTCATCTGACGGAGTGGGAAAATGCACCTTTGCGAAAGACCGATAATCCGTGATCTTTTTGGGATCAATCTTGGCGCGACAGTTGGGACACTTGGCATCGGATACTTCCTGTCCATTCCTTAAAGCCACGTTTGGGTCGGAAAGTCCTGAGAAACATTCTGCGCAAGTTCCGTGGCCGCAAGGGAAGAATATCAGAGGGTTTTCGACAGCATCAATGCAGATAGGGCACTCATAATCTTCGTTGTTCTTGATCCGGGTAACAACGTCGGCGCTAAATGCTTTCGCATTCATGATGAGATCCGTGTCCTCCTCCGTGGTAGCGATGGTAGCGACGTCGGCGCCAAACTCCTTGATGAGGTGAGGGTGACAGCATGCTTGTCGGAGCCGAAGAAGCAGCACAAGGATATTGGAATAGTTGCGCCCTAGATTGCCTCTCTCGAGGTATCTATGGACCTCAGCTTGACTGCGGTCCTCCAATGCCTTGTAGAACTTCTGCTCTTCCTCACTGAAAACAGCATGCACGATGTCCGTGGTCTTAGGTGGCAGTTGTAGAATCGGTTTACCGTCTATTGTTGAGGTTTTGGTTCGTCGCAAAAGGACCGCCTTCAGCAAAACTTGGAGTTGCAGCATTGTCTTCTCACGCGCGGCGCCGGAACCAGCGTTCTTCAGTGGACGAGTAAAATCCTAGGATTCGGAGTTAGTTACTATTCAGCAGGACAAAGAACGGGATCGGCTTATACTCACCCGATTGAATGTTTCCAGATTGTTGTAAGGGCGAATGCGTAGAAACTTGAGCAGCGAGTGTAACTCTTCGACATTATTCATCATCGGAGTCCCTGTCATGCACCAACGGTAGGTGGTATTGAGCTGACAGCATGCAATTGCAGATTTCGCATTTCGGTTCTTGATGAATTGTGCTTCGTCAATGATGACACGATGCCATGTACTGCCCGACCCCAGACAAGGAAGGTCTTTCATGTATTGCTTGGCCAGGGTAGGATCGCGCTTCTCTAACTCCTCGTTCTTTTGCTTTCGTTTCAATTCCGACGACAGGGTCCCGAAGGTGGTGATGACCACATTGTACCGCTTCAAATCTCGGAAGTTTCGGGATCGCTTATCGCCATGAAGTACGTAGACCGAAAGCTGATGTCTCCCAGGCCTGACCACCTTTTCGATCTCTCGCTTCCATTGCTGCACCAAGGCAACTGGGGCAACTATCAGCGTTGGTTTTCGCTCGAGATCCGTCGATGGCCGGGACACTATAAGAGCAATGGCCTGGATGGTTTTCCCAAGGCCCATGGCATCCGCAAGAATACCACCTTTATTCTCGCCCTCTTCCATCGACTTCATCCAAGACAGCCCCAGTTTCTGATGCTCCATGAGCGTGTACCTGAGAGCCTCGGGCGTCCCCTCACGATTTTCCAAAGAGATCTCAGAGTCCGGCCGGATGACTTCGAGCAGTTTCTGGAGCTCGTCTTCTGTTTTTTTGGGGTCCTCAGAGGGGCCATAATAATCACTAGAAATGTCAGTCGACAATGCAAAGGACTTACTCATCGGGCACCAGATTGTCACTCACCTTAGGTAATCCATGGCCATACCGTAGCCCCCCGGGCCTGGGAAATCATCTGGATCGAGATCGAGGTATGAACTGCTGCTTGCAGACGTGGGCTGGCTACCCAAGATGACCCTTCCTGCTTGCTGTAGCATATCCCTGCCTGCATTGAGCCTTGCCATTGTATTGGACATCACATGAGGTCCAAAAGCAGGCCCAGGTCTTCCAATACCACTGGACGAATATGGTGAGATATAGAGCGCCTTTGAGGCAGATTGTGGAAAATGGTAATCAGGTCCATGTGATACTCGAGGGGACCAGGGGTGACTCCGGCTCGTTGGAGGACGTTGCCGACGAGCGGGGGAGTTCTGGACGTGACGTTGAAAATCATCCGAAGTAATCTCTGTGACATCACTATCATCGCCATCACGCAAAGGCTGGGCTACTGGTCTGCTGTAGACAGTCGAGCGATCGCCGATCTGCGAGTAGGAAGAAGGTGATGCCGTAGGCCGGGTTCGAACATGGGGGTAACGGTGCATACCACCTACAACTGGCCTAGCGGACGAAGAAGTAGCTCCAAGTGTGGCCATAGTGGACCTCGAGGAGTGAGAAGTGGTACTTTGCGCGGATAACGGCTGGGACGGCGTAAGGAGGTAGCCATTGACTTGGCGAGCATGTTCAGCTTCACGAAGCTCCTGGGTCCGGCGTTCTTCCCACCGAGCCACTGCCCTTCTCCCTTCCTCTGGAGCCCCAGGTGCAAGCATACTGGACCTCGAGGAGTGAGAAATACTACTTCGCGAGGACGACGACTGGGGCGGCGTATCGACGTAGCCGTTGAGTCGGCGAGCATATTCAGCGTCACGGCGCTTTTGTTCCTGACATTGCGCAATGAGTCTCTCTGCTCTCATATGCTCTGCATGTACATCTTGCATGGTATGTTCTATGTTGAGGCCCAAAGCCTCGCATATCATGTCATTGTCCTCTGGATCAATGTCGGGGATACTGTTTTGGGACGCATAATGAGTGCCAGAAGGACACGGTCGCTTATTACGTCCAGACGATTGTCTAAGCGGGGCCTCCAGACCATCTGAGTCCTCACCTTCATCGTCGTCTTCATAAACATCGCCATCGCCATCGTTATCGTAATCGGCATGCCGACGCTTTTGAGATCGGAAGCGCGAAGCCTCTGAAGATGAAGACGAACTCGCCTGGGGAGGCTTACGAATACCCCAAGCCGAATGAGGGGCGCCATCTAGCTGGGCGAAGGGTAGGCTGGAGTTGGCTGTAAGCCCTCGCGGGACAAATGGAGGATGAGTGGACCGGGTCCCAGCGGGATGGCCTCCCAGCTGCCGTAGTCGCGCTTCCAAGGCTTTGATGGTGTCCAAGATTTCTTGCCTGTCTTCCACTGCATCCGGTCGTTCTTCTTCTAAACTTTGTAGGATCACTTCGTGGAGTTGGATATCGTCTACGATTTCCTCGATAGACGACGCGTCGGCCGACGAGGCCATCGTGATGGTTGGTCGGTTTTCCCGAACTCGCGAACCGCCCAAGAACTCCGAAGCCTGATCGGTCGATCTGCCCCCCAATGAAGGGCGATCGCGTGTGTATTCCTCGACGCACTTCGAAAATGACACAGGTTCAAGTCACGGAAGGGTTTGACAGGGGGAAACGGTCAGAAGAGAGGAAATGGAGGGCGGGCGTTAGACGGGGGGGAAAATGAATTTGGTGGTTTTGGTGTTGGTGGTTCGGGAACGTCGCGATGTCTTGGCGGTCCCTGGCAGGCGATAAAGTGTCGATAAAGAGTCGATGAAGATCCAAACTGTTGTTGGTGTTAGAGACAAATCAATCTGGCTTTCTTAAATACGATCAGTGTTACTGGTGAATCCAGTGAGGGGGTGAAAGGGACACGCATGCTTATGTGTCATTCATTGTGACGGCCCTGTGATGGTGGTGGCAATCTCCGTGTCCTTTTTTTTCGCAGGTTTCCTCTCCAACTCCCTTTCCCTGCAGGAACCCCATCCTAACTTGGATGCAAGATCGATCACTGTCGGAACAACCCCCCTTCCCGCCGTCACTCATTTTTCTCGCCACCATCATGATTCACGGATCATATCGTTGACAAATTCACCTTTCACTGTGTTTGAGTCATTGTCATGTATCCTGCCTGAGGCACTGATACTCACTGCTTGGAAATATAGCCCACCCTGCATCCCATTCATTCATTCATTCATAGTATCCTTTAGCTTCAGACCTTCAGATGAGAAAACAGAGGTCCTATAGGGACCCTGTGGCCTATACTGACGCTACACACGCTAACACAACCGAGGAGAAGAATAGCCTCAATCCTGTTCTTGTAGCTAGGCGGGCATCCTACTACGGAGATATCCGTCAAAGAAGGAGACAACAAAGTATATATAGGGTGATCCTGTCGGCAGCTATTCGATTACACTAGAACTAACTCTATGGATTCTGTTGACACTTGCAATTGAAAAGGCGGTCACCGCCGCTCCCTCCGACCACAGATAGGGCCAACCCCCAACCAATATGCGATATAAGACATTTGCCGTCAAAGCATGGCTCGAGTCATGGAGGAAAGAGACCAGACATAACAAGATAATAGGTATTACTCTATGGCAACGAGTTGATCGGCTCAATAGGTGGCCATACAGATCTTGACACGAGAAGGTTGCCGCGGGCCTGGAGGTGATATTTGCTGGCGACACACAGGGTCATGCGACAGGAACTGGGATGAAACGGCACTTGGCCTGAGTCCAGCACTGTCAGCATGGTAGGTGGCAGGCCAGTGGTGAAACATGCCGAAGATTTGATTTCCGGGAAATACCTATACCGTAAGAGAACAGGGAGAGTTCCGTGTTGTAGGCCTCAGCATCAATAACAAGGAAACCTCAGAACGATAGCCATTAGAAGAAAGGCTGTTCAAAGTCAGAATCTAGTTAACTCCGATGCTGGGGTCCATGTATAATTCCACTCCATCTGGCTCGATTCTAAACCATTGATGTGAGGCAGTGCATCGAGACACTTGTAGTATGAAGCCACATGACAAGTCAGGCGACACCCCTGATACCTGGTATGGGTGAGACAGATATCGCAGGAAGTTGTGTTCAACCCAACAATCAAATGTAAGGTAAAATAGCATCTCACTCTTGTCCCGCAGGCGAGATTGGCTGGGCCTCCATTTCAATCATACCCAGTAGGTACCAGAATTCTCGGCGTGCACGCTGAACGACCACTTCAACCAAACGAACGCTCCTTATGTTTTCCGAGCCAACAGACCAATGGAAGAATCCCGTCTATTGCACGCTGCAAGCCACTCGGGGATTAGAATGGTCCAGTACATCCATAGTATTCATGGATTTAACTAAGACATGACGGTAGTACAGACCACTCCCATGTCTGAAGTTGATTGGTTATGTGTTAGAGCAAATTTTAACCACGACGTACCTCGCAGTTGCTAGCCATACCTACATTCAAGCCGTCCCGCACCTGGGAATGGTCTCCCAATCTCCCAGGCCCACTCCTTGGACACAGAACCGGTCTAGTTTAGGAGACGGCGGTGGGACTGTGGGCCGGCTATCTCGGCTATTCCCGAGTACAGTTGTAGCCACCACATGGCGCAGTGGACCAGCCTTTTGGAAACTTCAATCTTTAGGGTATTCCGAGTGAGATTGGTGGTATATCTAGCTCCAAGGCCCCGTGCTCCAGGGGATTGAGGTGGTATCTCGCCTCTCCCGTGGTCCGAATGGTTACACTGGCCCCCGTGGTCCTTCGAAAGACCAACCCGTCCATGGTTTCGTTGGCCAGCCTCTCCTCGCCAGCATTGTGGCAGGTTTGGCAGTCTATGGCCAGTGCACCGGACCTCTGCTATGAAGTCTGATTGGTCTTATTGTATTGTACTTGCTCTGTCCTGTTTGCTGTCAACTATTCGAAGGGGGTGATGGAAGAGGACGAGGACGACACCCATGCCTATCTTTACCAGAACTTCCCCTCATCTGAGGGGTGTTGATCCACTTGTATGATGTTTGCCTCCACAGAACTCTGGCGATTTAGCTGTGCCGCACTGTAGACGATAATCAATCAGCTACTCACTGCCCGTCCGGACCTGTGTCTCTGAGCAAGCAACGTGCATTTTAAGCGACGAACCATGCTCCTTGGTAATGGCCTCATCTTTTGGCTGGGGGCTGGCCTTGTAGGAATCTTTCTCTGTCTCGTGATCAAGCTTTTTGAAACCTCTCCGGTTCCAAATGACATCCCTTGGGTATTAAACAAGAAGGGCATTCTGGGGCGTGCTGCAGAACGTTTCGTTGGCGTCAACCCCGTTGGCTTCATTTATGAGGGATATCAGAAGGTTTACACCCTGCCTGTGATGCAGTGCTATAAGCTAGTGGCATAAATGCTGACCTTGCGGTTCTCTAGTATTCCAAATATCAGAAACCGTTCGTGTTGCCCAGCGTCACCGAGGGCGATGAAATTCTGCTTCCAACAGATCAGTCCAACTTCATTTTATTCGCCACAGAGAACGAGTGTAGTTTCAGGTCCAACATTATAGACTTCTTCCAGCTCCAGTACACCAGCTGGCCGTTGGCATTCGCAGAAAAGTATGACTTATATGTCAAACTCATCAGCAAAGACCTCTCTGAAACATTGAAAACGGAGTCTGTTGCAATGTCGCTCGCTGAGGAGGCCCGATCGTGTCTGTCTGACTTGTGGGGTGAGGACACAGATTCTTGGAATGAGATTTACCTGTACTCTGCAATGGAGAAAATGGCATCGAGGATGATCAATGTGCTTGCAATTGGACCAGGCCACGGTCGCGACAAGGTTCTTCTAAGAGCCATGACACATTGCTCAAACGCTCTCGTTTTGGGGGCAAGTATTATCAAAGCATTCCCGTCATTTCTGCATCCGTACGTCTTCTCTCTCTATTCTCCTTGACCGTGTTATGTAATTTTACTGATCTTTTGTTAGAATTATTGGCCCCTTCGTAGGTTTGGTCAACAGATATTTCGAGATAGTCTTCCACCACCGTATGAAGCCTATCATCGAATCCAAGGTCGACGAACAGCAGAAAGCCACGCATTTGGAGGGACAGCAGGAAACACTGAAGTCCAGGGTAAGGACGCTAATGTATCCGTGAAGTTTGCTTCGTGTTGATCACTTCTCAGGGCAGCTTGTTGGACTTGCTCATCCAGGCTGGTCTCCGTAGTAACTGGCCGATGGAGATCACGTCGATGTGGCTAGCATATAGAGTCTTCATGATCAATTTTCCGGGCGTACACACGACTGCGGTCTCCGCTGCCAGCGTTCTTCTTGACATACTGAGCCATCCGGTGGAGAAGAAGCTTGTCAAACATTTGCAAGAGGAAATTGAGAGCATTGCTGTCAATTCTGGTGGATCATGGACTGCAGAGAATCTGGGAAAGGCTTCGCTGCTGGACAGTGCAGTGAAAGAGAGCCTCCGGCTGAACGGCATCAATGCTGCCAGTCCGACCAGGAAGGTATAAGCCCAGATTGGACTTTTCCCGTATGGATTCGGCTTGTCTCGGCTGCTCACTTAGCGTGTAGGTGGTCGCACCCGATGGGGTCACCCTTGCGAACGGCCTCTTCTTACCTTGCGGAACTAAGGTTGGGATCCCCCAGTATGCCCTCCACCGTGACGAGGCACTCTATCCGGAGCCAGACAAATACAAGCCCGACCGTTTCTACACGATGAACGCATCTGCTGAAGAGAGGCGCCAGAATTCAATGACCATAACCAGCGATAAATATGTGGTTTTTGGTCACGGCCGTCGCCAATGCCCCGGACGTTGGATCTTCGCCCACATTTTCAAGGTGATCTTGGCGGAAATGCTCTTGAACTATGATATTCAGTCTATCCCGATACGCCCGAAAATTCATAGTGGGTGATCATATTTTCCTTTTGATTTCTTTCCCCTCGTGGGGCTGCCGTGGTCATCGAGATACTGTGCTGACCAACATTATAGGATGGGGTCGTTTCCAGCTGCCACCATTCACAACTAAGATCGCTGTCCGGCGTAAGAAGAGCAGAACCCCTATGTCTCTGTGACCTTTGAGCGGTTAAAGGCCCGATAATTGAGATGTTTTCTTGATCATGACAGCCGGCATGTATCAAAGCCTTTGAGGGTGGGACTTTAGTATCATGCAGTTTGTAGATGACCGTCTTAGATGAAAACAGGTGGCAGGTATCTTGGAAGTAACCATTCGGCCTTATGCCCTGCGATGTTTATCGGCCAGAAATGGAATTTGTTATCATTCTTGGGTTCCTGCGACACATCGGGGTCACCTGTGGGGGAGTCCAAGTCACACGGGGAAAGTGATCGCATGTGGATCAGTATCCGGTTTCCAAAACGGGGTCATCGGTCGGGTTACTGCAAAGGGTTATATGGGGAAGCGGTCGGCGGAGTAATAAGATCGGTGTCCTGTGTAGATCTCCTTGACCGAGTTATGCATGGTTGTTGGGGGAGAAACTTTGTTGGCAGGCTTTGATGCCGCCCTGGGCAGGTTTTTTGTCGCGATTTCACTGGTGCAAGTCGTAGAGTTCGGTGTGGGAATTTCTCCGAAGGTCATTGCAAGGGGGTCCAACCCGGACAGTTCTTTTGCATGCACGAAGCATGAATGTGAGCGCTAGCTAACAGTACCAGGCGTCGTCAAGAGGTAATCGGGCGCATTATTACTTCATAAGCGAAGAACAAGCACGATCACAGGAGCAGCGCGCGGGCAGCCTCGGCCCAGGCCATCCCGCGACCGCCTCCATTTCACATGCCCCATCGCCGAACTCTCCGGGGAAGCTCGCCGCAATAATATTCCCCAACCCCGGGTCTGGCTCTATTAATACTTAATACTGGTCCTCGCCCTCAGTCTGTCTGACATTCTGGTTACATCCACATTCTTTGACATTCCACCCTCCATTCATTGCTGAGATCCAGTCCGATTCTCTTCCATCGTCATCATGTCTCTCAAAAACGGTACGTTTACTCTCTTATCGCCATTCTAATCGTGAGCGGCCGCTGACCATAATAACGCACCTGCAGACGCTTTCCCTTCCTCCGCCGCCTTTGATGCCATCAACGCCACTCTACAGGCTGATGCGACTGAGCGCAAGGATGCCATCGACAAGGCTAAGGCCGTCATCGCTTTCAACATCAAGAACGCCCAAAACAAGGAGGAGAGCTGGTATCTCGATCTCAAGGAGAAGGGTGTCGTCGGCCAGGGTGCACCTCCCGGAAAGGCTGATGGTGAGTTCGTTTGCTTCTGCGATTCCACTCGCCCACATTATCTGTCAACAGATGAATGGAATGCTGACGAGATATTGATTGGTTACAGTGACCCTTTCTCTTTCGGATGCCGACTTCAGCGCCCTAGTGAGCGGCAAGGCTAATGCTCAGCGACTCTTTATGGGAGGCAAGCTCAAGATTAAGGGCAATATCATGAAGGCGACTAAGATGGAGCCCGTCCTGAAGAAGGCCCAGGCCAAGGCCAAGCTATAGATACCCTGTTTTTGCTTTCTTTTTCGTAACTCTTCAAATTTGAATGAACATTGGCACCCTGCTTCCGCCGTTTATGGTCGAATTCTTACTATTAAGGTATTCGAAATACCGGACTCCGTGATGCGGTAGGTGGTCCCCAGTAAGGAGAGCTTCGGCGGAGCCGGCCCTGGTCCGCGGCAATTTCCAATGTATGTTTACCTAGTAGTAAGTTGACCACATATTACTGGATTATATCGGCCAAGTCAGGGTCAAGTGAGGCTGTAGAAAGCTAGGAGTAAGTAATACCATTATTCTCTAAGACCCGTAGGATTCATATATACTAGCTACTATATATTTTAATTGGATTAGCAAAATCGCCTAACACCTAGTCAAAGCTGTCTTCTCTTCAAATATCTTATGAATTTGAATTGTAATTAAGAGGCATAAATATGCTGTGAAGCCACGACGCTTTACTCGGTGTAGGACGGGAGAACAACCAAGGCCTTTTTGATCCAGTGAATAAACAACCAGGACTCTGGGAGGCAAGTGTAACCTCTGCCATGTAATGCACTTCACTTTGGCCAATGAAAAAGTGGGTCATCGAATGGCTTTACCGCAGATTTTGGGTTGACGAGTCTGCAAACTGGGGTCGGCACGTCATGATATATTTTGGCTGAGTTGCTAGTACTAAGTAGTTTGTTGCGGTGGTGTCAAGAAGGTTAGTATTTTCTGCAGCATTGATTTATATAGCGCACGGATGTTTCCGTAGGAACACGCGATAGACAATGTCCAAGTGACTGTCAGCGACCGTACATGTCATGGGTACATATACATATGTGGGCGTCAGCCATCACCGCTGCTGCATAATTGATGGACCTGCCATGGAAACCAAGGGTCGCTGGTGACCCAAATAATAAATACCCCGTATTCGTACGGTCCGACATGCCGCCCGCTCTTGTTGGTGCTTGTGTAACGGCGGTAACAATACAGAATGCGGAAGACATGGGATCTGGTTCAAGCAAAGAAAGAGATGCCTTTCTTTCAACCTCACCATCAAGTAGGAAACAGAAAGCAGACCAGCTCGACCAGATTCCCCTTGCCCGACAAGTAGACCATGGCTCATGGCCGCCTCGCCTGGGTCACGTAAAGAGAAGGTTCCTTTATGTCATCTCGCCAAGATGGTGACCCTGCCAGCGCTCACGTGACGGTAATTTTTTTCTGCCAGCAGAGTTCCTCTTGCCTGCCGGTAAAAGTCGCGAGCCGATGCTGGAAGGCCAAAAAAAAGAAGCTCACTCGAGCACATCCCCCCATCCCCAGCAAGGCAGAGCGCATCGAATGCAAGCGCGCCCTCCCAGTTCTATTTCTAGCAGTCCCTGATCCTTACTGCTCTGCCTTTCCAATCTATTTTCCACGACCCCGTTCTTGTCTCGTGCCTCCACGGGTTTCGCGCTGCGCGACCACCCATTCTCAGAACGATCGCGCATCGACCTATCTTCACCATTCTAACGGGTCGGCACTTGGATAATAGTCGAACTTTGTTAGGCTTCCCGCGATAATTCGAGACGACAACGGCGCAAATTACCTAGGTCGCTCGATTTGCGGATTTGCCCACACATATCTCCTCCCAGCGGCCCCCATCCCCACCCGACGTGCTTTTCTAGAAGTCCTCGAGACCACGAGCACCGAGCCAACCGGGCATACTCGAAAAGCCAATAGCTGTCATCGGAAAAGACCTATACGCATTGGATAATCCCACACCGTGCATGAAGGACGGTCGTTAAGGGGTGACATTGGACGTTCAAGAAGGGGCTGAAGTCAACTGCTGTCTCAAAGGTCGAGGATATCGCCGCTGACGACATCGGGGGCTCGACTATAAATGTCTAAGAGAGGGGCTCAGGGTCCTCAAGGGGACAAGGACTCGGATTTGTTTGCATTCAACATGTCGAGCACACCGGATGATAAGCCGCAGCGGGCTACCGCGGCGCAGATGGCGAACAGAAAGTAAGTGAATGTAGACCGACCTTTTGCGGCCAATCCCATGCATGCAACATCGTGCTCTTCCTGCAGCCTTCATATTCACAGGGACCCGGCCCGATGCCGGGACTCGAGTCTGTGTTTCCCCAGCCTTTTTCTTTTTCATCTTTATTAACACTTCGCCTCACACCCACCCTCTCCCATGTCTAACATTATATTCTCACCCATCGTCAATTTCTACACAATCATCCATCTCGGAATTGTCGCTGACACCGTTCATAGAATAAGAGACGTTCGGAAGCGTCGTCCCAATAGTGCTGCTCCGAGTGCTCCTACGCCTTCGTTCGGAGGAGGTCCTTTCAATTCCATCGACCCTAACACAGTTTCGTCGACACCAGCGAATTCTCAACCGCCTTCCAACGGATTCACATTTGGACAAAACCAAAGCTTCCCAGGAGCTAACCTGGCGCCTGCACAGTCGAATCAAAACGGAGGCACGCCGTTCGCATTTGGCTCTGGAGGCGGAAGCTCTTCATCTTCATTCAATTTCTCTTCATCCTTCGGTGGTACAAGCTCGACGAGCAATCCATTTGCCAGTATGAACACTACTAGCTCCGACCAGTCCAAGCCGGCCAGCTTTTCTGGCTTTCAAGGCTCACTCTTCAATGTCCCGCCAGGTGGAAGCCAGTCTCCGGCCCAACAGCCTCTGCCTTCAGGTTCAATGTTCGGGACCCCGTCTCAACAGAGTGCTAGCACCGGCGGCCTTTTTGGCAGCAACCCAACTAGCGGGCCTTCTGCCTCATCTGGAACGGCCACTTCTACCACCGGCAGCATCTTTGGTCAGAACAATGCGGCTCCTAGCACCCCTTCAACGAATGTCTTCGGCCAGTCTAGTGTAAAGAAGCCGTCTCCATTTGGCCAATCTACAGCATTCGGCAGTGACTCGATGCAAACTTCTCCTGATGCAAAGGGTGGTGCTTCCCAGTCGAAGCCATCAATCTTCGACAACGCTCCTGCACCTCCCCCCAGCTTCGGAGGCGCCACAAGCTTTTCAAGCACTGGAGGCACTTCATTGTTTGGCGCACCAGCATCCTCAGCGGCAGAGACTCCGTCAAAGCCAGTGTTCGATTTTAAGGCAACTACTCCTTCGTCATCGCTTTTTGGCGGTGCTCCTACCCAGGCCACTTCTATAGCTACTCCTTCTGCGTCGACGCCAGCCCCGACTGCTGCGTCTACAGCAGCCCCCGCATCATCCTCAATGTTCGGCGCTGCCTCGCCAGCTAAGCCATCTACTCCTTTCCAAAACCCGTTCCAGTCTTCGAATTTGTTCCAAAGCGCTTCTTCGACCGCACAAAAACCTGCCGAGGAGAAGAAGGAGGAAGTAAAGCCTGCTGAGTCGCAGCCTAAACCCCCTTTCCAGTTCACTTCATCTTCAGCCACGGGCCCGTCCTTGTTTTCTAAGAGCGAAGCCACTGCCTCGGCAGCTCCGGCAGCTCCGGCAGCTCCTTCAACTGGTTTGTTCCAGACATCGTCCACTAAGAACCTCTTCGAGCCCAAGCCGGCCGCAACTGCAGCACCAGAACAGCCCAAGGCCGCAGGAAATCCCTTCGGAGGCTTGTTTGCGAAGCCAGCGACCCCGAGCAAGCCAGCAGTTGAGCAGCAGCCACTTCCTTCATCTTCGACTCCTTTCCAGGGTCTTTTCTCCAAGCCGAGTACACCAAATGATGCAGCAAAGACAAGCGAGCCGGAAAAGCAGGCCACTCCTGGTCAATTATCTTTCACCCCTTCGAGTAATGGTTTCTCTCAAACGTCGAATCTTTTCGCACCCAAGCCTTCGGCATCACCGGCCCCTGCCGCTGAGGTCAAAGCACCGGCACCCTTGACATCTGCAGCTTCTGTTGAGAGTCCCTTCAAGGTCAATGGCACGAAGTCGACGCCTCCGGCTCCTACCAACGGAATCGCTGCACCGTCTAGTTTTGGGCAGCTCCAGACCCCCAAACTCTCCGACAAGGGGGATAAGAAAATTACAGGGGACGCCGAGATGCTGTACCGTATGCGCGTCTTGAATGAATGCTTCAAGCGTGAAATGGCGAAAATGGACCCTTCGACCCAAAACTTTGACGCCGCTGTTCAGTTCTATATGCGTGTCCGGGCCACGCTTGGTGCCTCAGTTGGCTCAAAGCGCAAGGCCTCTGGCGACGATGTTGGCGAGCTTCCCACGAAGGTACAGTCATTTGGCACCCCTTTCGGGCATGCGGCTGCTCCCAAGGAAAGCTCTACTACTCCAGCTGTGACTGCGCCGAGCTCCACGCCATTCAAAGCATTTGGCACAAGTCAGGCCGCTTCTACCAGTGGCAAGAGAAAGTCGATTGATGATGGCGATGATAGTAGCCCTGCCAAGCGTGTCAATGGTGACTCCACCACGGCAAGCATCTTCGCCCAGTCATTCTCCAAGTCGAAGACCGAGTCTGATCAGTCAGTTGATTCGGAGCCATCCTCGGCTAGACCGTCCACCCCTGAATCTACCAAACCTGCTTTGTTCTCTACGACGCCATCCACAGCACCCGCTAAGCCTCTATTCTCCTTCCCAGGGTCGGGGAAGAAAGACACGCCTTCGGCTCCGCTTTTCTCCTCCATGTCCAGTGCTAGTTTAACATCGGCTGCACCCGCTGGAGACGCCCCGAAGAATCCGTTTGTACTGAAGCCTACTGGGAACGAGGGCAATTCCGCAAGTTCTGCCTCGGGACTGCCGAAGTTTAGCTCTACAGGCGGCACGGACTTCTTTGCTCAATTCAGAGCCCAATCTGCGAAGGACGCCGAGAAGGAGAAGGAAAAGCGCAAGGCTGAGGACTACGATTCTGAGGAAGAAGACGAAGCCGAATGGGAACGCCGTGACGCTGAGGAGCAACGGCTGAAGCAGTCGTCGTTCGAAAGTCAGACCCAGAAGCGCGCGATTTTCGTTCCCGGCAAGGGATTTGTTTTTGGAGACGAGAGCAGCGATTCCTCGGACAAGAAACCCGAGGAAGCCTCTGCTGCTACACCGAGCGCTGACACATCGGTCTTCGCTAAGCAGAATAACACTTCAATGAAGTCAAGCAACATTTTTGGCCACCTGTCGGCGACCCCATCTGAGGCTGACGACAATGACAACGATGCGGATGATACCGAAGAGGCCTCTACTCCTGGTGACGAGTCGGATGATGCCACAGAGAGCAGCCCTGCGAAAACGAGCACGGCTGACGCAAAGGCAGATGCTGCAGAATCATCGGCCAAGGAGCTTGAAAGTGGTGGTCGCAGTCTCTTCGATCGCGTCCAGTACGACGAAGAGGGAAAACCCAAGCGTCAGGGCGAAGAGGAGCAGAAGGGTTCCATGTCGACTCTATTCGGTTCCTCCAAATTCTCATCCTCTTTCAACACTCCCACGTCCCTCAATCCAGCCAGCAGCTCCGACTCCAACCAAGCTGCCTCCAAACCCGCAACGACCAGTATCTTTGGCGCTGCGAACACAAGCAGCAGCATCTTTGGTACTCCTCTATCTAGCTCCGGCAACAACACACCGTCGCTTTTTAGTACAGGCCCGGGCATCACCAACTCGGCTGCAGATAAAACCTGGAAGCCCAACTCTCCAATCAAGTTTGCGACCGACCCGGCTAGTGCTTCCACGTCAAAGCCTGATTCCGGATCAGCGACGCCGGCGCCTGAAGCCCCCAAGCCCTTCTCCAACCTTTTCGGAGCACCGCCATCCCTGACCAAGTCCTCTACCTCTAAAAGTACTCAGCCGTCCCTTGGGTTCTCATTTGGTGCTCCGAATCAATCAGCACCATCTCTCTTGGCTCCATCTATCCTGAATTCCGCTACTCCTAGTCGCTCCTCCACCCCGGGTGGCGCATCTGACACGGGAGCGGAAGAGTCCGGGGATGGTGAAGCAGCCGAGTCTCTACCCCAGGTCGATCTGGCGCGGGGCGGCGCTGGCGAGGAGAACGAAGATCTCGTGACGGAGAGCCGCGCTCGCGCAATGAAGCATACGACTGCTGGGGGATGGGAGAGTCAAGGTGTTGGCTTCTTGCGTGTTCTGAAAGATCGAACTACGTCCCGTGGTCGCATCCTTGTCCGGGCTGACCCGAGCGGCAACGTCATTTTGAATGCGCGCTTGATGAATGAAATCCGATACACTGTCGCTAAGAACAGCGTACAGTTCATGGTCCCTCAAGTCGAAGGTCCTCCTCAGCTGTGGGCCCTCCGGGTCAAGACGAATGCGGACGCTGAACGCCTCTGCGCGGCCATGGAAGAGACAAAGAATTGATTGCTACGACTGGATGTGGTACATAGGATATGCATTTGAACACAACTTGATGATGGGCTTCGCAGGCGTCTGAGTGGCGATGTATTATGGTGTGCTTTTTGCTCGATTTCTGATTCTTTCTCCGCTACCTTCCTGCTGCCGAAGACCCCCCACAACCCTCCACTTTGGACAAACGCCCTTATTCTCTGTTCCCTTGTCACTTGATTGTGTGGCTGTGCAGCCAGTAATGTTTCCTCCTGTGTCATTGTGACTGGATGATACTACCTCGATCGTTGTGTGGGCCGAAGCGAATCCTTTTTTTTTCCTGTCCATTCCACACCCACCGGCGACTCGTCTTTGGACATTGGTGTCTCGTTCCTTTCCCCCCTTTCAGGTGCATTTACCCTTCCCCGATTTTTCAAGACCTTGTGTAACTAAAATATTTGTTTTTTTTTTTTCGCATCTTGCAACTAACTGCAGCTGCATCTTCGGTAGCGTCGTTGTTCTCTCTGCCCAGCCAGAAAACAGGCGCATCTAGCATAGCGAGTGGGATTCGAAGATTCTGGTCTGCAAATGGAATTGTCTTCTTTACTTTTTTTTTCTCATGAGGATTTTGTCAAGGATAACATTCACTCTTACATACTCCTGTGTACCATTAGGTAGATAATATAGTGTGGTAACTTGGGTTCGTTGAATACCATCACTGTATGTCTTGACCTCTAATTCCTACTGCGTAATAGTCACTACGGTCATAACTACACCGATGGTCCGATTATACAGCAACACCGAAAAAAAATGACAGCCAACACCCCAGCAAAATACCATTTGCTACAATGTCACCCTATCATGTCATCCAGACCAAGGAAGAAGAAGAAAAGAAAATAGATCCACACAACATCCTTTAAACTTTTTTTGATTGAGGAAAAAGATGATGATGATTGCCAGGCCGCGAAAAGCCCGACCTGAACCCTGCATTCATCCCGTCCGGAAATCCCCCCTCTCCCATTATCCATCCTAAGAAGTAATCATATCATGATGACAGTAAGAAGTAGAATCACTGTATGTTGAGATTCATTTCATTTGGGAATAGATAAGATGAAGATGAAGGAATAATTTACTCCTCGTCGACAACGGCAGTGTGGAGACCCTTGGCCTCCTTGACGTTGACAGCCTGGACGTAGGAGTAGAGCTTCTCCTTGGCGTTCTCCTCGTCGTTACGCTTACGGGAGATGCGGACACGGAGACGGTAGGGGACGCCCTTGACACCGGCTTCCCAGACCTTCTTGTTGAGCTGGGGGTCGACACGGACGTCGGTGGTGCCCTGTTGGGTGCGTAGAAGAGCTTGTATTAGTGATTTGTTCTTAAAGGGACATAAAGAGGAGGGGAAGGGAGGGAGGGAGGACTAACCATAGCACGCTCAGCGAAAGCGCGGATCTCCTTGATAGCACGAGGAGCACGCTTCTTGAAGGAAACACCGTGCATCTACAACACCCAAAAAGAAAGAATATTAGTCTTCCGCCCGAATGCCATCTTGTAGATGTGTGAAAGATTTTTTTCTGGTTTTCTTTTGCGAGAATGCGGCCATAGAGGTGGACTTCATCAAACTAATTCTTCTTTTATGGGATTTTTTGTTTTTCAACAACAATCGTTCCTGATTGTTCCACCACACACGTTTACAGACAGGTGCGGTGGTGCTCGTCCAGTGTCCCGTCTTCTCTTCCCCTTGCCTTCCCCGTCTGAGGGGGTGGGTGGTGAAGGTGGGAGGGATGAGGATTTGCGCGCTCCGCTGTCCTTGTGTTGTTGTTGTTGTTGTTCTCCGTCCAGTGCCTCCGTGTCGAGTTTCCGCGGAAAAGATCTCGTTTTGTTTTGTGCTGAATCTCAATGCAGGTTTGGCTGTGTTCAACGTACTCTCTTGTGCATGTTGATGGTGTACTCCCGAGTAACCACGTCGGCGATGGCCGAACGGGTCTTCTTGCCGGTCTTGACGGGGGCGGACATTTCTGCAATAGGAAAAAAAAATTATGTTAGAGAGCGATTCTCGGGTTGAGGATAACAATCTGCAAGCAGGTGGTTGGAGAGCTATCACTCACTGAATGAGGGACAGAAGTGTCGGCTGTCGTTGGCTGCAGTGGTCGTCTGTCAAGGTTGAGGAGATTTCGAGATGGTCTTTTTTGCTGCTGGTGGGTTTTCCAGTGCGGGCTCGCTTATCGCCTGTCAGGCTGCTGATTCGTTTGCAGCTCTCGCACGTGATGTTCTGCCCGCAGCTGACTGCGGACCCGCCTGAGGCACCGCTACCACTGTGTTTACCTATACAGTGGTCGTTGATTACTCTACCGCGCTCTTCAGGACGTTATACCGGTCGCTGACAATATTCATAAGTCGTCTAGTTACAGGCTAAGCTATGGTTGGCTTGCGGCAATCTCCCTCCCACTTAACGCGAGGTGTCGCGCCTACTGCTTGTCGGCACTCACATCGGTATACAAATCGAACCGCCGCTGGGTATAAATGGGAATCCCCTTCCTCGTGTTCTGGATCGTCTCGTTATCCAGGTCCGCGTAGATTATGTCCTCCTTTTCCTCGGTCTCGGCCAGCACATTGGCGCTAGGGTCCGCGATCAAGCTGTGACCATAGGCATGATATGTAGCACTCATGTCTCTGGCGGGACTGCACAGAGCCACATACACCTGGTTATCCACGGCACGGGCACGAGCCAACAGTGACCAGTGCAGCGGGCCCGTGGTGGTGTTGAACGCACCCGGATAGACAAGCATGAAGGCCCCCTTCCGCGCCGCGATCATACCCGCCTCCGGGAAGCGGATATCGTAGCAGATCGCCAGTCCGATATTGCCGTAATCCGGCAAGTCCACGACCGTCAGCTGGTTACCAGGAGAAAGCACCTCGCTCTCCTTGAAGGTGATCTTGCCGGGAATGTCAATGTCGAAGAGGTGGGTCTTGCGGTGCGTTCCAATAAGGGCACCGGTGGGGGAGAACACCAGCGATGTGTTGTAGTATTTTTTCGTGGTCGGTTCGAGCTCAGGAATGCTTCCGCCGATCAGGTAGGCCTTTGCTTCAGCGGCGATGGACGAAAGCGCATGGTAGGAGGGGGACTGCTCCTGGGTGGGTGGCGAAGGGAGCAGCGTCTCGGCGTACTTGGGGAAGAACTGGGTACCGTAGGGCGAGTTGAAGCACTCGGGGAGGACGATCAGAGAGGCGCCAGCTTTGGCGGCCTCAAGGACCTTGGTACGAGCATGTGCGAGGTTCAATGCCTTATCGGCGCCTGTATATTGTCATTGCTCAGCAGGGGACTCCATATGGAGCGAGTCGGCCGTTGCACGCACCTGAGGCTAATTGAACCAGGGCCAGTTTCAATGGTTTCTTGAGGAGGGACGCCATGGCTGGTGTTGTGGAATGCAAGAATTGGTGGAGGTGGTTTGTGGTGGCAAGTACGTAGGTAGCAGTAGTAGATAGATAAATAGATAGGTACAGCGGAAGGGAAGAGGGAGGGAGGGACCGCCGTTGATGCGATGCGGGGAACCTTGGGAGAATCCCGGTGTCGGAGTCCGACCGCCTAGATAGCTGAACTTACTTCTTTTCCTATCGCAAACCCCATGTACTATCTATCTACTTCCTCCAGTCTGCAGCTTCCTTCTCTATCTGAAAAGTAAATCCATGACTGCACCACCTTGAGTTGGGATTGCTTTCATCTGCTGTGTTGGTTTTGAGAAGCGTGTCCGTTTGTCTCTCAACAGCAATCCACAATGACCGCACGGTGTGAATCTCATCCACAGCCCATGGTCTAGGTCCAGTCCACGTTCTGCAACCATCAGTCCTACAGAACCAGAATGAAGGACGGAGGAGGGATTTTTTGGGGGGATCAAGCCAACCATCCCGGGAAACGGATGGCGAGACAACCCCAAGACAACAACGCCGGGACCAGCACACTGCCACATCTCCAATGGAAGGTCACTGCAACACCTCACTATATGACGCTCGCATAGAGCCAGTCACAAGCGCTCAATCTTGTACTACTCTTGAGATTCCTTGATTGTGACTTGAGACAACCATTCTGTCTACAATGGGTGCACTTGATTGGCGATGCTTGTTACACAAAGAGCAGAAGGAATGCTACCTACCCGTGACCGTCCTGCCCTCCTAATGCGCACAGCCATCTCCAATCATACCTCATATGCGCCCGCGGAGAATATCACCGGCGGATTCATGGGAGATTGTTCTCGTTACCAGGTCTAAACTTGGGGCCCCAGTGCCAGATCGACCTGGGCTCGTGCTTCCTCTGGATGGGATCTACAATCTACAACCCTAGATGGATCATGGGTCCTCTTCATCCAGCAGCATGTAACATGAACCCACAGACCCGGGCTCGATCACGTTTGCACGCATGCGCTGCATCGAGTCCATTGAGTGTGCAGCCATGTCCATTTGAATCCAGAACACATCTATAGGTCGAGTCATATTAAGGAATGCGCTGTAAGGTGTGTTGCAGCGAACTCCCGGAACGTTGCTTCAAGTGCCCTGTTCATGACGCTTCAGGCAATATAGACGCCTTCACAGTTCCATTCTAAGATTTTTCGCCCGGGAGAGAAACTTATAAATTGAGGGACACAGTGCCTATCCACGTTGGACATCACAACTCAGGTTCGATCAATTTATATCACGTCCTTTGGTTTACCCGCTGAGGTCTCTCAATTGAAATCTATTCTTGTTTACTGCTACCCCGAATTCAGTCAGTCTCCAGCAAAATGCCTCCTACCCGAGCGGCTCTTGCGGCTCTGGCTCTGTACTTCAGTGCCGCCCTGGTCACGTCCCCTGTTGGGGCTAGCCCAGTCGCATTGCAAGCTAGAGCGCCTGCAACTGTAGGTTTCTCCATTGCATCTTGAACTGACCACCCTGTACTTACTGGCGAGTATAGAATGAACAATCTCTCGGACTTCTGACTACCGGCGGTTGCTCTCGTAAAAGGGCAGTAATGGCCATGGGAGGTGGTGGACCTGGCCAGGGCGATGATGATGACTGCGAAGATGATGGCAGTGGTAGCAACGGCGAATCCGATGATGACTGGGGCACTGGCAGCAGCAGCAGCAGCGGCAACGGCGGCGACAACGGTAGCTCCGGAGGCTCTGGAAGCTCCGGCGATAACGGTAGCAGTGGCTCCGGCAGCGGTGGCTCCAGTGGCTCTGGTGATAACGATGGCAGCGGAAACGACGGCTCTAGTGGCAGCAACAACGGAGGCTCCAACGGCAGTGGCAGTGGAGACAACGGTAGCTCTGGAGGCTCTGGAAGCTCCGGTGGTAACGGTGGCAGTGGCTCCGGCAGCGGTGGCTCTGGCGGCTCCGGCGGCTCCAGTAGCCCCAGCGGCTCCAGCGGAAGTGGTTCTAACAGCGGTGGCTCCGGAGGCTCTAGTGGCTCCGGCAGCGGTTCTAGCAATGGCGGTTCTAGCGGTTCTGGCGGCTCTAGCGGCTCTGGAAGCTCTGGCAACAACGGCTCCGGCGGCTCCAGCGGAAGTGGTTCTAACGGTGGCAGCGGTGACAGCGGTTCTAGCAATGGCGGCTCTGGCAGCAGCAATGGCAGTGGAAGTGGTGGTAGCGGCAGCGGCAGCGGTAGTAACGGTAAGAACACCAGTGATGATGGAACTAGTGGCATTGGCACAAGCAGTGCCTCTAGTACCATAGGAAGCGGCGGTGCTGGTACAAGCTCTAACATCTCGTCTGCAGTTTCTGGCAGCGGTGTGTCGAGCTGCGCCAGCACCAGCTATAATTCAGCTTTTGAGGCGAGCGATGCTGAACGCAATGCGATGGTGGCTAAGAGAGATTCTTCAGATGGTTCCTCGGACGATGGCTCAGACGACGGCGGCCCAAGCGCCGCGGGTGACAGTGATTCCAGCAGCAGCAGTGGTACGAACGATGGTAGCAGCAACACTGGCAGCGGCTCGGCCATCTATCTCAGCAACGAAGGCAGCAACAACAGCAACACCAGCACAGAGGAAATCCAGCCAGACGACGACGATGACGATAAACAATCCGCGGTTAGCGGTATTTTCTCTACCGTCGGAAATCTGATTGACGGTATTCTCCGCCGTTAAGGCGATCCTGTCGAATGCAATCGCTATGTTTGTTAACAGACCACGGCGGCAAAAGAATCAGGTTGTTTCTTACTCATATACGCAGGTGATTTGTTTTCTTTTGATCTTTCCAAGTTGAACCTACCTAATTATGTTACCCAATGTTATAAAAGGAGTTTTCCAACCCAACTCGGAAATCCGAAGTGACTCGCAAGCGCTCGCGCGCAGTATCGTATATCTCTGATCCTGGCTCTTAAGTCAAACCCCTTGTTGTAATCCTTGTACACATTTAAACCTTGTCTCTCAGACTCGGGAACTCGATCCCAGAGTTCGGTGGTTCTGTCCTCGGAGAAATTGAACGATGGTCCAAAGAGTACATAAAATCGAGTTATATAGTGCAATTGAGACGAATGCCAGTCTACGTCCAACCAGACGACCCTGGGTCTCCATGGAAGCTTGCGTATTGCCATGCCGTCCTCCCAGAGGTCTTTGAACCGGTACCTTCCCCGTTCACCACAGACCGCGTGCACGTAGCCCGTGCTTCCATGTCTGAGGTGGAATAGCAACCTGTCCACAACCACATCCACGGGGACCTCGTCCGCTGTAACTTCTATGTCGGGATCACGGGCCCGTGTTGCAGCTTTGAACCAAACAGAGGGTGTGATCGCTACCATGGCTGCCAGAGCCGTCAACGGCGTAGACAAGGGAACACTATATCCGGCGTAAGGAAAACTCTGAGCGGGACCGAAGATGGACGGCCGGATGATGAGCAATTTATCGTATGCTTGGGCATTATCAAAGGCCTCAGCGAGGACTCTCTCCGAAAGATGTTTTGCGTAGGCATAATCCCAGGGGAATTCATTCGCCTCGTATTCCTCCGAGGAGCCACGATTTTGAACGTCTTTCCATGATGTGGCTGTGGGGATTGAAGAAAGCGGGTATAGCTCTTCTCGGATCGGGATGTCTACGGCCCGCGATTCCGCGTAAAGATGGCTATTCGCGAAGGCCGTGGAAATGTACACGAAGCGTTGTAAGTGGGGACACTCTAACGCTATGTGGGCGAGCCGTTCTGTAGCGCCGATGATGCTTTGGGATAGTTTGCCCAGCGGGTCCACGAGGTTGATGGATGAGGCGGCGTGGATGATGATCTCTGCTTCTTTTTTAAGTGTAACAAGCGAGGTATCTGCTAAGCCTAGGCTCGGATATTTGATATTGCCGTCTAGATAGGTGATGGACTCGGATGAGATCAGCGTAGTTGCGAGAGGCCCTGGAAGAAATTCCCGCCATTTCTGTATTGCTCGACTGACAGAGAAGGTTAGCAGAGGGACTGGATTAAAGGGGCTAGATATGGCTGTTTACGTCTTGCCTCCCCGACAAAGAAGGTATATATGTTTCGGGTGAGCCTGTAAGGACAGCCGCAAGACCAATGCGGTGCCTAGGAAGCCTGTGCCTCCGGTAATTAAGATAGACTTGTCCGAGAAGTACTCCCACATCATTAGTAGTCTGAGTGCCTGAGTGTCCTCAAGGTCCAAGAGCCTGGATGATGGATGATATAGTGACTGCGAGAAGCCATTCTAATAAAAATCGATATCCCTTGACTACGGCAAAATTCAGGATTAGAGAATCCGGTGTCGTAAGTGGTAAACAAACAGCCTGTTAAGACAACCGACAGCAGGATTGCGACGTATAGGTATCAGCGGTACAACGGCAACTAGTTGGCCGATGTCGATTAGATAGAGTTGGCATGTTGGCAGGATTAAATTGTGATATGCCGAGTAGATAGAAAGTTAAACCGACGGGGTGGCGAGAAGGCCGGAGAGTCTGAGACACGCTGGACGGGCCTGTGGAGTGTGGAATGGAACTCGAGGCCCTAAGCCGTATCAAGGACTAGGCGGGTGGGCGGGTGGATGTGGCGATTCCAGTCCAGCTGGGCTGGCCATTCTTTGGCTCGGAGCCATTCCATGTACCAGCCACAATTGCCGATCAAAGCTGAATAATAATGAGGCTACCTAAAGAAATGACGTCTATCGAAGGAAGAAGTAACCGCAGAAGATCGGTAGACGGAGAAGGAGTTGGAAGGAAGGAAGAAACCTAGAGGAGGAGGAGGAGGAGGAGGAGGAGGAGGAGGAGGAGGAGAGGGGACGGGGGAAAAAAGAAAGGCCGAAAGAGCCGGTGGCCGGCTGAGTCAGTTTCAACTAGACCGGAAGTGGCTAGCGGAGGAGACGGCGGACTCCGTCGTTCGTTCGGTTCTGGAATCGATTCTGGAAGTTCCCCCTCTTTTTCTTGCTTCTTATTACGCTGGGATTCTCCAAAAGTCCCCCCCCAAGTCGCAAGTCGACCAGAGTCCAGACGTGCACGGTTATCCATCTGGCTCGTCCTGGCAATGGCGAGAAAAGCAATAATGAAAAAGGGGCCTGCACAATTACCACCGGTCTCTCCTTTACGACCGACCACTACATAGATAGTCGTACGGACTGCGCCGTCCCTCGCTCTCTCTCCTTTCTCCTTTTCCGGTCCACCCCAACCGTTGCCGTTGATTGATTCCCTGGTCTTCCCCACGGCGTCCCTCCAATCCATCCCAAGGTTCGCCCGTTGCTTTACGCGCCTAATCCGTCTTCCTACCCTCTTTTTACTATTTTTTATTTTTAATTTTTTCCCCTCTAACCCTCCGGCTACAAAATAGACCCCCCCCCCTCGCTCTTTACCCGACACAGGAATTGGCCACTGTGGGATTTCGCCTTATATTGAGCCAGGAACACGCTCTTCCGCCCTCATAGTCCAGCCCCCTATGTCCAGACAACCTATCCGTTGACCACTGTCTTCATTCCACCCGCCCGGTTCGAATAAACAGGCGTCGTTGGATCTCTCGCACAGTCTTCTGGCCTTTCCAACTCTTCTCGAATAGTCTCATCCAATCCAATCATGTTCGAGGACTTCTCCTTCTCGTCGCCGTCGTCCACCAGGCCGTCGCGGCTGGCGCTCGAAGGCGATGACCGCCTTATGGTGGACAGTGACAGTGCGCTCATCTCCCCAATGTCCTCGCGTTGTCCGTCTCCGCGTTCACAGCGATTTCCTCGGTCCGCACCTCGCTCACGCTCATCTTATCTCCGCTCCGCTCAGCCGCCCACCTCCGTGCCCCTCTCCGCCTACGACCACAAGCGGCTCTCCATCAGCACGCTGACGAGGAAACTTCACGAGCACACTCTTCAGAACCAAAATGGAATCCAACCCGATGAGGGACGCTTTGATCGGCCCGCGTCCCCGACCCCATCCGACCTGGGCATCTCGAGCAAGTTCCCCGGTTATGTCCTGACACCCCCAGACACCGACCATGACGATGAGTCCCTGACCTCGGGGTCACTGTCTCCCCAGTCATACTCGCCGTTCCTGAGCCCGACGTCCGCCCCGGCCGACTTTCCGGCCGACAATATGGATCTGAGCGCTGCCCCGGGACTCGGCGGTCCAGACGCCTGGAGTGTCCGCGCTCAGCGGCAACAAATCTCCCGACTGCAGTGCAACCAGACTGACGTCGAGTCCATCCGCCGTGCTTTTGTCTCTGACGATGAGGTTATGCGATCAGCCATGTGCAGGGACTCCATCTGTGAAGACGACTGCCACCCCAGCTCCCTGCCACCGCAGTCCTCGCCACGACGACGCGCCCTGACTCTTTCCCGCAATCGATTTCGTAACCAGTCCTCGGATACGTCTGCGTTGGAGCCCCGGACACGGCGCAAGAGCAGTGTCAGTGCCCTCTCGTCACATCGCATCGAGAAGAGCTATCACTGCTCGACACGAGATATGCACAAGAAGGGTGAGCAGGGCTTGAGACGTAAGAGCCTTGTGAGTGCGGCGCTGGCCTCCATGGTGGAACAGGCGCCAGAGGAGTAAACCGCCTCTATCTTCTTGAAACCTTTTTTTTCTTCTTTTCGCACACTATTTATCTTCTTTTACATTCTTCTTTCTAAATTATCCACGTTCTACCTACCATCTTCTCTCTTCTCAACTATATATTTCTCGTTTTGTCTCGCTTGGTATTTTGTTTAGGTTTGGTTCGTTCACCTATTATCTTTCAGGGTTCGGCTTTGTGCATGTTGAAAGAAAGATACCCAGATTGTGTAACCGGTTCCTGTTTGTTTCTGTCCTACGTTGTTGTCGTCTTGTCCGGGTTTTTTGGTTCATCACGTTTTGTCCAGTCAGCTTCACAGCTTCACATCTATGTAAATATCTCTTTTTGTCGGAGTTTTTGAGGATAAACTAAGCGATTCGGTCTGGTCTGATCTGATTTGAGTTCAGCCTGTTTGTGTTTCAATCTTGGTAGTGGTAACCATAGGTAGTACAGCATAGCATAGCATAGCATAGTAGCATAGCAAAACATGCGAGGTTGGTAACAGCAATGGAGAGAAGATCTATTTGCATCATAACCCGGTTCAATATCGACAAAGAAAGTAAGTCCGTGGAATTCCTGTCAAAGGAGTCTGGATAACAGCAGAACCTGTAGAAATGCATAGGTGGGGGGATAAGTGGCTCATGAGGTAGTCAATCAGGCAGTCAATCAATCGGGCAATCATTACTGCATGTCTGCATGTACATATGCTGCATATGCACATGCAAACGATAGGCAGGTACTGTAAGCAGCAGATGGCAAAGAGAAAGTGGAATAGCGGGGTGAATTAATGAGAGATGCAACGCTTAGTGGGTGAAAGAAGGAATGAAGAAGCGGTGAGAGGTGGAGGGTAGGGAATGATTGTTGACGGGTAGGAACGATTATCGCCGTTTCTTCCGAAACATGCTGTATAGTCGTTTGAAAGGGTTTAGCGGTCCGGCTTTCGCCTTGTCGTTTTTCTTGCGATTCTTGAGAGATCGCTTGGAGATGTTGTGGTGGATGTGGATCTTTTGGGCCTCGTGTTGGGCTGGGAAAGGTGATGGACTTGCGTAGGGTGATGGCGGGTTTGAATACAGGGGATGAGGCAGGCCATGTCCGTCTTGGAAGTGGGGAGCTCGCTGCCAGATACTCATGTCATAGTATGCTGCTGGGTGTGGAATTGGTGATCGTTGGTGTCCGTGCCCATCCATTGGGAAGGGTGATGTGGATGGACGTTGCAATGAGATGGGTGGTGGGTAATCCTCGTCATAGCGAATAGGAGAGCCCGGCTCCCCCAGATCGCTTTCGTCGGTCCCAGCTCTTGGTCGCAAGGGTGGCGGCTGGCGTTTCGTGTGCCCTGGGGACCGTGAGTATCTTGATTCCATGTCATCAGAGTCGTTGATTTCTAGGCGCTCTGAGATGGATGGCATAGGCTGGTGCGGAGAATCGCCGACGAGCTCGTCATGAACTTGTTGTTCGTCTTGCTCAGGGGCTGGATCCATCGGTGGAAGGCTTCGAGGCAGTTCGTATTCGGGTATGACAAGCGCATCGTTGGCCAATTCTATATATGATTCTCGGTGGTTTCCGGTCGAGCCTCGGGATGAATAAGTGTCAACATCCTCGATGAAAGACACTATTCGAGCAAAGTTGAGTGACTCATGTGGGTTGATAATCTCGAATGATGTGCCATGATCGATCACGGTTGCGGTTCGTTTCTTCATGTTCAACAACATGGAATCTGAACGAGTCCTGGTGTGCCTATGGAGAGAGCCTTCCCGGTCCTGGTTCGAGTCTGGGTATTCCTCCAATCGATCACGAAATGTATCCTAAGTAAACATGTCAGTAATAGAGATGCATTCACTTGCTGGAGTATTACCTACGAGTAGACTGTGTGGGTTCTGTTTGGAGTATATCGGGCTGTCCGAGGAATGCATGTCTACATTCGGGGACACTGGGATCGTAGTCAGCATGTCTGATCTATGTGTTTTCCTTTGCATTTACAACTGTAGCCACTCACAAACGAAGCCATGGAGACTCTCCGGGCCTTGCTCACTCATGGCGCTTGGAGAGTATGACGGCGAGAGCGGGGGAGGGCTCGATGCCGCCGAAGACACCGAGAACGGATGCGCGGAGTGAAGCGGATACATTTGGGTTTGGTTGAGATGCAATGCAGCGTTCTTCCGTCTCAAGATCTTTCCCTCCTGGCTCTCGAGGATGAAGGAGTCGCCGTCGGAGAGTTGTTTGCGATAGTTGTGAAGCGACAATGATCCTGGGTATGCTGCCTGGCACATGGCAGGACTTAAGGCTGATGACTGCAGAGGGTCAGGGTCCAGACCGGGGTGAATTGATGATGTCGAAATTGAGTTCATAGCGGCTTGGTGGTGTAAAGATCCATGGCCGGAGGACCAGATATCCATGGTTATGGCCACACCGGGCATCCCCGAACCCGATTGACTGGTGCTTAAAACAGAAGGTGGAAAGTAGTACCTGAGAACAAGCCGATGAAGTGAACGAGGAAGAAGACCGCCGGGATATGTTGTATAGTTGCATTGAGCACAAGTGGATTGTTTTTCTGGGATTATTTTGACACCACCACTGGTGTTATGTCACTTGTAGCAGGGCAACGGTGCTATCAGCATATTTCCTGCACGAGTGAGGTGACGGAGCTGTGAAGCAAGTGAAGCAAGTGAAATTAAAGCGAGACAGAATGTCTCAATTGAGTGGCTCGGGTTGAAAGTATACTTTGCAGCACCCAAGAGGCAGGGGAGGTACCAAGCAACAAGTAACAGGCAACAAGCAACAATGGGGAGTAGTCCGTATACCGATCGCTCCTGGCGATCTAGTGCACGGCAATCACGAACACACGACGGACTGTGCGAAACAGAACCCTGGATGAGCCAGCCGGATGATGGAGAAAAAGGGCCAGCGCTGACGAGAAGCGAAGCAATAAGAAGCGGCGGGCGGGCAACGAGCTGCGTCACTTGACTGCCAGGTCAAGCTGCAGTTGACATGCAGCCCAGCCAATCAGCGCCCCAGGGTCCAGAACCTCTCCGTTTTCAGAGTCCGGCAGCCAGCGGATTTCTTCCACAAAACATGACCAGTCAAGCCCACTTGGGCATCGACTGCGTGGCCTCCCTCGGTCGAGGATCCACTGGCTGTGCAGCAAGTATGGATTACTATGGATACTATGGATCCTCTGGATCGTCCAGGCACCCCTCTCTCCCCACCTGCAGTCCCCAGTCCCCAGAAGGAAGGACCAAAAGTCAGTCAAGTCACTTCGTCGACTCAGTCGAGGAGTCAACGGAGTACCTGGACGAGCCAACTCCGACCGGCTCTTCCATGATTCCATCCACTCCATGGCCATCCCCACCCTACCTTTTCTAATCTTTTAATCTCTCCTTCCTCTCTCCTTACCTTGTTGTCAAGACACGATCTATTCAGATGACCACCTCCCAATGTAACCGATGTACATTCCTGAAGACCCTGTTTCAACCCTTTTTCACCTCCCGATGGTTTGAGATTCCTTCCCGGCCACCCATTCGCCCGCAGCCTTTTCCCCGATCGTCCTGGCATCGTCCAATCAACAACCCCAGCACACCTGTTTCAAAGTCGGGCGCAGTCAGGCCAGGCCGGTTCTATATTTGACTTGGCTGGTCGTTCATTCTTCCCGTTCATGTGGCCAGTCACACTAGGCATCCTACCGTGTCCTCTTGCGAACCCGGCCATGCTATACGTCCAATCTGCCCGCGGATTTGACTTTCCATACATCACATGTGGCTATGACGGATCCCTTTCGATTCAATGAGGCTGACGGTTTCTGATCCACCCCGAAATAAGCCTACGCACCCATGTTTTCTTCCAGGTGTTCGTTCCGTTCTAACGCTTTTTTTTATTTCTATCGCCATCGCATGGCCGTTGGAGTTTGAATAAATACAAGGATGCCGTAATCAGCCCCATGGAGATGCTGTCTACTTTCGCATCGTTTGTGAAAGGCGCAGCGCTCTTCCACCCGGGTTCGCTTTCAGATCGCGTCTGGATCTTCTTGATTCGACCTATTATAGCTTGGCATTTGGTCGCCAGCAGAACCAAGACCGCTATCTCATAAGCCACGGGGAGAGCCACCGTCGAACTACGTTGACAGTGACGGAAAGACTCGAATCATCAGGATCGCCCTTGTAGATCCTAGTACTTTCCGAGGTTTCACAAGGTATTGGAGCCGTGGAACGATTCATTGTTTCTTAGACATCCTATCAAGTCTTGTCCCATGAGTTCAAACGTGAAATGGTGGACAATTCTGGTGGAATGTTCCCGGAGAACCCCGGATCATGACGACTTGCATAAGACTATGTTGGGTGAGAAAGGTCTAGGCTGAGCCATCTCGGTGTGACTATGCCAGGGAGCTAACAGTTGAGCCAATGACCAGTGGGTAGCCCTTTCTGGCAGCAGGATCTATTATTGGATGCACAGATCACAGCATTTTAAAAGTTGCCAACATATTAGCGACCAGTTAAGTTTCTCACTATATCCTAGGAACTTTCGACATCAATAGTACCAACGCATGGCAAATAAAGTTCCGAACCCACTTTACTAATATGACTGATTCCCACAAAAGCTACATATTGCTGATGACTTTCCACGGCTATCAGATTCATCCCTTGCACGCCTCTTGCTCTGGGAAATCTGCCAAATTTTACCTCGTACTGTTAATTGGCCATCAGATATGCCGCATCGCCCTTAGACATGTCGTTTGACTGAGCCAGGGCTCAACGTCACATTCTCAGCTTTCCACAACTTAAACCGCGAAGAAAATATATCCACTATGACTCCATTGCCATGGCTCAAATCCAGATTGTTTGATGTACACAGGCCCCCTCCATAGGGCTGCCATGCTGCTGATGAATAATTCGGAGCAGGTTACTCGGCCAATTATAGTAATAAACGCTATCACTAGCCGGGAGACTGACACGCTAATATAGTTATGCTTAGAATAATTGAACCCAGAGGAATGAGAACTATCGGTTATACATAAGCACCACCCTCTAGGTCTGATAACCGATAACGCTCGAAGATGAATGTTGCAGCGAGACCCGAGTCTAATGTCTATATTGCCCGATAGATGTGACCTATCCGAGGAGGCTTAAATAAACGATCCAAAGCATGCGCCGTGCGTGAGTCCATTATGGTCAAAAGAGCATGCTATCGCCGAACAAGTCCTGGGGAGATGGTAACCAACTAACATAACCAAGCTACCACCACCCAGAAACCTTAAGCTCAGCTCCGCCATGCGAACCATGAACCATTGCGGAAAAGGAGCTTTGACAATCCGCTGCCAATAGTTGCTGCCCGGCTCCGAAGCATTGCCGATCCGGAACAGGAACGACAGCAGGCCGTCTTTGACCGACATCTTCGCTCTCCTTTTCTTTGTTTACCTTCCCCTCCTTTCATTGGTCCGTGGTACCCAACACCAGACAAAGAGATGATTGCGTCCTAAAGTTTTGATACGGTTCTGGACTGGCAGTGGACCCACTAGATACTTGGATGGTCTACGCTTAAATCAAACCATGGTAGCAGTACGAATGCCATACTCTGCAAACACCCTGGTTTTAATCGACCAAGTTCTAGGTAATAGTAGTAGTAGATAAGTGCTAGAGTTATCTCGAGTACTGGTTGCGCTGCGCTAAGAGACGGTGGAAGCCAGCCCGGGGTTAGCGTGACTGGCGGGTGATAACTCCGCCCCGCATCTCATGGCTTCGCCTCGCCGGTGGGCCTCTCCATCCTGGCTTGTACTCGGTCCGATTCCAGTTTCCTTGTCCCCTGTCCCCTCCTCGGTCAACGCACTAAACTAAAATGTCTGACTCTACTACCTCTTTCTTTCCGACACCGCTGCTACATCACTGAACCTACGCGAATGCAACTGTTGCACGGAGAACCCCTCTTGCCATGGCTCACCTTGTGGGGAGCGAGCCTACCCGTCCAAAGGGCAGATATTCCAATGGCTCCGTGAAAACCTGCCAGAATTGCGCTAGAGCCAAAATACGGTGCATTCGCCATGACACTACGGGAAGCTGCGATAGGTGAGCCCGTCCAAGAGTGTGCATGTTGGCTAGCTCACCAGTTTCAGATGCGAGCGTCTGGGGAAAGACTGTCATTTCCGGGAGGGCCGAAGCACGAATATTGGGAACAGTCGAGACAGCAAAGACAGGTGAGTTCTGAAGATAGTCCCTTGTTATCTCATCCTCTGACCCTACCTCTTCTGAAGAAGGATCGATGTACTGGAAGCCAAAGTCGATCAGCTTCTGGCGCAGTCAACGACCCCAAATCTGGTGAATACACAACCCCAAATCGCTATGGAGTAACTGGCTGATTATTGGGAAGAGAGGAGGTAGTACAACCGAGGGGAGTCCTGCAAGCTTCACTTCACACTCCAAAGATGTCATTGACAAAGGACTGCTTACCATTGACGCCGCCAACTTGCTGCTGAATGAATTTCGAGCGACTCTCATGCCCCACTGTCCGTTCGTTGTCATCTCGCCACAGCTTTCTGCAGAAGATCTACGGCGAGATAAGCCATTTCTCTTCCTTGCGATTTTAAATGCTGCCCTGTATGACAACATGCCTTTGCAGCGCACGGTCGAGAAAGAGGTAAAGAAGATGATTAGTGACTGCATGATATTTGATGGCCCGGTCTCGTTCGAGATACTGCAAGGACTCTTGGTCCATCTTGCATGGTATGGCCTTGATTGTGTTTTCATACTCATCTGAGCTAACAGATTTAGGTGTCAATATCACTCGAGACCACGCCGGTTCTCCCAATATCTACACCTTGCAATCAGCATCATAACTGACCTGCAGCTTGACCGTGCGCCCGAGTATCGGTTTTGGAGGACTAGAGTCAACTTTGATTCTGAAAGACAGGGGGAGTCAATATCATGGGGTCATGACGAACGACGAGCTGTCATTGGATATTTCTATTTCGCATCAAGGCAAGTCTAGTAGGCTTGCATACGAGGTCTCTCTAACAGCTAGTAGCGTCTCACAGATATTGCACAAGCAATGCTCCTTTTCATACTTGCCGTATTTCGAAGACTGTTGCAGGTTGTTGGCGACTGACGCTGAGTACGCTTCCGATCAGTGTCTTCTCCATGTTGTACAACTCCAGCGGCTTTCAGAGAAGATTACTTCCATCTCGGCTCAGAACATCCTAGCAGCCCACAGTGATGGTCTAGCTATCGAGCGTTCTTTTCACGAGTTGAAATCCGAGCTTGAGCTATATCGAGCTGACCTACCGTGTCGGCTGAACGAGAACCGTATGCTCAGCCGAACAACGATATTAAATCATCCAAGATCACTAACATTGAATGGCAGATATCCTCTTCATGCAATTCTATACTGCCGAGCTATATCTATGCCAAATCACCCTTTTTGATCACAGGCCTAGCGCACAGAAGCTACAATTCGATTCCTCCTTCCAGATCGAAGCTCTACGTATGGGCCTTGCCGCGGCAAAGGCTCTACTTGACCATCATCTGGGTCTACCACTGCGTAACGAAGTGGCGTTCAACAATGCTATGTGGATCCAGATCGGCTTCGCACTGACTCTTGCTTGTAAGCTTGTTGTAGCAGGTTCGGAACCTTCAGCACACCCCCATACAGCCGAACTGTGCCGTGCGCTAGACATATCAAACACATTGAGTCGCTGTATCCTCCGCATTCAGGCGCTGGTCACAACTAGCATGGACGCCACAGGAGACCGAGACGTCTTCTATCACTATGAAAAGCGCCTGAAGCGTGTTCAATGGTGGTTTGAAACCCGGGCACTATCGGGACCTAAAAATGATTCTTTTCAGTTATCTACACAGCCAGCAGACAGAACGGGTCCGCCCTCCGGAGATGGGGTTAGCTATGTCGAGTCTTCACAGCCACTGGACGAGTTGAATGACTATCCCCTGATACCGCGGGAGGCATACGATATTCAGTGGCCTGGATTCTTTCCGGATGCCACGATCGATGATCTATTTGTCGATTGGATGGCACAAGCGACAGTCCATTCGAGCAGCAGCGCTTGCGATAACTTGCCAACATGATGGCTCAGACAACACTGACATTATCTAGGCATACGCAGTCACAAGATGGGCATAATCTCTAATACATACAATCTTAGTACAAGCCGCCAATGCAGTAGAGTATTTACACTGGAACGCTTGCGGTTGAGTCACGACGGGTAGTCGGCGGTGTTGTCTGAACCCCAAAAATAACAGTAGCCATCACAATGAGCGCTATTCCAGCCCCACACCACCCCAGCCAGTTCCCAAAGACCTGCTCAGAGACAGCAACTTCATCGCCGCGAGGAAGCAATCCTTCAAACCGCATGAAGAAGGCATCCTCCGTGCTATCAAAGAGCGTTGGAGGCACTATGGAAATTCCAGGGTTCCCCTTAATGGAACGCAACCACATGGCAAGGACCCGGCTGACAAGCATCGAGCCTGCGCTGATAAAGGCCATGACATATGCCGGCACGAAAGACCACTGGTGATCATGTATACTCAAAGCAACTTTGATAATGAAGGGATGATTTGCTGTGCTAGCAACCAAATCATTGCTGACCCCATACGGCCAGCTTCGCGGCAGCAGGGCTTCTGTGTCACGCAACAACGGATCCATCGGCTGTCGGCAGCCAACATCTGGGTCTAGATAAATGCCCCCGTAATACCAAAGGACAAAGTAACGGAAAGCATCCACCCGTTGCATAGACAGCAGGTGTTCGTTATAAGTCGGCAAAAACCATGCAAAATGCGCCCCGATAAACTGACGAGCCGTGTTGTCGGTCCATATATACTGCTGGTAGGTGGGATTCTGTTCTTGACAGGAGTGGGTTGCATTTTTCCATTCCTCTGGTACATCTGAGGCCAAACCCCTCCACATTCGATGGATGATCTTGGGAATGGCTGTGGCATTCGATGGCTCTAGCACAAGGCCTGAGGGTGGTGGTGCCCATTGCATCTCGGTAGCGGGGACTTGGGATGCTGCCACAGGGCTTGAATCTGCCCAAATGACGTCTGGGGTGAGGGTTTTGGCATGTAGGGCCGACGAGAATTGTAGCAACGAGAGAAGAGAAGAGACGCATATGAACAGCACATAGAAGCCAAAGCAGCAGACAAAAGGGCCTCGACGTGCTTTAGTGACCACGCTCTGGAGCCTTGGAGCCAGCGAGACGACCGGAAGAGACGCCTGGCATCGGGCAGCTTGGTGCTGAATGCAACTGCCGACGTTCTTCAACGCTGTACTTGCAGCCATCTTGTCGAGTAGATGTCGAGGTGATAGAAGCTAGTGGTTGAACGAAGGATGAGAGTAGAAAGAGGGGATCGTGAAAGCGATGTTTACACCATGATATTACAGGAACAAGAAGCCCATCAGTGAATGCTACTGCTGAGCCTCTGTCGGTGTCTTGGCAACTGAGCCTCGCCGTCACTTTCAGACATTGAGGTGATACGGCCCGATAGGGGCTCGAACTTTGTATGGTTTACCTTACCCTAGCATGCACTACCTACTGATACACGTTGCTATCAGGGAGTGCTTGGCATAGAAGCTTGAGGTGGAATCCGAATCCTTGGTGGTTACTGCCTAGAAAAGCAGCCCATTGACAGCACCAACTGACTGCATCTGTCCGTGTCCTGGTCCTGGTCTGGGCTGAGGCTTGCGCAGTTGGTGCGGATTCCATGTCCATGTCCGTGTCATGTCCGTATTTTGTCCGTGTCCGTGTCCTTGTCCGTATCCTGCCCGGATGGCTTGGCGGGCGAGCCAAGTCTCAACGAGGCGGTGCCGGGCTGGAAGCCGATCCCTCCCCGGCTCTCCACCAATCACAATGCTCGGTTCGTTCCGATGCCGCCAAGTCCCGCCGTTTTAGCGGAGGCGTACTGGTATTGTTCCGTACATTGGCGTTACCGTTGGACAGATCCTACGATGACAGCCCTGAAACGTGGTGAACATCAAGGAGGCGCCCTGTCATGTCCTGGGGCTGGGTTGGGGCTGCGTTAGGGTCCGTAGCAAGCTGCCGTGAACGTTGGTTATCGAAGTAACAAAGAATTTCTGAATTTTCCTTGCAAGTACTATTTTGGGTGTTGGATTCACCGCCAGAGCCTGCTCTATATGAGCAAGCGAGCGAACACTGAGGATCTCAACCCATCATTGCTACTCATACCATTCTTGAGAAATACCATTGAGACATTAGCTATACATCCACCATGAGCAACTCGACAGACCCTTCCGACTACTGCACCTTGGACATTTGTCCGCTCAGCGAAGCCTACGTCTACTACATCCCCTCGCTGGCCGGCAATGCCTTCTACCTGGCTGTATTTGTGGCCTTGTTGATGGCCCAGGTGGGACTGGGCATTCGATACCGCACCTGGGGCTATCTTGCTGGCTTATTCGGAGGACTCATGCTCGAGATCATCGGCTATGCAGGACGTGTGCAAATGCACTACAACCCGTTCAGATTCGATCCCTACCTAGAGTACGTATTCCTCTCCCTCGAATGACAGGAAACTAACCAGTTTAGATATCTGGTCTGCCTCACCATCGGCCCTGCATTCTTCAGCGCATCGATCTACATCTGCCTTGGCCGAATCGTGGTCATCTACGGCGAAAAGATCTCCCGCCTTCGGCCACGGACTTATACGCTCGTCTTCGTATTGTGTGATTTGGTCTCACTCATCCTCCAAGCCGCGGGGGGCGCCATCACCTCCATAGCCGATGCCGACCAAGCCGATCTTGCCCAATCCGGCGTTAACATTATGATTGCGGGTCTAGCAACCCAGGTAGCATCACTGGTACTCTTCATGGGTCTCTGTCTCGACTACGCGTGGCAGGTGCGCAAGAACCCACGCGATCTCAACCCGGATGTGCGGATGCGAGACCTGCGCAACAGCTTCACCTGGAAGGCATTTCTGGGTGGTGAGTCCCTTTCCTCTCCTCATATCAAAATTGGTTGCTGAATATGCATAGGTCTGGTTTTAGCAACCCTCACCATCTTCATCCGGTCCGTGTTCCGGGTCGCCGAGCTGAAGGGCGGATTCCACAGCGCGCTAGCCAACGACGAAGTCGACTTTATGATCCTCGAGGGCGCCATGATCGTCATTGCTATCATTACCTTGACGGTGCTGCATCCGGGCGTGTGTTTCGACGGACTATGGGATCAGACTAAGTGGAAATTCCGGGGTGACAACGATATGGAATTGATGTATGCGGGCCAGGAGGGCAAGGCGCATCGGGTTGAGTCGCCGATGAGTTGATGAGTTGATGAGTTGACGAGTTGACGGAATGATGGGTTTTTTGGGCTGCTGTATTTTTGACTTTGTTCTATCCGCCTTGTGTTTTCTGATGGCTTTCTCGTTTGTAATTTGGCCTTTGCTTTTTCTGTGATTTAGTTTCTGATAGATTTTCATTACACGAAGTACTTGTTTAGCTACTATTTCTGGCATGGCTGTGTAATTGGGCTCCGACCTGTGTGAATTACATAGTAGATGGCATGGTTACATCTGATAAGATGATTATTCTCCGTGGTTATTCTCCGAGTTTTAGTTTTAGATTTAGATTACCGTGAGGGTTCAGAGTGAGACGGGTAAGCGGCCCCAAGATGCATGCACGTCAATCACAGCCTCGTCCGACTTCCACCTTGTCTAACTCTGTCCCAGAAAATAATTTTCGTGAATGTAGAAAGGCACGTAGCACACACAGTTCTTAACCCGAATAAAAAGTCAACTCAACTCAACTAAACCTCAATCAAAACAATCTATCCTCTATCCTCTATCCCTAACCCCAGTTCCTAAAACAAAATACCCCGGAAAACAATCTATCCCAACCCAAACAACCCATCAAAAAAACAAAAAGACCAATAACTAACTAGAAAACCCCCCTCCCTCCCCACCCCAACTTCCACCACCCGATCCCCATCCCCATCCCCACCACGACCGGCCCCCCACCTTAACCACCATCAACCCCACACTCCTCCACCACCTCCTCTTCCTCCCCTCCAAAAACTGCTCCGTATTATTCACGCACGGAAACGGCATCTCAGGCACCGGCCTTCCCAAGAACTCGCACAACGGCTCCCACCCTTCCGCAGGATTGAACTCCAGCAAACGGTCTTCGGGCACAAGTTCCTTGATGCGTGCGTAGTGATCTAGATATGCTTGGCGCTCACCATTCGGGGCGATGAGGTGGCGGAGACTGTGTGTGAATTTGTGGTATTGCCACCAGGGGTTTATTACTTTCTGTATCATTCATTGAGGATCTTGTTAGTTGTTTGTTTGTTTTCGAGGGAAAAAGGTAGATAGGGTATAGGTGCATACAGTGTCCCACCGCGCCACCCAATCAAACGACTTCCACTGTACAGCCTTATCCACTGACTTGTGCATAGAACCAAGCCACTTGTCCACGTCTCGGGTGCTTAGAATCACCTTGGCCTCGGGATACGCTCTTATGAGGTCTTCGGCGACGAGAGTACCGGGGATGTTGCACGAGACGTTGAATCCGGAGAAGAGCTTATCGTAGTCGGGTCGGGTGTACACGGGAACGGTGTGCAGGTATCGGGCTGAGAGGGCTTCGGTCCATAGGGGGTAGAGGTGAGTGAGGGTGTCCATCATGCGGCCGTGGAAGGGCTTGTAGGAGAGGATTTCGAAGGCGAGGCGGATTGCTAGGGGGAGGTGGGGGGTTAGTGAGGGTTAACTGTATGGAGGAACTGGGATGGGAATGGGGATGGGGGGAATACAGATGGTGCCGGTTCGGGGCATTCCCAGGATGAGAACTTCCATCTTGGGGGGTTGCGAGGGGGGTGGGACGGCGTCGATGAGGCGGGACATTTTGAGTTGGGGTTGATTCTGGTGTTTGGGTTATTGAGGGGATGGGTTGAGTGAAGGGATGAATACTGGATAGGTTGTTGGTGTTGTTGTTGTTGTTGTTGTTGTTGTTGTCTGAAAGGTACTTTATATCCTTCTCATACTTCCGCCCCATCGACATGACTATACGATCTAGTTGATTCACGCTGTGGAAGCCTTAACGGCCCCAGAAAATCTTCGAATCAGCCTTTGGTTCTAGGTATGAGGTAGTTGATGACAGGAGGCGGCTTAGCCCTGTGCATCGCCATGTGCAAGTATCACGAACCATTCCAGGCGGAATCGCCCCCAGATGTCAGGCACCCGACCCCGTATCACACCATCATCTAAACTCGACTGCATCCAACGCTCTCATTATACTCTTGAAACTGCTGTTTTGGGGCCAGTCTTGAAACTGGGGCTATGTTGTACTACGATGGCTGAGGATATGGCCAGGTATACGAGATTCACGAGGTAGTATAAATGCGCCGTCAACACCGCCATGCTCTCACCATCACCATCTCCATCAACCATCTTCTCTATTCTTATCTTCCAAGCCTCAATTCAACCGAACCCACCTAAGCTCAATTCAATCTCATCATGACCATCTCCACCTTCACCACCGGCACGGTCGAAATGTTCGACGGCACCACGGACGGCCGCGAAGCATACCTCGACCCTTCAACCGGCGCCACCAACCTGAAGCCCAAGAAAGTCCACCACATCCAAATCCACGACATCCGGGCCCAGAATCCCGCTCCTCAGCTCCTTCACAATGGCTACGAAGCCCTCAGCCACCCCACCTCCCTCACCGAAGCGGAGTTCATGACCTACCGCACCCCCGAAGGCAAACGACTGATCAAAGACCGCTACTGGCCCGAACTCCAAGCCCTCATCGAGCAAAAGACCGGCGCCAGCAAAGTCATCCCCTGGCACTTCAGTCTCCGTAACCAAACGCTCGGCTACCATCCCGACGAAATCTTCTTCATGAAGACCGGCATCTCGCAGCCCGCTTCCACCCTACACATCGACAACGACCACACCACGGCCCTGGGCCACCTGCAGCGCGAACTGGGCAATGAAGAGGCCCAGAATCTCATCGCCACTCACAAGCGCTGGGCCATCATCAATGTCTGGCGGCCCGTGGGCACCCCCGTCCAGCGATGGCCGCTGCTGGTGGTCGATCACGCCAACATCCCCGATTGGAACTTTGCTGACAATGTCGCCCGGGTGTATCGCAACAATGACCCTAAGTACTACAAGGCTCATGATAACTTCCTTAAGCCGCATCCGGATTACGTCTATCGATATGTGAGTGAGCTTTGTCCCGATGAGGTCCTGGTGTTTCGGGATTATGATTCGCGCGAGGATCGGGTGCGTGGTACCCCTCATGGTGGCTTCCAGGATGATAATACTCCTGAGGATGCGCCGGCGCGGCGATCGATTGAGGTGCGGCTGTTTGTGTTTTTTGATGAGTAGTGTAAGGTGGGTGTGGGTGTGGTTGTGATTTTTGGATATTAGAAATTGTTTGATTAGTTACTTAGTTGGTTAGTGGGTTTGTTTGTTTGAGATCAATAGAATGTGTGACTTTGTTATGTTCTTGATTCCTTTCTTATCAAACATCATCGCATAGACCTAAGTACAATAGGCACAAGCTGAAGGATCCCAATCCCGGAGACAAAGTGAAAGATGAATCTGCCCGTCAGAACAGCGATCAATCAAGTACTTACTTGGTACTTACCCAAGCCACTATCAAAGCCTAAACCTAAACGTAAGATCCCCCCCCCACCTCTTCAGTTTCTTTCAATGATGATAGTAGTTGCCTAACATGCTAGCCTGCCTAAAGTAAAGGCAGAGGCAGCCCCTCAACACATGGCTGGCATTGAATCTCTATCCAATGAAATTCCGGTCTTTGCTATTGTATCCTCGCTTAATCATTATTATTGTGGTCGTGGCGTGTTCAAACAGCCATCTACAAATAGCATTAACCGCCATCCTGCAACCGCGCCCTAGAACCTCGAATACAATGAACAACAGGCCTGTCTAGCAGGATTTGCATACCATGCTGCCGACTCATGCCGCTAAACCTCCACGGGAGCTCCTTAGTCTAGCCCTGTCACTTGTTGCGTAATCACGTAGCGTTTCTTCCTGTCCCAAGCCAGAAGAAGAGATCGCTTACCATTATACGCGCGCTGAAGTTGCTTGCAGGAGGCATACTAGACCCCAGGCTTGCTACGTCTACCAAAATTAGTTATGCTGGCTATAATTGCTCCATATAGACTGACTCGCACCCTCAAACACTCCTCTGGTGGCCGAGCGGAGAACCTAGATGGCTTCATTGCCCATTTTTAGCTAGTTCTGGAATAGCGAATGGATTCAATGTTCTTCCGTTGGTCGCGCTTAGCGACCTGAGATTGCCTGCGCTTCTTGGTTGCTAGTGATCTCGGTTAAAGACTCTGCGATTCCTGATCATCCGGTCCTAGGGATTTTCTCAACCAGAGAAGCCATAAGAGCTAGCGAAGGCCCTTCGGGCTTTTTTATCAGGATGGGTATGGCTACGTAAATGTTCCTATCTCCATGGAAGGCGCTGAAGCGACACCGGCTAGGCTACTACCAGACCTGTCTGTGTAGTAATTAGACAGTCGGCTATGCAGAAGACTGATTATTCAGTTATCACTATATAAAAGCATTTTTCAAGGCACTTATCAAAGCATCTCACGCAAGCCCTTACATAGCTTTCGGGGCCCTATATATGGATGTACGGAGAGCTGTATGTAGACTCTCATTCGGGGCTTCATGCAACGCCTCAAATACAAATAGAAAGGCTCAGGCATAACACTAGGTGCTCAAGTGGTGAATATTGTGCTAGTAATATAAAGTAGGCCTTTCCCAACAGCGTAGGCGGAGTATACAGAAAGTGTGGTTGTAGCGGACGCCAGCGTGGTAGTAGCCTTGCTCTATTCGGTCACAAAAAAAAAAACATCATGTACCTCAAGTTTCCATGCGTAGGTAATGATAGTTAACTTTGATATCACGAAAAGAGTGATGAAGCAACTATATACTTACTTGTAGGAAATATTTCGGTGACCTACGGGTCAGATGGCTCAAGTGGCAACAGGGAGCGCCACATAAAGGACATTAAACTGAAGATTCCCTTTAGTTTTTTTTTTGAATGACGCGCGTTCGAATCCCGCTGACGCCAAATCATCATGAACATACCTCGGCATTAATGACGATCTTTACTGCCAGCCCACTCAGCCACCCTTTCCCACCCTCTTTCCCGCCAGAAAGCATCAACATAAGAAACACAACGAAGTTGGGGGGGCCGCTCACTCGAACCAAGCCCGTTAACCATAAGCATCATTGGCAACAAACAAACCTTGGGGGTTTATTCTCCGACTGACCCCTGATATCAGATTTGTGCTACCTGTAGAGTTCCTGCCTATCACTGCACGGAAAATACTCTGGTGGCCTCGCATCGTGTATTGGGTTGGTTGCCTGACGGGAGACGTGTGTCACTGGGGAACTGGGGTGGTTGGGTGGCTTATACGTCGTACATGTCACCAACTTACCTGGTTATACCTATCGTCCGGATTGAGAATTAGTCGGATCAGCCTCGTCGTGTGTTGAATTTGACTGGTTTGGTTACATAGGCAGATATGTACCGAGTAAGTGTTAGTAGTAGTGACAGGATACGAACGTAACTATGGCTTACTTACCTAGCTGCTAGTTGTAAGATGGGAAGATAGGATATCCTCATGGTAAGCCAAGACCCGACCTCTCGCCTGTTCCCCCGCAGTTGAACTAGTGTAATGTGGGCTGAGCCACCTCACCCGACGTGACAATCATCCACTAAGACTGACCCAACCTCCATCAGAAAGGGTTATGATTGGTTCGATTGTATTGTTCTGACTAATTATACGTACCTTAGGTTTTCCTTTTCTGCCCCGCAAATAAGCAAAGTAAAGTTAATAAGTGGCGTAATAATACTCCGGATTCTGATAGTAGGTACATAGATAAGCGGTTTGGGGGCTGAAGGATGGAGAAGGAATGGTTAGGGTGAGTTTAATTTGACGCTAAAGGTATGGATGGGTTGGTTTGCTTGGAGGTGATATACTACGTAGTGATAGTTAGGGCTTGGATATGATGGAAGCAAAATGGTTTGTTCTATCTGGTCTATTCATACATGTGAAAAAAGCAAATCGATCTAAAGCTGAACGATAGTAACAAAGGAAAAAGGGAAAACAGGAGCACGGATAACAAAGATCTACATAGCACTTCACCTCACCTCACCTCTTGCTAACTCTTAGTCTGACTTGGCGCTGCAACTGCGCCCGTGAAGATCTGTTGAGGACGCCAGAGACTTGGGGCTTGGCCTGTTGATACTGTTAGTATCGTCTGCAATGAAGTTGGTTGCGGAGGGAGGGGGGCTTACCCATTGCTTCCCTCCAATGAGCCAAAACACCTGGTGTTCGTGACAGACTTGCCATCGCGATGATTATGTCTGTTTCAAAGCCCCTAATCACAAGTCAGCAGCTGTCTATACAGTACGGAGTAGAGTTAGACATACAAAGCCGTGTATAGAAAACATCCGTAAAGATCCGCATTCGCCTTCAGGTTCCGCGAAGTAAAGTAAGGATCCTCTCCAGCTACCCGGTCAATCTCCATCGCCACCTTCAATAGCGGGTTCGCCTGGACTTCATCCCGGTGCTCATCCATGAGCTGCCGGATGAATTTCGTCCGTGGGTCAACCACCTTGTAGATTCGATGTCCGTACCCGAACAGACGTTGCTTCTTGGCCTTGACGTTGGCTATCAGCGTCGACACGTTCTCCGGCGTGCCCACCGTTTCGAACCCCTTGTATGCGAGGTCGATGGCGCCGCCGTGCAGGGGGCCGTATGCGGACACAATCCCGGTGACACAGCATGACAGTGGGTCTGTCAGCGTGGACGCGGCGTGCAGGAACGCGGCGGTCGAGTTGGTCATTTCGTGGTCTGCGTAAAGGATCCAGAGACGCTGGAAGCATTTCTCGATCTTGCGGTTGGGTTGGGGGCTCTTGCTCCCGGGCTCCAGGATACCCATCATCAGCAGGACGTTACCGATGAAGGACTCGTTTGGACGGGATGGGTTGAAGGGGCGACCGCGCTTGTGGCAGTAGACTAGAGCGATGGTGGTTGCGAGGATCGACAGCGTGCGAATCACAGCCTCATCGACAGCCTTTCCCTTTCCGAGGTATTGGGGTTCGCCCTTGGAGTGTGTAGCGCGGGTGCCCTCATCCACCGAGGCGTAGGCGGACAATCCGGCCAGAATCATGGGGAAGGTCAATGAGTCGGGTCTAATATACTCATGAGTAAGATGATTGGAGCTTTAGGTGAAAGTATACTTACGGAAATGAACGGATGACATCGACGACACATGGATGGGGCTTCATCTCCGAAGCCAACTTCCGGCGGAGGGTCTGCTTCTGCACTGGAGTGGGCAGCTTTCCCCAGATCAGAAGGTGAATGACCTCTTCGTAGTCATTGTGCATGAACAGCTCCTCAATCGAGTAGTTGCGGTACTGGATGTAGCCACGCTTGCCATCGATGAGGGTAATGGAGGACTCCATGCATGCAGTGTTCAGGTATCCCTTGTCGACAATTCGAAGACCGTTGTCGAACTGGTCAACAACGTCTGCACCCTGCTGGGCAGCAGTGATCTGGCGAAAGTCGAGGGCCCGGACTGCATTGTGAACAACTGGGATACGGTATGTCCGCTTAGTTCGGTTGTCAATGATGCTCAGGGAACCGTGGGCTGGCCCAACGGCAGTACGCCCTAAGGCTTTGTGACATGAGAAGGTTGCAAGCGAGACGTAAGAGTAGATGATCTCCTTCCACATCAGGAGGAAGTGGACAAAATTGACAAGCATTTTGATAGATCAGGAATAAGAAGGATGTGACGATGCCGATGAGTCTGATAAAGAGGGTGGGAGGAGTGCGATTTGCAGTCTTGTAGGAGTTCAGCATTCATCTGGGGATAGCCCTCCTTAAGAATCACCATGAGCCCGAAGCCTTGTGTGCTTCTCGTGGGTCTATCTCATCCTCCGCATCTGACGAGGCGAATTCAGGCACCCTCATGAATGATGCGTCTATTCCTAGTCGACGCTCTTTGGTCATCCCATAATACAACCATCAACATGTCTCAGTAGACACCAAAAGTGTCTTCAGCCAATTCCATCTGTAACAGGGACATAGTTGAGGCTGCGCATGCCGTGTCGAGGCATCACGATCAGGCCCCCAGTTGCTGAAACAGGCGGAGCCGTTTCAGTGCTGGAATTTCCAAATCCTTCTGTTCTTCCACATCCTCTCTGCAAGCAAGATTCGATCTTCCCGTTCTCGTTGTCACTCGCTTCAGTTTCATCTACCGGTCCAGCAGCAACACGGGGGCGGTTGTCTGATGAGACGCGGCATCTGGCTCGTGTTGGATGGCTGATAGCCGGCTGTGACACCGACCTCGTCGCGGCAGGGGTATCTCGTATCGCTGTGATCTGATCTCATCTCATCAATCAGTCGTGTCGGAAGATTGATCGATGATGCTTGCGGGGGATGTATTTTATGTCCGCGGCCCGTTTCGTACATACGCGGAAATACCGCCCCGTCAATACGACCCCCAACACGAACTCCTTCCTTCTTCTTCTTCATCCACTCACTTACTTCTAGATTGCCAACCTTCAGAAAGGATCGATATGCCGCGAGACCGGATATCCTCGTGGCTATGGTGCCAGTTATCGCCCCAGATTTGCGAGGTATTACCCTTCATACTTCCTTCTTACGTGTGAACTCGTTGGCAGGGGCTCGGTTGTGCCTTGTCACTTACAAGGATGTCTCGGCTAGTGCCAAGTGCAATATGCTGGTGTTGAGAGATTGAAAGAAAGCGGCAGTGGATGCCAATTCCTGTCAGTCAATTACTATCTATGATCTTTTGGCCTTTCCGGACTGTCCTGCTTTCCTCTCATGCCTCTTTGGGTCGATTTCATTCACCATGAGGCGTTCCGAGTCATCACAGGTCAATCTAATATCAAGAACCCCGTCAAATCGAACACTAGCACACTCTTATGACGAATCCACCACCTCTATTGACCTTTCGGTCTTAAAGCCAGCACACACATGTCCCTCAGTCGATGAAGAACCAGCAGCTACATCCAACACCGACAATCCATCTCAAAACCTGAGCGATGCTCCCGCAAAGCGTCGTCGGCCATGGCACCACTCTTTAAACCCGCTCAAATGGGGCGACATACCTCCTGTACCGGCCGAGAGAGCAATATCCGGCGAGTACAAAGCCAACTGGCTGAGCCAGATGACGTTCCAATGGATGACCACCATCATGAGCGTGGGGTATCGGCGTCCGCTGGAGCTGAACGACATATGGCTGGTCAATCCAGATCGCCAGATTGATCTGCTGGCAGATCGATTCTACGCAGCTTTCAAACAGCAGATCAGCCAGGGGGCCACGAACCCCCTCCTCATGGCCCTCCACGACACCTTCAAGCACGAATTCTGGCTCGGGGCCATCTGCGTCCTCTGTTCTTCAATCTGCCAGGTTATGACACCTTTCACCTTGCGGTTCCTGATTCAGTGGGTCACCGCCTCATATTCATCTCAGGGGGCGGATGAACAGATCCACGGCTTCGGGAGGCAAATTGGTCTGGTCTTCGCAATCATGGGCATGCAGCTGATACAGAGTGTGGGCACAAACCAGTTCATATACCGCGGGTTCATGGTCGGCGCACAAGCTCGCGGTGTCCTGATATCTGCCATTTTTGAAAAGACTCTGAGGATCTCAGGCAAGGCACGGGCTGGAACCGCCCCTGTTGGAGATGAAACGGAAAAGGCAGCTGACAAGAAGGCTGAGTCGAAGAAAGCAACAGATGAAGTAGGCTGGCCCAACGGCCGAGTGATGAACATGATGTCCACCGATACGTCCCGCATTGAACTGGCCTGTGGCATGTTTCATCTCATTTGGGTCTCACCAGTGACAATCTTCCTCGCTCTGGCCCTTCTACTCATCAACATGACCTACTCCGCATTGGCTGGCTTCGGGTTGCTGTTTATTGGTATTCCCTTGCTCACAATTACAATGAAGATCCTCATCAAGAGACGGCGCGAGATCAACAAAGTCACAGACGCCCGGATCTCATTAACCCAGGAAATCATGAGATCGGTGCGGTTCGTAAAGTACTACGGATGGGAAAAGGCATTCTTGGAAACTCTTCGCACCTGCAGAAAGAATGAAGTCGCCATGATCCAGAAACTGATGGCCCTGCGAAACGCTATGAACGCTGTTTCGGTTTCTCTTCCCATCTTTGCATCCATGCTCTCATTCATCGTGTATTCTGTATCTGGTCACGAGCTTACGGCGTCTCTGGTCTTTTCTTCTCTGTCAATCTTCAACGCGCTGCGGGTCCCCTTCAATCTTCTACCCGTGGTCATCGGCCAACTGACCGATGCCTGGGCATCAATGCGCCGTCTTCAAGATTATCTGTTGGCAGAAGACCAGCGGGAGGACTTTATCTGGGATCCAGATGCAGACTTGGCGATTGATGCGCAGCAGGCAACCTTCGTTTGGGAGCAAGCCTGCGCTCCAGCTCAAGGCCAGGATGACAAGCAGTCGAGCAAAAAAGAGAAAACGCGGGCGCGAGCAGAGGATGACGAGGAATCGAAGGTGACATCCAGCTCTGCGGAGTCCTCAGTCCCATTTACCTTGAACAACATCGACCTTTCCATCGGCCGCTCGGAGCTTGTTGCTGTGATAGGTACAGTAGGCTCCGGGAAAAGCTCCTTACTCTCTGCCCTCGCTGGGGAGATGCGCAAGACCAGCGGTCAGATTACCATGGGAGACAGCAGAGCCTTTTGTCCACAGTATGCGTGGATACAAAACGCAACTGTCAGAGATAATATACTGTTTGGAAAAGACATGGATCGTGAATGGTACGACCAAGTGATTCAGGCCTGTGCTCTGCAGGCAGATTTGGACATGCTACCTGCAGGCGATGAAACTGAGATCGGAGAACGTGGCATCACATTGAGTGGAGGCCAGAGACAGCGCCTAAACATTGCCAGAGCGATCTACTTTGATAGCCGCATCATCCTGCTAGACGACCCGCTTTCTGCGGTAGATGCCCACGTTGGACGGCAACTCTTTGAACATGCTATCTGTGGGCTGCTGCGAAACAAGTGCCGCATCCTCGCTACGCATCGACACGACATTCTCCGTCGATGCGATAGAATTCTCTGGCTGGAAAACGGGCGAATAAGAGCCAACGATACCTATGAAAGCTTGGTTTCCAGCAACAAGGACTTTCAAGAGCTTTTGGCCTCAACCACTCGAGAAGAGACAGAGGAGAAAGATGAACGGACACCCGCAGCTCAACATCAGACGCAGTCAACCACCACAGAAAAGGCCTCCGAGCCGGCATCTCTCATCCAAGAAGAGGATCGACCCGTTACCAGCGTGGGCTGGGTCGTCTACCTTGCTTATATCCGCGCATCAGGATCGATTATATATGGGATCTTGCCACTTTTCCTGCTCGCAGTAGCCCAGGCATCCAATATCCTCACCAACCTATGGCTATCATACTGGACAGATAAAAGATTCAACCTGTCAAAAGGCCAGTACATCGGCATCTACATCGGGCTGGGAGTCACTCAGGCGGTCCTCATGTTTTCATTCTCCCTGTCAGTATCCATCTTAGCTACCGGCGCAAGCCGGACGATGATGGGGCGCGCATTAGCGGGGGTGCTCAGGGCTCCCATGTCGTTCTTCGACACTACTCCCTTGGGCCGTATCACAAACCGCTTCTCCAAGGATGTTGATACAATGGATAACGCCTTGGCAGATGCGATTCGCATGTACATGTACACGCTGGCGATGATACTAAGCGTTTTCATTCTTCTCATCTTCTATTTCCACTACTTCGGCATCGCTATTGGCCCACTTTTGATCCTTTTCCTGATAGCCGCCGCCTACTACCGTTCCTCCGCGCGAGACATGAAGCGCCACGAAGCCGTTCTCCGATCAGCTGTATTCGCGCGTTTCAGTGAAGCCATCTCAGGAACTGCAAGCATCCGCGCATACGGATTGCAGGACCACTTCACCTCTGTGCTCCGGCGAGCAATTGACAACATGAATTCGGCATACTACCTCACATACAGCAACCAACGCTGGTTGAGCACCCGACTCGACGTGGTCTCAATCATCCTAGTGGCAACAACGGGCATCCTAGTAGTCACCCTACGCAATGTCGTTTCCCCAAGCATTTCCGGTCTCATCTTCTCCTACATCTTAGCAATCGTGCAAATGATCCAACTCCTCGTTAAGCAATTCGCCGAGCTCGAAAACGCCATGAATGCTACCGAACGTATCCACCACTACGGCACGAGTCTCGAACAAGAGGAACCCAACATATCCAACCCGCACTACCTCCAAGCAGTAACTGTCTTCTGGCCCGAACACGGCGCCATCGACTTTGAGCACGTCGAAATGCGATACCGACCCAACCTCCCACTCGTCCTCCAAGGCCTAAATCTCAGAATCGCTGGAGGTGAGAAAATTGGCATCGTCGGCCGCACCGGGGCCGGGAAATCCTCAATCATGTCCGCCCTCTTCCGCCTCACCGAACTCGCCAGCGGAACCATCAGGATCGACGGCGTCAACATCGCCCGCATATCCTGCCATGACCTCCGCTCCCACCTCTCCATCATCCCCCAAGACCCAACCCTCTTCCTCGGCACCGTACGCTCAAACCTCGACCCATTCAACGAACACCCAGACCTCGAATTATGGTCCGCTCTCCGCCAAGTCGGCCTAATCGAGGAAGAAGAAAACAGCAGCAGCAGCAACACAAGCCCAAACGACCAATCCCGGAATCAAATTCAACTCGACACGCCCGTCGAAGAAGAAGGCCTCAACTTCTCCCTCGGCCAACGACAACTAATGGCACTAGCCCGGGCTCTGATTCGAGGCAGCCAGATCGTCGTCTGCGACGAGGCTACCTCGTCCGTGGACTTGGAAACTGATCGTCGCATCCAGGAAACTATCCGGACGAGCTTCAAAAGACAGACTTTGCTCTGTATTGCGCATCGTTTGCAGACGATCATTCGGTATGATCGAGTATGTGTTATGGATAAGGGCAAGATCGCGGAGCTGGACACGCCGTTGAATCTGTGGGAGGCTGGGGGGATATTCCGGGGGATGTGTGATCAGAGTGGGATTGTGAGGGAGGATTTTATTTGATTGATTTGGTTTTTATAGAGTGGTTGGAGTTTCGGTGTTGTGTGTTCGTTTTGGTTCATGCTTTTATCTATGCAATGAGTGCTTTATACCGGGACTCTTGGACTACGCAACTATGATCAACCTACCTATCCCAGTAAGTCCTATACATCTTCCAATAAACAAACATACAATTATCACTGGCTAAGAAAACTCTCCAAAGCATAAAATAACATAACATCAGTCATTACAATAAAGTGGCGATAAGGTTCTATCCAATAGGTGAAGTAAACTTCATATCACATATTTCCACATCCAGTCTACCAGTCTCACAACAATCCCCATGCTACCAGACATACCAGACTTGATCCAATCTCAGTAGACACACCCCCTTCCAGCATGAGATCTCAAAATATGAACATCCAACACCAAGTCATGCTGGAAACAAAATTGTGGCTGTATCAAAAAGAACAATGGGAAGAAAGGATTGGGGGGTAGTAGTAGAAGTAGTACGAAGCAGAAAAATCATCCGTCGTTGTCATCGTTAGTCAGTAGTCAATTCCAGGTACGGTTACCTGCCTGCAGGTGAGTTGTAACCTGCTTTGGGTAGATGTGTCAATTTATCCTATGCTCCAAAACCATCCCAGGAAAAGAACGCGCAGTGCATTGCCAAGTGGTATTGCCATGTCAGATTGTTTAGTGGCGTTTGTATTTCTGTAGGGGATGTTAGTAAATTGTTGACATGTGGGATGTGCTTCCACTTACGTCTTCCATTTTCCGCCGGTTGCTTGGGTCCAGCGTGTTCCCAGCCCCCAGCAGCGTCTGTCCCACGGCCTTGGAAACGCCAATTGCGGGTCGGAGAACCACTGTTGGAGCGCGCTTCCAGACAGCTTTAGCGGCGGCCTTGGCGCTCCCGCTCTCCATGACTTCTCCGGGGACCGCAACGATGGCATCCCGTGTCAGAAGCAAATCGCGCTCCAGCCCCCGGAATGCGCCTCGAAGGCCTTGCACCACACCTACTGGTTGGTCTGCGTACAGCGAGATCTTCTTGGCCTCTTCATCGTCACCATACTCCTCGTCTGGACCTCCCGACACACTGGGAGTGGTTAGGAGATCCTCAGCACCCTGCAGCACCGTTTGAGTTCCGATAGCAAGTTTGGCTCCCAGCTTAACGAGTTCGTTCGATGTGGTCTTGGCAAAAGACAGGGCACCCTTCTGGATGCTTCGCACAATGCGGCCATCTTTCCGGTACTCACGCATGGGAACCACCACTAGGTCTTTGACGCCTCCGCCAACATTGACCAAGGACCGGATAGGAGCCAGGCCAGCCAGGACACCTGGAAGTTGGTTCATCTTGATGTCTGGCATCCATATGTCGTTGAGCGATTGCCCGAGTTTGTCAAACCCTGACACGCCATAGATGATAACGTGCCGCATGGTCATGTCGGCCCCGTCTAAGACGAAGAAGTTCATAAACTCAGTCGTACGACCAGACCTCAGCCCCGCATAGTCAACCCGCTTGGGCTTAAAGTCGAGCCTCACAGGAACGGCATTGATCTCGACTCTTTGTAGGAATGGAATATCGCTTGGGGCAGCCGGTGTGGGTGCCGAATCATCCCGGAATTCAAAGAAGCGACAGATAAAATCCAGGGCATCTTGATCAACATGCAGCCGTAGAGGAAGAATAGTTGCTTTGAGGACAATCTCGGATGCAGCGAGCTCCGGTACCGGCCGCACGGTCAATATCTCCAGATGGATCATGCTTGTCCCACTCTCCTTCTCGCCCGCTTCATGCATGTACGTTGCGAATTTTTTCCATGTAGACGTGGGCACATGATCGAATACCTCCAGGTCATTGATACGGACATCCAGGGAGCTCTGCGTTTCGCCAGAATCGGGCGGGAAAACGACCAGGTCGGCACAGATGCCCTTGAGTTCAAAAGTCATCTTATGGTACTTACTTCGAGACAGGCGCAACTTCTTTCCTCGGAAGGAGGGCGACTGGCTTTGCCGTACCGTGGCCCCAGTGACAGTCGTCGTAGTCGCATAGCTACCCGTCTCGCTGACGAGGTCATCGATGTTGCGGTTGATGTCATTGCGAATATCGCGGGGATCCTTATTGGCAGGGACCCCAATATATATCGAGTTGAACAAACAGTCGCCAATCACCGACTCCTCTTCCTCATCAAAACTGGGAGATGCCCGACTGCCAGTACGTGCACGCCGTTCAATGGCCTTCCTCTCCACATCTTTCACGGCTTTCGTTATAGTATCCCTAGTTCGCTGCCAGTCATAGCCGTCAAATAGGTTCCAGATGACGTGGGCATCGCGAACCCGGATCCTCAACGGACTTCTCTGAAGTTTGGAGTCATCTGAGAGCCCGTAGGTGTTCTGTGTAGAATCCCAGCGGTGTGCTGTACCGCCGACAGCCGATTGTTGTGCAAAGTGGTCCTCGCGGAAGTCAAGGTCAGAGACACTGGATGACACATAATACAGCGAGTGGAAGCTATCAAGAAGTTCATTTGAGCCCGAAGCCCCCATGCCCTCCACCCCAAAGCCAGGTTCTGAGCCTGGGTTCACATGCTGGAAGTCGCTGACATAGTCCCGCTCATCCTCCAGATGCCCCTCTCCCTGCACTCGATCAGCAGAGTCCGTCGTCACTTGGTTGCCCTCTGGCATATCTGCAACGAAGGCATCGCCGGTGAATGATGATAGCATATCCTGAATAGGAAGAACCTCCGTACGGTACTTTGTGGCCGCGCTAGGAGGAGTAGGAGGTTGGAGCCCGTTGACTATGCTTATAAAGGTCTGCGTTGAATCGGCGCAGGTTTCCAGAATCAGCAGATCGTCCCTCAGCTCCACATCAAGAGACTTCATTCCATCGTCACTCAAGCGCATAATCTTAACAGTAGCCGTGGCTGCAGATATTGAGCATACTGACACAAAGCCGTGGTCGATGAGAGATTGCACTTGGTTGCTCTGTGGAGGAGCTGAGCTTCTTCGGTGCAGATTATCTGTATAGCCGACATTTTTCATGTCGTCTATTATCATCACAGACACTTTCCGGAGATCCAGCGTGGCGTCTGAAGACACGGGGTCATGTATCGCCCCAGAAAACTTGGCGTTCGTGAGGACAACGAGGCCTTTCGCGGCCGTGCCGCGCGGGTTGAGACCGAGCACGCAGTCTCGCAAATCCACTGACAACTTGATAGGCTTCGGGGGATTTTCAGGATTGCTCTCCTTTACCGATGATTGATCGTCCTGAGGTGCAGGTTGCAGCTCGGCAAGATTCACCAAAGAGCTTGCCATGTTGGCAGCCATGTCCCCAGTAGTCATATCTTCGCTTAGCCCCAAGAAGGCCATGATGGAGGGAAGCGTGTATTCCGCGCGGAAATTGTGTAACTTCACCTTGACCGTGGGGTCCATCTCATCCGCGATATAGCGAGCCATCAGAACTGGAAGCTGGGTTTGGTTCCAGCCCGGTCCCCGAATGATCGCTGATGCATCTCCCACAAGCTCTTCATTCCTGTTTCTGACAACCGCTATGGATCCCACCTGCGCGGCAATAAGCGAAGGTAGGCTAATATATGCCGCTTCAGCATCCCGAAGAGTTGCAGTTATCTCACCCACTTTCCCACCAATATGCACTCGGACCTCGCACTCACGGATTAAAGCAAGGATTAGGACACCGGGACGGTCATCCTCGGGTAGATACTTCGTGACATTCGATAGCCTGCTTAGCTCTTCCGCAAGTTGAGAAATGGATTCCAAGTCAGTGGTCCGAGAAACAACAAACTTGGTTTCAGAGATGGTAACACAAAGTACAGATCCCTGTCTCCGCTGACGAAATAGTGTGTCCAGCATGATATCGTCATCTTCGTCATATTTGTCCTTTGACGGAGTGATCAAACCTAATAGCCGATCAAGATCCTCTTCCTTCGGGGAAAAACGGTACTCAATTCTGATATCAGCCAGGCGTATGTTGGCAGGGGCGTCCCGAGCGTCGTCCAGAGGCAATGGGCCGGACAGCGTGGCCTTATCTATTTGTACAGCTATGAATTTAGGCCTGCTTATAATCTTGGCAGCTGTTGTCATCAATTTGATGTAATGGGTTTCTCCGATAACGTTCACTGCGACTCCCCCAATCCTGACATTGACCTTCAAAGGTGCCGAGTCGGTCTGCTGCGTAGCTGCCGGTGGAGGGAATTCTTCAAAGTGCACTCCACGAGGACGCTTCGGGGGTTCTTTCTTCGGTCCCTTGCCGGTTGAACCCGACGAGATCGAGCTTCCAAGTTCCAAGATGGTGCTCAACCCGCCGACCCAACCTACAACCTCCTCCAGTCGCTGAACGTTCAAATTAAGTTGTAGAGGAAGTGTCATGAGATTGACCGTGGTGGAATCAAGTGATTTCTTGATTGAAAGATCGATATCCCCTTGCTCGGCTGACGAAATGTCTCTGACAGAGTCGCGCATCTTGGACTCTTCGCTAAATGAGATCAGATGCTCAGAGGCAAACCCAAGGGTAAACTTTTTGATGTTGAGGTGAAGTTTTGTGACATCCTTATCTGCCAAGAACTGCGCTTGTAATCCCGAGATACATGTCTGCAACAAGACCTCATCATGCAACAGCCCGAAGAAGGTTGGACTATGGGTTTCAATGGGGTAGGAGTGCTCCGGAACATGCTCGACAAATTTGATGGATAAATTTTGAAGAGCCAATTTGATTGCCTGCCGCTCTTGCACGTGCTCCTGTGGACGACCCTTCTTCGGGGCGTCCTCGCTGTCATTCCCAAAAGCCTCGAGAATCCGCTGTCCAATTTTGATCACAAGCCAGCCGATGGCAATGTCAAGTTGAACTTCCACCGAAAATATCTCAATTTCCATGTCATTCGAACTGCGGCTAGACTGCGACTTATGCTCATCATCTTGTGAAAGACGCGGTGTCCTCTTCTCAGCTCCCTCTTTCCCCGAAGTAAACGGCCTTATTGTATCACTGCGGTTTCGTGTAGAGGCATGTGTAGTAGAAGCGGCCAATTCGTCCGCACTTGCAGAGTCACGCAAACATGCTGTCGTCTCTTCCAACCCGGAAGTTTCTTTTTCATCATAGGCTACGGACGATACGTCGTCCGCAATGTCGCCGTCTTCATCCACAGAAGGGATTGAAATCAGGACCTTGTCGATGCTAAAAAATCTCCTTGCCACATCTGGGAGCTTATTCAGCTCCGGTGAATCCTGAGCAGATCCTTGGTCGATCGGATCATGAGCCTTCTGGGGATTATCCATAAGGCATTCCTGTGAGATATGCAACCCTGTCTGAGCAGTAAGTTTGGGGGTAGCGATGGCCTCGTCATCATCCTCATGATAGTGATCCGATTGTACGTCGCGCTGGTCTGCATGGTGCACATGAGCATTTGGACCCCTAATCATCGTAGACTCCGGTGAATCCCAGGCACCAGGAATATTCGGCATAAAGCTTCGAGACATCGAGTCATGGCTCACAGCACTCATATACATACTCTGTGCCTCCTCGTTAGAAAAGAGTCTAGACTCAGAGAGCTCTCCATGATCGAAGGATCCAGACGTCGAGCTTGAACTACCCGCTTCGGAAGGAGGTACAGAAGCATGGGGCGACATTTGATCATCTGTATATAGCTCTGTATTGTGAGCAACATCCGATTCGATCTCGGGCAACGCCGGTCGGGCAACACTACCGACCGCCCCAGGAGGATGTAGGTTGTCCTGCGCGAACCCACCGACGTCCGGTACCTGTGACCTAGGTGCAAGGATCATAGCGTTTTGTGTATCACTGCAGTGTGATGCTGCTCCAATTGTGTGCAACTCTGGACTCAGAAGGCGCGGGGTATCTCCGCTCTCCAGAGCGCGGTGACCAACTTCGGTCGGAAGGTTGTCCAGACCATCGAGTTCATCATCATAAACCTGCGAGTTGATCACAGAGTCAAGATACGCAGGATTATCCAATAGCCTATCATCATCTGAGAGATTCTGCGAATCCTCCATGTAACCATAGCTCCTGGCCTCGTCCTCCGTGTCCGCATCCGAAAACCTGCCATCATAGGTGCACACAGAGCCTTCCATTTCGGGTGCATTGTGTTCAATCAATCCAGACTCGGTGACTCCACGAGACGGTTCAAATATAGTCGACCTCGTCATCTCAAGAGCGGAACTCTGATCAGATGCATACTCAGGTGGAAGAGTCGAATCCCGGCTGGGGGGCCGGCTCGACTTCGGCGGCAAGGGAGTATCTGGAGATGCCGGAGCAGCAAACCGTGAATAATTGGAAAAAACGACCGGTTCGGATATCAAAGCGATATTGATGTCGGAGAGGGAGATTAACCGTCGCGGCTTTCGCGATGAAGCCTCGCCTGTGCTTGAAGGTGGGCTCACCGCATCCACCTTGACTTGTCCGACGCTCAAGAGTCCTGTGATCAAGTCAGGTTTGTCCTCCGGCTGCCTCTTCAGCGGCCCGTCTTGTTTCGTTTCGACATCGACTCGGATGGATATGTCATCCACCTGAACCTGCAGACGGTCTGCGACACCCTTGAGGAATGCAGCCACGAAACTGGGCAGAGAAACAGTCTCATTGCCAAGACCAAGCTCCTCTTCATCGTCGCTATTGGACGTCTGTGTACGCTGGAGAACCTGTGATTGGGACGATATAGCAGCCTGCAGCTCCTCCTTCTCCTCCTTCGGCTCGGCCTGGAGAAATGACTGCGCAAGATCGGTCGGGTTAGGGATGATCGGATCGGTGCCCGAATCATGCCTGGAATCAGGGCCCGTTGGTTTATCGCCTTGTCCAGCATGGCTTGTCTCTTCCGAAAGCAGTCTCAGGTGTACGTCGATGCCGCTGGCGTGACAGATGATACCGCTGCTGTAGATATCCGCGGGGACCGTAAGTTGCAGGAAACGAACACGGGCACTCAGGAGCTCGCTTGAGGGTGGAAGGTGAAGAAGCGTAGCTAGTTTCTATTTGGAACAACCGTTGTAATCAGCATATGACGCACATCCGAAACCAACAGTGACCAGCAGCGGATCGGAACCAGTGAAGATCATCGGCACGTTCACTCACCTCCAGCCTCAAACCAATATCCCGTAGTTCGACGGTACTTCGCTGTCCCCAACGGATACCGAGGCTATCGAGATCAAGGGCCTCGGTATCGACGAGCTCAAGGCGAGACAAAGCATATCGGAGCAATCGTTTCTGGAAGAACGATGGCAAGAAGTAGGCCATTTTGGGGGGCAAAGGAGCCGGCGGGGGCTCATTTGAAGACGGCAGCGGTCATCTGAGCAGGAACATAATAAGGCAACAAGGACGAGAGAGGGATGGGGGAGGAGAAAGAGAGAGAAAGTAGGTGAGATGCCTTGCACCTAGACAGGCACCAGCACAACAGGTGTCGGGAACAAACGCGGAGGGTTTGCTCAAGTGCCGGGGGGAAGAATGACGTTCGGGGATGGAGGCGCTAGTGAGGAGAGATAGCGAAGATCAACCGCAATAGTCAGGCGGAGCTTGGGCCGGTCCCCCCCAAATCACGCCTTGACAACTCACACACACGTCGAACTTATCGCTTCATGGAAGGATTTAAACGGTCAGCCAGAAAACGAGGTGCAGTCGGGGCAAATGTCCAGAACAACTGGCTGAGGCAACAGTCGAATCATGGCAGGAGAGCGAGTCGTTCAGTGTCTGGCTCTCTACCATCTGTCTAGCCTCGGGCCAACAACGGTGATCAAAGGCAAATAGTTATCAAATCAACTACGGCAGATGGAGAAAAAGTAAAAAATAAAACCCAAAAAAATGAAAACAACAACAACAACGCTGGAGGAGAAAGTATTCAACGGTCGCCATGCTGCAGAACCTCTTTTCGTCCCCGATCCCCGATCGAAGGTGGCTCGTGGATCCGTCCGCCATTCGCTCACTCTCTGCCTTCCAACCATCTCCTCCGAACGACTCATGCAGCAGCCGGCATGTTTCTGTTCATCATGTGGATCAGATTCCAACCTCATCTACGAAAAACACTAAATTTCATCGACGACTAACACGTCGCAGTACCTACCACCTCGTATTACATAGTATGTAACTGCTGTGACCAAAGGTCCCCTCCTGAAAGGCTGAAACCGTTGATGTGTTGCATATTAGTTCTAATAACTCACTAGCATCTCCTGACTCATCTCGGCATGCCGTTGGTTACATAATTAAGCACGCGCTCTCCATTCCCCCTTTCCCTGCAGTGGAAAAGGGATTATTCGGTCGGTATGTGCATGAACCTCGATGGGTTCAAGTCAAATTGGTTCGTCGACTTCCGCCTCCGCAAATTCCACCGTAACCCACTGGCAGAAGCTCTCAAAGTCTGCATACCATTCCTGCAAACGGCTAGCCCTCGTCCCTTCCCCCAAGATCCCTTCCCGCAGATCGGACAGCCACTCCGCCGTGGGCTGATCTTGGTAGCAGCTCCACCGGATGGAGTTCTCCACCATCATTGCGAGGCCTGTAAGACCCATACTGTCAAGTCCTTGAACTGCTCGCCAAAACTGCCGTGTCAATCCGGTTGTCCTACCCCCGGACAAGCCCAGCGCACTGGCACCTAGACAGACGGGAACGCCACGGGATAACAAGGCGGGCAGAGGATGGGTCTGGATGCTGTCTGTGAGTCCAAGCATCTCATCTGAGATCGGGCTGCATTCAATCAGTATCTTCTTTTCTTTGACCATCTCGATCGCTAAAGGGTGCTGACAGAGCGAAAGCCCTTGGCATATTCTCCGCGACCCAAGCAATATGGCATCGAATAACCCTTGATCTGCCTGGCCCCCAGTTTTCAGAGATTCACCAGCATGGAAAAAGAACGGGATTTCGAGTCCCTCCGCAGAACACTCTTTGCGAAACCAGAATAATATGGGGACCAGATCAGTGAGCGGCTTCTCATTACTCTTGTCCCCTATTATGTCAAACCCGCAAATCGTATCTGGATAATCATACTTTGCCAGGATGCAATTTTTCATACTCTCAACAATCTCTCGCTTTGGCAATGAGCGCAGACTGGTCCATATAATGCGAGCTCCGTAAAGTTTCCTCCCCTCGTCAGTTTTCTGAAATTTTGCTAGCTCTTCCTGAAACACATGGCACCATTCGCTATAATCATCCTCCGGGATATCCTTTCCTTCCTTGCGATAAGGGAAGTTAAAGGTGGTTCTGAATTCCGCGTATCTGATCCCGTCGCCGACCAGATGAGAGAAGACATGGTACAGACATGCACGCAATATAGGCTCATAGCTCAGGAGAGAATTGACGAGGGGCATTGCACGGCTATGGTGATCCGAACAGCCTGCCACGGAGTGAAAGCGGCTCTGCAGCCACGTACGGAACCCGGTTTCTCCCCCACTCGGGAAAGAAGAGGCCGCCTTTGATATTGGGATGAGGCTTGAGAGCTTGTATGAAGCTGACCATATGGTAGGTCTGGCTTCTGTATCCTTCGTCGAAGCCGATGAGTACTGGAAGAAGAATGGCGCCTCATTCAAATCACCCTGAGATATCAAAGGGCGTGTCGCATAGACACAAATGCCCGGAGTAGAGAACGCCAACTCGTTTAGAAAATCAGGTTTGATTGCAGCATGAAACGGCGCATGCAAAAGAGATCCTTTAGGCATGTGCTTGACAATTTTCCACAAATCGGTCTTCTCTACCTCATTCCAATCTAGTGACATGACACCTGGGTGTATCGGCATGCCCATAGAAAGTTGAGCATTCCGTTCATCTGAACCTGGCGAATACAGTTGGTGTAGTTCCCGATCGCGAATCTTGGAAACAATCTTGCAAGCTCTAGCAGCCAGAGGCGGCAGAGCCTTGGAGAGGTTGAAATCTAAGCTCGGAAAATCAGTCGCGGCCAAGTAACCCAGGTTAAGCTAGATACTGACCATGTCGCTGCTTTTGCTCCTCCAGGATGAGCGAATTCCGACCCCGCAGGTATTGTTGGATGAAAGGATCATCGGCATGGGGAATTCCTTCCTCGGCTTCCCACTCAATGTCGTTCGTCTCCATATTGTGCAGATTAAGTACACCGTGCGCAGTGGTCTGAAAATGGTGGAGTAGTTCCGCAGGAAAGTAAGATTCAGGTACCCCTCAGGCGGCCAGAAACAATGAGGTCATATCACTGCTTGATATGCTTAAATTTGTTTGTTAGTACAAAAGCCTATTAATCTTTCAACAACAGGTTGTGTAGTGTAATGGTCATCACTCTGGATTCTGATTCCAGCAATCCCGGTTCGATCCCGGGCACGACCTTTTGGTTTGCTTTTTTCAGCACATCGGAAAGTCTCGGAGGAGCTTTTTTTTTCCCCTTCAATTCAGACAGATCGATTAAAGCTTCTTCAGTAATTGATCAGAGAAGTAGGTGAAAGTTCATCCTTTTAATATTCCGGGGCCTGGGGAATCCGGTTTCTATATACTCTACTTCGAGTCAATTCTGATAGCTTCAATTGGCTGGAGTCTGAGGAAATCAAGCACTCATTAGTGTACAGTGGTGATTAATGGCACTGTATATTTTATTGGCGTGCCTTGTTTTCGTCCTTCACCTCCTCATGCTTTCCTCCCTCCAATGTAACGCTGCGACCCGAAGACCGGATGCGTTCAGGTCGCAAATGATTATTGGATTCAGATACTCACGTGCTGAGCAGATGCCACGCCAAGTCTAATTTAGCATACTTTCCTTCTCCTGGTGTAGCATCGAGCCAGCGCTTCGGATGGTTCTGCTTCTTTGCAGTCTCAGAGCCACACGACAGATTAGGATATATGACTAAATATGAACCTCCGCCCAAGCACACCACGACATTTAGTAAGAATCAATCAGAGGCGGAGCATAATCATCTAGACTTGCCGTCCACTCTATAGTATTCGGGTAGAGCCCACTTCACCATCCAGTCGGACTCGAGAACCTGCTTAGCAGTAGGCCGATCATCGGGCCTGAACGAGAGCATCGGCCGTAGCATTGAGAAGATAGCCTCACATTCACCTGGCTCAATAACATGCATTCCACGCTTTTCCCTAGGCACCTGTATGCTATCCTCGAACCGGTCCGCCCATGTTCGTAGGGTCTGTCGGTTTTTGGGTATACCATTCTCGTGGAATTTATCATGTCGCGCACTCCATTTCTCCCACCATTCGGGTGGCAGGATACCAAGAGTATCAACCTGCTCGCGAGTCATGTAGTCTTCTGTAGCAAGGAAGCCTTCAAATAAAGACTGCTGACCAATTATTTCCCAGATAGAGCAAGCAAGTGTCCATATATCGGATGGGAAGGATAGTGGGCGGGTAGGTTCAAATCGAGCCTCAGGAGGGCGGAGCACCAAGGGAGTATGAGATTCATAGATATCTTCTTTTCTGGGCAAAAAGGCTTCACCAAAGTTTGTGAGCAGAATCTTAGCCTCTGCAAGTGAAAGCTTGTCACTTGCTTCCCCGAGCCATATTGGGAAAATGCCATGGGATGGAACGCCATCCGGAAGCGCCGTACCATCTAATCGAACCACTCGTTCTAGTTCCGGTGTTCCATACTCCTCATAGAGCTCTCCAATCGAGAGATGATCTAGCTTGAGTGGCCTCTTTAGAAGGATATTGCCGAGATGAAGATCTCCATGAACAACTCCGCGGGTATGTATATACCCCACAGCAATTGCCAGCTGTGCAGCCAGCGCCCGAGCAACGTCGAGCTGGAATAGACGGCTCCAAGACTCATCCTTCGCGCCACAAAGACTAGTTTTTTCTGGACTAGTTATATAACAGACATGGTCACCATTAGGGCCGTGGATGTGGAAGCTATCTAGGATCGAAGGTATCATTGTCTTGCCTGCGCTGTATATAGGAGAAAACTGGGCTTTGGCAAGAGTTGATAGAACATCGTGTTCCTTCTTTAGTTTTGAGTCTGCTATGCAGACCTTGGCTGCAGCGTACTTCTTTGATTCCTCGTCGTATGCCAACCACGTAGTCGAATAAGAGCCGTGACCAAGCTTATGAACCACCTGGTACCGAGCGCGAAACCGATCACCGATTTTTATAGGATGGTATCCCCCCGGGCAGTAATTTTCAAGTCTCTCAACGCCTTCGATTGGCTCATACAAAGGAAGATATGTCGAGTTATTATCAGACGATAAAGAGTTGAATGCGGTGACAGACAGCGCACGGCAGGAGTGATAGGGGTAAACCAGTAACCTGCGTGAGCTGCGATGAATAGCAACACAATGGGAGAGCAGCCAAGGCGGACTGTGTAAGCAAGGATAGGCAAGAGGTCGTGCCATAGTTGTATCGTATGCCTGTAAGAATTTAGAGGAGGTTCTTTTATTTCAACCTGTGCTCCTGGCGCGAGACCATCTTCCGTAGATGTTTTGTTGGGGGCATGCGGAATTTGCGGGGGCTGGTATTCTTGCATTAAAGACTAGCCTATTGCCTGCGGGAAATGTCCTATTGCCACACCGGGAGATCCTTTTTTGATTCACAAGCAAGAGACATAAAGCGTGGTGATCTCGGGTTGGCGAAATGGAAATGGTAAACCGGAGCTGTGACTTCATCTCGGAATGGTGCCACAGACAAAGGTTTTTCAATTCAAGGCCTACCACCTCATATTACTCCTATAGTGCTTGAGTGTCTCAATAGTCAGAGCAATATCGAAACAGAAAAGGCGAAAATGGCTATTTCTTATGGCTCCAGTGGCTCCTAAGCTTCCCCAGACAAGCCTAGTGTAGTGGCCCGTCATCAAAGATATACTAAACAAGTAGGTAAAGTAAGCTTCGTGGGTTGAACCAGATCTCCATAGATAGTACTCCGTGAAACATTCCAGTATCATTGTAGGACTCGAGCTTTTGATGAACCTCGAGTCTTTCCATAGAAATGTTGTAGGCGGCAAAACTGAGGCGGCAGTGTATTCTCCTCTGCTACGGTAGCATCGCTCTTACTTTCCTGATACTTCCAGCCTCAACCTGTTCCAGTGATCCATTAAGCGCCCTTATCCTTTTGTACGCAAGCCGTGTGATTCACATTAAGGGTCTCTGTAGAGTGCCGTGTTTGATCGAACATAACTTTGAGCTAAATTTGTGTCTCGCTGCGCAATGTTGTCTAGATAACTTTCCATACATGAGGAAAAGGCTGATTTTGTACAAGATGTAAAGTGTTTTAATAGATATATTACCTTCAGTGTTTTTCCCACCCTGGCAAAGTCGGCCAAGGTCGGCTAAAGTGACTTTCTTTGCCATTTACTATTTAAATGCCTTCCACCACTTGTGATTGGATCCCTGCTACAGCTGGACGCCTCGCTTAGGGACGGTCAAATGCCTAACTTCTACATGTAGACTCTAACACAAATATGACATCCAGCTTCTTAGCAGCGTCTATGCCAGTCTAGTCTCTCAGTGATTAAAGTTGATGTTCCGCACTCTAAATAAGTCAGGGTGTGTTGTACCGTTCAATTTCCCTGGAGTAATTCACAGAGTTAGTTTCGCAGTCGGGCACCGATGCCCAGAACACCAAGACAACAGCCATTCACTGATTCACAGGATCAAAAAGCCGGAGGCAAAAAGCCAGGTGACACCGGGTTGGCAAATCAAAAGACTCGACCGCCGGAGTTGCCGTGGCTTCATCCCTGGCTGGTTGCCCAAAGCCACAAGTCTCCCCGCATGCCCCTTGCCAATCGATAAGGTTCCTCCGATTCATGTTGTACAACCTCATGTGGCAATAGTCTTGGCCAAGGTAAGCTGAAGCCTTCTTGGTCATTTCACAATCCGACGTGTCTTACCAGAAATCCATCTAAGCTCTCCTCCGTTTGTGCGCCATTCCCCCGAAACCAATTCTCACTCCAAGGTTGGATTCTAAAAACACCCCGAGAAAGCCTCCTATCCTTTGAGCTGTGGCTGACATATTGGTTCCTCCCTGTAGCGCCAACCATCGAAAGATGGTAGACGAGAAGACATTGGCGACCAGCCAGATGACCGCAATTACATCTAAGCCTTGCAGCGAACCAACCCAGCCTACAGATGCTCATGCAGCAGCTCCTCCAATGACTGTTGACGAAAGTGATGCCATCAATACCGCTGATACGAAAAAGACTACATTAGAATATCCTCAGAATAAAGAGAATGACATCGTGGAAGCTGGAATCAATTATGGTTCCCAGAAATGGTATCATCGGCACGCAACCAGGTACTCCAAGCATATAGTATATGCCACAATCTGGATCCTGTTCACAGGGTGAGTCTCGAGTCCATTACCCTTGCCATCAAGACTAGCAAGCTCACCCAATCCAACTTTCAGCTGGTGGATTACTGGCCTCATCCTTCATCGTTTTGACTTGGGCTGGCTGATACCATTTCTGCTCTATCTCGCCATCACCCTGCGTCTCATATTCCTCTATGTTCCGATCTCCGTGGTCACTAGACCAGTCTTTTTCGTGTGGAACCAGACTGCATCACGTCTTGTTAGCTATGTGCCAGAAAGGTTTCGCATCCCAGGCGCGGCCCTGGTAACCATTGCCGTGATCCTAGTCGGAGCCTTCGCGTCCCCCGAAACACATGAAAACACACGGGCAGACAGAGCCGTCAGCCTCTTTGGCCTCGTCGTCTGCCTCTTTATTCTATGGCTCAGCTCCCGAAACCGGAAGAAAATTGTCTGGCACACAGTCATTGTTGGTATGCTGGTCCAGTTTATTATCGCGTTGTTCGTCCTGCGCACCAAAGCTGGATACGACATTTTCAATATCATCTCTACTCTTGCCAGGGAGCTTCTTGGCTTTGCCAGACAAGGTGTCGACTTCCTCATCGAACCCGAATGGGCTGAAAAGCATAGCTCCTGGTTCCTGGTCGGCGTCATTCCAGCCATCCTGTTCTTCGTCTCCCTAGTCCAACTCCTCTACTACAGCTCGGTCCTGCAATGGGCGATCAGAAAGTTCGCAACCTTCTTCTTCTGGTGCATGCGCGTCTCCGGCGCGGAAGCCGTCGTTGCAGCAGCCTCACCATTCATCGGCCAAGGCGAATCCGCCATGCTCATCAAACCCTTCGTCCCATTTCTCACCATGGCCGAAGTTCATCAGATCATGTGCTCCGGATTCGCCACCATCGCAGGCTCCGTCCTCATCGCCTACATCGGCATGGGTGTCAACCCGCAAGCCCTGGTCTCCTCCTGTGTGATGAGCATTCCATCCTCCCTAGCCGCATCCAAGCTACGCTGGCCCGAGGAAGAAGAAACCCTAACAGCAGGTCGTGTCGTCGTTCCCGATGACGACGAAGACAAACCTGCCAATGCCCTGCATGCCTTCGCTAACGGCGCCTGGCTAGGGCTCAAAATTTCAGGGATGATCGCCGCGACTCTCTTGTGCATCATATCTCTCATCGGGCTAATCAACGGCCTCCTCACCTGGTGGGGTCACTACCTCAACATCAACAACCCCCCATTAACCATCGAGCTTATCGTCGGATATATCTGCTATCCCATCGCATTTCTCCTCGGCGTGTCCCGGAATGGCGACCTTCTCAAAGTGGGCAAGTTGATCGGCATAAAAATCGTCATGGTAAACCTCTCCCCTTCCTCCTTCTCCCTCCTTCTCACCTCCAAAAACCCCCAATCTACCCAACCCAACCCACTCTAACTAACCAAACCCCCACCCAGAACGAATTCGTCGCCTACAACGCCCTCCAAAACAACCCCGAATACCAAGACCTCTCCGCCCGCTCACGCCTCATCGCCACCTACGCACTTTGCGGCTTCGCTAACATCGGTGCCCTGGGCAACCAGATCGGTGTCCTCGCTCAACTCGCGCCCAGTCGTTCAGGCGATGTCTCCCGGGTGGCGGTGAGTGCGATGCTCACGGGAGCGATTAGCACGTTAACTAGCGCTGCGATTGCGGGGATGTTGATTACGGATGAGCAACAGTTTGCGCGGTCGAGTTCGTAGGGTGTGTTGGTGGATTGGGAGTTGAATGGTAGTGATAGATGCGATTGCGAGAACTATGTACTTTGTTTTTGGTTTAGAGGTGGATTGGTTGGGTTGGTTCTTTTTGCTGACGACACTAAGTCATATTGAAATAATGAATTCATGGATAGATGAATGGATTGGAGATATTGAGATATTGTCTTTCGGGCGTACCGTTAGGTTCATGTCGATAGAGACATAGTAGTAGTAAGGGATATGCGGGATATCATTGGTAGGCGGGTAGTAGTATGTATTGTGGGAACAATGTCATTATTGGTTGGTTGGCTGTTTGTGGTACATACTACTACTAGAAGTAGGTGGGATCATTGTTGATGCATGAATGGGTGTGGCTGGTGGGGTTGATGTATGCACTACGCAGTATGCACTCCATCCTACATAGTGTACTATGTCTGAGATGAGTGTAGATCTGATAGGTTGTCTTGTATATATATGTGTCATGTATGTGCGTTAAAGACTCAACATGGTACTAGTAGTATAAACAATCTCATATTCCAAGAGATACAAATGAAGCTACCTTTGTTCAAGTGACAGCCTTGGACTATGTAGTAGGAAGAAGCTACCAAGGAACCTCAACATCATGGCCACGTAAGAATAAAAACGAAACCACTGGCAACAGTAACAGCAGCAGCGACAACAACAAAACAAAGCAGGGTATTTATTCCCGGGACACGCGGGGGCTCCTGTATTTCCATTCCAACCGTGGTCCCAAACGTAACCCACCCCAACCCATGAACTCCTGAAAATCATCGGTGCAAAGAACAAATCATGACTTCCGGCTCTGTCGTCATCCGCGACGAGGCCAGAATGCACCATGCAACCGTTGCCCCCAAGTCAAACGCACAGACCCCGATCTCATGCAATGCAAGTCGGACCGTTCCATGTTTGCGGGAACAGCCGAATGGACGATCGTAGACAAATATTTACTCGATGTCTTCGATGTCGCGGTGGCGGGCCAGAACGTGGCGCTTGTACTCCTCTTGGTTGGTGTCCCAGAGTTCGGCGGCTTGGGCGTTGAGGGGGCTCGCGCTGCGGATTGTTAGCATGGGTTGGGGGCAACGGTGTGAGGGAGTTGGTCTTACTTATTGGGCTCGCCTAGGAGACTCTGCAGACTGAGGAGGACACTCTGCACGTTGTAGACGGCACTCCACTTGTCCTTCAGGATATCCAGACAGATGCGGCCGGAGAAGTCGACGTTGGGGTGGTAAATGGGAGTCTTGAAGAGGACGGTGGGCGGAGCATAGGGGTAGTTGCTAGGGAAAGCGAAAGAGAGTCGGAAGGTGAGGCCTTCATAAGGGGTCTCGGTAGGCCCGCTGATGGTGGCGGTCCAGGATAGGAGGTTGCCGTCGGCGTCTGGGAAGGCCGAGATTCCCGGGGAGGGGGAGAGCATCAGCTGCATCAGTTCGGCTTGGAGGCTGGAGAGAGAGAATGATGATCAGTATACCGAATTCCGGAGAAGAAGGGGTTTGCGGGCTGCATTCAGCATCGTGGGACGAACCGCTTGGTGACGCCTTGGATGTCGGTCCTCTGGGCTGAGGGGTTAAGCTTGGACGCTTCGTGGGCGTCAGGAGCCGAGTTCTGAGTGTCCTCCATGGTGTAGTCCATTCTGAAGTTGAAGAAAGACAGGGGAGTGAATAAGGGGTTTAAGAGGAGCAGACGAAGAGAGTTGAGTTTCCGGGAGGGGAAGAATGCCAGTCAAGGTTAACGGACCGTCGTAATCGGCAGAGGAAAGAAGAAGAAGAAAGTTGTTGGTCTGGAATGACGCCGGATCCGAACGCAGCGGGACAGTTGGCTGGACCCACCCGATGAACCCCCGGTGCTGGCAACTCTGAACAGGCTGCGATGGAACGTTAGGACTTAGGACGAGGCGGAGGAAGAGGGTGTTTGTCCGCTAAGATCAGATCGCCAAAATATGGAGACCTGTTGGAAAACGCCCTCCCGAGTCCCGACATTGACAATAATGGGGGGGGGGAAGCCTTTGTTTACTCGGCCATCCGCCGGGCAACGCCGCCACGACGGATTCTGTTGGATCTCCACCAGATGACCGGTCCAGATCACTTTCAACCGTCATGCATCTGGATTCTGATCCTATTGATTCGTCCATCGACTAGTCAGGTTGCTGGGTGACTTGTTGAGCAATAATAGACAAAGGCTATTATCCTATCAAAGGTCTAACCTGGATGTCTGTGCTATGCCGGTGCTCTGTCTCCCGCCGTGGTAGATTACAGTCATTGGCTGCGGCGGGGCCCGGCTAGATGGCGGACAGCCAGCAAGATGCAACTGACGGGATGCACGACAGCCACTCTACAGTAGAGTAGTATGTCGACAGTAGATCAGGCGGTCAACTAGTCGATTCATGCTCGTAGCTGCATCCCCCCAAGTCTGTACTGATGTTCCATACCTCCATCTTTCGATTTCAATATCCTCATTTTCTCTTTTCTCCGCAAAAAAACATCTCCATCATGCTGGGGACGCTGAAGGCTGCGCCCGGCAGCAGCCTATCAACAGATTACCCAAAGAGGATAAAGTGGCTCTCGCGTTTCCGCCCGCGCGTTCCCAGCAGCTTCGTCTTCCTTCTATCGCCCTTGCGTTGATACTTGCCACCACCACTTGATCATGGTTCAGTATTGCTTTTCTCTATCTTGATCTGTGAAGTCCAGTTGATCTGTCACAATTCGACCGTCCCCGTGAGTCTCTGCCACCATGCATCACTCTCAGCTGGCCCCGCTGCCGAATGACCTGCCGTTTCGAATCGTTTCCAAAACAATCGGCCAGGGTGCCTACGCTTGGTATGGCCTATTTTGCTCTGTCAAGTCCTGCTGTGTGACATACATGACCCCTCACTGACGAGTCTTCACGATGCAGCATCAAAAAAGCAGTACCCTCCTACACAGACAATCCCGTCTTCGCAGTCAAGTTCATCCACAAAGAGTACGCCGCCCGTCATGGCAAGGTCAGCCCGCGACAACTGCAAATGGAGGCAACAGTTCACAAACATATTGGGGATCACAACAACATAATATCCTTCTTCCAAACTGGCGAGGACGACGTCTGGCGGTGGATCGCCATGGAGCTGGCCGAGGGTGGCGATTTATTCGACAAAATCGAGGCTGACGAGGGCGTCGGCGAGGATATCGCGCATGTGTACTTCTCACAGCTCATCAGTGCCGTGGGATACATGCATTCGAAGGGTGTGGGGCACCGGGACATTAAGCCGGAGAACATGCTGTTGACGGCCGATGGGAATCTGAAGATCGCAGATTTCGGGTTGGCAACGTTGTTTGAGTACAAGGGCGTGACAAAGTTATCTACCACTTTCTGTGGGAGTCCGCCGTACATTGCTCCTGAGGTGATCTCGTGCAGTAGCAAGAATATGATGAAAGGTACGGGCTACCGACCAGACCTGGTTGACATTTGGTCCTGTGGGATCGTCCTCTTTGTCCTCTTGGCTGGAAATACCCCGTGGGATAGTCCGACAGAGACCAGTTACGAATTTCAGGAATACCTTGCGACGAACGGGCGAACATCCGATGAGCTTTGGCAGCAGTTACCTACAGCGACTCTTTCACTACTGCGTGGCATGCTGAATATCGACCCGACCAACCGGTTCTCCTTGGAAGATGTGCGGAGGCATCCCTGGTATACGCGACCAAACAAATACCTATCTCGCAATGGCACACTAAGGGATCCCATCAACTTGGCTACAACCATGTTCGAGTCACTACATATCGATTTCTCCCAGGATCCCTTCGCTCGGCCCCAGGGAGGCAGTTTTGGTGGAGGGCGGATGGACATTGATGTGGGCGATGGCATTGACTCGGAACAAAGGATATCTTCGACCCAACCGGAGATGCCGAGGCCTGACATGCTGGTCGATTGGGACACGCCCCGATTGGTAGATGTGTTCTCGTCAACACAACCGCTGGGACGGCCATTATCCGACACGTCAGCACTCGACCAGCTGGAGGACGAGCCGTCCATGTCACAGTTTTCTCCTCATCCGTCCGTGCCGCTCAGTCGGACCCAGAAGGCTCAGCGGTTCCACGATATTGTGCCTTCACGTACTATGACCCGATTCTTCTCCACGTGGGAGCTTAAAATATTGGTCCCTCTCATCTGCGAGGCTCTTCATCGTATTGGAGTTCCTGTTCCTACAGTTCCCGCCGTTTCTGCGGGAGACAGCGCGGCGATGCTTCGAATCGTTACCCGGGATGGAAGGATGTGTGCTCTGCAGGGCAAAGTTCTGATCGAATGTGTGTCGGAGGGCCTCTTTGAAATAGAATTCATGAAAGTAAAGGGCGATCCGCTGGAATGGCGTCGGTTCTTCAAGAAGGTAGCCGTTCTCTGCAAGGATGCCGTATTCAAGCCCGACAACTAGGACGGGGTTGGAGACGGGGTAGCTTGGTCTCTTGACTAGGTACCTACGTTTTTGCAGTCGCTTCATGTCTCATGTCACGTCTGACGGTTAATGTACGAGTAATGCAATTTATAATGATTGGGTATGGAATGGGCAGGAAAGGGAAATAGGTTAGCTGGCCAATTGCCGGGGTTAATTCTGGCTAAAATTAATAGTGCCACGAGAATGGAAGGCTTCGGAGAAAAGTCAAAAATCCGTGCCGAGGGAGAAAGCCCATCGCTATATATAGATAGCCGGCCGCCGATAGCGTTGGAATGCCGTACCAGCCATTTCCTCATGCCACAGGAGTTTGGGTTACAGTGAGAGGAAAGACCCGCGGCTTCTAGACCATGCCTTTGGGGGCTCAATAAGGCTCAGAAGCACCCTACCCAGGATTAAAAATGGTGCCCAGGACCGAAGGTGACAGGCGATGCCAGATGACTCTCGAGTAGATACTCCATGCCGGCCAACTCATTCTGGTCGGCCTGCACATCACCACGTGACGCCGGTCTAGATGGCGGATTGTGGGGGGATAAAATGGAGCTTCATCCCCAAGAAGCAATTATGGCCTTTGCTTACACCCCCGTCGCACAAGCCAAATGAGTCCGCTTGGCCCTCAATGGTTTTCTTGCCCCAGCCTCACCCATGGAGAAGCTCCCCGTAGAGATTCTCTGCGAGATTATTGACTGTACGCCCGTCGCCCCCTTCATCCCAGGGTCCATGCTACCCCACATCACCGGTTTCATGCCATGTGCTAGACCATCAACAGCAAGGCTAACGCCCCCTTAGATCTCACCCCACATGAGCGGGTACAGCTTCAATCCGTCTCGAGACGGCTGTTCTCCGTCGCCCGCGACAATAATCTCTGGCGACTCCACTGTTTCGAAGAGTCATGGAGCGCTCCCGGAGCCTTGCGTTCCGCCACCAACAGGACTTCCGGAAGCCTCGTCTCCAACTCCACGGCCTCTCTCCGCTCACTAGGTCAAACCTCACTACGGTCGCTCATTCAGCCAGGTGCATCCCGGCCTAATGAGGGTAGATCGGGAGGTCTGGATCAAACGCCATCTTATGGCCAGCGATCCAGAGCGGCGGCGTCGTGGGATCCGTCTTGCGAGGGGGAAGATGTGAACTGGTACTCGGAGTATATCGCTCGGAATGGGCCGATTTCGCTGAGCTGGATGCAGCAGCCCTTCACAAGGGTGTCTCAAGGTGGGAAAAAGGAATACCGTGAGGTCAAAGGAATGGGACTGCTTCGAGACTGGAGTTCTGCCAGGCAGAACAAAGTGGTTGCGCCCCTTGATGATGGCAGTGTCTGCATCTGGGATCTCAACCACTCGCACTCTATTGGATCCCAGAGCACCAAGGGTAAAGTCCTCGGCGTCAGCTCGCCGGGGATCTTGATGGCCAACCGATCTGGAAGACGGGACAACTCCGGAGCGAAGCAAGCCTTGGAATTTGTGAACCTTGGAGAATGTGTCAGCGTGGACTCCATGCGTCGGAGAGCCTACTTGGCCGTCGGGAACATCCTGAACGAGGTCGACCTAGAGACACTCAGCGTTATCTCTCAACAACGCTTTCCTTGGTCTGTTTTCGCATTGTCCCAGGAGACAGACTATTCGGTGCCGTTGACGCTGGCGACCACTCTGAGTCTTCATATCTACGACGGGCGGATGTCAGCGACGGAGGAGGAAGAGGCTATTAACCTACGCTGCGAGGAGCCGACTGTTTCGTTGGTCCCCAAGTCTCAGATCTATGCTCCTCCAGACTCGCCTCTTCTGCAACTCCAACCAAACGGCCGGCCTCCGCACCGGATACGAAGCCCTGACCCTTCAAACAATAGTGACAACTACGCACCGTTGTTCCAACCCGGACCTCTGTCTCTCCTACACCCTCCTGCGCCACATGTGAATTCGATATTTCTTGCAGGCCGTTTCCCAAGCATCTTACAATACGACCGTCGCTTTTTTCCGCGGCTACAAAACACAATTCACTCCGGTGGCCAGCTCTGCGGGCTTGCTGCTGTTCCTGCGCCGCGATTCCCTGTCTTCTCCAACTCCGAGTTCCCAGCTTCACATAAACTGGTAGCCTGCGGTGACTACAAAGGACGGGGTTCTCTTGAGCTCTACAACCTTACCCCTTCCGGGAACAACATCAAGGCTGATCCTTCGGGCTGTTCATCCAGTCTGTCTACGGTGTACCAGAACCGGCAGAGTGTCGCCAGATCGAAGGTGCTCTCAGTCGAATCACACGGGACCCGGATTGTTTACTCCGACGCAGATGGCAACATCAAATGGGTCGAGCGCGATGGGCGGGCTGAAGTTCGCCGCCTGAACATCAATGCCTACCAGCCGCAGCGCAGGTGGTATGGACAGCCCAACGGGGAAGCATCTATTCGCTCAGGAACTAGCACTGGTGCTGAGGGTGAAGACGGAGACACACCCGGCCTCTGGGGTAGCTTGTCGCGGTCTCGTAGCGAGGGTGAGGTTGCTCGAAAGGTCCTTCCGACCGGTGGCAGCCTAACAGGCGATGAGCTCCTTGTCTGGACTGGAGAACACCTCGGACGCGTTAGGTTCTCCAACGTCCCAGATGCGGATTTGGACCTGGACGATGAAGATGAAGACATGGCTATGGACGGGAACGTCCCTGAAGCCGAGCGCGAGGTGAGACGCAAAAAAAGACGAGAGTTACGGCAGCGGGAAGAAGAATATACCACGATGATGCGGAGGGCACTGGAGAGGCAGGCCGACGAGGTGAGGCGGATGGGCGGACTGGGACTGTGACTTGATTGCACCCTCTTCGAAACTCGATGAAGCGCATTTGATTTAATGCTTGTTGTTACCGTCATCTACATGCGTCCTTTGGCATGATCGTTGGTTTGATTGAATGATACCTCCAGTTCGGGCTTGATGTTTATGAGTGGCGATACCCCTTTACTTAGATAGAATCATGAAATGTTATCTAGAGAGCGGGGATAAAACAACACAGTATCAGCTGGTGAACCGAGTTATTGCCTAGTTTCCGCCGTTTTCGGGCAGGCGATGGAGACCAACGGCCTCGTCGTTAGCCGGAACGGCCTCGGCCACCCGCGATGACTGGCTTCTGACAAACCATTAGTGAGCCCGTTCATTTCGCCTTCCTTCGTGTTCTTTCAAAGTCTCCTGGGTCCTCGTGCTCTCCTGCATCGTTTTATTGTCCCGATTCCACCATTTCCCAACTGCCATTTCCTTAAGAACTCTTATCTCCAAGAGAAATCCTATACCCTTCACGCCCCCGCCATCTCCGAGTCCGAGCCTCCGAATCTCCGCTCCCCGATAGATAGTCCTCCGGCCTGGCATCGTGTCATAATCGCAATTGCACCACTACTACCATTGAGCACAGTTACTATTAGCCATTGAGCTTTTCCACGCATATAAAAACCAATTCGCACACGCGCCTTCAATTCCAGTCCTATCAATCCCCTTTGCACCAAGAAGCCCACCAAGGTAGCACGAATCCCTCCCACCTACCAAAGCAGAAGCCAACCCCACCTCCAATTCCGCAACGAGGGGCACAATCCACAACCAAATCTTCTACCCAAATCGAACCAATTCAATATCAAGATGCATTCTCCTTCGAACCCAGCCCACCAATTCGACTCTATCGAGGACACAATAGCAGCCTTCAGTGAGTCATCCATCCTCTTTTACCGACACCGCGGGGCAATCCCACTAACAAGCACGCAATACCAGAAAACGGCGAATTCATCATCGTACTCGACTCCCAAGACCGCGAAAATGAAGGTGATCTTATCATTGCCGCCGAATCGATCACTCCGGCGCAAATGGCCTTCCTCGTTCGCCACACAAGGTACCTCCCCCCCTTCTTACCCGATTGACATCCATCTAACCTACCAAACCTACAACAGCGGCTTGATCTGCGCCCCCGTTACCCCCGAAATCGCACAGCGCCTCGACCTCCCCCAGATGGTGACCGAGAACGCCGACCCCAAGGGAACCGCCTACACCGTGTCCGTGGACGCGAGCGACGCATCCGTGACGACAGGTATATCGGCGCAGGACCGGGCCCTAGCATGCCGGATTCTGGGATCGCCGACAGCCCGCGCTGAAGATCTGCGCCGACCGGGACATGTTATCCCGCTGCGGGCGCGGAGCGGAGGTGTCAGAGAGCGCAGGGGACATACAGAGGCGGCGGTTGAGTTTTGTCGGTTGGCGGGGAAGATGCAGGCAGGTGTGATTGCGGAGTTGGTGGAGGATGGAGAGGTCGTGGAGGGAGTTGCGGAGATTGGGGGGAATAATGGTATGATGAGACGTGATGGGTGCTTGAGATTCGGAAAGAAGTGGGGGATCAAGGTCTGTACGATTGAGGATTTGGTCGAGTATGTTGAGAGAGTGGAGGGTGTGAATGGGCAGTGAGTGTCTGTTCTTTCGGTTTTGCCCTCTTGGATATTGATTGCATGTTGGTGGTGTTTTGTATCTTTACTCTTTTTCTATTGTTCTTCCTGTTCTATCTCTATTTTCTTTTCCCTTTCTTCTTGTTCTCTGTTGGTCTTAGTGGCATTGTACATGCATGCTTCCCACTGTTTTATATCTCTTTGTTACCTTTCTGGGACCGGATGCATCAAAAAGGAAATCGAAAAAGGGGGCCGGATAGACTCGAGGTTTTTGGACAAGGGAGCGGATCTCGTCAATAGAATTGTCTTGTTGCTTTGAATGTGGACTTGGAGTTGGACTTAGATGTATACATAACTACTTGCCGAAGACTAAAGACACCCATATGGACTACCTATAGAGAGCAAAATAGATAAGAGAATAGAGTACCTCTAGTAAGGAAAGACGGAAACTTGGGGGATTAGGGATCAAGCTAGAGAGGAATACTGAAATATAGAGAGAACCAGCCAGTCTATAAATCATGAATTATTCGGGTATCGATTTTGCTGTATAGTTTTACATAAGAGCCACCACAACCGGAAGGGCCACTGCCGGAGTAAGAATAACGCACCAAACCACACTCCCATGTCTATTACCCCATGAACGCCAATATAATGCAATGTAAGCCAATCCCAGAGACAGTTGGCATACTTTTAAAAATAAAGTGAAACCCCGACACTACCGCTTGAGGTGAGAATAATCCCTCAAAACGCCCATCATATGGGTGTTAGTAGTCTTGCCACTGCGCCGAGGCTTCTTCACCTTCTTGTGCTCCATCTTCGGCCGGGCCTTGACGACCTTGTTCTTGTTCGTGGGAACAATGCCAGCCTTCTCCAGCTCCTCCTTAACAGCCTGCTGATCCGGAACCTTGATCTTCTCCCAGATCTGACGGAACTCATTGTCAAAGTGCTGGATGAGGGATGGATCGTTGGCCCAGACCATCTTGGCATGGTCATCCTTCTTGTTCCGAGTCACGAGGAGCTTTCCTTCTTTCTCAAGCTTGTTGATCGCGTCTTCCACGTTCGGCCATCCCTCCCGGAGTTCACGAACACTCATGCCAGCACCGGTCGACTGGGCCTGCAGTTTCTGGAGGAGCTGTTCCGCAGTGCGAATGTTGTGTGGGGGACGGAAGCTGAAAGTGCCTTCTCCGTTTGCGCCGCTGGGGTCGTACTGGACCTTCTCGTGCATCTTAAGAATGCTCCGAAGGGCCTGAACGTAGCCTTGATCATTGGCCCGGTGCTGCAGGGAGAGATAGGAGACGATATCGCCGAACTTGAGAGGAACCCCTTTCGACTTCATGTGCTCAATCGCAAAGACAACCTGAGTCATGATGTCCTTGCCCGTGCCCGTGTTGGCGGGCTGTGAGTAGACGATGTCCGCATCATGCCGTTTGCGCTTTGCTTCATCGCCTGGCGTGGGTGTAGATGTAGAAGACGGAAGCTGGGAGCTGCTGGCTGAGTTGTTGTTATTGTTATTATGCACGAAGCGCCGCTGTGCCGGCATACGGGCTGCATAGTCGACGACACCAGCATTGAAGCTCTTTAGCTGCTGTTGGAGATGCGACATGTTGGCGGCTGAGGGGAAGCACCGAGGTCACTGCTGAGCTGAGAAGGGAACGTAGAAGGTTGGGGCCAAGGGCCAGGTGAGGTTGAGGCGAGGCCTCGCTCTGGGAGAGCACAGATGAGCTCTGTTAACGACCGTGGTATTTCATATGAGAGCAAATATGAGTGAGCCAGTCTCCTGGAGGTAGAGAAAGGCCGGTGGGGTGAGAGGGAGATGAAGGAAAGATCCTCGTCATCGCCGGCGGGAGACTTTGCGAGGCCGCCGGGGGCGTGCCAGCCTGAGGCGGAAAGCCTTGCACGTGACCTTAAATGTGCGCTAACCGGATATAGTAGGGAGCCTCTCGTCGTCCTCGCTGGTCGTCCATCTCATCGGAACCTCCATTGTTTCTCATTCACAAATCCCCATTCCCTTTCCCCCACGCCCATTCATGGCCTAGCTGGCTACCTGGAGTCTGTGCGCTCACACTAAGGGGAATTTATCTTCAACGCGCCGCAGACTGAACTCAACCATTCATCCTGTCCCCATTTCATCCCCTCAGTTGCGGCTCGACATAGCTCAACAATCGCATTAGTCCCCATCATCTAGCAGCTATTGCTGCGGACAGCCCATGGTAATCATGGCTGCTGCTACAATTGAGCTACCGTTTCTTTCTTCCCACTACGCTGTGGCTGAGTCGACGCTGAGCACCCTCGCCCAAGCTCCCACGATCGAGCTAGTCACTCAGCTCTTCGAAGCCATTACCAAGAAGGCACGCGAACACGATGAGCTCAAATCCGACAAGATACGTCTCGAGGTGGAGCTGGATAACGCCGTTCGCTCTAGCGACAGCAAAATCAAGGTCCTGAAGAGCTCGGTCGAGAAGGGTCATGCTGAAGTCGAAGAGACGAGGAAGAAACTCCACGAGTCCGGTTAGTCAACGGAAATGGTTCCGCCACCATGCGATTACTTACATTTTGCAGAAAATGCTCGATCGTCTCTGGAATCCGAGATTTCCTCACTCAAGTCGTCCTCTACGTCCAGCGAGTCCGAAGTAAGCTCACTAAAGTCTCGCATCGCCTCACTCGAAGCTTCCAACCGGGACACCCTATCTCTTCTCGAATCTAAATCCGCGGCCTATGACAAACTTGCCGAGGAACTTTCTACGCAGCACAAGAAAACCATCGAACTGAGACGCGAATTGTCCACCGCCGAGCAGAACCTCCAAGCCGCAAATTCTGCATCCGCCAGCGCCAAGTTCCGCGAGCAGAGCCTCCAGCAGGATTTGGATCTAACAAAGAAGAACAACGAGTGGTTCGAGACGGAGTTGAAAACGAAGTCCGCCGAATACCTGAAATTCCGCAAGGAGAAGAGCGCCCGGATTTCGGAGCTCCAACGTGAAAACGAGGAGATCAGTGCAACCGTTGACTCTTTGAGGCGCAGCGAGAATGCTCTTAAAAGCCGTCTGGACGAGGTGGAACAGCGATACGAAGAAGCGCTCTCCAGCATCCAGCAGCTCAGAGAAGAGGCCATACAATCGGCGGAGGCGTTCAGGATCGAATTGGACAGCGCCAACAGACTGGCCCAATTGCAGTCGAATTCTGCGGAAACGTCCAAGAAACGTGCCAAGGAATGCCAACTGGCCCTGGATAAGGCAAGAGAGGATGCCGCGGAGGAAATCTCCCGGCTTCGTGTGGAAGTCGAGACGGAACATGTCGATAAAGAAGCCGCTGAGCGTCGCGTCGCGGAGCTTGAGCTCACGGTCAGCCAACTTGAATCCGACGGTTTTGCCGGACGGAGATCTATGAGTCCCGCTCTCAATGGCGGAGGACCAAGTACCCCGATGCGTTCTAGTACCCCCGTGGGCGCATTTTCACCCAGAGCGTCGCGCGGCAAGGGCGGACTTACTCTTACACAGATGTACACCGAGTACGATAAAATGAGGACATCGCTGGCGGTGGAACAGAAAACAAACCAGGAACTTCGATCAACCCTGGACGAGATGGTTCAAGATCTTGAGGCTAGTAAGCCCGAGATTGACGAACTTCGTGCGGATCACGCCAGACTTGAAAACGCTGTCGTCGAGATGTCGAACATCTTGGAAACCGCCGGAAAGGAACGCGATGATGCTACCAAGGAGGCAAGGAAATGGCAAGGCCAGGTGGAGGGATTGGCCCGGGAGGGAGACATCTTACGTCAACAATTAAGGGATCTAAGCTCACAGATCAAGGTTTTGGTCCTGGAGAACGCTATTCTGAAGGAAGGCGAGGGCACCTACGATCGGGAGGAACTCGAAAAGATTGCGCGCAAGGAGATTGATGACTCTTCTGCGGATCTCAACCCAACTGGACGGTTCATTAGTCGCAACCTGATGACGTTCAAGGATCTTCATGAGCTTCAAGAGCAGAATGTGACTCTCCGACGTATGCTGAGAGAGCTTGGAGATAAGATGGAGGGTGCTGAAGCCCGCGAGCAGGATGCCCTTCGTCAACAAGAGCAGGAAGAGTTGAAGGACCTGAGAATCCGGGTGCAGACGTACCGGGATGAGATTGCCAATCTGGTTGCTCAGACCAAGAGCTATGTCAAGGAGAGGGACACCTTCCGGAGCATGCTGACCCGTCGTCGTCAAACTGTCGGCGATGCTTCCGTCTTCTCTCAGTCCCTTCCTCTGGGCGCGGCTCCTCCAGTTGCCTCGGACGAGCAGGCGAAGGATTCCCCCGACTACGCTGACTTACTACGCAAGGTGCAGGCACACTTCGATAGCTTCCGCGAGGAGTCTGCCACCGACCACTCGGCCCTGAAACAACAAGTCAACGATCTTTCCCGGAAGAACAGTGAATTGATGAGCGAGATTAGCCGTTCCAGCAGCCAGCTGGGTGCCGCCACTCAGAGAGCTGAGCTTCTTCAGAGCAACTTCAGTATGCTCAAGAGCGAAAATGCAGAGCTGCAGAAACGGTACGCCACGCTTTTCGAGAACGCTAACCGCCAAGATATCAAGACCCAGCAAGCTGCCGAAGACTTGGTAGAGATGAAGGGTCTCGTCGAGAGCCTTCAGCGAGAGAACGCAAACCTCAAAGCTGAGAAGGATCTCTGGAAGAACATTGAAAAGAGACTCATTGAAGACAACGAGACTTTGCGGAACGAGAGAGGCCGCCTTGACTCTCTCAACGCAAACCTCCAGACCATTCTTAACGAGCGGGAGCATACGGACGCTGAGAGTCGTCGTCGGCTGCAGGGCAGCGTGGAGTCTCTCGAATCGGAGCTCCAATCCACCAAGCGGAAGTTGAACGATGAGGTAGAGGAGGGGAAGAAGGCAGCGCTGCGCAGGGAATACGAGCATGAGCAAAGCCAAAAGCGAATTGACGACTTGGTCACGAGCTTGGGCTCAGCTCGGGAAGAGCTGGTCGCCGCGAAGACGACGAGAGATCACTTGCAGTCGAGGGTCGACGAGCTTACTGTCGAGCTGCGGAGCGCTGAAGAACGTCTCCAGGTCCTGCAGTCTAAGCCGAGCGTCTCCGCTGCCCCTGCTGAAGCGCCTGCGACTTCGGAGGAAGGCCAGGAGACTGGATTGACGCGCGAGCAGGAGCTGGGCATTGAGGTCTCTGAGCTGAAGCGTGACTTGGACCTGGTCAAGCAGGAACTCCAGCATGCCGAGGAGCGCGTCGAAGACTACAAGGCTATCAGTCAGCAGAGCGAGGAACGCCTGCAGTCTATGACGGAGACTCAGGAACAGTACCGGGAGGAAACAGACAGTCTCATTGAAGAGAAAGACAAGAAGATTCAGGATCTTGAACAGCGGATTGAAGAGATCTCGTCCGAACTTTCCACAACGAACAGCGAACTTACCAAGCTGCGTGACGAACACGGGGAGGCTGGCCGACGCCTGGAGGAACAGAAGGCCACATTGGACGCAGAAATGACCAGATTAAAGGATGAGAATGAACGCCAAATTGCTGCCTCCCAGTTCCACCAGGAGGATCTCAAGGCACAGGCCGAAATTGCCCAGCACGCCCAACAGAACTACGAAAGTGAATTGGTCAAGCATGCCGAGGCCGCGAAGAACCTGCAACTGGTCCGTTCCGAGGCCAATCAGTTGAAGCTGGAAGTGGTCGAACTACGGACGCAAGCAGACACTTACAAGAAGGACCTTTCTCAGAAGGAGGAAAGTTGGAACGAGCTGAAGGAGAGATACGAGGGCGAGCTCGGCGAACTGCAGAAACGCCGCGAAGAGGTTCTGCACCAGAACTCGTTGCTTCACACCCAACTGGAGAACATTTCCAATCAGATCTCGGCCCTCCAGCGCGACCGAGCCAACATTCCCGAGGGTGATGAGGATGGAGAAACGGGCGCTCCTAATCTGGAAGGCCTCCAGGAGGTGATCAAGTTCCTGCGTCGCGAGAAGGAGATTGTTGACGTGCAGTACCATCTGTCGACCCAGGAAAGCAAGCGTCTTCGTCAACAACTTGAATACACTCAGACTCAGCTTGATGAGGCGCGGCTTAAGCTCGAGCAGCAGCGCCGGGCGGCTGCAGACAGTGAACATAGCGCTTTGAACCACAACAAATTGATGGATACTCTGAACGAACTGAACCTGTTCCGCGAGAGCAGCGTCACGCTGCGCAACCAGGTCAAGCAAGCAGAAACCTCGCTGGCAGAAAAGTCTTCCCGCATCGATAAACTTGTTGAACAAATACAGCCACTGGAAACGAGAATCAGGGAGCTAGAGAATGTGGTGGAGACGAAGGACGGCGAGCTGAAACTGCTGCAGGATGACCGGGACCGGTGGCAACAACGCACGCAGAATATTCTGCAGAAGTATGATCGTGTAGACCCGGCGGAAATGGAAGGTCTGAAGGAGAACCTTGCCACGCTGGAAAAGGAACGCGACGAGGCTATCGCGGCTCGCGACACTCTACAGGTCCAGGCTGCTGCATTCCCCGAACAGCTGAAGCACGCGGAGGATCGGGTGCAAGAACTGCGCACGAAACTCACTGACCAGTTCAAGGCGCGGTCCAAAGAGCTGACCGGTCGTATCAATGCCAAGCAGGTGGAGCTCAACACGGTCATTCAGGAGAAGGAGGTTATCCAGGAAGAGCTGAAGACGACCCGGGAGGAGTTGAACGATTTGAAGGCGAAGATGGCCGAGAAGCCGGCAGCACCTGCACCGGTCGTTGAAGCAACCACGGGAGTCGATTCGACTCCTGCATCCCAGTTCCCTGCGCCAACGACGCAGCTGCCGGTCGCTGCTGACGACCAGCGCGTCAAGGCTCTGGAGGAGAAGGTGCACCGTCTTGAGGCAGCACTTGCCGAAAAGGACGCGGTTCTGGCTTCCAAGGATGCTGAGCACGAGACGAAGCTCAAGGAACGGTCGGACAGGATGAAGGAGATGTTCAACAACAAGCTGGCGGAGGTCCGAGCTACTCACCGACAGGAAATGGAGCGGATTAAATCTAGTCAGCAGGCCGCTCCACAGGAGCCCGGAACCCCTGCTCCCAAGACCGAACAGGTCCCTGCGACACCGGCAACTCCTGCGGCTCCCGCCACGCCTTCCAAGGAAGTTGGCCTCCCTGAGCTGACGGACGCCCAAGCCCGGGAGCTTGTTGCCAAGAACGAAACGATTCGCAATATCATTCGGAGCAACATCCGCACCCAGGTGGCTAAGCAGAAGGAATCCGACAAACAAGAGACGCAAGCGAGCCAGGAGGCCATTGTGGTGTTGGAGCAGAAATTCAACGTGGAGCGAGAAGCGCTGAAGAAGGCCCACGACGAGGGTATGGACGAGAAGATTAAGGCGGCCGTCGAGTTGTCAGATAAAAAATCGCTGGCCAAGCTGAGTATGCTGGACACCCGATACAGGACCGCGCAGGCCAAGATCGACGTGGTCCAGAAAGCTGCTACGGAAACGCCGCAGAAGCCCGTGGTCGAGGTGTGGGAGGTGGCCAAGGTCACCAGGGCTCCTCCAGCTGCGCAAGCCAAGCCTGTGGTGGCCTCCCCGGCGCCAGCCCCGTCCCCTGTGGCCAATGCATCCCAACCCGTCCAGCATGCCCCGGCTGTGCCCTCGCCATCACCCGCTTCGGCAGCTACTCCTGCGGCTACTCCGGCAGCTACCCCGGCAGCTGCAACCCAGGCCCAAGTCCCTGCCGAGCCTGCTGCAGGAACCACGGCCGAATCGCCTGCCACTGAAGTGGAGGACGCCACAGCGCTGCAGCAACCTCCGGCCGAGCAGCCAGCAACCAATGGTCCCCCGAACCCATTTGGTCAGAGTCAAAACAAGCAGCCCGCGTCGTTGCCTAACAAGCCTCCGGCCGGCACTGCTCCTGCGGTCTTGCGAGCGCTCTCATCCGGACTGCCAGTCGCTAGAGGTGGTAGGACCGGCGGCCGCGGTGGTTCTCAACAGCAGAATCCTTTCGGCCAGCAACAACCGCAACAGCAGGCGCAAGGACAGAGCCAACAAGCACAGGCACAGCAGGCTCCAAGCCAGCGCGGCTCCGGTCTGCCCCGGGGCCGTGGAGGACGAGGAGGCCACGGCCGTGGCGGCAATCAGAATGTGCAGGCCAATGCACCGCAGCAAGGGCAGGCTAGTCCAGGCCGTAATCTGAATGCACATGCTCGTCAGTTTGTTCCTCAGGGCAACAAGCGTGCTCGCGAGGATGGAGGAGAAGCTGGAGGCGAGGGTGGAGCGGGTGGAAAGCGGATGAGGGGAGGTGGCCATGCCCGGGGTTCTTAGATATCGTGAAAGCGGGTGATTTATGTACTGTATGCTAAATGTGTGCTGGAATGGGGTTTGTGAATGTCTAACCATCGTCAAGGGATCTTTATATTTCTTTTGTTTTATTGTGTATCTTGTAAGGAGCTTAGATGTTTAGGGTACTGTCAAATGTACAGAACCTGTAGTGATAATATCATATTGATGGGTATAGAGCAGGAAACACATGTATCAACCATAACAACCGCTCCCTTTCCATGGATATCCCCTCCACTAACCTAATCTTCAATCCCCATCTCCCCAACTCAACCCTCATATCAAAACATAATATCCGATCTACCTCCTCCTCCCACCAATCAACCTCACCAACGCCTCCCTCTCCTTCTGCAACACCATCAACCTCGCATCCTCAATCACCCTCCCCTCCAGCCCCCCATTCCCAGTATTCGCATTCGCCCCAACATTCAAACTCGACTCCACCTTCCCCGTAACCCTCACCCGTCTCCTCTGCCCCTCACTCCCACCCGCACCCCCCCAAACAACCATCCACTCCTTCACCACATCCCCCGGCGCAACCTCACACCCGGCACAAACCCTCGAATGGGACCCTATCACCGCCCGCCGTCCAACAACAGCATGCGCTTCGATCCCGCAACATGAATGGATATGTGCCCCTGGGAGAACCTGCGCACAGGGACTGATAGTCACGTTCGAGGAAATCCGTGTCGGCAGGATGGGTTTCTCGTCTCCTTGTGAGGATGAGGACGAGGCAGGGGCAGGTGGTGGTGGTGGTAACGGCGCCCCAATAACACTCTTCTCGCTGATTATGCATCCGTTTCCGATAATGATGGGACCTTCGTGGGAGTAGATTCTTGCTCGTGGGTGGATTATGGTTCCCGAGCCGATGGAGATCGGGTGCGAGCCTTGGATGAGAGTCGTTTCGGAGATTGTGGCGCTGGGGTGCGCGGTTATGGGGGCGCGGACGGGAGGGTGCGATTGGGAGGGGCGTGGGTGTGGGTGTGGGTGGGGTTGTTGGTGGTGGTGATGGTGGGAGTGAGGCTGGGTGTGTGGTGGTTTGAGGTGCGTTGTTGGTGTTAATGAGGGTTCTTTGGGGGGTGGTGGTGGTGGGATTGGTGAGGTTTGGGAGTGTCGGGGGTCCATTTTGTTTGGATTGGTCGGGGTGGTGGGGTTGTTGTTATTTTTGTGTAGATGGTTGGAGAAGGAGGATATAAAGGTGAGGATGAGAGGGGGTTGAGAGTGGATTCGTTGGTATGGTATTGTTGATTGGTGGGTGGGTGGGTTGTGTTGTAGTAGTTGTTTGTTGTTGTGGTGGTGGTGGTGAAGGGTAGAAGTCAAAAGTCCGCGGAGGTGGAATGAGTTGGCGGAGACGGCACGGACGAGTTGGAGGGAGTCCAGAACCACAACCCGTACAAGAATATTCTCTCCAACTTGCAGTTAGGGTCTCTGATAACAGTGTATATTGTATCCTATATATATATTCAATATTTATCATCCCATCCGGGTATCTCATGATCTAAACCTCTATCAGATAACCAAACGCCAACATCAAATCCCATATCTACAATCAATCCAACTGGAATAAAATCACTCCTCCTCTTCCCCCCCCTCCTTCTTCGACTTAATCCCATTTCTCTTCCTCCACGCCCGCACCCCCCGATCCACCTCCTCCCTTGTCATCCCATCCTTCACCAAACAGAATGTCACCCCCAACTCCGTCTCGACATTCCGATTCCTCGCCTCATCGTCGAAGAACAACATCTCCTCATACGACACCCCACTCGCCTGCTGAATGCGCGAGAAATGCTGTGTCTTGTTCGCCGGGAAGATCTGCACGTAGTCGAAGTAATCCAATGCGCGCACCGACTTGGTCTTCGCGGCCGGGTTGTCGGAGAACGTGGGGATGATGTGTAGGGCTTTGAGCATATCGCGGGCGAGATCGGGGGTGTGCGTGCGGGAGGCCAGGGCCAGTGGGATATTCTTACTCTTGCAGGCGTAGATGATGGATGAGACGGCGGGGTAGAAGGCGAAGGATTCGTTCCAGCTGTGGTTGGTGAATTAGTGGTGTGGATGAGAGAGAGAAAGAGGGGATGGGGAAGGGGGAAGTACCGATCAGTGCAGCGGGAATTGTTATCGCGAGGCTTGATGGGGCGCTGACGTGCGTGTCGACCCAGAATGGCCATAGCGTGTAGTCGAGATCAAAGGCGATGAGTTTCGGGAGGGGCAGGCCGTCGGTGAAGGTGGCGGGGGAGATGAAGGCGTCCTCCAATGGTTGGGTGTTGGTTCTTTTGGTGCGCATCATGGCTGGGGATTTGTGTGGCTGGGATTCCAGGGTCGAGGAGGGATGAATGAATGAATGTCTGGGCTGGAGAAGCTGAAGGCGATGGAATGAGGGGGTCACGTGCGGGGAAGCGATGAAGGACTAGATACTGCAAGGCCTGAGGAGAAAGGTGAAAGGTTTCACTCGCAGAACTTCATTGGCTATTCCCCGTCATTAGTATTAAGTAGTATTCACATACATGGATCCGCAACTCATTTTTGCCTGACCACACGAACATCCCTCAACTTCCTCCACTCCCTTCCAGCTTCCCTTCCGTGTTCTGTTCGAGTATCTGCGTTATTATTATTACCCCCTTATTCTTATCTCCTCATTACCTCCTCCTTCCTAGTTCATCTTGATGTCCACCGCTGATCGGTGAGACTAAATCTGTTTCTCCCACGGCTGTACTTCTTCAACGGGTTGTGCTCTCACCACGGGGTGTATTCGAAGCATTTCAAGGTGTCGAGGAGCTTCCAGATCTGCTGGTGCTCCTCTGCCCCCTGAAACTTCAACTCGTTGGCCAAGGCCTGCCAGCTAGCACCATATTCTATGATGCGTTCCTGCTGATCGTGATCCAAGATCCCGTCGGCGCCAACGGCCTCAGCTATCACTCGCCGCAACAAGTCAAAGGGAAGATCGCGTGGCAACTTTCGGGCGGCGCGGAGAGCCAGAGAACTCTGATGCGGGGTCTGCTCCCCAGAAGGAGGATTCTTCGCTTCGTCCTGGCTGGCCGCTCCCTCTGAGACGAATGGTTCATGGGCCTCCTGCAGCGTGGGGAAGTCGAAATTGAAAGCCTGCGCACTTGGATGGAACGGACCGGTGGCTCGCTCAACCTCGGCCAGGGCTGCGGCTGCCATGTGCGTCGCCATGCGTGCAACGGGTTGCGGCACGTTGCCAGTGGTCGGTAGCATGCGACGCACAGGATATGGCTGCACGTTCTCGATGTGAGAGAAGGTGGGTGTCTCCGATGAGCTATCATCCTGCTCCCACCATCCAAAACCGGATGGGGCTCGCGAGGTTTCCTGCTCATAGGCCTCGTCTTCTATCCACTCCTCGTTTGCGCCTTCGCTATCGTTATCTCCTTCATCATCCCTCTCGTTCTTCCCCTTGTCGTCTTGGGCCTCGGACACCTCCTTCGGATGTTCCTGGCCATCGAGCAGAATCACCCTAGAAACAAGCATCATCTTCAACGCAGTGCCCCAAATAGTGCTGCCATGCACCCCGTCTTCCTTGAGTGCCTGGAGGCGGACACGCTTGCTTTTACGACTGTACTCTCCCTTCAAATCGTTCTGAAGCTTGTTTTGTGCAGTCTTCTCTGCATCATCCTCGTCATTCACATCTTCTTCTTCGGAATCGGAGTCAGACTTCATGTCGCGAAGGGCTTCAGAAACCTCGAGCAATCGCTGCGTGTGAGCATCAAGGGTATCATTAGGGCGCCAAATTATGCTCTTGCACAGGGCCTCGCTGCCAGGTAGTCCTTTCGGTTTACCCGAAGGGAGATATTTGAGGAGTTGCTCTCGAGTTCGTTGAACATTGAGCATGCTCATGAGGTGGAGGGCGCCGGTACTTGACAATCCAATGTCCGACAAGACAAGGTATGGAATGGAGCGAAGACCGCGCGTGCATGCGTGCTTCTTGATACCTGTCGGGTCAACATGAGTGTGGCCTAGGTAGAGTCTTCTGTTAGTTTCGTTCTCACTATAGGGCGACACGACTCACTGCTCTGCCGGGCACCTTTTCCCTTGTGGGGGGATTTCTTCTTGAGGTGTTTGGGCTCGTTTTCCTTGCCAGATTTAGCCACTGTCTCAACAGGGGAACATTCATCGGCTAGTTCAGAGCCAAGAAGAGCATCCGCGTCATCTTCCAAGAAGTCAAGGCCACTTTTCAGATAGACCCGAGCAAAGTGCTCAAGGCCCAGTCTTCCAAGAGGGTTACCTCCCAGATCAAGCTTCTTGAGCACGAAGCAGTTTTCAAACGCCTTTAGGAATGAAACCCACTGCTCAATGTCTTCCGCAGTCTCGATCTGGATCTTGTTCTGGGAAAGGTCTAATTCACGGAGGTCACCGGCACTAAGAGCAACTACCTCGGCCAACTGAGACAGTGATTCGAGCGTGAGCTGGTTTCCTTGCAAATGGAGCTCAGTAACCCTGGTGCGTCCCAAGGGGTGCTCGTCATCTTTAAACTTGATGCATTTGATCAAGACACCAATAAACTCATCGAAACCTTTGTCTGTCAACTCTTTCTCGTTGACGTTGATCTCCACAAATGGAGAGTCCGATTTGTTCGATTTGGTGGTTAATCGCTTGTTCTACAGCAGTCGTTAGCTGATCCACCAACATATGTCCATTTTCTGCAACTTCCTGAGAGTGTCACCTACCAGGTCTTTGGCGACGGTCTCTCCCACCGAAACGCCGCTCTTCCTTCGCTACATGCAGCCAGCCATCAGTTTCCATCCTCTGGCACTCTCAGTGGTCGATATGAGTGGACAGTCTTACCGAAGTATACTTGAGTTGCTTCACCATTATCGGGAGGGGCCTCAATGGCGCTCAGTGTGTGATCTGTCTGGTCGAACCAAGTCAGTGTGGTTGCCTTCGACCTTTTATCACATAGCAGAGGTAAGACAGTAACAGGACGAGATACAGAAGGACCTTTCGTGCTAAGCTGTGCTCTCAGGTAAAAATGAGCTCACAACACAGAACAGCCATACGGGCGCGACGCGTTGTGAAGCACGCCTTTAACGAGAAAAGAAGAAATCATCACAAGAAACAACATCCACTCACTTACCAGATTGTCTAGATGCTCCACTCAAGCTATGATAGGACGTGAGGGCGAGAAAATAAGTGTGTCTATCCTGATGGAAGGGATGCGGATGTGAAAGGAAGAAGATCCGTCACGGAGAGAACTAGATCAGTAAGAAGCCACAATGTGTCAACCAACCAAACAACCCTATATCGAGGCATATGGCAAATACTAGCTTGCACTACTTACTATCAGCTTGTTCAGTGTGCCACAAGACAACTTAAGCATCGATATTAATCATGAAAGAGCAGGATAGTTGGGGAAGAGAGGAAAAGTTTAAGAGAGACGAAATGGTGAAGTACGGACTCTAACTGTAGCTCAGGGTGTTCCAGGCATCACGCGATTCCTTTTCTGTTCATAGGAGTATTCACTTCACCCTACAACTGTAGCCAACCATGAACCAGAGCACTGAATCGTCCCTACGTCATTATTCCTCGCTAAGTAGTGCAACTAGCGGTTTGTTAGATTCACAATGTCATTTCTCAATTTTGTATGGGCAATATCCGGTTCTCCATTAACCACAAACCACTGTTGATGGCGGCTGTGCATACATACATGGATGAACGTAAAGAAGAAAAACATGGAAAGAGATACCCCGCACGCATATTCCCGACCCCACAAGATTTCATTCTCCTCCGCTTAAAATAAATTGATGATGTCTTTGAACTCATCTAGTAGATCACGGTCGATATCTTCCCAGCCTTCTGGGATGGTTGATGTTTCATGGACGGGCTCCGAAGGCACTGAACCACTAGTTACTATGTCATTGTTACTTTGGCTTTTATCTGTGCCGGTGGTAGCTTTGTCTGTTTTACACTTTTTAGACATGCTGTCACTGTTTGTTGTTGGGGGAAGATTCCGCTTCTTTCCATGGGAGATGTCAAAGGTGGGGAGATTATCGACTTGGCTATCTGGATTCTCAGGGTTGGTCTTTGGAATAGCCGTATGAACGCTTTGTGATGCATGAGTCGTTTCATCTTGACTAACCTTTTCTATGATGACGCGGGATTGTCCAGCGGGGCTAGAGTCTGGGGGTGGTGACCCGGGGTCAAGCCAGATTTCATCGTCGATCCAGTCATCATTTAGGTCTAGCTCACCTTCGTTTGTCGGGGGTTCAAGGTCCTTCTTTGTTGGTGTTGCGGAGTAATCAAACAACAAGGCCGATGGTGAAGGAAAATCACTGAAACTGTCGTCTCCGTACTCGCTCGAAGAGTCTTCCTTGCTGGTGCGGGCTGGAGCACTGGGGTTAATCCTGGCTTTGTCACTGTTATCGGTCTTTGACTTGTGCGAGGGCTTGGGTGTCGGGCCAGACAGTATTGCATGGTTTGCGCAGACCTCGGTACTAGAAATGCTGGCTACGTGAGTATTCTTCTTGACTATTGTCGCTGGTAACGTCATCTGATTGAGTCCTTTTGTCTCGTCTGAAAGTCGCTTCTTGCTTGCTTTTGGTGGCTTTTCGAGTCCATCGCGGCAACATAAATGCTTACACCTGCTGTCACTTAGTTGTTTTCTTTTAAAATTGCGCAATGACATTACGTTGTCTTATCTTTGCATCGATGGTTGCACGCCCACCTGCCATTTTCGAGTCGAGTGGGCTCCTCAGCCTCGGCCGCTTTGCCAGCTTTCTCTGGATATTTGCTTTCGTTTTTTGACTTATTGCGTGCTTTATTGCCTGAAGATTCTGGCAGCTTGTTGGTACAAGACCAGTTCTCGGCTTCGTCTGCGGATACCTCGAATCATTCCTTCAATTCCGCGAAGAACGCTCGACTTACCCTTTTCCAAGAACTCGTCGAACAATAAATCATCGCTGTCCCATGTGTTAATATTCAGATTACTGGTATATTTGGTTTGAGACGTGTCGTTGCTGCGTCGGCGTGAAATATTGGGTTGAGGTCTTGTCGATACAGAATCGGGATGTGAATCCAGCTGTGCTGGAAACAAGGATGCAGGAATATCAGGCTTCAGCTGCGCAGATCTAGTAGTTCCAGCTAGGACTGTCAGTAGTCAATTTAGCTGTGCCCATGGTAGCAACATACCTATATCGTCACACATGGCATAGCACGTCACAAATTGGCCAGCACTCTTCAAATCCGCGGCCAACAGTATCTCTTGACCATTAGACATCTTACTCGCACTATCTCGGATTAGCTTGGAGAATCCTATTTAGTATATCAGTATTACCTTATACGCCGAAAATCGAGCAGACGGCCGTCCGAAGTTTCTGCCAAGAAGCAGATGTATACCGGGCGTCTCTGGAAGTAGGTCGGACTCTTTGGGTTCATGAAGGCAACTTCGGCCTTCATCTGGATCTTCACTGCATTGCCAGGTTTGGAGTCCTACTAATGTCTCAGTGATAGGTCAAAAGGGCTTTGGTTCTATACCTTTCCAGTCATCTTGATGGACACTCGAAGCTTGGGAAAATCGACAAGTCGGTCTAACAACTTCCTGCCGAATGGGGGATTTCTACTCAAGGTCATATCAATCTGATGGGGCTCGCAAAGCTCCAGCGCTTCAATACTGGTGATTCCAGCTGATGCTAGCTTTCGAACGGCAACAACTCCGATCTGCTCGATTTGCTTCATCTGCAGTGGCGAGTCATCCCAGACCTTGGCACCGAAGCTCCGTGCAAGCTCCAAAGCATTCCGCAATGTGATCGAATCTTCAAGGCCTACCTGACAGTCTATGACGCAGCGGATGAGTCTGTTAATATGAGAGAAGACGAAGGTCTTATCTTGCTGGAAAGCAAATTTATGCTTCTGAAACAATTCCCCGTCGGGTAAATCCACCGCACCCAGCTCAGACTGGATCAGCAGCGAGATCTTGTGGGCTGGGAGCGCTATATCCACATTGACTGGGAACCGGATTGCGCTGGCACGGTTGATCTCCTTGTAAAGAGACTTCTCACCTGCCTTGAGGCGTATCTCACGGAACTCATCTGCCCTTGAAATAACCGACAGCTGCGTGCATCATTAGCTTCCATCTATGACCAACTATTGCTCACTCACAACTTGGGATATGCTTGAGTGGGGTTTGAGTGTAAGCAATGTTCTCATTGTCTCAAACCGCACATAGTACCGAGCCATGGCATCGCCAGAATTGGTGGATCTGAGGCCATCGGTGGAGACCAGCCCACATTCCTGTAGAAGCTTGATATCTTTCTCGCATACTTGTCGCAGCATTTCATCTTCATCACCCCTGTCAGCGTCCTCTTTAAGATGATAGTGAGTTGGGTTTCTTCTCATTCTCACGAACAGAAACGTGCCAGCGAGCCATCGTATAGCAGAATCGATGTTTGTGACATTACCAAGCCCAATCTCAGCATTCAAGTGATCAACAAGGTTCAGATGCAAGCAGCTTTCTAGACTCTGGGAGCCAGACACAAGCTTCTCATAGTGGTTTTCGCGTTCTTTCCTTGTCATGATCACAGCCGTAGCGCTGTCATCGAATTGCGGTCTGCCTGCACGGCCAAGCATTTGCATAATATCCAGGTCTGAATATTCTTTGCAGCCGCCCTCTTGCCATCCGGCTGTGCCTTTTATAATTACCAGATGACATGGCAGATTTACTCCAACTGCAAGAGTAGACGTGCAGCATATTATGCTAATTAGCCCCTGTAGGAATCCTGTCTCGACTGAACGACGGTCACCCGGATCAAGACCGGCATGGTGGAAAGCTACCCCGGCACCGATTGTGCCTTTATCTCACCAGTTCAGCTGCCATCCAAATGGAATGAAAGGAGAGGCCCTACTTTTCAGGTCCATGTTTTGCACCTCCATAGGCCTACCTGGTCCTTTCCACAGCCTCGCAGGAGGATTAGACATTGACCACAAGCGAGCCAGCTCCTTAGCAGTAGCAACAGCCGAATTCCTCGTACAGCAAAATATCATTATAGGCTTCTTGGAGGAATGAGATGCTATGAGGTCTGGAAGCCTGCATGAAGAGCATCAATATGGAAGCAGACTTCATATGGGACAGACATACTTTGAGCCACACATTTTGTCGAATGCAAAGTCATTGGCGTGCGATTGGTAGCCGTACACAAACTTTTGTAACTTCACTGGGCGAAAGTCCTCTCCAAAATGTTCCCGATGTGCGGGCACATGCTGATTTGTTGAGTCCCTGCCTAGCCAAGTTGAGATATCTTCAGAGTTTGGGACAGTAGCACTGAGAGCAACGAAGCGGACATTTGATCCATTGGTTTTCATGCGAGATACGACAGCCTCCAGAGTTGCACCACGAGCCTCCTTGAGAATATGGACTTCGTCAATGAGGGAGAGTTTGACCAGCTGCATTAAGCGTGCATGATCCTTCCATTTACGAGTCATACTGTCCCACTTCTCCGGCGTAGTAATGATTATTTGACTGTTCTGAACCCTCCTCAACTGGGCGGGATCTGTATCCCCAGTTAATTCTGCACACTGCAGCCCTAAAGTGTGAAACTTCGTATTCCAGTCTCTGAACCTCTCTGAGCAAAGAGACTTGGTTGGCGCCTGGTATACCACCTTGAATCGTTCATCTTTTAGGCAATTGAGCAATCGACAGATTGCCAGTTCCATTATAACTGTTTTCCCACTACCCGTGGGGGCCGAGAGGACAATGTTGCTATCGGTTTTGTAAACCGGGTGGAAGCATTTGGACTGCACGGCATTGAAGACAGGAAATGGGAACATTGGACGGTATTTATCTGGAAGCTCATGCACAGATACAAGGACAATGCCTCGAATGGAAACCGGAATTTGTTTGAAGGGACTTTTCGGCCGTCCGTGGGAAGCAGTCGGCAATATTTCAGTAGAGTGGGGACAAGATTTTCCATAGTCGTAGGATGTATGAGGAACATCCCTGGCTTCCAAATTATGCTGGCGAGATTGTACATTCATCCTCTCGGCCCGCAATCTAACCAATGGACTAGATGGCGATCTTACACCCGTGTCCGAAGAGCTAGATCCCAAGCTTTGATGTGGGGTGACATGTGGACCAGCTGCTGTTTCAAACTATTGTTAGCTCAGATTTGTGAAACAACCTCCCATGAAAGTCTACCAAGCATGTGCACTGACCATGAAAGAAACGAGAGACTTGATTATAGTTCGTTGCTTGAGACGGTCTAGACGGCAATGAGCCACGGTCTGTGACCAGACCGGCCGCCTGGAGACTCCGTGTTTGTTCATCCGATTGGGCCAGTAGTTCAAGGTCTAAAGTTTGGATGTCAGCTTGACTCCATAGATGTGGCTGTGGGGTAATTGATCGGCATACCGAACGCATCCAGCTCCAAGCTATCGTCACGAGGAAGCATCTGTGGCTCAGACACATAGCTCCTATGTACTTCTCTAGGTGGCCTATGGAGGAAAGGCTCCTGTGCACCTTCCACTAGTCTTTGATCAATGATGGTGGTCGGATTTGACCGACTAGGAGTCGGGAGTTGAGCGACGGCCCTGCGCTTATAGGGAACATTCTGGCGGTTTACGGGATATGGATGATAGGTTTTGTTCCTCATGACTGTCGAAGGATTGATTATTGGAATGACTCTTGATACGAGACTTTGTAGTATCGCTTACCATGGACAAGCTGAAAAAGTGAGCTGAAGAAGTACAGGAAAGGAAGTGGACAATAGTCATCCGTTACGCACCGAAAGCATGTGGGGCTCCTTACAACCAGCAACTCGCAGCAGCAGTGAACATTACAACAAGGTAATGCACCTCGACTGTTTCTCAAGGGCTTTCAAAACTCTTCGCAGTTCGATTTTGAGTATATTGAATTGGAGTCGAGCCATGAGCTGTAGGACTGTGATTGTAGAAGAATCGACAGCGAAAAGAAAAGAATAATAAAGTACACGAAATTGAGACATATACGACGAAAACGAGAGTGGCTCATCGCTTCTATCCATCCTTATTTACTTCCTAGCAAACATGATACAGCAACGCGAAGGGTTATATTCACGCGACAAATGCGAAAAGACATCCGCATAAAGCAGCTCAGTGGTCTCGTAAGTGCTTATCAAAGTAACCCCCGCTAGGGGTGCGGCCAACGCGTACATGACCCGGGGACGTAGGCCTCGACGTAGAGAGCCCAGCATCAGACAAAAATGGCGTGCCAGGAAGCTTTATGGAGATCTCATTAGGGGACGGAGACGCTGGTGAAGCTTCACCACTCTTGCTTTCTTTCTCGTACCGATCTACGCGGATCGGAGGAGGACGGAGTACCTGGCGTTTGGCCTGGGCGGATATAGAACTTGAATCTTCGCTAAGACAGGTAGCCACAAGAACTGCGAATGACCCAAGGAGGAACTGTTCAAGCATAATTAGTATCATCAACGCGGAGAGGAATTTCTCATTCACATACATTGGCAGTGAGTTCGAAGTTGAAGAGCCAAACGCTGGCCAACGTGGTGAGAACAATACTAGTGGCCATGGCCACATTCTTAGAATCTCGGTTTGCATAACCAATGCAAAAGGATATTGCTATGCCGCCAATGGCCTGGACAAGGATAGTAGACCAAACGATCCAGTTATAGCCCTCAAAGAAGCCACTGGCAGCGACCTTCTCGCCGTCCAAAAACACAACGCCAATGAAAAGCGCGGGAAATATCGAATATACTGCCAACTGCACGTTGCGGATCCAAAGTGATGTCGATTTTGCGCTGTCCAGGAGCACTTTCTCAAAATACACGCTTGCAAGGCCGGAGGCGAGACAGGCGCCAACCGTGGCCAGGAGGCCGACTGCAGCATTCAACCGAGGGTTGGCGGTCATCATGTCCTCCTCAATTCCCTCGTAAGTTGCGGAACGCTTATGTAGATTGTCACGTCCTAGCTTTGCAGCTTTCCACTCTTCCAGAGATCGTGGGAAAGCAAGACGTGCGGTCTCATCATGGAAAGACATGTCATCAGGGTTGCCCGTGGGCATCTGCACCAAGGCAACGCCGGCCACAAGTAGGACCAGTAGTCCCAACTTACGCAGGGGAATGGATCTCTTAAGCAACACCAGACTGGACATGGCCACGACGACCAGCTTCAGCTGGTATGATGCCTGAAAGGTCGCTGGCTGCAGGTTCGAGAGTGCGATATACTGCAACGAATTGGCGAGTGTATAAAGGCAAGCAGGAATCGCAAGTTTCCAGCTATCACCAGATAATATGGCGGTTGTGAGGGAAAAGAAAAGAGACGTCGCAGGTACGGAAGGAGGAGCTGTCTTCGAGACTTCGTATAGCGCCATGGTCAGGGAGATGGCGAGCTTAGCAACCTCGTTGAAGAAAACGGTGGTGGACGTGAGGTATCGTTTGCCGCCAGCTGGCGTCATCACTCTAGAGTAATGCAGTAACTATGCACAGACAAGATAGAAACAATCAGCTGAAGTTATGAGCGGAGTAGACGGGGCGGCTAACCAAGACAAATGCTGTGGACTGCGCGGTCAACTATATCCAAAAGCGCCGCGTTAGCGATGATCATAGGATCTCTTGCCAGGCAAGTAACAAAGAGTACGCAGTGACAAGTATGCGCAGGGCAGTGGGTAGCCTACCAGTGCCCAAGAGAGGCTTTTCCAGGCAAATCCCAGTCCCGAGGACTGGCGCTGTACGGATTCCCCCATACTGACAATGGTTGTCTTCCCTGTAGCTAGACCTTTGTTGTTCTGGTGAAAGTAGGCACAGCTTGGTATTTGAAAAGCGGCCAAACTTGCGGGGGTTGGCTGGACAGAAACTCCGCACTCGATTGCCGAGGATGTTGCATATATTTGTAGGTCGGGCGCGTGATGGTGGTGGTGGGTGGTGGAGGGGGAGTTGTCTTCGCGCTTGACTTGAGAGGCTTGCCAGCAAACTAGGCCCGCACGAAGAAGACCGACCGGGTCGCGATGGAAGCCAACGATCGGAGAGCTCAAGAAAGACCTCAATGGAGGACAGGACGCTAGGCGCAGCTGGGGAACCAGGCGAAGGCAGAGGGCGAGTGGGCTAAAATATGAGATCCGGGGTATTCTTGAGACGCTTGTCTGGGCGGTGTGGATCACCGATCACGGGGGCAGGTGGCGGTCTACTGGTCTTGTCAATGGTCCAGTCCCTTTGACGGGTCCCCCCAGCCATTCTTCATTGTGCTCAACATTCGCTTCAGCTTCCCCCTGAGGAACCCCCTCTGACGTCAGGTTAAGACATACATGTCTGGATCAACCTCAGCAGCACGCAGATCCAGGTGACGGAATTATCTGCCCATGTACCCACAACCCGGTGAGAGCTGCAGATTACGCTTCTGTCCGCTCATCGTGAACGTGCCATGATACTATTTGGTAAGCCCTGATCGGCCGACCCGACCTTGCAGGCAGTCCATATCACCGTGATATCAATAATAGTAAACATGCATGATCTGCAGTGATCTTATCATGTTACAGGGCGTGATCTTCTGACGGGAATCAAAGCCGACAGACGACGGCAAGGAGGGCCAGACCCGGCTGTGCAGCTCGGACAAAGGTTTCTTGGCACCCATCGGTACCGTGGGCCTGGCCCCAATTCCCAGTTGCCTCTATACTACGCGCGGCCAGTGACGCTTGTGTGAGAGCATATCCCAAGTGCCTCCCTCACTGGCGAGACCATCTCCTGGTCCTATCGGCTCGGACCGAAGGTCCTTCGTTCATGAACTTGACGACCTGTGATCACGAACCAAGGCTGCCAGCCGGTGGCCCCGCGTCAAGAAATTCTAGCTATAGAATACTCGGCTTGGGTTTGATTATTTGAACAGTATCTGGTAGCAGCGCCCTCCATTGAGTCTAGACCATCTATTTACAAAATATTTCTCTGCTGCTAACAATGCTTATGTGATATCAAAAAATAGGTGCCATGTGGCCGCGTCTCGCTTGATATACATAAGATAGTACAAATGGAGAAAGTATAGAAAAGAGAAACAAAGAGTGTATGACAAGTCACGGGTATGAGATCGGATGAGTGAGTGTGTAGATGCTGGTAGGTAAAATCCAAGACATTTCGTTTAAGTCAGAACAGATAAAGAGTGTATCATGGCTGCAAGCAAAGTGCAAAAGGTAGCACCAGGTTCAGTGTACAGCCGTCATAGTTCCATTGTCGTTATTCCACCTCAAAGTCCACATGGGAAGATCGTCACTTTGCTTCGTCTCATCCGATTCTTCTAGGACAATTGCCTCGCTGCTATCTGTACGCCGCCGGGAATGCCGCCTCTTATCCTGAGGTACTGCGGGAATAGGTCGACGAGGAGGCGGTTTTTGTGATGGTATGGGCGAGAAGCGGTGTATAGGAAGTGTTGGGGTCAATGGAGAGGCTGCGCTGGTCGACGGAGATGAAAGACCCTCGGAAAACGCTAGGCTAGTCCGGGGAGAAGGAAATGAGTTGATGGTTTTTTGCTCCTCGTCTGAAAAGGTGCTTTGGCAGACGGAGCCTTCTCTATCACTGCGAGTTGCACTAACCTGGACGGATTTTGAAGGTAATGCAGGGCTGAGACGCAAGAAGGACATGTCCGAGCCGTAAAATGAGTCCCTTGACGGTACCGACAGCATGGATCCTTGGTCAGGCTCCAGGTTACCGAACCGGGACTCCTGGAAAAGACTGGGTGTGATTTTTCCTTTCCGCTGTCTCATTGCTTCAAGGAGATTTTCCTCTTGTCTTGTCACCGCGATGACTCGGCTTCTTCTGTTAATCTCCTTCTGGGAGATGGAGGGGCTCTTCCTGAGCTGGCCCCGTCTCTGGTTGAAACCTAGGTCCCCGTGGAAGTATTCCGGCTCGGAGATTGTAGGTATCCCGCTTGACCGACGAGACTGGCTGCTGGTCACATATGACGACCTCCCTGCCGAGGATTGGGAAGTATCTCGTCGGACAGACTGATGCCTCTGAGTAGGACGCGATCCACGGCTGCTGATGGACGGATCAATGCTTCGTATAGTGCCTTTGGTAGCTTGTGCCGCAGCAGCTGTACATATTTCGGGTTCAAATTCGCCGTAAGTTGTTACGCTGTCTCTTGTATCTCGGCCTCGGCCCGGTCGGTCGCTTGTGGGTTCTTCTTCTTCGTCTTCATCCTCCGAAGAGGAAAGACACAGTACACTAGAATTGTTGAGGTCCGCAGTCTTCAAAGTAGTTCTGCTGCTTTTTTTGGGCATTGAACTCTTCTCTAGTGGAACACTCGCATGCAGGTTGGATCTTCTAAAATCCGGGGAGTTGGAGACACGGTGAGAGCTTTGGCGCAAACGAGCCTCTGGGGACAGGGATGTCTCCTTACTCCATTCACCGGCGGAACCTTTTGAGGAAGCTTTCCACGAGTTATCCGAAATATGAGAGTCGCCGGTTCTTCGTTTCTCTTGACCTTGGGACCGGGAATGTGAGCGGCTAGAACGGCCCTTCCCATGGCTTTGGGAGTCCTGCTGCAGCTTTTGCAGGGCTAGATCCATCTCACTGGCCCGCACTGTCCTCTCTAATGACGGATCAAGCCAATTCGAATTCTTCGTCTCGTAGGATGCAGGTGCTCCGTGGGCCTGGTCACCATAGGGTTGACGAGTCGAGTCTTTCGGCTGAGGCGGCGTTATGGTGAGTCTATTCCCAGCTGCATGGCTCTCGGGGTTGATTGCTTTGGTGGCGGGATGCTCGGAGATTATGGAGACAGGGGAGGGAGATTCCACCATGCGCTGCGGCGACAAAAGTGGTTCGGCGGTTGCCCGAGGCTTAGGAAACAGTAGGGAGAGGTCGATCCTAGGTGGGCGCATTTTTCGCTTCGATTCTTTCATGGACCCTTTCGGTTGTCGAAGGCTGAAGCCGGACTCGGCGCTTTGCCGTGACTCTGGTTTGTTCTCTGCAGTCGAACCAAAGTCGGATGTCGCAACCCCAATACCAGAATTTGTGTTGGCTGAAGAATCCCGCGAGGTAAAGTAGGAAAATAAAGCAGAGGCAGAACCTGACTGATGGACTTTCTTCACTGGTGCTGGAATAGGCTGTTCAAGAGCATCTTCTGGTCGATAATCGTGGCCTAGCAGGGGCGACGATGCCCGAACACGAAGGTGGTGTGATGGGAGGGTGTTTTCTTGAACGGCAGTTGGAAAGGGCACAAAACCGCCGCTCTTTTGCGGCTTAATCTCCGGTGCTCTCATGAAGCTTGGTCGTCTTGAACGTTTTTTGTCCTCCCGCTTGTGGTGATTCTCATGGACGGAGACATCAGCTGTCCCCAGGATTTTGTAGGCCTTTGCCGTGCTCTCGTTTATCGAATCCCCCGGGCTTCCGGCTGGCGAACGCACTCCGCCTGTGGAGGTATGCATCGTGGATGTGATTATTGAAATAACAATGAACTGCCGGGGTATTATTAGTATGGGAGTTCGGGCAGCAATCCCGATAGCTTCTCCTCCAGAATTCGAGCTATGACCAAATAACTAGATAGCAGAGGTTCTTTGTGTCGGTGGAGAGACTGGAGTTTTTCGACGCGACGACAATTGATCGTGACGTCTCTTGGTTGGAAGGTTCAGGAGGTCTCAAGTAAAGCCCAAGGTGTTTTTCCCCACACAAGTCGGTGTGTACCTCAAGGCTGTATGTTTACCGTTTCGGTCACCAAAAGACCCTCGTTTCCGGCCGCCACCAGACACGGTACTTTGAAGAGGCGGTCAAAAGAATGAATATTTGCAGAGATTGACGTCTTTCGAAAGAGCGAGAATAAATTCAAACAGGGACTTCTGAGGCAGTTCAGGTGAGCCACGGAAAGAATAAATAGATAAATGAATAAATGAGATAAAATAGGGTAATGAGGGACAATGCAGGTCAAATGGAACGAGCGAAATGTGACCAGGGAGGGTCACTGAGGAGCTTTTGAATGATGTAAATTTGCGAGGAAATAAACGGGGCCAAACGAGAACCGGCCGTGCGAGCCGAAAGGTTTATTAGACGCTATATATAATTCACATTACATGTGAGCAATTGAAGATTGAGGGGGGGGAGGAAATTCAGAACCGTGGAGGGTCGCGGCTTAAGGGGGAAGCCCAAGGCGCCAAAAACAGTCTAAACTCAGCATGGGCCAGCTCAGAATTGAAGAGATCCGCGAAAAGTGGCATGGAGGGTCCATTTGCCAATGCTTGGAACCAGAAAATTGACGGGGAACAAAGCCATTCTCGTGGATCCAGCAAATACCCAGTTGTCATAGATTGGGGCGAGAACCGGCAGAATGGTCCATCAGGAGAGGTACTAAGACGGGCGAGCCGGCGAGTCGACGACAAGCCTACGTTAGCCCAAAGAGTTAAGATTCGTGTCAGCAGACATAGCACGCCGGTAGTGGCACCTTAGCACACTACAATAGCAGTAAGAATCGACAGGCACACAACCATGGGTCCATAGATCGCAGAGCGGCTCCTGAGAGCTTCTGAGTGGCCCATCCGGTGGAGAGGTTCGCCGGTGGGTTCTCTGGCTGGCGCTGGCCCGAGGCGACCGATGCCCGTTCGAGTCAAGCCAGGATTTTAATTATTATGTCTGTGTCTTGAAGTTGTTTATTTCCTGCCCTCCTGGACTCCTAGTTCCAGGATCAGACCATTCTTGCCTGGTGGTGGAAAGTAGTCAGTGCCTGCTGCTCGGATGGTACTCCGTAGATAGAATTCACTCCGGACTCAGTGAAAACAGTATACACAGTTGGTCCAACGAAAATGCGTCGGTCAGCAAGGATCCATTGATGACAAGCCCGATTACCGCTGTCATGGGTCTGATCCTGGTTCGTCCCCCTTGCGCCGACTCTCGTTTCTAAAGTTCGACCGTCCTTCCGTCCCGTCTTCTTCGGATTCCAGGGGATATTCTAGTCTTCTAGAGGCCAATAGTCACTGCATCATTTCTGCAGCCTGAGGTGGTCTTGACCTCTTTCCGGCTTAGATGCGCCCGGAACACGTGCGGTGCTGGGATGATTGGCCGATGGCAACAGCCACTCCGTCACCACTCTACTGTGTACGGAGTACCTATCCTTCTCCTTCTCAAAAGAAAAGATTCCATTGCCACCATCTTTTCTCCGCTATTCCGTCAATTCCAGTCGCCTACACGTCGTGTGCTCTGACGTCGCGCCGGAGATTGGGCCGACGCGTGCACTCCGTCAGTACCAGCCAGTCGCCTCAAATTAAGGGGCTGCAGCCGCTCGGCCTTCTCCACGGGTTCTGGCACTCGATCGATGGGTGAACTGTGAAGAACTACTACTCCGTACTTACCTACCCTCGCCGCTCACCCCCGGCCGTCCCTTGATCTCTTCCAATAGGAGCTGCAGTTGCTGCTGATCTTCATCCCGCTCTCCAATGTTATACTCGAGCGCCAGAGCAGTGGGGTCCTCAAGTGCCGATTCAATAGTCTTCGAGCCCTCGATCCAGGCTGGTGCAGAGGTCTCCCATGAGATCGTCTCGCCATACTGTAAACGGCATACCCTGGGGTTTGTTTGTTTCTACGATCTTGGCCCCGTTGACGCTCGTGACAATCCGCTAATGGTCGTGAGGCAAATAGTCGTGCATAGGGCATCTAGTCTCCGCTACGCAAGTTCAACTTTCCAGGTACAATCTCAAATCTTGGGTGCATGTGCCCCTCGATCGTCCTCAATAATCGACAAAGCCATTGTAAGGTTTCCATGGGAAGTTGCTGGAATAGTGTCCCGTTGGACGGTTTGTTGATGGTTGAAGTTCAAACCTACCATTCTCCCAGCACGATGTCGATTGACATCAGTGAACACAATGGGCATAGTGAGCTACAACAGTTCTGGTATGAGCAATGATTTACAAAGTACTCCATACCAATGTCGAGATTTCGGATCAGACGCTGTGAAGGCATGACGGACTGACCACGTCGACAACCAGGACCTGGTACCTAACGGACCTAGACTTGGTGTGAAAATATTGCTCAACCTCAACACTGCTCTGCTTAAATGTCTGTCAGGCAGTGGGCACCGACGGAACAGCAACCGGAGTTACTTAGCCGACCTCGTCTGTCATGGTTGTGCCTCTGTAGATCTTCGGCCAAGCCGCATCCGCCCGACCGTCCGGAATCACTGACTCGCACTTCTTGATTACTTTCAGCCCGGAAACCCTTACTGTATGAGTTTAACGAGTAATCCGACCGTCAGTGAAGCCATCCAGAATCACGATACGTATTTTGTCTTCGTTACCTTCTTCTCCCCAATTTTCCGCCTCTGGCCTTCGACCAAGAGCCAGTCCAATTCTGTTCTACTAATGGAACTACTCTTAGATAATGCCGAAGAGATGCTGTAACTCGAGCTTCTTCCTCTGCAGCGAGACTTAATAATGCTAGCAGCATTCATAGATACATCTATATTCTCAACGCCGGTTTCCCCGTATGATGAAGGATTCACAAGTGTTCTTAACCTTCGCAGTAAAAGTTATCTGACGCTGCGATGTTTATGCCAAGCTGCGACTTTGCAACTGCATCCATGCACGATCAGTTGTTGTGCAATACATCCAGAACTCTAGCAATATCCCCAGCCGCTGGGGGATCGGTCTCCCGACAATCGTATGCCATAAAGACCAGGGCTACCCAAGGCACTGAACCCGCATGAACATAATATCAGATCTACTCCAGACTAAAATCTCCGTGCTTTCTAAGGTAATGTTCCTATGCCAGAAACATTGCATGAACTTTGAGTTTTCATTCAATGTGTTGTTCACACCAAACTGTGCTTTGATACTCTAATTGCGGATTGAATGACTCGATAAGCCACCAACTCTGCCTTCAATGCTCTGCTCTGCTGACTTTTCCCCATAATTCGAGCCAGGAAGATCATACCTCCCCGAACTCAGACCACCAGAAAGCTTTTTCATTAACAGACGTCACAACTTAGTCAACTCAGCGTGGAAGTACATTCCTGACCCCAATCTTCAGACTAAGACTAACTCAGTATAGTGGAGATAGTCTCATCATCCAGCCAGCCAGCCACCAAAAAGGGCTAAGAACCACCTCGCCTCAGTTATTCTACTCCCCTTAAAGAACAATCAGCCCATAACTCAGAATGACCACAGACAACATCTCCAAATCTCAAATCATCGCAAGTTAACCTTCATACTCGATCAAATAGTTCACCAATAGCACCACCTCCCCCCAACCAATAGCCATGGAAGATTTAAATCCCGAGTTTGGAACCTTGAATCTTAATCCCCCTATCCTACGGAATTCAGTGGCGATCAAGCAAAACCCCCCGAAGAAAATTTTAAGGGAGAGAAAAAAAGTTGTCCCGAATAGCACACCTTCAGAAAACAGCTAAAGTAACCCTCCTTTCAAGGAGGCCAAGCCTAGGAGCTCCTCCGCCCCCTCGATCTCTCTCACACTTCAGCCCTGAGATCGACCCCCGAGCTGCCTATCATTCCCCGTTTTGGGTACGCCCGTCTACCCGAAAATAGATATTGCGCGCTGACAGGGACGACCCTCAAGGCCTAAACACCTATTTTCGGCTGTTTATCTACCTCCTAGGCTCACTTACTACTTGCTTAGTATCTCACTATCCAGAATCCCTCAGACCACCCACCCACCCACCCACCAACGATCGATCTAATCCCCTTTCGACAATGCTCCGAATATGACATTTCAGCCACCAAAATAAGTGTCTGCAGGGAGTACGGAGGAACCCGTAAATGAAATAGTATCTCTAGCTCTATTTTAACTGCAGCTGTTATATTCTCGGTACATATATACTACCAGACCGTGTACTCAATCATGATAATATAGCATATGTGTGTTGATAAGTGGATAGACTATCCCCTACTCAAAGCGCATTGGTCTCCGCTACGATGCAAATCATGAAAAAAATATAGTATTAATAATTGTCGTGTTTCATAATTGTGGTCTAGTATAACTTTGCTGCTAGTTAGCTAGGTCAGTAGACAAAGTCGAGCCCGTGCATAGACTTCCCCAGGAGAACACACGCACGCACACACACACCAAGACTGTGTAGAAAGATGGATGATGTGCTGGTGGGCCATGGGAGGCGACCGGGTTTATTCGGTAGGTTCGGCAGACGGAGAGGACGGAACTGCCGTCTATGCAACGCCAGGATGTTTCACCATGATTTTAGCCATGAGCTTAACTGCCAGGGTCCATGGTGCGAACAGGGACCTCCTTGTGTCATCGACTTATAAGGATATAGGTAGTAGGTAGGTGGATTTTTTTCAGGGAGGAGGGGGAGGAGGTTGTTATGGGCTAATAGTGAGTGGTAGTGGTCGCTTGTCAGACAGGGTTTGTTTCAACGCACTGAATTTCTGGATATCTATATTTGTGGGGAGCTCTGGATCAAAGTTGACAGCACCGGTCAGGGATGACTAGCTGACACAGCTTCCTGGATGTGAAACACTGCTCATATTTGGTACATTGGAGCATGTACCTCTTTTGTTCTCTCGGTGAGTGGTATGGAGGATGTAGGTGCAACGGAAGGTAATGAAGGTTGGTGATGCATGGGGTGTACCAGCAAAGGTATCAGATGGCTGTTGCCAATCATGAAGCTCCCTTCTATGGGGTTCACCATCATGCTTTCTATCTTGCGCACTGACTCGTTCACTTCCGCCTGTCCCCCACGGATAGGCCCTGTAGCTTCATACTTGAATCAATAGTTGCTGAATTGAAACACCGGATTGCGTGAGTATTAGCTGGTTATTTCAAGTCGCGGGTGCACGGGCATTGTACCGCTATTAAGAGAGAGTTCCCTTGACTGACACCTTGTTCCTCTCTTTCTCCCCTGGGCTGATTGATTGCTGATCGATTTGTAATTATCGGCTATGGATCCTTAACCTTCCTCCGGTGGTCTCAGCTGGGAGACAAGATCAAGGATTTGAACTTGGCATCATCCCTGAGAAGACCACGCTAAGCGCTGTCGTTCTCAGAATTGTCGGCGCCAACATCGACAAGTTTGGAGTAATTGCTGATCTTGCGTCTTTTTCTGCTGCTGCGGCGAAGACTGCCTTCGCTTGATTTCCGGCGAGTAGGCGTCTGCTGTTGGAAAACCTTCAGCTTAACACCTTTAGCTTCTTGTTGTTCTTGAGCTTTGCTGTCCTTCCGCAAGATTCTATCACTGAAACGCCTGGGAGTGGGTGCGTCACTTTGGGCAGCAGTTTCCGTGGTGTTTGCTTGACCGTGTCCATTTATCAATGATCCCTTTTTCTTCCGACCCTGGCTCTCGTTCAGCACTTCGGTGGGCTCCTCGGTGGAACAAGGTGTCTTATTTCCATCTTCTTGTGTTTCAGACGTTGAGTCTTCCTCTTCATTCTCATGGGACAGTGATTTTGCAATCGAATCAAGCTCATCGCCAGTCACGGGTTGGGATAGCTGGTGCGATTTTTGCGGACTATCCTGGGCATACTGCGGTAGGTTAGCGCTGACTATATTTTATCGGTTAAATATCAACTCACATGGTGTTGGATCTTGATCATAGGATTTAGTATCTCCTCTTGTAATCTTTGCTGGGTTTTCTCCGAGCTAGGTATGATGAACTTGGGCAAGCCCTTCCGCAAGAACCCTTTAGCCTTATTTCCCGGGGTAGGTTGGAGAAATTTGCGCTTTCTGAGGATCTCTGTTATTTGGACAATGGTCTGTCCGTTGCAATCTGCATGTTGTCAGACGATAGGACAGTCTGTATTCACGGGTCACTCACGAAGCTTTTGTGTGAAAAGTGACGTCCTGCTTGGATACCCTTCCTCCTGGATGATTCTCACAGCCCTCCGTAGGAGCACCAAGCTATTCATTTCACGAAGCAATCGGGATTCTTCTGGCTTGAGCAAGCATTGATAGCATGAATGAACGTCGGGGACTCGCGGGTCTTGGGCACCTTCATATCCGTAACATAGCATATGTTGACGCGTACGACAAAAAGCGCATTCAACCTGGAAAGGTCAGTGGTTGTTGTCTTGTAGGCTATCATCTTACCATAGCTGCCTCTTCGCCATCCCAGCCGCATTGGCATCTGACAGTGCCTTGATCCTCCTTTTTCCAAGCATCGAGGTCGTGAAGGTGTATATATTCCTGCACTTTGTGCCTACTTTCGTCCGTAAGGGCAAACTTCTGACTTTTAGTGGGGCTTTCATTGTCATTCTCGAGCGTGATGTTAGGCTTAAGCGGTTGAGTAGGCGCCAGTTCACTGTCTGAGCCACCTGTCCCTTGTGACTATTGCAATTAGCTGCCTTGCCAACAGTCTCGCAGCTCAAGTCCAATGGGCCCTCAACTTACCGGCAACATCATCTGCAGTTGATGCTTTTCTACGAGATCTTGTGTCGACACCCCATTGTCATTGATTTCCCGAGAAGGCGGCAGAGAAAGATCATCATCCGGTCGTAATCGGTTCTCCACCGATGTGTTGGGTCTGCTGCCCAGGGTGCGCACCAAGTCCTCTTTATCATCAAAACCAACGTCCGCCAATCTCCGCATAGGGTCGTTGTATTCGAGATCGGGGGGTATATGGGGTGGATCTTCTGATCCTTCAGACTCGGGTCCGGTCCATTTGAGTGAGGTCACCTTGAGTCCGACACTATGCTAGCAATTAGTTGAGATAACTCAAACGGGGCTAGCTACTCACGTATGCCATCCACTATCCATCTGTCCACATGACTGCGATTCTCTTTTCCAATTGTCGTTGAGTGGAAACTGAATCGTATCATCATTCGCCGCTCCATTGAAACCCGGGGGGTCATATTCAGGAGGACAATCGTCGGTGTAGAAAAGGTGAACACCCAGGTTCCGCTTGTCTGCAATTGATAATGAGCGAGAGTTCGAAGGAGATACTTGAGTACACACTTGGCAAGGTTGGAAGGAAGGCGCTGAGAGTAATCAAGCGCCTAACGATAGTCTCCAGGCCTATCCTGGCTGCTTGCGCCGATTTCATATCAGCTACACAGCCCACTGGCTCAATAGACAGGCTTTCAAGCCGACTGTTAACATCACCAGCCTCCCCGGTATACTTGAAGGAAAATGTATATGACTCGAGTACATTGTCGGGAGCATCCTTATCGACAAGAATGGTCAATTGGACGGCCTCGAGCACATTTCTGCTCAGAGCGTCGAAAATGCCGGTTTCCTGAGCATGTGAATATCACAAACTAACACTAGAGCCGGTGAGCTTACCAGAATATCCAGAATCATATCCGCCTTAGGATCCGAGCCACGGAGAATGATCTTTAAAGGTTGGCCTTGCTTGCCTCTTCCAAAGGGAACTTCGGCATTGCGAGCGAGGGCCTCGCCGTGTGCTTTTTTGTCGATAAACTGTCGATACGAGAGTCGGCTCTCCCGTTGAGCTTCTCTGAGATCCCGATCGTCGAAGCATGGAAGCGGTAAGAACTCCCTGCGCAACACGTATAAGACTGGCTCTACTTGGGGAAGGTTTTGGGCTGACACCCAACGAACCGGAGATAGAACAAAGTTCCGAACTATATTTTCGTGTCAGATATAGTTGAACGCGATTTGTGGGAGCGGCAGGCTGCATACCGAGACATGTAACATTATCTGAACCATCTCCAGGCTCTGCTGTTGCTTTAAATGGATGCTTTCTTGAAGCGTCAACCTGGGAGGTACCTCGACCACATTTGGCGCCCTGACCCGAGTGACAGGCCTGTTGCTGGAGGCAAGGGGATGAAGATTCTGCGGGGCGTGTACCTGGACGGTTGACGGGGGACCAGTGAACTTAATTCGTACCATGCTGGACAGCTATCTAGATGGTGAGGTTGAAATGATCGGGTGCATTTAGCAGGCAAGGGTGGTGGTCGGCAATTGATGTTCGGAGCGATGAGGTCGGAAGCTGGAGCACCAGGCACAAAACCAAGTCAGGTTGACGACACCATACGAACACCCAAGGTACGGTCACGGGAGTCGCCAGCGTGTTTGTCTCTCCATTAAAACTGATTTTGCTTCGAGACAGACACGCATTGGCCAGCAGTGGTACTGTACGGGGAAAATGATGCCTTTACTCGTATGTCTCCTTATGTCATGTCGGGGAAGTTTGCGTCTCACGTAACCTCGTCTCGGGTTGGTTTGGAACTATATAGAGAGAGCGCGCAGCGTCGGGTTGGTATCTGAAAATTACCCGCCATGTTGCAGATACCACATACTTCAAAGTACGACCAGCATTGCGAAGTGGTCGGTTTGCATTCCTGGATGGAGACATAAACATGATGCATCATATCATCGGCCGAGTGCCACCGACCACTCTTTAAATGATCGTTAGCGGCGTTGCTTCCAAGACATAGGTAGATACTAAGGATGAATAGGACTTGAGGGATGCGGTAGGGATGCGGTTGGGACGTGGTTGGAATGACTCGTCGTTGTATGCTGCTTCCTTGCAGAAGAAGTCTGATGAGGCAGGTTCACAGGGCGACACATCGTCTGGACAAGTCGACAGTGGACGCCGCTGGGACAGACTGTCGCCCCGTTAATAGCACCGGTCTGAAACAATCGATAGGGCAGAGTCCCGCGGTAGCTGAAATTACGAGCCACAACCCATCCACTCATCCTGGCGATACGCAGTTATCTCTGGCGCTTCCCCGCAATCCCCCTGGGGGTCAGTCTTCAAATCCTATCTCGGTCAAATATCGATAGTAGCACCTATCTAGTATCTACTACCTAGTCTTTGGGCCATATCTATGATTCTCCAACTGATAAGAATATAGGTGGAATTACCGATTATGGTTTTTTTTATCTAAAAGAATAGCTCATCCGAGATGAAAATCTAGGCACAGCAGGGTAACCAAACTTAGTTTTGCTATGAACCAAGTAGAACATTCAGCAAATGAACCATCGAAAACGATGCCCGAGGGAAAAAGGGATTTTGAACGATACGACGGACCCCACCATGTCACGTGCTCTGGGCAAAGTGGCAAAGCCAGAAAAGAGAGCCAACCGGGACTCGGTAAGAATTACTATTCTTTACTGGGAGAATTTGCGAGAGGCTTAGGTAAGAGCTTGCTGGTGGAAAGCACGAGAAAACTCAGAAAGGACGCAGGAGATGATGGGTCATATGCAACTGGCGCCCTGGAGCAGAATGTGTCAAGTATGAAGAAGAGATCTGGATTGATGGAATCGGGGCGGCGGCTATCATCCGTAAAGCACCAACAGCGGTTCGACAAAGGATTAAAATTTCCTTGATTTGAGGTGAGCCTTAATCGGTGGGGACAAAGCAGGCACCGTCATGTAGACATAACCTAGGTAGATACTAGACAGTAGACACCGGTCTGCGAGTCGATCTCTGCTTGTTGTTACTTGTTAGTATGAATGGGTGTTCCGGTCCAAACTCCACCATTGGATACATCGTAACGATCCTGGAAAGTGGTCCCCCTTCAGGGAGTGTTCCGAGCGCTGGGTGATCCGACTGCAGGACAGCAAAATTCACCACCCGCCTTGCCTCTTAAGGTTTTTTTTTACCCTTGACCCTTTTTTTCTTTTGTGTCTCTACTCTGTGCCTTTCTCTTAATCTCTCCATCATTTATTATCAACCGTGATATCTTGACTGCCGCCCATTCATACTCTTTTTACATTTAGACCATCACTATCTTTTTTACTAGTCAATAGTAGTCTTTCACATTGCGGAGCCCACCGCAGCCTCGGGAAGGCACCAGATTGGGCTAGCCGGGAGCCACTGAGGACAGAACCGCCAGCCGCTGCGAAGAGCCTAAGCCCGACCAGAAGGAGGCACAACCAACCACCTTCAGCTCCCTCCATCATTCTCCGCCGCCCAACACCTCCTTGTCAGCAGAGCACGCCACAGCCTGCCCTCGTTCACTCTTTACACCTCTCGACGCTGGTCTGCTTTCTCTCCACCTGGGCCCCTACCGATCTGTCGATACCACGGTCATGTTCTAGCCAGACCCCTCCACACCTGTGCGCACTCGGATGGTCTTTGCGGGCGTGTATACCGTGCTGGCGGCCCTCATTTGACACCGACTTCTTGCCCTGACGTACGGCTGGCCAGCTTCCTCACATAAACAACAATCTCACATTCCTGTGATCGTCTTCTTGAACCCGACACATCTCCAACACCCTTCTTTGATGCATCATATCCTCCGAATCTGTCCAAGTTGATTCACCCTTGCCACGCCAACACGCGATCACACTCACATCCCCATCACCCCCTCGTACATCCCACCGAGACGGTCGCATACATCCAACCCTACAACTGCAATATGGAGGACGACAATAGTGGCCGTGGTCTCGGTTCTGGGTCTCCCAGTGCTTCTGTCGGTCAATTTTCCTTTGCCCCTGCTACTCGAACGACTGTCGTCACCACGACAACTACAACCACTACTACTTTCCCCCCCGTGCTCATCAGGCCGCCCCGCGCAGCGCAAGATCTTGATCCTAAACTCTACCCACTGGCATCTGCTCCTACACCATTGTCACTGCGGAATATCAGATTTGAACTAGAAGGAAGACCGGTTGTATTCCATGAACCTGAAGATACCGCAGGCACATTAAATGAGGTACGTCTATGGTCCTAGTTTGCGGCGAACCTTCATCCCTTATATAGGTTTCTTCAACCACGTGGCTTCCATTCTAGTTTTCGGTTATTAACTTGCTCAGTTGTATGAGAAGAGTGACGCGCTCAAGGCTTCGAATGGTCTAGTGCGTTCTGTGGCCTCGTTTACTTCGGATGATGCTCAACTACCAAGACGCCTTGCTCACAGGACCTCAACCCAGCCCTCGAATCACCTGTCCATCGCCAAACGCCGGCTTCCGGAAGCACAACAGGGTACCCTACGGCCGCGTCCCTCCCGAGTGCCGTCAGAGCCTTCGTTCCGTTCCGTTCGCTCACATGGCTCTACGCCCGTCCACCCTACCGTGGCCGGCTTGGCCACTCCAGAGACAGAAAGCAATCTCAATAATCCCATGGAAGGCATACTATCCAGAAGGAGGGTTCACAGTGCGAGTAACCCTCGTAGGGAGACACTACTTAGATCCCCATTATCCTCAGAAGTCGATTCCCAGGGGGTCTCGCAGGCGGTGGGCGCAAGGAAAGAATCTTTGCGTACTAAGACTGCTATCCAAGAACACAACAGGCAAATCGGCTGTCCTACAGAGACTACTTTCGAGAGGCCTGCGTTGGAAAGAACCGCGTCGGATCCCAGACAAGACCAAGTAGATATTGCTGACACTCAGGATTCCGGCTACGATGCACCGGGTGACAATTCTCAGAGTCTTCCGATCGAGTCGGGCTCACAGCTTGCTTTCATTGACAATGTTGTCGCCCAAGACATGTGCTTGCCCAGCCCAAGCTTGTCTCCAGTGGCGGCCCTGAATGCCGGAAACGCCGAATCCTCTTTTGATTCCGCTGAAGACCAAGAGGACACAGACTCCAGCTTCGACAACAATGATTCTGGATTCATCGGTTCTTTGCGCATGGGCGATCCGAAGGGAGATGCGTCGTATGCCGCCAAATCTGACGAGCTTGCGGGCCCAATGATGCAACGCCCCACTTCCATGATGGATATCCCCAATGTGTTGGATTTCTTTGACTCGGTACCCGACGGAATGAAAACATACATGATGTATCAGCTTCTCAGGCGCTGTCCGAAGCCGACTTTGCATTTTGTTGCGGACGTCGTCAACCCGGCTTTAAAATGTGACTTCCTGGCTCTTCTTCCCCTTGAGCTCAGCCTCAACATCGTGAAATATTTTGATGTCCAGACCATGTGCCGCGCAGCACAGGTGTCCAAGAAATGGAGACATATTATCAATTCCGATGAAAAGTCCTGGAAGGAACTTTTTGATAAGGACGGTTATGTTCTTCCAGATGGAGAATTAGACCGTGCAATCAGGGAGGGCTGGGGATGGCAATTCCCGAACGGCAGTGAGGACTATGAGAAGGACATGTGTCTGTCCCCTTTCATCAAGCCCGATCTAGAATCCTCTTCTGTTCCGGCCTTGCAGTCGTTTGGAGAGCCAAGTGACAGAACCTTGTCTGTGAGTCGCCGGCCAAAAAGAAAGGCTTGTACTCGCGTGTCTAGTCGTAAACTCTCGAAGCGGAAGATCTCTTCTAGTGGTACTGATCATTCCGAATCCTCTGACTGGAGGAAGGAGGTTTCTGCATCCGAAGGACCGTATGCAGCTGCGAACGCCGCAGCTGCGGCAGTCCCCTATCCCGACATTGGATTACCGTCCCTCCGTGGACTACATCTCTATAAATCGCTTTACCAGCGTCATCATTCCATTCACAAGGCGTGGATGAAGCCTAATGTTAAGCCAAGGCACATCGCCTTCCGTGCCCATGACCGTCACGTCGTCACTTGCCTTCAATTCGACACGGATAAAGTTCTGACCGGAAGCGATGACACGAATATCAACGTCTATGACACTAAAACCGGTGAGCTAAGAGCGACTCTCGAGGGCCATGAAGGCGGTGTATGGGCACTCGAGTATTATGGCAACACCTTGGTTTCTGGATCTACCGACAGGTCCGTCAGGGTCTGGGATATTGAGAAGGCCCGATGCACCCAGATATTTCACGGTCACACCTCAACAGTGCGCTGCCTGCAGATCGTTTTACCGACAGAAGTGGGAAGACAGGCCGATGGTACTCCCGAGATGATGCCAAAGGAACCACTGATCATCACGGGCTCTCGCGACTCAAACCTTCGAGTGTGGAAGCTTCCTAAGCCAGGTGATCCAGGTTATTACCAGAGCGGACCCAATACCGATGATACAGATTGCCCCTACTTTGTCCGTGTTCTCGCCGGTCATCAGCACTCTGTCAGGGCTATTGCGGCGCATGGCGACACATTAGTGAGTGGAAGCTATGACTGCACGGTACGGGTTTGGAAAATATCCACTGGAGAGACCGTACATCGGCTTCAAGGTCATACCCTGAAGGTGTATAGCGTTGTCCTCGATCACAAGAGGAATCGTTGTATCAGTGGTTCCATGGATAACATGGTCAAAATCTGGTCGTTAGAAACCGGTTCTATTCTTTATAACCTTGAAGGGCACACCTCCCTCGTTGGCCTTCTCGACCTCAAATGTGACCGTCTAGTCTCGGCGGCTGCGGATTCTACACTGAGAATCTGGGATCCTGAAAATGGCCAGTGCAAGAACATGCTGAGTGCCCACACCGGCGCTATCACCTGTTTCCAACATGATGGCCAGAAGGTCATATCAGGCTCGGATCGTACCCTGAAGATGTGGGATGTACGAACAGGAGAGTGCGTCAGAGATCTTCTCACCGACCTCAGTGGTGTTTGGCAGGTCAAGTTCAATGACCGGAGATGCGTTGCTGCCGTGCAGCGTGATAGTTTAACCTACATTGAGGTAAGTTCGGCTCGTTTCGTTGGGTTTATATTTCCACCGCCCGCTAACTATGTCTAGGTCCTTGACTTTGGCGCTTCACGCGATGGAGTACCAAGCGAGCAATTAGGAAGACGCATAGTCGTCAATAGATGGGGTCAGGAAGTCAGTGATACTGACGAGGATTACGACCTTTCGGACGCCTGATGCTCTTTACCTTTCGCCTCCCTTCTCTACACCTGCGACAGGCCAAGCAAACGGCGGTTTTCTCACGTTATATTTCCACTTTTTTCGCGACATACTCGAGCCATGAAACATCTACGATACCCCAATCAATGGAACTATAATTCCCTTTATGAGGATTTGCATAGCGTGGTTAGCATCCTTTGACATGCAGCATCATGACGGACAGGCGTTTTGGCATTCAAAACGAACTCAATCTCTCGTCTAATTATCTTTATCTCGTACTATCTTGCCCATCCTCTCGCTCTGTCTTATATTCGCTGTGTTCGATACACATCCTTACATCCTCCTGCTGTCGAACACATGCGCTTCTATGCATAACCCTTCCCCCGACGTATTTTGACTTCCCCCGTCTCTGTTTTATAATCGGACTCTATAGACCTAAACTGGCTTTATCTGCAATATGAATACGATATTATCCTAAAATATATATACTATCCAACCTATCTCGGCCTTCTGTAGGCCGTAAGAGTACATGAGCGTCCATGATTTATGCTACCTTTACCGGAAGCCTTCGGTATGGAAGCTCACGGCACCAGCCTCATAGATAACTAAAGAGGTTGGCCACAGGCTTCACACCTTGAGAAGAAAGGCTGAGAAGTGGTCGACGAGCCCGTGGGCGACGGTACGGGCTGGTTGCCGTGCACAAAAATCGAGACGGGCAAACATCAGCAGCGACCACATTTCTTGGTAATATGCCAGGTCTAGCTCATACTCTCTTTGAAGCCAGCATATAAAGCATTCGCTAAAGTGTCCAAGAAATTCTCGATCTCCACGCAGTGATCCGATCCCGCAAATAATGCAACGGTCGCTATAAGAAAACAGAGCATCTTCGCGCAACCCCACCTAGACCTGGCCGGTCAGCCCACGGGGAAATGATAATCTCCTACCAGATGGAAATCCAAGGCATTAGATGCTCTCAAGGCTCTTCCTCAGCGGTTGTCGAGGCCGGGGAAACAAGCTGTTCGGCCTTCACCTCCATTGTCCCGTCGTATCCAGCAGCGGATAGAATGGCCCAGCGGATGGCAGCGACTCCCAAGTAATCCCTGGAGCTTCTGTAAGCCGACGAACTACTCGTCAATAACTCACCCAAAGCAGGGGGTCCTTCCGTTCGACCCTTGGGCTGAACAATCGGTCGCAGCTTTTCCAGCGACTTATGCACCGCAAGTATACTCTCGTTTGTTATTCCGGTCTGGATCTGACTCTTTCTCTTCGCCAGGATCTTATCAACCTTAGAAACAATGACCTGGTGCGGGATCGCGTAGTGCCGAAACATCTCGAGGATCTCCTTGTCGGAGTACTTGAGGCCGTGTTCTCCGTCTATCATGATGAAGGCACGTCGGAGTCTAGAGCACAGGAAGTGGTTGTTAGTTCACGCTGAGCCCATACCATAGATTCCTTTGCTTCCAACGTGACACGTACTGCTTCCTCTTCTTCAAATACTTCATGATCTCTTGTCCCCATTGTGTTCTACTGCCTTTTCCGTACCCCGGCATATCGAGCAGTATGACCTTCGATTCGCCGCCCTTGGTGCCTCCAACTCCAAACGCGTTCATCGTCACTGTCCGACCCGGTTTCGACGACGCATAGCATACCTTATCATCCATGATGTGATTCAACAACGAGCTTTTGCCGGTATTCGACCGCCCTAGGAAGGCTACTTCAGGCGTCCCCGTATCGATCGGCGTCGTGCGGAATTTGGCCGCGGACCATACTCTGAATGGGGAGTGGCGAGAACGTGCGAAAAACTTATTTGCATAGGCTAGTTGTTCTTCAGTCGGCTCTGGTGTATCCCAGTAGTAGTTGAGGGCGGTGGGGGAGAGGTCCTGGAGGAGAGTTTTCTTTGGGTGCGCATTGGAAGGCGGATTGGGAGGCGGCGTGACAGTCGTTGTCGTTGAAAGGTTGCGATGGATGGGAGTAAACGGGGAATGCCGTTGGGAGAGAGTGGTGAGGGAGAAAATTCGGTTCTTCATGGTGCGCGCGCTTTTCAGAACATTAATTCCTTTGCGAATGACTTGTACTTCGTTTGATGCGTTTCACGAAATGCCAGAGCTTCTCCAGAAATTGTCCCCGGGATAAGAAAGTCTTCCGAGCGGCGGCCCGGAGTCCCGGGAACCTTTGCCGAGTCTCCGCGCATGCCGATAAGGCAGTGAGGGACACCTTCAGCAATCGGTCTTTAATTATTCGGTCCGATACGCGATCACGACATCTAAGCTACTATTCTAGACTGGCAACCCTACCAAATTAATCGCCAGTCACCTCACCTTGACATACCTACCGTCCACTACAGAACTACATCCTCCCAAACCACCCCCTCGAACCACCAACACCCACCGCCAACATGATCAACGCCGTCCTCGTCTTCAACAACAACGGCCAACCACGCCTAACCAAGTTCTACACCCAAATCGTGAGCCCCCCTCAATCGCCAACCATACGCGAACAAAGACCTCATTGCTAACCTGCCACGTCTGCAACCAGGACACGCAAACGAAACAGTCCCTCATTGCACAAATTTACAAGTTGGTCTCCCAGCGGCCAGCGAGCGCCTGTAACTTCCTGCCCTTGCCCCCGCTGCTGTCCCGGGGCGCCAGTTCCAGTGCAGCCAACGGCCCCTCGGATGCGCCAACCCAAATCACCTACCGGACATATGCCACCCTTTCGTTCATCATGATTTCCACGTCGACGGAGTCACCGCTCGCGCTCATCGATCTGATCCAGGTGTTCGTGGAGGCGTTGGATCGTATGTTTGAGAATGTCTGCGAGCTGGATCTCATCTTCGGGTACGAGACCATGCATGCTGTTTTGAGTGAGATGATTATTGGTGGGGTTGTGGTGGAGACGAACATTGACAAGATTGTGTCTGCGGTACGCAACCAAGAGGGCTCATCGGGAAAGAAGAAGGCTATACAGGCGGCGAGTTCGGGGATTGGACGTGGTCCATTGCCTGTGCTGGGGGCTTGGAGGTGATTCAAGGGGATATTATGATTTGAGATGTTACGATTATGATTTTCTTCTTCTGTGGGGTTCTAGCTGGAATGGGACCGATTTGTACGTTGTGTAAGATGATTTTCAAGGCACTTGAGCATGGGTTTAGTGTCTGAGTTGGGAGTGGGGACATGGCACTGTTCGGAAGAGAGTGCTATGGGATATACGGTCTCTAGGTATGTCCTGATATATCATTTTCGAATCTTGCATGAAAGCCGAACAATAGAGGTCTTGCAGGACCATACTGTCCCATTGAATTTATGATATACACTAGTAACATCCATTGCAGATATCAGATATATCAGAAATTACCCTATCATTCTGTCTCTGTGACATACTTTCGAGGGAACATAAAAGGGCCATTTGTCCTCCTCTTTCTATCACTTCTACTCCTACTACTAGATATCCCAGCCCCGTTTCTTAACCCTCTACCACTCACACAACAAATCATTCCAGCCTGGCTCGATCAACCGCTTATTCCCAAACACTTGTCGCCATGAAGTTTTCAATCATCCTGTGTCTCTTTGCTGCTGGCATGGCGGCTGCGGTCCCGACTCTACGTACGTACCCATAGACCGTATCTCAGGGAGAGAAAGGCTTGAAGAAGCTAACATTATGTAGATGAAAGTGAGAAACGCCAAGGGAATGGGCCCCTTCCTGGGCTCTTTGATGATGGGCCTCTCGGAAATCTTCTCGGGGTAGGTGTAAAGTAGATGCCCACTTCAATATACCTGTGCTGATAAACGGTGGAGGGTCGTCCTCGTCCTCGTCCTGGTGGTGGTCGTGTTGGTGGTGGTCAGTAGGGTCATATATGTACTCAAACAAACTATTTGAGTCAGAATCTTTGGAGAGTTGAGTCAAGGGCATCTATAAAGGATAGAGTAGGGGCCGCGGGCCTACTATCTATAGGTAGCCCCGGCTGTCCTGCAACATGGAAGTGTAGGGTAGGATCGCAACGCTGTAAAGTGTGCGAATTGAAGATGTTGAAGCACGATAGAGTTGGCCTGTTATAGAACGACTTGAAGATTTAGAATTGTTGAATACATCGAGCGAAAAGATGAGCAACCATAGAGTCAGTCAGTGCTTGGACAAGAGGCCCTCGCTGTGTTGCTGATAAGATAAGGAATACGAGATGGGGGCAAAAAGTATCCCTCGACCCGGAGTCGAACCGGGGACTCTCTGATTACAATGCGATATTACAGTCAGATGCCATAAACCAACTAGACCATCAAGGGATTTGCTGATTGAAGGTTCTCAAGTTACGGGTACTATTGGGCAAAGTCTTAAAAGCCAGAGCATAGACAAAGGGCTAGCCCTACATCACGTGGCAGCAGACTTCCGGAGCCCGGCAGGCGAGATAGTCCGAGAGCGGCCCACACAAGCAACGGGGCCTTTTCTTTTCGACGTGAAATTGCTTCAGGATCTTTTTCTTCCTTTCCTTCGTCTGTCAATCCCGTCACCCAACGCCGCCGCGGATCCCAGTCGACAAAATGGTAAGCACATAGATTTGCCCAGTTTACGCCTCTTCTATCTAGAATGAGCTATCGACTATCCTGCGACATGTCGTGAGACAATTTCGTCCCGCTTCATCTCGCACAGTCGAGAAGCGATGATTCCGCTGGTCGCTTAAGTCCGTCAGGATGCGAGCGCCAGTGATGATTTGGCTGGAGGCACAACGTCGCGGACTCGTTCCCGGCTTGTGTTCTCTCTAGAGTTCAAGGAAGATGCAGCAGATGGACGCGATTGCTGATCTTCTTTTCTCAATGACAGCCTGCCCCCAAGTCCGGAAAGAAGACTGCCCCCCTTCCCTACCCCCAGGGTAAGGCTGGTGCCAAGAAGGCCCCCAAGGTATGTGATATATTACACTATATATCCCCTGTGCTCCAGCGAACCTCTGGGGATGCTAATTGATATGCGCAGAACCCTCTCATCGAGAAGCGTTCCCGCAACTTCGGCATTGGCCAGGACATCCAGCCCAAGCGCAACCTGTCCCGCTTCGTCAAGTGGCCTGAGTATGTCCGTCTTCAGCGCCAGAAGAAGATCTTGAACCTCCGCCTCAAGGTCCCTCCTTCCATTGCTCAGTTCCAGGCCACCCTGGACCGCAACACCGCTGCCCAGACCTTCAAGTTCCTCAACAAGTACCGCCCTGAGACCAAGGTCGAAAAGAAGGAGCGTCTCCACGCTGAGGCCACCGCCGTCGCTGAGGGCAAGAAGAAGGAGGATGTCTCCAAGAAGCCCTACAACGTCAAGTACGGTCTCAACCACGTTGTCGGCCTCGTCGAGAACAAGAAGGCCTCCCTCGTCCTGATCGCCCACGACGTTGACCCCATTGAGCTGGTTGTCTTCCTTCCCGCTCTCTGCCGCAAGATGGGTGTCCCCTACGCCATCGTCAAGGGTAAGGCTCGTCTCGGTACCGTTGTCCACAAGAAGGTGAGACTCCACTACACCCTTGGCCCTCTCAGAGTATCCACTAACCCAATACCAGACCGCTGCTGTCCTCGCTCTCACCGAGGTCCGCTCCGAGGACAAGGCTGAATTCGCCAAGCTCCTCTCCGCCGTCAAGGAGGGTTACACCGACAAGACTGAGGAGTCCCGCCGCCACTGGGGTGGTGGTATCATGGGCGCCAAGGCTGTCGCCCGCCAGGAGAAGAAGCGCAAGGCCGTTGAGGGTGCCATCCGTGTCTAAGCTAGCTTAACACAGACGGGATTTAACACAAAAATCAACGAACTTTAATGAATACTGCGGATTTTTTTCCTCAAAAAGGGCTTGAAAAAAAGCTCTGAGGGGAGAAAAAACACGGAGTTCAGGGCTCGGATACCACACCAATCTTCATCGATGGCATTTATAGCTGTCCTCTAGCGCCGAGGAAGGACTCCCTTTCCTCACGCCCCCCTAAAATTCCATTCCATCTAGTCATGGACGGTTATTCTATCTCCCATATTTTGTTTCCTTTCATGTACACGTTGCAGATACCCATCCATGAATGCTATTTCACACATCAACCTGTCACCACCGCTGTAGTTGCCTCCCTTCTCTACCCCGCTGTGCCCCTGTGATGTCAAGCATTCATGTGAAGTCTACATATGTACATTGTAGTCGTATTCTTCCGGCTTGTTTACTCGACCTTTCGCAACTTTTTCTAAGACCCAGTGAATAAATGCGGACCACACCCCGTTCTCAAAATTTTTTTAGTCTGCGGTCTAGCCCATCTACCCACATAGTGTCCGGCGTGGCCCACAAACACTTATATAAGGTACATGTACCTGAGTACCGACCCCGTCCAGTGACCAAGTCCTCTCCCGTACGATACAGCCCTTAAGATTAAAACATGATACAGGAACGTCTATACATCAAAGCATGATATGGTATGGTATGATGAAAAGAAAAACGGCAAGCAAAAATAAACAACCCAAAGCGAATGCAACCAGATGCCCCTTTGACCCATTTGATTCCCAGATTCCAGGCAGGAGAATTTCCGCAGTCCCACGCACCCCAGGATGAAAAGCAACCGAACTGATGGTAGTATAGCAGTAGTGGCAGGATGATGATCGAAAACACGCCCAAGTAGTAAGTAAAAGAGACATTTGATGAAACGAGCCGATGCAGATATAGGCGTGAGCGGAATGAAGAATGAAGAACACGTTGAAGGGGGATAGAAGTAGAAGTGGAAAGCAGGTCGTGTTATTCATTCAGTCATTAGCGTTGCGAAGGTGGTCGGATCAGCCCTTGCCTTGCCTGTTGCAATGGAAGTTAGTGATAATCTTATTCACCAGCTGGACAAAATCCATACCTTCATCTGTTCGATTCTTGCCTTCAGCTGGCTGGTGACTTCCGCGGCTCTCTTCCAGCTCTCCGCTGGCTCCGCGCTCCTGGTAGGCTGATCTTCGCCCGAAGCACTGCCGGAGCCTAGCACCGACGACCGGGTGGGACTTCCCAGCCCAGAGTAGCTGGTACCAAATGTAGGGCTGAGCTTCCGCCGACCAAGACCTCCTTCCCTGCTACTCAGTCCTGAGGATTCAAGGCCATTGTTCTCCTTCTCTTCACTCGGGCTGGCGGATGCATAGCTGCGTGGCCGTGAGCTCTCGAACCGTGAACCAACTAGAAGACTAGACCGGGACATTGGTCCGCGGCCGTCGTCTTGGTACACGGAACCTGCGTCCGACATAGGCAAGCCAATATTCTCCGGCAGGGTATTGGGAGGGCTCATGGCACTAGCACGAAGGGCCCTTGCTAGCTCACGCTTCAGACGCTCAATTTCTCGCTGCTGCTTTTGCACAGACTGCTCCGCTGCTTCTGCATCACTTCGTGCTCGGACCAGTTGGGTCTCTTTGGCCTTGATGCTCAAAACATCTCTTGTGTGATCTTCAATGAGCTGTGCATTCTGGTCCTGAAGCTCCATTACTTGAGAATTCAGCTTGGTTCTCTCCGACCTCAAATCCTCAACCATCCGCATGAACCGCTCCTTCTCTGCACGCAGCTCATCCAACTCAGCTCGTTCGATGGCCGAAATCCCACTCAACTGGGGAGCTGCTGGAGCGGGAGCAGGCTCGCTGGGAGCCGACGGCTTCGCTATCGGACGACCGGCAAGTCCCCTTGCAAGACCAAACTTGGGGGCTGCAGGCGGCGGCGGTTGGTCTTCTGATGGGGGCGAGATAACCCGGCGTTGCGGAGATGCTAGTCCTCCTGGACCACCAAGCTTCTTCTTGAGGCCGCCTGGGCCGGAAAGACCACTGGGCTTCGGGGCCCCTCCTAATTTTGAAGGAATGGATCTCGTAGCAGGCTTGGGTGAAGGAGCAGCCACCGGTTCCTCCGCAGGAGGCGGGGCTAACTTCTTTGCTCCTAAGGCGGGTTTCTTTGCTCCGAGGACCTTCTTTCCGGGGGCGGGTTTAGGCGGGGCAACGATAGGCTTAGGTCTATCTTTTGCCTTGACCTCAGCTGTGTCAAAGAACTCCTTAATCTTCGTCTTCCTGATGTCGTCGAGGCCTTCAAGGAACGGGTTCATCGCCCGCTCGCCCATAATCTTCATCAGAGTACCAAGAACCTCTGCTCCTCCGGCACGGTTGACCTCACTGGACTCGGTAAGAAGCTTTGTGGCCGCCTCGGCTATCGACTTGACTTCCGGTTTGGCTGGGACTTCCCTGGTGGTGCGAAGGCAACGGATCAGAAACTTGAGTGTTTCTTGCTTTACTTGGGGGTTCTTGTGCTTGAGGAATTCGAGAATTTCTTCCAGGCACTCGGACAAGTTAGTTGCAATGAAAACTGCATCTAACGCCTGGCCCAGGGCATCGGCCACACTCTGCTTCTTTTCCTTCAAGCGCTCCAGCATGGGCGACATGATAGTAGACCGATACTTTAGAAATGCACTGCGAAGGCCCTTTGCAAGTAGATCAACACAGTTGGCAGCAACAGTAACCACTGCGATATTCGCATCCTTCATGGATTTGGCCAGCAAACGGACAACATCATCCCATGGTCCATCTTTAATGCGGGGAACGTTCAATACGTCATGCAGAGCGTCTAGAGCCTCTTTCCTCTCTTTCCATTTCGACGAAGAGAGCTGCTCGTTGAAATCCTTGGGAACTTTGGCCATGACATCAACAGGTTCAGCCAGATCGAAGGCATCGACTCCAGCTTCTTCCTCCTCTTCAGCGTATTCCTCGCCTCCTTCGAACTCATCGTCGCCGCCTTCCGGAGCAGCACTGGCTGCGGCCATGGCATCTTGTTGTGCCCTTGTGAACCGTTCTTGCTTGGGTGGCCCCTCTTGACTGACACTTTCAAACAACTTTTCCAAATCCTGTTGTTGAACAGGCTTCAGGTCCCCCCAGAAGAGAGGCTTGATGGCTTCCTTCAGCCATCGGTAAAGTTCCACTGTGAGGTTTTGCGCCTCTGCACGGACATTCTTATCTGCATGACCGAAAGCCTTTGGCAGGACCTTTAATACCGGCTTGGGGTCGACGATTTTACACCCGAAGTTGTGATAGATGGCTTTCAATCCCGCCAATGTAGCCGCAATGACCTTGGGGACTTTGTGTGACAGGGCGGGAATGATTTCTTCGATAACGGGGTCTGCCTTATCCAGCTCAACACATAACAAGAGGGCCTCGATCGCATTCGTTTTGGCTGCTGGTCGCGTAGACGGAAGGCCTTTCTCGCAGATAGGGAAGACTGTAGTTGCTCGGGATCTTCATGGTTTGTTAGCTACTGTCACCAAGTATAGGATATTGCGAAGGAATCAACGCCGGTTAATAGAATATACCTCGTACAGGCTTGAACACCTCCGAATTTCAAGAACGCGCAATAAGCCCCGAGACCATCTTGTTGAGCCGCAACGTTGGAATCTGCCACGGCCCCTTTCCATAGACCGGGATCTTGTATGAAAGGTGTAAAGACGGGGTCCGACTCATCGGGGGTTTTTTCGAATAGTGCCTTGGCCTCTTCATATCCTCCCTTGCGGGCTTTCCAGTTCTAAATCCAATGCCGACGCATCAGTATCCAAGATCGCTCGGCCCAAAACGGAAGTGAATGGAAATCAACGACTAACCTTGTGGGTGAACCGGTCGGGCAATGGCAAGGAAGAGAAATCCTCCTCTCCCTCGGCCATGATGAAGGTCTAAAAATAAGTCTGCAAATGAACGGGGCAAACAATTAGCAACCGGGCCTCGCAATCGACGGGGAACCATCAACTGCACTGAATCAATCCCAGTCTTCGGAGCCACCAGATCCAGCACTTTTTCTTTGGGAATGGCGGAGGCACTAGAACCAAGGATTGTATCCAGCAGTGGATAGCGACAGTTCTTATCGCTTACAGAGTTCACACACACACACACACCTTGGGTTTGTAGCCGATCGCAGATCTCGCGCACGGGCGGAAAGTTGACAGAAGGTTGTCCAAGAATGCACAATCGGCGTCGAGAGGCTGGTGGCGCCGGAAGAGTGAATCGTAAATCGGGGGGAGTCGAAAAGGGGGCGTGTGTGGTCGACGTCAGGGGGGGGATATTGGAGCCGGAAGTGGGGGAGCGATTTGATGAAGTCAACACGAAAGTGAGGGAGAGAGAGTAAACAACGGCAAAGTCGCTGGGGTGACTTCGCGACCCAAACTTCGGGCTTGGCGCTATCGTCCGCTGTGTTTTGCTGCCCGCATCCCTTTCAGGTATCAACCCAGCCTTATATATGGCCTGGATAGGCAGTTCAATGAGGTATTCATCGGTTCGCTGGCAGTCTGATACTGATCTGGGTGAAGTCGGATGTTTTCATATTGTAATTCCATATATCTTCCTAATGTAGACTATCTCCTATGAGGCACAGGTATATATATATTTTCCGAGGTATAGTGTTCTGTATGTCTGTCATATTAATTTCCCTCCACATCTTCTGTCGGCTTCATATATCCCTATTGACCGATCAGAAAACAATCGAACACCGAAGATCAACCCTTCTAGTAGTACTCTGTACGGAGTACATACGTAAATAATCGGATCGCTGTAGGAGGAATACTCCATACACATTACATTCTATCGACTGTCATGCATCCCTCTAGTGAGGTCTCCGCTGCAGTCATATTTGGTTACGACTAGTCACTATAAATACTACAGAAAACCAGCAATTTGACAAACTCTGTTCACCTGTCTAGGCCCTTTCTTACCTCGCGAGTGACCATATAACGAAACAGTCACATGACCCACCCAAGGAAAGTACCTACCCCTGAATCATTGCTTCTTTCACACTGCAGACTCCCTGGTAGATCTCTACCTATCACTTCATACTCGGCAAACGTCAATCCCTGCAGCTACCAGCTATTTCCGATTACATGATGCTGGATAATCATCAACCGTTAGAGCTTTTCCCTAGGGATCTACTTGTCAGGGTAGAAAGCCTGCTAATTAGGTAGGAATACGTCATGACTACTGTAAGATTGATAATAGACTGAGCCTCGAAGGAATACTAGTAGAGAATGATATCTTTGTTATAGGCTAGTTCATACTCTTTTTTTCATGTAAGACCGACCCGCCAAGACGCTAGGTCACAAAAATGGGTACATTCGAAAGGACTGTTGTGGCTTGTGCTTTATGTCATGAGTAGTCTGCTTCACATTTCACAATGCCCATGAATAATTGGTGCACAGAAATGGCCTGCACTTCTGTGAGAAACATACTAATCCACAATCTCGCCAGAACCTGACAACGAGCTATCTCTAAGCTACAACCCTTGACTCTAAGTTGAGCTACAGGTATTCTAACTTGTTGGGCAAATTCTCATCCCCGCTCCCACTCTAACAAGACCAATTCTTGTCTGCGAAAGCAGGCGAACATAGGTAAGTCATGCCGTATTTCCTGATCAGGCTCCCTCTGGTAGCCCGTCAATTCTATGCAGGACACATCTGCCCTGGGTTCCAACTTCAGGCGGGGGCAGCGTACGAATCAACAATAACTCCCAGTGTATAATAGGATGTTCCTTGAATGGGATTGTAATTGGTCTTAGGGATATCTATAGACTTTGGAGGGTAGGATCGTGATCTTGATCTGCTCAAACCCCGAGAGTGCCGGGTTACGCATAATCATTATATAGATTTACATCCTCGGAGATGAGGGTTAGGTAACAAGGTTTCATTCTGTTATGGAATGTTTGACTCTGGGATTTTCATCCAGTTCAAACCATGTGATTGAGGAGCAAACGATAGCAGGTCAACTCATCTCTACACCACAACACCAGATGCGCTCGGATTATCATGGCTACGGAACGCCTCATCACCACCGATCTCCTTCCAATACGCTCGCATGTTTTCCGGTGTAATAAAGCTCAACACACGCTTTTTATCCTGCAGCCTGGAATCTGGCGTTATAGTATCCTCAAACATTGGTTGGAGCTTATGTCTCGCAAAGTAGCACATCATCGCTACATCACGCACATCCAGATCTTGCCCGTCTTCACGGACAACCCACCCATTTCCAATATCACGATTCCAATACAAAGGAGCCCAGCCCCACGAAGGCTCGGAAGGGTTGGTTTCCATCATCATGTATGCCGCATTCTCATTGCTGCTTACGGACGACGCTGTGTTCCATCCGGGAGGGTTATGGTGGAACTCAGCGTCCGGGTCTTTCCAGAAGATGAGCGGTGTGCCGAGGAGAGCGAAAATTGGCGAAATAGACTTACCCTCGATAGCAAGAAGAGTTAAGCCGGGTTGATTGATTGTTTCATGTTGATGGAAACGAACGGCTCCGACCGATGAAGTTTTATTTCCCCGTGGGAGCAGATCTTCACGCCCCGAACAACCGCGGGAGCCTGGTACTGCAAATCTGGAACGGATTTACTGACCTCCGTGCTTGCATACATTACTAGGAAGTCCATCAGATGCCGAAAACCAGTCAGTTCTATATCGGCATAGTTCTTCTGGGTGAATCTCTCGCATTGCAACCATCGGGCCATAGTATGCGTGGGGAGCACTGGCGGCGGAGGATGCAGCCAGTATGCTTTGATTTGGGAGTGAGCCGTCAGATAGATATGCGTCGCGATGCAGCAGAGTACATAACACAGTATTCTTCCTGCCGCTGGGCCCCATGCAGCGAAACCAGACCCTAAGTTTTGCCCTCGTACCTCGTTGTGATGCATACGCAATATTCCGAACCAGGACCAAGGTATGAATGCGTCAGGACTTAAGTCCACCACGCCCCTGACTCTTTATCGTATTGGCGCTTGGTAGGGATCCAAACCAGAGAAGGCTCTCTGGGAAGAAAATGGCTCGCTTGTGCTCTGGGGAAGGCCGGTCAGGCTGGGTAGGCAGATTTCTTGCAAAGCAGCTTATGGGAAGGGAAATAAATCAGGACTAACTAAATGTTCGACATGCTAATCCCGCTGCAGCAGTTATCTGACCACCCGCGGCTTCTTGCCAGCAGATCTCTTTTTCTAATAATTTATATATAATTCTGTCTGCTAGTATACTATATTCTTTATTAAATAATATATAATTTATTATTTTTTACTTTCTGAATTAAGAATTCATAAAGTTATACAAAATCCTTACTTATAAAAATAGATTAAGATTAAGATATATTTTATATTAAAGTCTATTCTAATTAATATCTCTATAAATCTCTACCTCTTACGGGAGTAGATATTTAATATAGAAATTCTAATCTTATTATTAGTTACTGAGTTTGAAGCATATTGGTAATTTCTAGATGATATATATATATATATATAACCGTAAATAAAGATTAAAGATTAGTTTAATAATTTATTACTAATATTGACGGTAGAGAATTTCATATAGAGATACTAGGATTAATCTAAAGAATTATTAAAAGTCTTACTTAATCAAGATTCCAGTAAAATATTTCTATATAATTAAAATAAATAATAATAATTTTAATATTATAATATCGAGAATCCGGAAAGAATATAATCATAAATATTTTATATTAAAATAAATGCTTATTAATAAAGTTAAGAATACTATTATTAAAACTTTTTAAAGATTATTAATCTAATTATATCATCTAGAATTTTAAGAATGCCTGAAATAGTAATTATAAGACTTTAAAAATAATTAAAAACAGTAAGATTACTTTAAAAAATATATAAAATACTAGTTGAATTTAATTATACAATTATCCTGATTCACAAATATAAGAGATTAATCTTATCTAGAAATTATAAGTTAATAATCTTATTAACTTTTTGATAAAAAAAGACTGATTTTGTTTTAAGATCTTGTCAAACCCTAGGATCGCTTCTCCCTGTTCCTGTTAGCTTAGCTTCCGTTCCAATACGTACCTTCGAACTGAATCGAGGTAAGTCAGACTGATGACTATCTAAAGATGACTGGTCCTGAACAAGAGAAGAGAAGTAAGGCCAGATAGTGCCGCGCAGCTATCCGTAAGTAAGTGCGGACGAGTGTTGTTGCTAAGCTTTCCAAAACGTATGGTTACTTAAAGACAGTGTTAAAGGATTGTGTTACGGACCCCTGCTAGCTGAACGAACTAGTAAGGCGGACTCGTTAGGCAGAAGGCTACGTCCGGAAGGCGAGGACTCTTATCAAGTAGAATCCTGATCTGAGTAACCTGCAAACCAGGACGGTTACATAACACGTGACCACGACAGACATGTCACCGACACGCTATAACATGGCAGCGCTACAACAGGACATGGCAGCGCTATGATATAACATATCAGCAATATAACATATCATGGTGATGCCATGACAAGGGATAGAATATAAGGACACTCTTTCATGTACTTAGCTAGTTCTGTTCTTCGTGCTTAATAACACTGTCTTTAAGTAACCATATGTTTTAATAAAGCTTAACAATAATACTCGTCCGTACTTACTTACGGATAGCTGTACGGCACTATCTGGCCTTACTTCTCTTCTCTTGTTTAGATCAAGTCATCTTTAGATAATCATTAACCTGACTATCTTTAATTCAGTTCACAAGATACGTATCGGAACGGGAGCTAAGCTAATAGGAACAGAAAGAAGCGATCCTAGGGTTTGACACATTGAGCACCAGTCAGTATGAGTGTTATCCAGTAATAACTAGTCATTATGTTAACTACATTGAACACATCGCGTGCGCCACAGCAGGGCCTGATGACTAAGGAACTGATGGATATGGTTAGTCAGCTGCAAGAAAGCATCACTGTCTTAGAATAATAGAACTAGTTACTTAAAGGTCGCTTATCAGTTAAATCTGTTAAGATCCGACCACCCGAGCCATTCAACAGCAAACAAGCAAGGCTTAGGGCTTTCTTAACCCAGTTAGATCTATACCTCAACATAAACAAGGAAAAGCTCAAGAATAAGAAGGACAAGATCTTTTTCGCGTCCACTTACCTGACCAGAGTAGTATTTAATTAGTTTAAACCATACATCCGCGAGTGATAAGAGAAGTTAGTAAGTAATCAGAATAATAATATAAAATAACTTTTCACCAGTTACACTAGATTCAAACAATATCTTAAACAGATATTCAAAGACATTGATACGGCATAAAATGTTGAGTAAAAGTTATAATAACTTAAGTAAATTAGATTAGTATCTATATATGTTTCAGAGTTTCAGCAAGTTATTAATTATCTAGACTGGGATGATGATGCCTACATCTCATGATTCAAAGAAGAACTTAAGATAGAGATCTAAGAAAAGATCATTTAGTAAGAACAACTAGATATATTGACTAAGATAATTAAAGCAACAGTTAAGATTAATAATAAGTTATACAACTTTAATATGAAACAACAAGAAGATCAGTAAACCAATAGGTCTATATCTTAATATAATAACCAGCCAGGTTACCGAGCCAATAACAGAAGGTCAGCATAACCTAGGAGTTTGGAATACAAAGATCTTTATAGACTAAAACCAATGGAGCTGGATGCAGCACAGCATCAGACTCAACAAACTCAAGTATCTAAGGAAGAACTCAAACAGTGCAAACGAGACCGCTTGTACTTTAACTGCGGCAAAGTAGATCACCAGTCAAAGAACTATAGTCAGAAACAGTAACAGCCTCAGAAGCAATTAAGCGCTATAAATCAAGATCAAGGCAGAAGAGTCTATAATGTTACCACCATTTAGTACAAAGTTTAGACAGAATCTATAATACAGATATTAGATAACAAGAAGCTACATATTATTTAGCATGATCAGCTATCAGAGAACAGGATATACCATAATTAGTTAAGATAACAGACTACTCTAGATAAGTTAACAGTACCATCTAATCAACAAGAAGATTAATAATTATCTGTACTATTAATTTAGACTATAAAAGTTAATAATAACAGTTATAAGCCAGTTTCAAGAAATGACTATCCTAATATAATTTAAAATAAAGATAAACCATTAGACAAAGAATACAGTAGACTGCTTAAAGACCTTGAACCTAGTAAGAAAAGACTTAATAAGATACTTAATACCCCTGAAAAACCTTTATCAAAAATTAGTAAATTCTGTCCATCACAGCGAGACGAGGATAAGAAGAACCAGAAGAATGATTAAGAAAATATTACTTATTAATTAGACCATATCTTAAAGAAGATCTTGAAGAATCCAGTACAATTCTGCCCAGAGCTTAAGATGATTATACAGTATTGCCCATATTAAGATTTAAAATATTAGAAATCATAAAATAAGACTTAAAAACAATATCTATAGAGATGTCTCTGTCATCTGGAAGTTTATTTAATATATAAATAAAATAATACAGACTATTATTACCAGCTATTAAAGATTAGCCAGAAGATAAACATTGCAGGAACGAAGCCTTAATATAATAAACCATGTCTATATATTTATTTTAAAGAAAGTAGAGATTATTAAAGATATAATAAACTTTCTTAGCTTATATATTATACAAACACATGCTTAATATATCATGATTAAAAATACATTACTAACTACTAACCTAAGATACTGGAAGTAGTTAGGGCTAAGATAAGTTACTTTTTATATTCTATCTTTGATTACACGTGTAAAGGATACCAGAGATACTCTTACTATAGATTAATATATTAACTAGCATGTTTTAATAATCAGTATATAATACACTACGCAGTAAAGATAGAAGGCTTAAGATTTTTAAAAAGATACTTATAATAGTTAGAACCTAACTAGCTGGAATAGTAATTAGCAGTTATAAAGTCAGGACTATATCTGAAGATTTAAGCAGTTATATTAAATTAATCAGTCTAAGTACTGGTAGATTCTGGAGTAACCAGGAACTTCATGAACCCGCGATTCATATAATAGCTTAAGATACTTAAATAATAGAAAGAAGAACCTGAACTAATTACAGAACTAAATAGAGAGAATTTAGGAATTCTTGTATCAATAATTAAGTCAGAAACTATATTTATAACTATAAAGAATTATTACAAGCACATAAACTTTAATATGATATCTTTAAGATAGTATAATATTATGTTAAGGATTCTATAACTCAGAAATCATAATTCACAGATTGATTAAAAGACTGAGAGTCTCTAATTCATGAATTATGATTATCTAAAACGACACCAGCAAGGACCAGATATAGGGTCTAGATCTATACAGCCCGCTACTCAGTAAAAGGCTGAAGTAAGGACTAAACAACTTATTAAGAGAAGGTTAAGATCACCATGAAAGCCTAACATGCCAGGCATTGAAAATAACTTAGAGAAAAATAGCATTTTAAATATAGTTACACAAGTAATAACAGCAACTAAGCCATTATAGAAAGATTAGCTTATAAAATTATCAGGATAGGTATTAACAATAATAAAAGAGTATTATAAATATAATATTGATAATTTTAATACAGAGGTTGAGATGACTGTCCAGAGACTAGAAGATTTATGGAAACTTCTAGCTGTAGTTAAGAGTAATATATAGATTTTATCACAGTATAAGAGATTTAAGAACTTATTTAAGTAGTTAGAATAACCTG